ATTCCTTTCCTTGCTATCGCCCTAAGCTTCAATTCTTGTCCCCGGCACAGTTTCACGATGATAATGCCCCTGAAACCAAAACAGAAAAAACTCACCCAAGGACCAAATTATAAGATCACAGAACCAAAAAATTCATCAAGGAAGTATTTTTTTCAATCCCGGATTGTTATGACATTTTCAGAAAACCGGCAAAAAGGTTGCAAAACGAAAGCCCTCGTTATACAATCTCAAAATACGTTTCAGCAGTGAGTGAAGGAGATATATAGGTGTGGTGATGGTGAGAGTCCACTGTATGGTATGTGCTTGCAAATGTAGTGAAATGTGTTATGGGCCGTGTTCATGTATGGCTCGGTAGGGTTCCTTGGAGTTGTAACGATTTAATTTTGTCTTTGGGGGTCTACACTCTACAACACGTTTTCAAATGATTTAGCGGTGATAAGACAAACATATAACAATCGGAATACTCCAATTTTTCATTTTCAACAGCATCATTTATATTATAACAGAAAAAACTACGATGGTGATGATACCAAATGATATGCTAAGATGATATAGCAAAAGCTTAATGTGGTAGCGAAGTTAAATTTTGTAGAAGCAACCTTAGCAACATTGAGGACAACAGTCACTATCAAAAGACACGCAGTGGATCTGCTGACATGATCTCAATAGCCTTTGTAGAGGCAGCTGAGATTTGGGTGAGGTAAGAGCAAACTTGGGATCAAGAGTCAAGGACATAGGGCCAGGTAGAGGTCCACGCCTTTGAATCGAACAAATAAAGACCCGGTTAAATTGGAATTTATTAAGGCTGGTTAGCTTAAAATAGATATGTTTCAATGTGAAATGCATATAGGTTTTTCTATATATAAGGAGGCTCTCTTCTTTATCTTAATTTTTAAAAGCATCATCAATTTATTTCTACCATCTAAGATGAAAAAACCCTTTCAACTCTGGTTTACCATTCTAACTATCTTCACCCTTCTTGTGCTAGGTTTGTATATCCATTTCTACCTTATAGTCCTTCTACAAAATACTGGTTTTAATATATTATACAGTATCTTGAGAATTCCAGTTAAAGGAAGTTCTATAAACTTGTATCAAAATTAGTTTTGACTATAGAATTCCATAATATCGAGTTTTAGCTTTATTTATTTTTATTTAAATATTGTACTCTATATCTAAAAAGTTGAGTTGTTAGACCTAGGAAACCAATCTACAAAGGTATCTTTAGAAATTATTTACCAGTTTTGGTCAGTTCCTTCATTTGAATAAATCTGGTTTTGATATATCAAAGTTTATTGTGATATAGATTACTTCAACTGATTTACATTATTGTTTTTCTTTCCATCATCAACTCTTTTTCGTTTTTGCATAATAGATAAGAAAAACTCCTCAAAACATCTTTTTCTCCTTAGATAAATTTTTTTTTGTTTTTTTTGTTTTTCCATTTTGACTACTAAAACTAGGATTATGTGTTTTTAAATATAATGATAACAGGAGTAATGGGAAATACGCCAAGGCCTCCGGGACGATGTCAGCCATTTTCAAATTCGCCAAAGACTGGAAATTGTGTTGTTGACAAAGATTGTGAGGCTCCGTGTAAGAAGAAGGGTAAAGGGCTAAGTGGTGTGTGCGTGTCATATGCTGATAGTGGCGGAGTAAAATTTTCGAGATGCAGTTGTTGTATTACTCTCAACTAATGTCGTCCTCAAATTATTTAACAATAAAACAATAAAATATGTCTTTGTGGTGTAATATTTCGCACTACTTTTATCATAAATCTTGATGATATTTTACCATAAAAAAATGCATAATAATTAACAAAAAAAAAATATTTAATAACATTCAATTGTTATTTACATGCTTGATTGGTTTATTAGTGAACTAACGATAAAAACGTTAAAAACTAATTTTGATTTATAATGTTTCAGTTTTTTAACCCACTCGTACTATGCAGTATAAACACTTTTCAACTAAAATCATTGAACTAATGGTCTGAAATCAAAGAAAAAACCCTCTAGAACAAAGTAATAAATAGGCTTAGTTCGAACAACCTTTTAATAGATAATAACAAGATTCAAGAACAAAATGATCAGAGGTCAGGGACACACAGAAGACCACCGCTTCACATGTTTCTTATCTAACAAGACTCTGCCGTTACGGTTAATACACTGGATCTGTTCCAAAGGAGCTCAAATCTACCACAATCTCATCCTCCACGCATATGAGCACCGAGTTCACCAAACTGATCGTCAGCTTCTACAGTGTCATCAGAGAGACGGACTGCATCAAGCTTCTGCTTCAGGAGATCAATGGCATTGAGTACCAGCTGTGAAGCCTTCACTGCACCTGTGGATTCAACTGTGAATATGAAGCTATCCTCTTTCGGATGGATCTCAATCAGCCCCGGTTTCCCCATTGCTTCTGCTTTCTTGATCACTTCTTCGTCGTAAGTGTATGCCTCCGGATCAACCACCACAACCTAGGAAGCAAAGTATCATTAACAACAATGATGATGATAACAAAAAAGCTTACAATGATATGCTAAAGATGATATAGCAAAAGCTTAACTTGATAGCTACGAAAATCCAAACTGTAAGAAGCTGTACAACAAGTGGCATACAGATTCAAGTGGCGTACATTTCATATCATTTCCAGTCAATACACATAGAAAGATGTTTCAGTTTGGTACTTAAGCATCCTGAAAAGATCTCAACCTAAGGGATGACTTGGTATTGAAGAGCTAAGTAGTGCTATCTAACACCAAGATATGCACAGAAATTAGGTAATTGCACACTACACACCTAAAGAACAGTATAGTAGCCAAACAAGAAGGATCATATTGAAGACTCAAAAGCTATGAACTTGTAAAGAGATCATTCTTCGAAACTAACCTGTCTAGTGACTGGATCCATGCCAAAAACTCTCGTCGGGCTGCTCTCAATCAGGTCGATTTTCTCATCATCAGTCAGTGTATCCATCATATCTTCGTTGATGACTATCTCAGGCTCATACATGAAAGTCACAGTAGCTGCAGGAGACCATTTCGCGTGATCTTTCCCGATTCCTTTCCTCGCTATCGCCCTAAGCTTCAGCTCTTGTCCCCGGCGCAGTTTCACTATGATAATTCCCCTGAAACCAAAAAGAAACATTCAGAAACAAAAGAGCACGCAGGAAAAAGCCACCAAACTACCAAATTAACGAGCAGAGAGCCAAAAGGTTGTTCTTTTTCCATTCTTTAAAACGATACCTAAGTTTTAGCAATGCCCTAATCACTAAATTTTGCATTTCCAATCAAGTTACAAAGATCAAAGAACCAAAAAACCCATCAAAGGAAGCATCTTTCAACTCCGGATTGCTATGAAATTTCAGAAAACGGTAAAAAGGTTGGTTTTTTCCCAATTTGTAAGACGATAGCACTTGTAAACCACTATCAAACTATGTTTCAGCAATGCTCTAATCTCTAAATTCTGCATTTCCAATCGAGTCGTAAAGACAAAAATGACTAACACATTCACCAATGATGGAAAAGGAGATACCTTTGCTCGCTCGAATCAGATGCAGATGCATCAATGGTGAAATCAACCGGAGTAACAGTGGGATCAGCACTGTACAGGTCCCTGCTGGTGACATCTAGGGTTTGGTCGGTGACGCACTTGGCTTGGAGGTGGAACTCCACGGAGCAGAACTCGCACTGCCCATCTCCGTCGCAGGCGTCGCAGTCTCTGGAGAAGCGCATGCTCATTGCTCTCTCGCTAGTGAGAGGGATGAGACCTAGCCGGTGAGCGATGAACTCGTCGTTGAGCACAGAGGAGTTAGTGTCGATTTCGACAAGATCGATTGCGACGGTGGGGACTTCTGAGATCATTACGCGGCGGAGAGCATTGGCCATGGATACATCGGTCTCGCGAAGCTCGAACTTGGCGTAGTCATGTTTGAGCTCACGGATCTTCACCTTTGGGAATCTCTGGTATAAAGGAGCACCGTCCATCTCTCAAAGGTCGAAGCTTTTCTGATTCCTATGCAGATTATCAGGGGTTTTAGCTGCAGAATCTGAAGCTTTTCTTAGACGAAGAAGAGGAAGCAGAAGAGTAAGAGCCGAGTAAAGAAGAGTGGAACAAAGATAATTAAAATTTTAAAATAGAGCAATGGGTTTAAGTTGGGCTTATGGGCCTGTTAAAATGCTTTTTCTGGTTTTCATTTTTTCAGGAGTTGAATATTCTTTTCATATTCATCATATTTTTACATTTTATTGTAAAATCGTCACCTAGATGATGGTAGCATGATCGAGTGAACGTGGTGGTGTGATTATTAGATGATCGAGCGAGTCTATCTAATCCGGTGTGAGCCGTCGCAGTATCACGAGACTACCAATAATCACCATTGACCAAACTGCGAACGTGATTGAACATGCAAACAAAGAGATGGGTTCGTGTTTCATTAGATTCATCGTATAGTTTTGATGTAAATTCAACTAATTTTTTAATGATTTAATAACATATGATTATTATCTTAACGGAAATTATTCTAAATGCTTGATTGAACAGATTCACCTTAGTTTATTTCCTGCTAAGTACTAATTTTGAAAATAATTTACTTTGAAATTATGTAAAGAGGATACAAGAGGATTCCTCCATTTGTTTTTTTTTTATCCTCCAATTGACCAATAGAATCTAAGTGTTGAAAATAATATGTTTCTTTATTGCGATTTTCATATACTGTATCTCAGTTTTTCAAAGATGCTACTAGTTAAAGGACACGTATAAGCTTTTTCAAAGTCTGTTATAATAAAATAAACAAATGTGGAGAGTCACGTTCGAAGTTCGTTGATGGTCACAACTTATCAATGTCGACGCATTAGAATATTCGACAAATAATCTTTATTTATAAAGTATCAAGCTACTTCAACTATAAATCACAATAATAGTTGTAATCGCGCTAATAAATACAACTCTTCTTCTTGAATCATTTCCTAATCATAAACCGATCAAACTAAAGTCAACATGTATCACAAATTTCCGATCTACGGCGACATTTCCAGGGCTCTGAGTTCCAAGATGAAGATTCTGATAACAGTCGTCCTTAGTTGCTTAATAATTTGGTCTGTAATGTTACTATCATCCTCAAACAACTTCAACAACCAAGTTCTTGATGCTACAACCAACGGTAAAAAAAAACATCCATCTTTTTCATATTTATTGTTAAAAACTCAAAGAGTCCTTCTTTTTAACTTCACATTTTCATTTTCTTGTAATAGATTCAAAGCAATCCGAAACACCGGTGGATAAACTGATCGGAGGGCTTTTAACGGCGGATTTCGATGAAGGTTCTTGCTTAAGTAGGTATCAAAAGTCTTCCTTGAATCGCAAGACTTCCCCATACAAGCCTTCAACATATCTCGTCTCTAAGCTTAGAAGCTATGAGATGCTTCACAAGCGTTGCGGTCCAGGCACAGAAGCTTACAAGAAAGCAACAGATGATCTTGTTCTTGATGAGAGCTATGCAAGAAACTCTTTACATGAATGCAGATACATTGTGTGGATGGAAGGTTACGGGCTTGGAAACCAAATACTTACTCTTGCTTCTGTCTTCCTCTACGCTCTCTTGACAGAGAGGATCATTCTTGTTGACCAAAGAAAGGACATAACTGATCTCTTCTGCGAGCCATTTCCAGGTACTTCATGGTGGCTTCCTCTCGACTTCCCATTGATGAAACAGATTGGTGGCTACAAGAAGGAATCATCTCGTTGTTACGGAACAATGTTGAACAACCATACCATCAACTCCACTTCAATCCCGCAGCATCTGTACCTTCATAACGTCCATGATTCAAGAGATGAAGATAAGATGTTCTTCTGCCAAAGAGATCAAACCTTGATCGACAAGGTTCCTTGGTTGATTATTAAACCTAATGTTTACTTTGCTCCATCTCTATGGCTTAATCCAAATTTCTATACCGTGCTAGTCAAGCTATTCCCGCAGAAAGAAACCGTCTTTCACCATTTGGCTAGGTATCTTTTTCACCCTACAAACCAAGTTTGGGGTATGGTCACAAGATACTACCATGCTCACTTATCAAAAGCAGAGGAGACACTCGGGATTCAAATTAGGGTTTTCGACAAGAATCCTGGATATTATCAACACGTTATGGACCAGGTCGTATCATGTACACAAAGAGAGAAACTCTTGCCTGAGTTAGCTACACAAGAAGAAGAAGAAGAAGAATTAAGACTCAATACAACGAAAGGCGAGAAACTTAAAGCTGTTCTTGTCACATCTCTCTATCCAGAGTACTCTGAGAACTTAAAGAACATGTTTTGGGAGAGACCAAGTTCGACAGGAGAGATCGTTGAAGTTTCTCAGCCAAGTGGAGAAAGAGTTCAGCAGACAGAAAACAAGCTTCACGACCAAAAGGCTCTTGCTGAGATCTATCTTCTGAGCTTGACCGATAACATTGTCACAAGCGCAAGGTCTACGTTTGGATATGTTGCTTATAGTCTTGGAGGGTTGAAGCCATGGTTGCTTTATCAGCCATCGAGTGCCACAGCTCCTGATCCGCCGTGTGTTCGGTCCAAGTCGATGGAGCCTTGTTACCTTACTCCTCCGTCTCATGGATGTGATGCAGATTGGAGGACGAACTCCGGGAAGATTGTTCCTTTTGTTAGGCATTGTGAGGATATTATCTATGGAGGGCTTAAGATTTTTGATGAGTTATAGATCTTGTTAATCACAGTTGAATTCATTCAATTATTGATTAAACTCAACTGAAACAGAGGAGCAATGTTATTGTATTAAGCAAAAACACTTTAGTTTCTTAAGAAGTATTTCTTTTCCATAGTCAAAAATAAGTTTGTTGGAAAATATGTATTGAATCTTTACCATATTCATAAATTTCTTACAAATATGGGAAAATTCCTAAACTGAAAATTTGTTAATTTGTTACTATATAAGTTATACTTTTATTGTTGGTTCCCACGTACGAATTCTGCTTTCGACTGCATTGATAAGAATTTGTATCGTTTTTATATATTTTTACTTTAATTAATAATTTTATGTATGATGTATTACAACACAAAGTAGTTTACCTTTTCACAAGTACGTAGTAGTATAATATTAGGTTGTGATGTTTTTTTGTTGTCGGTAACAAATTGTTTTTGGTCACAGGTTTTTCTTTTTTCTTTTACCAAGAAAAATAAAAACAATGCATTATATATAAAAAACTATGTATTTTGAAAATTGTATCAACATGAATGCAAATAATATGCAAAAGAGAAATTAGTAAACATAATGGGAAATTAAAGAAATTGTATGGCAAAAGAAAAGGAAAAAATGAGCGTGACTGAAAATTTAGATGTGATCATTGAATTTTTTTCCTGATTTAAACCCGTTTATATGATTTGGTGCTACTCTTTTTGAGCACTCGATTAACGCATAATGAATTAATGACTAGTTATTAAACATGTGTCTCGTAAGTCGTACTCACTCAGGCAAATCATCAATATACAAACATCTCATAACCAAAAAAAAAAACACAAAGATGGCCGATAAATTCCCACTCGTCCCTCCGACCAACAAGGCTCCAGTTCCACCAGCCAGAAGGGGTTTCGTTCCTCCAGAAAGTGTAGCTTTTCAAAAGAAGAAGGCCTTTCCGAGTGCAAGCATCAATGCGGGATCAAGCAAGGTCAATTTCACGAAGCCGGACGCAGCGGCACCACCGAAAAAATGAACAAGTAAATGGCTAGGTGATTAATAAATTGGGAATGCAAATATCATGTTGATATTCTTATCCTTCTTTTTTCCAACAATATCATCATGTTTTTTTTTTGATAAAGCAATATCATCATGTTGTTGGTATCTATCTACGTAATTAATTAATTAATGGGAATGCAAATTAAATATCATCATGTTGGTATCTATCTATTTTTATATAATGTTGGTGATCGTTGTTCATGCAGTCGATGCTCCATATATATATATATATATATATATATATATATATGTGCAGGGGCGGATCTAGTAATGGAGTAAGGTGGTCAAGTGACCCCCACTAATTCTTAAATTTGATTGAATTTAAGCATATATTTGTACTATAGATTGATTATTTGGTTAAATTTTAGTGGTTTGACCCCTACTAATTATGTGAGTTCCCAACTTTTGACCCCCTTACATACTTTCTCTAGCTCCGCCCCTGTATATGTGTGTGTGTCTTACAAAGTACACTAATAAATATTAAATAGCAATAATAAACATGTTTTCATATCTTATATTTGTAGATAGATCTTGCAAAAAAATATATATGTGAAATTAATGCACCATGGTGTAAATTACTAAATATAGATACAGAAGAAAATTTAATCCAACTAAATGTGGATTAAAATTTAGTCTTATGTTTTCTTCTATTTTTGTGTACTTTAAAATGTGTTTTTCTTTTATTTTGAAACAAATATTAAAATTTTGTGATTTCTTATGATTTTAAAGTGTTTTGGTGGAGTTTCTTAATTAAAAATCTAAATCTATAAGATTCTAGATTATTTTTAATTAAAATCATAACAACTTTACAAACTCACCAAAAATCTTCTTAAAACTCACTAAAAATAAAAAATACAAATATTCTCTAATCCAAAACTAAACACACAATACACACCCATGCACTGATCAGCAACTCAAAGATATATAATCTTCTTTACATAGACAAGAAAAATACTTACCAATACAAAAACACAATATATGTGGCAACAAATTTTCACTTAGCATTATATATACAGTTATACACCGTTACTTCCAAATAATTTGTTCAAACATAATTGATTTAGGCTTAAGCAATAAAGCATTATCCATGTACGTATGGAGAGAAGCGACCAAAAGGCAAACCTGACCTCCACCACGTAGAGATGCCTTTATATAAAGATCCCATACACAACACTCCTTTTAACTCATGACATCATTCATTCATTCACACAAAAACACTTAAAAACCAAACCAAAAAAGAACAATGACTATTTCCATTTCCAACCTCCTTCTCCTCCTCCTCTTCCTCTTCACCGCCGATGCTCTGACGTCACAATCCGACGTGTCAGCTCTAAAAGCCTTCAAAGCCGCCGTGAAACCAAACTCAATCCCACAGTGGTCTTGTCTCGCTAGCTGGGACTTTACTACCTCCGACCCATGTGCATCACCGCGTCGCACACATTTCACGTGCGGCATCACTTGTTCCTCCGACTCCACACGTGTGACCCAACTCACTCTCGACCCGGCCGGGTATTCGGGTCTTCTCACGCCGCTCATCTCTCGTCTCACAGAGCTTCTCACGCTCGATCTCGCCGACAACAAATTCTACGGACAAATCCCATCTTCCATCTCCTCCCTCCTTAATCTCAAGACACTGATCCTCCGGTCCAACTCGTTTTCCGGGTCAATACCCGAATCGGTAACTCGGCTTAACTCGCTCGAGTCCGTTGACATCTCGCGTAACTCGCTAACCGGGTCGCTTCCGAAATCAATGAACTCGCTCACGAGTCTGAGACAACTCGATCTTAGCTACAACAAGCTCACCGGATCAATCCCAAAGCTTCCGAGGAATCTCATAGACCTTGCTCTAAAGGCGAACTCTTTATCAGGACCCATAACAAAAGAATCGTTCACTGAGTCAACTCAGCTTGAAATCGTCGAACTCGCTGAGAACTCGTTCACCGGAACACTCGGAGCTTGGTTCTTTCTTCTCGAATCTATCCAACAAGTCGATCTAGCGAACAACACTCTCACTGGAATCGAAGTCCTCCCTCCTAAAGTCGCCGGAGAAAGCAACCTCGTGGCGGTTGAGCTGGGATATAATCGAATCACCGGATATGCGCCGGCGAGTTTCGCGGCGTTCCCGATTCTCTCCTCGTTGTCTATGAGATACAACATGCTTCACGGCGTGATTCCGTCGGAATACGAACGGAGCAAGAACTTGAGAAGGCTATTCTTGGACGGGAACTTCTTGACGGGGAAACCGCCGGCGAGATTTGTTAGACCGGAGTCGGAAGTGATGGGAAGTTTGGGGAATAACTGTCTACAGGGATGTCCGGGGAAAGCGAAGATGTGTGCTCCGTCGCAGAAACCATTTCACATTTGCAAGCAAGCTTATGGTGGAAAACTAAAGTCATAGTTTGTCGGTGTCGGTGACTTTTCTTGTCAGTGATTTTGTAAAATAATGCTTTTATTCTTGTTTAAATCATTTTTTTCTCGTTTACTCTATAGTCTTGGAGAAATATTAATATTCATCGAGATCTTCATATGTTGGCGCGAAGTAAAATTGCGTTAAAAGTGCACAACCTAATTTAAAATGTCTAAAATGAAAAAACTTGAATGTGGTTCTTAATTTCTTATTGGTTTACCATTTTTTTCTGTTTAGTAGTTTTAAGATTTTGACAGAATTTACAAAAATATAACTAAAATCTACAAAGAGATGCAATGTTAAAGGAAACAAATAGACAAAAATCTACAAAGAAAGGCAGTGTCCTGCCTGATACACAATATGAATCCACAGGTGTATTTATTCGATAGATAGCTAGAAACAAAATAATTTTGTAAACATAAATGCGCATAACCAAGTCTTACCCTGACATTGACCCTCTTGAGATTCTGTGATTTTTTTATATATAAACTAGTGTTCTTAAATTATGTAAGTCGACATCAATAAACATGAAACCGCGTAATATGGTGAAGTTTAATTCAAACGGCTAGTACATTAGAGCTGAGTCACTTTTACATGGCACCGAATTTTAATACTCTGACTACAAAGAATAATCGTACAAATCCCAAGTTGTGTTAGTCCAACGATTAAGTTCAGTGGTGAAACCATAATCCGAATCATACCAACTACAAACTTCCGGTATAAGTCTTCCACTTGGTCATTGTAAATGTTTGAAAGGGTAAAAGTAAAAGTATCTAAATTTCTTTACGGAATTGTTATATTATTCTAAATTTCAATCCAAGGTCTACTCTGGTTATACAAAAGTTCGTTTAAGATACTTATACAAGTTACCTAAAAAGAAAAATCGCATGAGCGGAATAAATTATTAAACAATTATAAAATAGCATAAAAAAACCGAAGTCTATTTTGTGAGATACGCACATGAAAGAAGGTAGTTGTTGTTTATTATTTGTAGAAACAAAACAATTATTTGTAGTATTGGTACCAACCAGTTTTGTGAGCAATACTCATCACATGCTCTATAATATATTAAAAAAACTAATTTTTTAAAAAAGAAAAAGAAATTCAAAGGAAAATAATAAATGGGCTAATCAAGTGAAGATAGGTGTAGAGTTCCTCTTGAGATAGTCTCTTCCAGTCCTCCTAATAGAGTCGATTCTGCTACTTTTCCTTGCCACCTCATTTTAATTTTATTTATTTATTTTTTTTTTGTGTCAGAACTTATAGGAGTATATACAATGCAGATACTCTCATTATCAGTATCAGCGGCTACCTCGGGAAACCAGCTGTTTCTTGGCTCTCCCATATTTTGGTGCCTAACTCTATAATTAAATGCTTTTATTCCACTCATAACACAGCTTTATAGCCACCAGCAAAGTTGGTAAGAGCCTCATCCACTTATCTAATCATTATAGAATTATATATACATCAACAATTACAAAAATAATCATTATACTGATCCTATTCGATTTGAGGTTTAAGATAGGTGGTAGGAGCCGCTACTTGGAAAATTATAAGGATCAAAGAAAATAATAATTGTTGAGTTCATCTGGACATAATTTTGTTTTAATACTAGTGTTCGATCTAAAAATATCACAATATATAGCTTGGTCCACTAAGTTTAATATAGAGGTAGTAACGACCCAGTCCTCAATATTGTACCTTCTCACAAATGCAGCCAAGAGAAACAACGTTTACATTGAGCCAAGAAAAGGCCATTTGCAATGTAAAGCTGGTATCAATGGTCCTTCGTCACATTGCTTTGCAACTTTAATTGTTGCATGATTGCGAGAAAGAGAGACAGCAATTACCTTCCATTCTTCCAACCATTACAATCTTTAAGTTATTGCTTGGTTTATCTTTTTTCCTTTTCAAATATGATATAAACTATTAGCTATAAATATTGTATGATTTTACTATAAAAATCTTATTACAAAATATGATATGACATTAGAATACTATACAAATTTGATAAAGACTATAAAAATTTTACCTTTTCAAATACTATAAAAATTTTACTATAAAAAATATAATATAAGTATTCTTGCAAATAATTTGATAAAGACATTAGTAATGATTAATAAGGAGGCAACAAACCACAACAGGTGCAAGTTGTAGGGTTTTTTCCTTGAGCATTCCACCCCGAACAAATCCCCGTTGACCCTTTAAATTTCTGGCTACACAAAAGCATCACAATCTATGCGAGTACAAAACACAGTTTTTGTTTTAATTGGAAATGGGACACATGCTCTTTGTCTTTTTTGCTGCACATTCCCTAACACTCCTGTTATCATTATATTCAAAACATAAAATTTGAGTTACAGTAGTGGAAATAAAAAGTATTTATGAATTTTATATAAAAGAGCTTCGATGTTATGGAATTCTATAGTGAAACAATACTAAAAACAAAAACTGTATTTTAAATCGGTATTTTTTAGAAGTAGAACAACTAGATATGGTTATATGGTTAAAACTAAAAATGAGTATACAAACCTAGCACAAGAAGGATGAAGAAAGTTAGAATGGTAAACCAGAGTTGAAAGGGTTTTTTCATCTTAGATGGTTGATGATGTTTTGATTACTAAAATGAAAGAAGCGAGCCTATACATATATATATATATAGAAGTAGTTAGATGCATTCCCCATTGAGACATATCTATTTTAAGCTAGAACTACCTTATTACATTCCAATTTAAACAGATCTCGATTTATTTCAGTTCCTTGTTTTTTTCACATCTCTCGATTTAGACTTAGCTTGCTTTCTTAAAAAGTAGAAAAATAGACAAACGAATAACATGGAAACCCATTTAAATTTCTCTTTGAACCATTACAAGCTGGAGCTTTGGGTTGTGCAAAAGGTTTGGTTTGAGGAAATACTGAGGAATTAGTTTTTTTTTTCTCATTAATAGAAGAGAAGATAAGTCTTGCGCTAGGAAATTATATTATTAGATATACGTTATTGGAGGGCAAAGCTTCCATATTGTTCATTAGGCTATGTCGATAGGGATCGAAATCAATAATGTTCCTTCTCACAAATGCAGTAAAGAGAGATGACATTTACCTTGAGCCAAGAAAGGCATTTTGCAATGTGAAACTGATATCGCTAGACGGTTAGTCTTTATGCTATGTAAAACTGATATCAATGGTCCATTGTGACGTTAATTGGCCACTTTGATTGTTGCATGCACGTACGATTGCCAGGAAGAGAGACGACATCTACCTTTCATTCTTCCAATTAATCACTACATGGTTTATCATAAATCTTATTATAAACTCGGAACAAACATTTTATTATAAAATCTTATTATAAATATGATATAAGTATTAATGCAAATAATTTGAAAACGGCATTAGTAACCAGGAGGCCAGGGCAACACACCACAACACTGGCATGATTTATATATTTTTCCTTGCACAGTGTGCTCATAGCAGCTATTCTCCTTTAACTCTTTATTTACCTTCAAACACATAGCGTGACAATCTTTGGGAATACATTTACGTTCTGCGTCTTTAAAGCATTGTCTTCTTTTCGGTCGCGCTCCTACCACTCCTGTTATCATTATATTTAAAACATAGAATTTCAGTTACAGTTGTGAAAATGGAAAAAATCAGTAATCTATAATGAGTTCTATAATGAAAACTGACTATGATACAACTTTATCTAATTTCTTTTAACTTTTTTTTTAAAACTTAATCAGTATTTGACGTAAAAAAAAAAAACTTAATCAGTATTTTGTAGAATAACTATATACGGTAAATTATACAAACCTAGCACACGAAGGATTGAGAAAGTTAGAATGATAAACCGGAGTTGAAAGGATATTTTCATCCTAGATTATAGAAATGAATTGATGGTGTTTTGAAAACTAAAAAGAAAGACGAGAGCCTACCTATATATATATATATATATATAGAAGATGTTTAGATGCATCCCACATTTAAACATATCTCCTTTAAACTAACTACCTTCTTATATTCCAATTTAAACGGATCGGATCTTGATTTATTCAATTTGATTTTTATTTTCTCATCTGATATTGGTACACACCAAAAAAATAAATGATTTGTATGGAAATGAAAACAAGTTGTATATTTATAGTTCTACCTTAAACCTTATTCAGTCCATAATAAGAGTATTAGTCAAGAATGGTTCTCGCTGAGAAACATGGAAAATAAAACGCCATAACCAATAACCATACACATACATAGAAAGTAGAAGACAACTATGTGATAAAGATAAATTTAAATTCCAAATGGTTACGTTACGTACACAGCGGAACAGACGAACCAACAAAGCTAATACAAATTACATTGTCGTTTTTGGTCTTTCAATACCTTGGACCTCGTACAAGCTTCCTCTCAGAGGAATCACTCCGGAAACTACCAACCGAAGTAGACCGTTCGGGTTTGTTAGGGATAGTTTTGGAGAGCCACTCAAGGCCTTCGTATAACCCTTGCCCAGAGATGGCTGATGTTCCTTGTATAAACCTGTGCACCAATCATCAATTAAACACGAACCTTTCTTCATCCTCTATATAGATACATGAATAAGAGACGGTTTCGTGACTTACCAACAACGTTTGGATAGGCTATGCAGGCCAAGTTTGTTGGCAACATCGTCTACCGGTAAAGCATTTCTTGAATCTTGCTTGTTCGCAAAGACGAGTACACATGCATTTTCTAGTTCATTCTGTGCATTTTTAACCAATACATACACAAATTTATAATGATAAAAAATAAAAATGAGAGAATGAGTTACACTTGAGAATTTTCTTGATCTTACATTGGTTAGTATGCGATGCAGCTCATTACGAGCTTCTGATATCCTTTCATTGTCACTACTGTCCACCACAAAAATGAGCCCTTGCGAGTTCTGAAAATAGTGTCTCCACAATTTACGAATCTGTTGCAAAAAACCGACATTTTTCGTTTTTAGATCAATAAAATAATCAAGACCCATAACATGTGTTTCATGCCTCGTAGAGAGGTAAAAGATAGACCTAAAAATGTAATAGACTTGACCATGACTCTGTTTTTGTCTATTAGTCCAAATCTATTTGAACTTTCATCCATTTTTCATAGAGATGAGTGCAAGATGAAATTTACCTTTTCTTGTCCTCCTATATCCCATACAGTGAAATTGATGCCTTTGTACTCTACTGTCTCGAGGTTGAACCCTGAAAACATCGTCAACAAAAAATAAAATAAAAACAAGAACGGATCAAATGGTTAACCTCGATGATCCATATGCAGTTACAATATCATCAAGAGAGGTTTTCAATACTAAGTATCAACTGAATCAATATCTTTGCTCTAGCTTCATAATCAATCATTCAATCCCTCACCAAGAAATGTTTTGAAAAAACTACAAAACAAAGAAGAAGAAAAGCTCATGTGACATACCAATAGTAGGAACTGTAGTGACAACTTCACCGAGCTTCAGCTTGTAGAGGATGGTGGTCTTCCCTGAACCATCAAGACCCACCATCAAAATCCTTACTTTATACTTGGGAAGAAACCTTTTCGCTATACGTGAAAATTTAGCTCCCATATTTAAAAGAAAAACCAAGGAATCTGAGATATAGTGAAAGAAACACAACTTCAGAAATTAGAACAAGATCTTAAGCTATAAGCTTGGCTTTATATGAGATCTATGAAGAATATATATTAAAACACCACATGAGAAAAAGGTAAATTCAGTGTTTGAAAATGCAGAACGTAAAGCAAAATCCCATTAGAAGGAATCAATTCCCAAAGGTGAATGAAGAAAAGAATGGTCTGCCTGTTGCAAACTCAAAAGCTCACCGTTTATATATATTGATTTCAGACACTGAAGAAGACTTGTCAGATTCTGTGTCCTGACTCATTCTAGAAAGCATATCAGAATCTTATTCCATGAGAGTACATCACCAGCACTATATGGAATATATGACAGGTACATCGGAAAGACAAAAACTGGTATAAGATTTGCATAGCTAAAGATGGTAAAATGGGTGATGACACGAAACAATACAACAATTAAATCAGATTTTTTCGGTCAAACTACATTAGTCCGAATTTCGACTGAATTATGAATATTTTATTAGTCAATCAAAACAGAACATAAATCATATATATGAATTGTGAACGATTTCATTTTACTGAAATAAACTTTTATAATGAAAAATAAGTAAGCAACAAAGCATGTCACATTACTAAAAAAAAAAAGGAAAGAAGAAGATAGTAATCAACAAATCCAAAAGACTCAAAGTAATCAGTTTTGCATTGCAACGAACTAATTGATGCTAATTCTCTACACAGCTAAAAAGACATTTTCTCTAGCACATGCACCACTTCCTTCATGGATGGTCGCTTTTGAGGCAAGGAAGCTACACAACCATAGCCTAACTTAAAGCATGCGACGGCCTCATCCTCACGGTGAGCCACATCAGCCCTAATCGTCCCATCGACCAGCCTCAAGAACCAACTTTTCTCATCGGAATCTCGAACCAAATCTCGATCGACCAAGAACACTCTGCCTGTGAGAAGTTCCAAGAGTATAACACCAAAGGAATAAACATCCCATTTTGGGTTTGGTTTCTTGCTTGTAGACCATTCAGGTGGATAATGTTGTGAGGAGCTTGACGTTGGCCCGTTAGTGAATAATTGGGCCGGAATCATTAGCCGGTCAAGGCCCATATCTGTAATTACTGGCTCAAACTCGATGTCTAAGAGAATGTTGTTCGGCTTGATGTTCCCATGCACTTGCTTCTTGTCGTGGATGTATGCAATTCCTCGAGCTATCCCTCTTGCTATCTTGAGCCGTGCCTCAAAAGAGAGTGGGTTCTGTGAAAATGTTGAAGACGAGCCTGCTTTTGCTGTATCCACATCAGACCAAATTAGTATGCTTTAAATAGAAACATGCTAACATGCGCCAATATATTGGTCGTATATTAGCAAGTATGTAGTAACATGCGCCGGTTATTTGAAACTTTACCGTAGACAGAGGAGCAATGTAAGCTTCCATTTGGGACGTAGTCGGAGATGAGAAGCTTCTCTTCGTTTCCCCAGACGAATCCACGAACCCTAACGAGATTCGGGTGTCGAAGTTTAGCGATGGCTTGAACCTCCCGTTCGAATTCCTTGAAATTCGCCGCCGTCGCCGTACAACTCTCCTCTCCGATCCGCCGCACTGCAAAAGCCGCTCTGTTTTCCAACACCGCTTTGTACACGATTCCGCTTCTGTTGGTCCCAATTACGTAAGCTGATGCCTTTAGTAGAGTATCGAGCTCAAGCCGAGTCTCTCCGTCGACGGTCACGAGCTGGGTTTGAGCGCCGTGTTTCACTCGCGCACGACCTGTTCGATCAAATGCCTCCATGGCTTTCTTGTCTTGAAGCTGGCTCTCGATATCGCTCTCGGAGATATTACCTTCCGATGACGCCGCCGACGTCGTCTCGTCGTACCTTAAGCAAGAGCTCCATCCCGTTTTCGCAGCTGGAGATTTCGTGGCCTCCGAGACGAATACGCTCTGTTTCTGCTGGTGAGTCGATTTCTTCGCGGTTAAAGTATCGTTTTTTTCGAGACAGTCTTTCAAGACTTTGAAAGTGCTGTATTGTTGGTAGCTTCTGCGTTTCTTGAGCTGGTATAGGTAGAGGATGAAGATGCCTATGATAGCTAAAGTAGCTATATTTGCAAGTGTGATTGCTACGATTGTGCTTGGCTTGAGTTTGCTTTTAGCTGTTTGGTTAGGTGATTGTGGTGAAGGGTTTGTTGTTGTAGATGAAGTTCTGGGCATGACTGCTATTGCCGGTGAAGTGGTTTCGGAGATATTTGGTGGGTCTGAGAGAGTAGAAGGGATTGAACAAGGGGTCGTTAATGGCTGACCACACAAGCCTGGATTGTTGGAGAAAGACTCTGTCTTTTGGTTAAGCATTGTTGGGGTACTTGGGATTGGTCCTGTGAGATTGTTGAAGGAGAGATCGAGAACGGCGGTTGTTGGAACCTTCTCGGCGAAAACTGGAGAAATCTCGCCGGAGATTCGATTGTGTGATAAGTTGAGGAATTGTAGACTTGTTCCTTGGAAATCCGGAGGTAGAGATCCGTCTAGAAGATTTGAGGAAAGATCAAGAACAGTCAGGTTCTTGAGAAATGAGAGATTTTGAGGGATTTTGCCGGTGAATGCGTTGGAGGAGAGGTTCAAAAGCTGGAGAGTAGTCACGTTGCTGATACGGCCAGGGAGTTGACCAGAAACGTTGTTGTTGCCAAGAGACAGAACACGAAGCTGAGTAGCGTTGGAGACTGAATCCGGCAGTGTCCCGTGGAAGAAATTGTTGGAGAGATCCAGGATTCTTAGGTTTGGGATTGAAAACAAGGTTGGAGAAACAGAGCCCAGAAGCTGTTTGTTTGGAAGAACCAAGCTTGTAACTCTGAACATGTCTGGTGTGTTTGGATTCCCAAGCTCTGTACAGATGACACCAGTCCAAGAACATGGTGTTTCATCGTCGTAGTTCCAGTTGCGGAGGACAGAGTGAGGGTCGCCGATGATTGAATATTTGAAGGAGAGCAAAGTAACACCATCGGTGTTAAGAGCTTGGAGTAGTGTAGGAAGAAGAAGAAGGAGAAGATGGAAGAGGAAATGATTCAAGAGGTTGCTTCTGTTGGAAGTCATGGCTTTTTGAGTTTTTTTGGGTTTATCTCTTTTCTCTTTTCTCTGAGTATGCTTATGAAAAATGCGTATTCATAGGATAAGATAGAGAGAGAGAGAGAGAAGGTGAACCACTGCAAGTAAGGATGATTGTTCTGTTCACCAGATTTATGAGATATTGGAGTAGAGCAAAAGATTTTGAGGTGCTTAGAGAGGGTGAGTGAGGTTGAGAGATAAAGAGAAGGGGTTGGTTTTTTATTGTATTTTGTTTTTGTCGTTATTGTTTCTCATTTAGTACTTTGTCTTTTGTCGAAGTTCGTAAAAATGTTCAAAATATCATGTTCTTTACCTTTTGTTCATATCGTTTGATTCTTTTTGTATCATCGATTATACTAAAATTTTGAATGTGTTCTTGTTCTTAAAGATGGGATTTAAATTTTTGAATGTTATGATTGAGACGATACAAGAATATTTTCCTATTTATATAGAGAGAGAAAACAAGAAATATTCTACATAGTATATACCGATATAGTGATATACATATGTATATACAGCAAACTTATGGGCCTTATGGGCCTGACTCATGGGCTATAAACATGTTTGATCAATCGTGCTTAAAGGCCGTTAGGTAGACGAAGAAGCCTTAAAGCACGAATTTCGCAACTTTCCTCTTTAACTAACTCAAGAGTAAAAATATGCTGTCACTACTCTCGTCGCCGGTGAGCTCCTCCGGCGTATCCGCGGTTGCTCTCCGGCCAGGTTTCCAGCATCGCATCTCAACTCGCCTCCTGCCATTGTTCAATCCACTCGTCTTGCCTCCGAGCCAGCTCATTTCGCCGAAGAGGAGAGCCACCACCATCTCTTCATTCCAATCGCCATCGTCTCCGTCTGTCTTCGGTTACCAAATCCGAGGATCTAAACCTAGTCTGACACCATCCACGGTAGCTTTTTACTCTCCGACGTCTCCTTCTTCAATTCCCGCCGATAATGAGGTCGACAAGGCGAAACTCGCTCAGGTTCTCTCTCCTTCTCCTTTGCATTTTCTTCGGCTCTCTCTTTGCTTTTCCAGCTCGATTCTTGATCTCCTTCTTGCTGAATTGAATGTAGAACGAGAAATGACGTATCTAATCGAAATGGTAATTATGGTAGTGATGAGAATTGAAACGATTCCGATGCAAATTTCTGCCATTTCTGTAGAAATTCACAGTTTCCACTGAATCAGTTTTTGAAATTGGATTACAATTTGGATCCAGGAGTTTTCAAAACTGAAATTCAAGGTTTTTAGTATGAACTATGAAGAATCTTTATCCAGTAATTGAGTCGTTTAAGAAAGCAGAAACTGTATCTCTTAGTAAAAAGGTTTGTATTGGTGGTGAAAGTGAGTTTTTGATTCAATGGTTTTGTTTCACAGGTTGCAAAGAGATTGGAGAAGACTTCAAGATACTTCAAGAGGCTAGGGAGTATCGGTTTCTGGGGTCAGCTTGTTTCAACCGTTGTAGCGGCTGTGATTCTATCCTTCTCCATCGTTGTAACTGGGGCACCTACTTCACCTGCTACTTTCTATGCAACCGCAAGCGGAATCGCCGCTGCGTTTGTCTCGGTTTTCTGGTCGTTTGGCTACATCCGGCTCTCAGAGAGGCTTCGTCGTACTGCTGGCGACCCTGCCAAGGTAAAAGTGTCTCGCTTGATCACTATCATAGGCTGGTCTTTGAAAGCTTTTGCTTTAGCAGTAGCTATTGTCGAACAATCTGAATCAAATTTGAAATCTTGAAGCTGTGTTGTATGATCAAGTCAGGTTCTTATCTATAGTTTCCTGTGGTGTCTGAGGTTTATAATTTGGTTTCAGGCACCGCCTCGTGCTGATGTTGTGAAAGGTTTGAGAAGTGGGATCATGGTGAATCTGCTTGGAATGGGAGCAGCGCTTCTCGGGATGCAAGCGACGGTTGGGTTTCTTGTCGCAAAGGCTTTAACGACCTCAGCTAATCCTTTTTACCAAGGAGTCTCTCAAGGATATAGTCCTGTTCTCGCTCTTGATGTCTTCCTTGTTCAGGTATTTGCAAACTCACAAGCTTTGATGACCATAATGTTGTTGTGTTCTTAATGTTGCACTGCTTGACCTTGAGAGCGGTTTTGTGTAGGCATCGGCGAACACTTTGCTTTCGCATTTTCTCGGACTTGTTTGCTCGTTGGAGCTTTTGAGGTCTGTGACAGTGCCGAATTCGGAATCTGGTGTAGTTCCTAAGGTTGCTTGAGTTTCTTGCCTTTTGTGGACTCACTTTCTTGTAATTCATAAACGTTGAAAAGCCTGAGGCATGTTATAATCGAGAACCTAACGTTGTGGAGTCATAACGTTGCTGAATTTACAAATGTGATTGATTTTATCTGATTCGTTATCAATCACGTATAATTTGCATAAAATAACTCAAAATCACAAATATTCCAAAAATGTTATGTATTTAGTAAATCTCTTGTCAACATCATATCACTTTGAAGCATCAACGTTGAACTTGAACCTAAAGCAAGCCTCACATTTCCTATTAGAGTCATCTACTGTTCTCGAAGTTACACATAGACATGGACTTGTTAATCCACAATTGTTCCCTATAAAGAGAAAATCAAATGAAAAAAAAGGTTGATTCCAGTGACAAAATCACATAACAGCTTTTGGAATAAGCTCTCTCAAGTGTCCTTGACTTTTCTATTTGTCTACACACATAGCTTCGCCATGTTGCACCTTCCCCCACTCAGTCATATTCTGTGTCTTTTACTGCATGTAACAAAAACAGATATTAGTATACAAGTGTGTGAAGCACTGAAATGCGAGGTTGTGATATGTTCAAAGAAACATCAAAGTGCTAATTGATAAAATGGTTAGAAGAAAAGGACCATATATGCTTGCCTATTGCATCTTCTTTGTCTTAATCGTAGGCTTAGCGATAATCTTCTGCAGTAATCTTTCGTCGATCTTCCTGTACTGTGTTTGAATGATCCGATGTGTTAAAGATAGCTTATCATCAATGTGATCTTGGTATCTCTCGTACAGAATGGGAATCAGCATACAAAGAACAACACCTGTCCATTCAAAGTCAATAATTTGAGTTGAGAAGTCTTTAGTTATCAATTATGAACAATGTAAAGGACAATGAACCAAAAGAAAACTACTCACCAAGATAGAGTATTGTGAGGAAGTTCAAGAAGCTTCCAACAAATGATACTGTCCACAACACAACACTAACCTGCAATAGCAAATGTTTCAACATCTCAATTTGAGTGCAAAATCTACTCTGCTACACTCTAAAAACGAAAGGAAAAAAATCACAAACTGACCTGAAAGAGTTGCTTGGCGTTTCTGCGCATGTATATTTCACGAGCAAGCGAGAGTAAGTTATTAATCAAGACTCGTAGAGCATCAGCCACCATAAGAACAGAAGCTTCAGTGATTTCAAAATTAGGAAGTTGTGGCATAGGCCTGATCAAGACCAAAACACAACGAAATTTCAAATCATTTCATATTTTAACAGGAATATTACAAAGCTTGAAGCTTTTCGATGACCAAATCTTATCTACAAAATGTGACATTTTTATCACTCCATATTCCAGAAACAAGCTAAACTTAAGATGATTGAGAGAGATTAGATTAACCTGTTGAAAAGAATAGCAGATTTAGCCCAGAGGAAGAGTATAACGACGAGAAGTAGCTGAGTGTTTACAACAAAGGGGACGAAACGATATCCACATTTCTCGAAGAGGAACCATGTCAACGTCGCTGATCCGAGCAGAAGAAACCCTCCCCGTCGATTCTTCCACAGAATCAAATCCGCCACTGCAAAAAAACCATAGTTTCCGATCAGAAGAAACGGGAAGAAAAAAAATTCAACGAGAGGTTGCGAAAATGATCGGAGATCTACAATGAAACAGTGATCGAATTTAGAATTCCGTATGATGAATGATAAAGATGAGATTTTTGACCTGAGCCACCACCGATAGATTGATGAAGATGAGATTTTTCCATGGCGAAAGTTGCAAAGAGTCTCTCTTTTTCAAAACTGTGTAGCTATTTGTTCTTCGCACATCGTTCGTTTTAGTGCAAAGTGCCTTTTGTTCTTTCCTTTTGATAAAGCCAATTAAATTACATATATTGAGTAGTTTAGTGAAATCTATGCAAAAACTTACACTTTACACTTTAAAATCTTTTCTGGTTTTAAGTTTTTAACTATGCTGTAAAGTGTAAACTTTTGTGTTCCTTCCATCTCCATTAGAACAAAAACAAAAACCCATCACTTCGCTAAGTACATACACAAATCGGTTAATCATGTTACATTCCTCCAATGTTGAAAACCAAAAAGGAAAAGAAAGTAACACATCTTGCAAAGAGAGAGTTTGTAGATTCATGTAAAACATTATCACTACTACTTCTCTTGATAAAACCTCGATTTATTGAATATGGGACGTGGACGAGCTTCTACAAGAGACTCTTCTTCGTTGCCTTTGGCGTCGTCGTCCTCAGATAACAATCCTTCTCTATTTTGCTTCTCTTGTTGTTCCTCGGTGTTTGGTTTACCCTTCTTCTCCTGCTTTTTCTGCTTCTTCTTCTGACGTTTCAAACGCTTCTTTGATGTTTTCTCCTCCGTGGCTTTCAGTTTCTCTTCCCTTCTTATAGTAAACTCCGCCATTTTTAACCGCTTGTTGTAGTCAATATCCATCCTTGTGAGCCTGTCTTGTTCCCTTCTCCTCATTTGCCGGTACTGTGTATAACAGAGAGCGATGCGTCAATATATCGCACAAATCAAGATGTCTAGTAGATATGCAAAGGATGTACACACAAACACAGGGCTAAACAGCAGAAAGCTCAGCCACAATCAATGAAATCAACACAAGAATCAGCACTTGTTAACTAGGGATCAAAAGACTAACTAAGCCGTAAGAACAAAAGTCTAAGCCTTGCTTGCTTTCAGTCACTGAAGAAGATTCGTGTTTTACTACTTGCAATGTTTAGAAACGCTCCCACTAATCAGCACCAACTAAGTACTACCTACATGAAGCCTCCCACAGAGAACTTATCTCATATCAAGCTCTATCACACTTTTAAGCTAGGCATGAAGAGATTGTGATCAGTCACAAAACTAAGGAAACAATGTCAGAAAACACAATTCCACTAAGAAAATTCAAATCCCAACAATGAACTTCATTGAGTTTGATTGGAGTAAAGCTTCAAAATCCCACCTAACTAAAGCCTAAGAACAAAAGTTTAAGCCTTTTTCGTAAACAAAACCAGCTGAATTTTTTTCAGTTAACGAAGAAGATTCATGATCTACTCTTTGCAATTTTTGATTACGGAAGTAATAAAAGATGATCCAGTACTAGAAATCAATCACATTCCTCCGATTTTCAGTGATGTGCTTAGTTTAATTTACCTGGTGGAAATCGCCGGAACCAGAACCAGCAGAACTTCCGGAGGTGTTGCTGACGCGAACGGGGACGTTCTCGAGGATTCGTCTGAGCTTTATCTCTAGATCTTCCTCGTCTTCAAGCATAACCGGCGGTTTATACTCCACGATAGACGAAGATCCTCCGTGATCAGCCTTCTTCGTCTCCATTAACGAAGACGCCGACCCCGTCGTTGCAGCAACCACCAATCTGGTGTCGCCTTGCTTAGAATTTCCGGTCGACATTTGTGCCTGCTCGTGATAAAAACCCTAATCCGGTCACAAATTGGGGATTTTTCCTTCCGATTCCGAGAGACTCGACTTCTCGTGAAGACGATAGATTTGATTTCAGGTCTCTAAATTATATCTGTAACGCTTTTTGGGCTTTGGGCTTGGTTTGTCTATTTTGGGCTGTGTTTATTTTGACTCACCTCCACATCTTTTGGGGGTTGGAAATATATTTTTGTTTTTGGGTGAGTTTTGCATATAATTTTATACTAGTGTTTATGTGTTTTCATTTCATCAATTGTAAAAATTTATTTGTTTTTTTATTATTCTTTTGCATTACAAAATAGAAAAGAGAATTTTAATAAGAAATTGATTAAGTTTTTAAGCTGTTGGGGTATCGGTTTCTTCTGCGAAACCATGGCATTTACATAGTCCATTATCGCATCGACAATCGACACAAGCCAGACAAGCAAGATTTGTTAAGCATTCTGATTGAGCTTTGCATTTGAATGAGATTGTGACTTCTTCTTTGGCCTCGACCACAGAGTTTGAAACTGCCAAAATCAAAGGAAAAAGAAAATTAAAATACGGTTTTTACTATAGCAGACAATGAGTAATTAAAATTCAGTTTGAGGTAAAAGAACTAAATACAAGTTGCGGTGAAGACAAGAGCGGCAAAGAACACTGCGATGGTGACACGAAGATTGTTCATATTGTTTTTCTGAGTTTTGGAATCGATTTTATTTGTGGGATTTGATAAGAACGGTATGAATGATTTTTATTTTGGTTTGTGGTGGAATGAAGGTAGACTACAATGATAAGTATAAATAGAGTACTCATGATAGTGGTCAAGAAAATTACTTCATTTCCTAAAATGTTTTACTTGGCTAATTTGTTTTCCATGAAGTTACTTCGTCAATTTGCATATTTGTTACTATGTTAAGGTTTTAAAAGAACTTATAGTTATTGAAAGCAGTTTGACCAATGACAAAAGAGCTACGTTGCATGGAAACTCTTCAAAGCAGTTTGACCAATGACCAATAAATAATATGGCAAGGTAAAAAGGGAATAATATTTCATTTTGTTTTACTTTTAGGAGGACATTTACGTTGAACAGACGAAATCTAACACATAATTCTGCATAATATTTTTTTTAAAACATGAAATTAAATAGTTTAAGTATCACACCTGAAAAAAACAAAAGATATTTAACCATTTTTGCTTTCAACCTGAACCAAATTGGCCTAAACCATATAAAGCTCAAGCTAGGGTTCTGTTGCTAGAAGGAGAACAAAGAAGAAGCCACAAAGAGCCAACAAGAGTCTCTCTCCAAAGCAAAAACAAACATAAACTGAAATAGATAGATAAATAACTAAAGTTTTCTGAAATCATAAGAAAAAAAGACCAAGTTCACTGTCTTTTATCAAAGTTTTATGAGAATGGTATGAAAAAGAAAAGATTGATTGCTGAAGACGGTCTGCGAGCCTAGAAAGTGGCCACCACCGCTTCAGTTTCTGCCACCATGACTTATCCCATAGCCATTGCCATTTCCACCTCCACGACTTCCACCACCGTCTCCCCTTCTTCCATTGCCACCACCGCCACCCCTTCTTCCGCCTCTAACGCTGCCCCTTCTCCCTCTGCCGCGGTTTTGGTTTCCTCCGCCTCTGCTGCCGTTCTCGTTGCCACCGCCATCACGGATCATGTTGATCAATAACTCTCTATCCATCTGGAAATGTTGCACCAGGTCAATGAAAGGCTCAGCCTCCTGTACGTTGGAATGGTTTAAGCCATTGTTATAGACCTGCTGGTCCAAACCGAATGTAGTTGACAAAGAATCTCCGATTCCTCCACCCAGTTGTTCTCCACCAGACTGGAACACATGACCACTTCCACCGCTTCCACCACCACCATCTCTATCGTTTCCTCCGCCTCCACCTCTCCCTCCTCCGCCTCTGCTGCCACTTCCGAAGCCATCGTCAACAAACACCATGCTGTATAACTCTCTATCCATTTGGAATTGTTGCGCCAGGTCAAACAAAGACTCAGCGTACCACACGTTAGATCGGTGGGAGCTACCGTTAATGAGAAAGTTCATCAAACCAATTATATTTGACCAAGAATCTGGTAGTAATGTTGTAGCTAGTTGTTCCCGTACGGTCATGGTCGAGAACACAGAACCACGCGACACAGGTGAAGATGTTGACGGATCCATCCTGTTAGGCTGCATTGTGCTGCGGTTTGGATAAGGCAGAGTCACTCTTGAGCTGTAAAAATAAAATTCACATAATTATTATTTGGTCTAAATGTTATGATATGATATTTTTCGTAGCCAGACTTTTCTTTTTCTTTTGTGAGAAAATTTGTAGCCAAACTATTCATTTGTATAAGAGAAGCAATTATACAAACACAGATTGTGATTAAAAATAGTAAAAAAGCAAGAAAAACATTACCTAAGATCATGATACAAAGTTGGATGGGCCAAATAGTGTCGGCCTCTAAACACCCCTGGCCCTGCGACACTCCAGAAAACTTGTTGAGTATATGGTATAGGTTCAGGTTCGGTGTAACGTGAGTCGGAACCTCGAGTGTCTCCGGCAGCAGCAGTAGGATATCGAGGAAGAGTGAAAGAATACTCTATGAAAAGACATTGTTCTGTGTTGTGACCAGAATTTGGACCCCTACAATGTTTTCAAAGAGAGGATGATATAAGTTCTTGTTTCACCAAAGTTTGTATAGAACATAAGAATATGAATGTGATTAAATGTGAATCTTACTCGTAATGATATAGCTCACGACTTAAATGTGCATAAGGGCACAACTCCATTCCCATATGCTACAAGATGAAATGATTCAAGCATTACTTTAGAAATGATCTAATAGACCAAGCGTTGGTTTTTCAGAAGAACTCATCGAATAACGTTAATGCAAAACTGAGAACAAATATTACCATGGCATTGAAGAATCCTGGATCTTCTCCTCCGGAGAACCAATCCTCATCCCTCCAATCAAAGTTTTGATGGTTGCAAGTTGAAAATCGCCATTGACCTGGTTCTATTCGCATACAGTTTGGGCACTGCATGGAGTTCCTTGCATTGAAAGCCGAACCAATACAATCTGTACACAAAGAGAAACATGTGAACACAAGATTGTTAAAATGCTTTCTATAAAATTACAGATACAATAGCGCATACGAAAAACCAAAAACAATTAAGCTTATGATACTAACACACATGTTTGCATGATCTATGATAGAAAATGAAGTTAAAAAAGGTACAATTAATTTTGGATGCAACCTATCTCACACTTATTTGCTAATATCCCATATCTATTAGGACAATTTTGATTTGACTAAAATATGGATATTATTGCCTGAACATCCAAAATGTTGAAAACAAACAAAAAATGCCAAAGGGTTTTCAGATTGTGATAAAATTTAACGAAAGATAAACATCCAATATTGCACAGAACAAAAGGTTTGAGTTAATGGATGCCTCGAACGGAAGTAAATTAAACAAAAAAATAAATCATGTACAAATCTATACAAAATATTTTGCAAACGAAGTAAAAAAGAGAGGAGTTTTTTTTACTGTTACTCAAAATCAACATGAGCAAATCAATGAAACGGATCATGGTTTCCTTTCTCAAATATAAAAAATTCATTAAAATTCATGTACTTTGAATGGATAGATATGGCCCAAAATATCACATCATAGATCACAAATCTTAATTATAAACATTCAACGTACGTACTTTTCACAACATGAGCAAATCTATGAATGGTGCTCACACACACAAAAAAAACAGAAGAAAAAACAAGAGAAATCTAAGAATTTTTTTCGCAAAACAAAGTAAAAAAGAGGGGTGTTTTTTTTTTTTACTATATTACCCAAAATCAACATGAGCAAATCAACGAAACAGAAAGATGTAGTTTCCATCCTCAAATTTGGTTTGATTAAAAAATTATATGTGCACAAAAGAAATAAACAAATTACCAATATGAAACTTGTGGTTACACATAAGTGTAACAACTGTTCGATCAGTGTTGACCAGCAGCGGCTCGAGACAAATCGTACACAAGTCTGAGTTATCGGGAGAATCGCAATTGCCATCACCAACTGCTTCAAGATTGAGGTCGAAAGCGAATTGCATGCGCTCATTAACATTGTTATTTCCTGAACTCATAGCTACAAATATTATATTATAAAAACCACAACCCAAATCTCGAAACCTTTTTATTTTCTTTTCTCGAAATCGAAATGAAAATGAAATTCCCAATCTCAGTTTTTTGTTTCTGCTATATCACCAAAACAAGTTTCAATTAGTATTGTATCTCTCACTTCCAGAACTCTTCGAACAAAGAAATAGAACCCAAACCTCAGAATTTTTTTAATTTACTCTCTAAGAGATGCATGAAACTCAGTAATGGACGAGTAGGATTTATATAGATGGATTGGTTTCTGTTAACATTAACTATCTTGCCATCCCTAAATTTACTTTACATATCTAAATAATCTCAATTAATAATTAGCATTTTACAAATTTTCTCCATTTATCTAACGACTATTGTTAGTTAATATTACCTAAAAAATATGAAATATTTCACTAAGTACAAGATCGTTAAAGTGTTTCGCGCCAATTTTGGCTAACGACTTTTGTTAGTTAATTTTATCTAAAAAATACGAAAATATGTCATTAAGTACCAGATCGTTAAAGTGTTTCGCTCCAATTTTATCTAACGACTATTGTTAGTTAATTCTATGTAAAAAATATGAATTATGTCACTAAGTATCAGCTCGTTAAAGTATTTCATGCCAAATTAATTTAATGACTATTTTGCTCCAATTAAATATTACTAAAAAATTTTGTAAAATTTTGTAAAAGTTTTCTGTAGTTTATCTTCTTAATTAATTAAACTTATAACTATTTTTATTTTTAAATTTCTGATTAACACTTTTTTCGACTTTTGTTGGGGTCTGATTTAGTAAATCTTTAAATGGAGTAAACTCAAAATATTAAATGCATTATGAGCTGGACACAAGGCAATAAAATAAGTTCAATATATATAGATTGTTTGTATTAATTTTATGTAATTGAAATTGCAAAACTAAAATCTTTTTAAAGGGAAAAAACAAAATATTGGAGATTTGTTTCCTATTAAGTATTAACTGAATTAAAGATACATATTATATATTAATTATATGCAAATTATATAATAAATCATTGAAGTCCTTGTAAATTAATTAAGTCATATTAATACATATAAGGGTATGTTTTGAATATTTCTCCAAATTTAGCCTTTCATAATAAATTATTTTTGTCTAGTTTTCTTTTTGAGATTTCTAACTATTATGACTTATTTTCAACTTATATTTTCTTATTTATTATAGCCAGCTCAAATGGAAAAATCTTAATATATTGTACATAATACATAATAATAAATTGTAAAGTGGCTTTACAATTTATTTATTTTAATTAATGTAATAATAATTACAAAATAAGTTTTGATTGTGAAATAGAGAAAGAAAAAAAAAGTAATTTCATTCAACTCCTTGTAGATTTTTGGAAGTGTAATGAATAACAACATTACAATCCTTGGATGCAACACCATATTTTCGAACTCGGAACCATTGCAAATGTTTTTTTTTTAACGTAGTTTAACAAATGATTGGAATAAGATAGAACTTTTGCCCAAAAAAACAAAAAAAATGTATCAAAACGCATTATTACCGCAACGGCAAAAGAGGCGTTTGGGTGCGTTTGTGGGTGGGACGCGATTAGCAAGCAATCCCTAAACCAGAAAATTAAACCAAAGAGAAACGCGAGAACCTGAGAGATCTTGATCAAACGATCTTCGTCCCCGTAGAAACCTCGAGGGAAGAAGACGAAGACGAAGAAGAACAGAAAGCATTTGGATCAGGAAAAAGGGAAGAGAAGATGTTGCCCACAACTTCCAGATCTCGCTCTTCATCTTCTTCATCCCGAGCTAACCCAATGTTCCTTCAGTATTTTCGTCGTATCGTCAAGGTTCTCTTTCTAAACGACATCTCGAAGTTTTTAATCGTCGATATGATCTCAGATTTCGGTCGATTGATTGTCCTATAATGCTGGGAAATTACATAGATTCGTCATTTCTTAGATCAAATAATTGCCAATTACCTCGGATTTAGCTGAATTGATTTTAGCTCCACAGTGGGGATCCTGTCACATTCTGGGTTTAGCAATTTCAGAATTCTGTAACATTTTGCTCTTATGAGTGATACTGATGTTGAATGTAGCCTCAATGTTTTTAAGCTTGGGAATTTGTAAAAACTGATGCGATTATAATTGCTCAAGGGAATAATTTTAGTCAAATTGTATATGTGGGTTATACACTATGATGCATATTACATATTTACATCATGTTCGAGTTTGAACATAGAGCCATGGAACTTTTTTGTGATCGTCTTTTGTTCATTGCAGTGGCAACAAATGGATGTTGAATATACTTTCTGGCAAATGCTTAACCTTTGCACATCTCCGAAAGTTGTGTAAGTCTTTGAAACTTTTCATTTTCTATCTTCAGGGACTTAACGTGAACAAGTTTTTTGTATATAAGAATGGTGATGAAAAGCGTAAAGCTGTTGCATTTGAACTGTAAGAAGTCATGCACGTGAAAATGGCAGAACTGGAAAAATTGACCAGGCTTTTACTAGAGAGATGATTAGGCTGGAATTTCCCGTTTAGCCATTTTAAGTTTCTAGGTGAATAGAGTATGAGATGGTTTCACTTCACCTTTGCAATTAGACATTGAAGAGAGTTCTAAAAAGGTTTATATGTTTGTTTGAGAAAATCAATAGGCTTAATCCAGAAAGTTAGGAAGTTTTTTAGTTAAGGTACTACATAATGAGTTAATCTCTAGTTCTAATTCTCGTACTTTTTGTATGTTTGCATGTGGGCTCTACGGCATCAGCTATCAACATACTAAGTATCACAAACGTAAGCTCAACTTTTATTTGACCATTTTGAATGAATGCCTAAAGTGCAGAGAAGCCTCCTCTGTGACTTTTTCTGCATTAGCTCCTCCTGGTCTTTATTTAATGCTAGTGCCTGTTAAGCATAACCTAAAGTTTGGTATGGCCTGTGAAAGTACATTTCCCCTAATTTCTCTTATTCTTTTGTTCTCTCAGAAACTAAGAACCAATGGGCACGTGATGACCCGGCCTTTATTGTGATCTGTAGTGTGCTTCTTGTTGTTGCAACTTTAGCCTACTGCGCCACGTAAGTGTTTTGTACATGTCCATTTTTAGAGTGTGAGAATTAAAACTATTTCCTTGGAAGACGATTTTTACTCTATTGAAATGAATCTATTGTCTCTGCTTCAGGTATGACCATAGTAGCTCTCATGCTATCGTCGTAGTCGTATCAGTTTTCCTCTCCCATTTCTTAATCGCTGGAGCAGTTATAGCTACGTTCTGTTGGTAAGTAGTTTCTACATTCTGCATAGCCATGGATATTTGTAGCTGCAAACTCTTACAAATCCCCTCTCCTGAACATTTCTAGTTTTGTGGAAATCCTTCTCTGTTTGTTTTCTTTCCTGTAATTTCACTGTCTCTCTGACTTGAGATATGGATTTCCAGGTTTTTGACAAACTCTTACCTTCGCGAGGAAGCTCCAAATAGTCATGTGGTGGAACAACGCGTTGAATGGCAAGTTTATGCTCTGAATCTTACCTTTTTCACCTCTTTTCTTTCGTTGTTCGTCGTTTATAGTATCCATAACGTAGCTATATCCGTCTGAGCTTATTCATGACTGCCTTTTATGTATTTCTCTGTAGGTTGTACACATTTGATGTTCACTGCAACTCCTTCTTTCCAATGTTTGTGCTACTCTACGGTAATTTCATCTTCAAACACATTACTCAATTATCTAACCAGGGATCTCTGTAAATAAGAGATTTATGACTTAGAGTTTCTTCTTGTGTTGCTGCAGTCGTACATTATTTCTTATCACCACTCCTCATTACGCACGGATTCATCCCTTTACTGCTATCGAATCTGCTTTTCATGGTCGGTGCTTCGTACTACCATTATCTTAACTTCTTAGGATATGACGGTAAGTCTCATAACTTCCGTTTTTATGCAATTGAACCGCTGTATAAGTAACTTTTTAAGCTAACAACAATGTTTGTTGTGAATCTCATACAGTGCTTCCATTTTTGGAACGAACAACATTCTTCCTCTACCCAATCGGGATCGTGATCGTCCTGTCACCTATTCGTAAGCTCATATCATTCACATTGCTTTCATAGATTCCTCTTCTTACATCATCTTAACGTTTGTTCTCCGTGTGTTGCAGTGATCTTAAGCGGATTCAACCCGTCAAGATATTTCATGAACATGTATTTCAGCCAAAGGTTATGAGTGGAATCGTAAGGGGCTTTGCACTGCACATACATCATCGAGTAAGGAACAGGAAGAAGAAGAGAGTATGATCATCGTAATGCTCTAGTTTCTGGTACAACTTAATAGAACCAGTTAACATTTTTCTAAAACTTTGATCCCATTTTGCAAGTGCTCTGTTAAAATGTAGTGTTTCTTTTTGGCATCTTCATATTGTTTTCCGATTCACGGTAGTTTATATGTTACATGTTTGAGATGGATTCTTGGTTTTGTCGAGTCCTAGACACAAACTCAAATTCTCTCTTCGAATCTGCAAGATTTTGTACTTGAGAGAAGGACCAATCTTGGCTTCTCTCACCCAAACTTCATAGTAGTTACACCATTATCCAAAGTAAAGAATGAAATCTCACTGAAAAAGAAATGTGCGCTGATGCAAACATTACCAATGGCCTCGTTTGAGCAGAATAGAGACATTATTGTTGTGAGAAAGCGTTCGAGCCATCCGAAGCAGCTCTTCAAACAAATTTGCATCGTCAGAGTAGCATCGTTTATCTAGAAGTACAACCACCGTCTCTAACGTCTTTGCGTTTCTCAGCACCAATGTTATGAACGAAGCCAAGAGGTCAGGCGTTACACTCTGCAAATCTAAAGTCGATTTGATCTCTGGTGTGGTAGGAAATGCCTTATCTCTCGAACTCCAACATTGATCCGGATCCAAGCCTAGTAAATTCATGTAGCTGTTGAAATTCTTATCCTGTAGAACATAAAAATTTACCCCACAAGCATATAAAAAAAAAACTTATTTCCAATATTTTCTTTGCTACGATTCTACAAAATATTAATCCATATATATATGTAGCCCAGAAAACTGAAAGACGTGTTGGAATGTTCTTACTAACTTATTATTAGTTTGCATAATCCTATTATATATACAAGAAAATAAATAGGGATTTTTGGTAAAGACATATATACCGGTATGTTGAAGCTGTGTGTTGCATGTAGAATTAGCTTCTTTAATCCAGGTGAGTTCTGTAGTAACCTTGCTATACCAGGAACAACAGATCGGACAAGTATTGTTGTAACAATCAAAATTTGGACCTTGAGCGTTGAGAAATGAACACCAAGGAACTCGGCGAGTGAGAGAATCTAACAAATTGAAAAAAAAAAATCAGTGAAAAATATAAGCAAGTTGCATGTTTCCAAGGGTTAATTAATTATACAAGTGGTTATATATATATATATATATATATATATGCAATGAAGCGGTATTTAATGTAAAGAAAAGTTTTAGCACTTAAAGAATGCAAGATTAGAAATTACATACCTGAAGAAGGCTTCTGCTAAGAGTAATTCTCTCTACGTTTTGCAACTTTGGTAGCATCTTGAGCACCATGGTTTGAACAAAATCAGCGTCAAAAGAGCCGTAAGTGCAAATGTCAATGTCAGCTTCGGTCAAAGATGAGACATTCGCTAAAGTACATGGTTGACTAGAGTTTATCAATTTCAAATAACGGATGTGTGGCGCTATAATCTCGACTGGTCCACGATTCTGATACCTGAGACTGCCAAATATTTCCAATGTTTTCAGAATCGGTGACTTAGTCAGGTCAAGTCGGCGAAGTGAATCACAGTCATACAATCTCAAGGTTTCGAGCTTTGGACTACCAGAGAGAATATTTGCAATGGATTTATCTCCAAATTTACAACTAATCAATGACAATTTCCTTAGGGATTTCCAAGACACTGTGCATCTGGGAATTATATCGTTAGAGGTCACCTTGAGTTGCTCTAGAGAGGAACTAATGTAGAAGTAATCTTGGAAGCTAATGTAGCATTCATCTGGGAGACTAATACCGAAGGTCAGAGACAGCTTCTGTACATTGCGGGACATAGCGAACGCGATCCAGCTTTCAATTTGGGGTGCAGTGTGATCGACCCATATATGAAGATTGAAACTCATGATTGTGGGAGCCCTGTAGGATGTTAGGGTTTGGTTTATCGCTTGAGACCTAAAATTATTGATGTAGAGACAAGGTGTCTCGCACCATACATGCCTCCAGCGTTTGGACAAGACGGAAGTTGTGATGGCGAGATCGGTGGGAATAGAGGTGAGAATATGGTGGAGGATCTCATCTGGCATAGAGCTGATGAAATCTCCATCTTCAATAGAAACAATTGCTTGTTTGATTTGACGGTGGCTAGGGTTTTCTACAACGTCGTCTGCGGCGTGGTCTCGGTCTCGCCTCTCATCAGCCATGCTCTGATTTGCGAATGTTTTAGGGTTTCCTTTTGTTTGCATAACACGTCACAGAATTGGATATCTTAGGGAAATTTTAACTCACATGTTTATACAAAAAGTAGAAAAAGTAGAAAAAAAGAAAAGGTTCCCCAAAATTCATATGTAATATATACTGTATATATAATATAAAAAAGAATGTATATTGACTCGAATTCGTATCGAAATATTTGTAAATGAATAGTCTTATTTATAAAAAAAAAGGTAAGTCGAGCCTCACAATAGCACGTTTTCGTACATGCCTGAGCTGGAAGACTGTCGCCATTATGATCAGCTGGAAGTCCAGTTGGATTAACGGTACAAAGTATAAACCGACAAAGCAATTGTCACAGAAAAGCACTAACCAGAACCAGAAAATCTAATTGAGATCGAACCGATTTTTTCATCGCACTCTAAAAAATAACTGCGAACGGAAGTCCCTTCAAAACAAATTATTCACAAGACAAATTCAAACAGAAATCGAGATACAATCGAAGTAGACAATTCTATATTCAGTCACGATTTGGTTCATGTTTCTATCAAAAGATTCAAAACCAAAACAAACCGGTTGCCCACCTTGGCTGAATCGTTTGAAACTCTTTTTAAGCATGTGCGTTGAAGTTGATATAATTTTAATAAATAATTTCCATTTATCACATAAAACACTAAAATATAGACGTTTGTTTTGTTTGTTTGTTTATGGAGGTACAGATCTTCGTATTAAACTGACTCCGTTGCTATACAATATCGGATATGAGCCATCACCAACACAAAGACTTAATATCGTCCACATACCACCGTTTGTTATTGTTGAAGAAGTCAAAAATCTGCTCCATGATGGAGAGTTCGAGAGCTTAACAAATTCATTCATGGGACCTCTAATCAAGTTCAGTAGTACCAGAAACTTGTTCTTAGCAAATATCGTATATAGCATCTTTGCCAAACAGATTATGACGGAGAAAAACAATGAGATCTGGATTTTTTTGCGGCCAACCTATTTGAGAATTTTATATGGTTACGGAATTGAAGTGTAGCGGGAAATTGATGCGACAGAGAAGAACAAGGAAGCTTTCCGCTATCAAGGATAGGGCAGACACAGCTGATGAAAGGTTCGCCATTACGATAAGCAATTGCCATAAGAAAACAATGATATGCGTGCGCAGAATGTGCACACTAATCTAAATTGAAACCATAACAAATGTGAACATGAATTTCACATAAATCAGTTCCCAAATAGCAATTTCAAAGAATGAATGTTCCAAGTGTGAGTCTTTGCTGTTGAAATCAATTTTCAAAGCTAACTGAAAATTACATGAAATGCTTTCATTTGATTTGTTTATTTTAGACTAAAGTAATCATATAATTCATGATTCATGAAAATCTTCATAAGCTTACTTAGAGACCTTCCTAATACGATTTTACAAGTGAGAAAATCATAGTACTTTATGTAAATATAAATTAGAATGTTTAATCAATCGATCAATTTATTGGGCCTAACGAAGCCATATGGGCCTAATGACCTATGCTGGCCTTATTAGATAAACCGTATATTATCAAAAGACAATAGATTTTTCAGTTTCTTTTTAATTCTTTCCTTTTGTGTTATCTATTCGCTCCTTCAATTTCCTCAGATTTCTCATTTTCTCTTAAAAACGTGCTAATGCGCATTTAATCATTCTACAAACAAAACAAAAAAGCAAGCTATAGCCTATAGGTCCTATAAACCAATTACCTAACAAGTGTATAAAACAGTTCAGACATGATTAGAAATTTGATAGTTTTTTTGCTAAGAATGTAAATATCATTAAAAATGAAATGTTTAGGTTTTACATATTGGAAATCAAAATGTTTCACCTATCTTAAACGGTTCCATGGCAAAAAAAGGTAAAAAAAGGTAGAAATTTGATAGTTACATATGAAACAGAGGAAGTGTTTGTTTTTGTTTCTGTTAAGACTTTGTCATATTGATGATTATACGTAACCATTTGTACTATCTCATGAAGAGAAAACGGTGCTGTGGCTCCGACCAATCCACATCATTGTTAAGGAAGATATTACCATCACGTCTCTACTTTAACTACGATGTAGATTGGTCGGTGCCACATCAATTGAATTGTCAATAATTTGAAGTCAGCTCCTACATTGTTTAATTTTTGGGACTATTCCAAAATTCTTAACTAGTTTATTTTTACCTTTTCTTAAATTTTATTTGTTTGTAATCACACAGATTTTCTGTTACAATTTATTTTACAATTTTGCTAAAACGTCGTCATTTACTGTTATACTAACCACATTAAGCTAGCTATTTGTTACAATGACATGGGTTCTAGAGAACACCAAAAGCTTCTTTGATGGCGTGTACAACACGGGAGGAGACTTCTTCACCAAACATTCTCGGAAACTTCAACTCCAAATCATCTTCTACGTTCTTTCTTCTGAAGCTTTTATCTCTTCTCTCCAACTCCTTTTCTCTTCTTCTCCCACCACTCTCTTCTCATCTTCTTCCCTCGCGCAACGCTCCAACCAAACCCTGAGAACATCCTTAGCAGCTGGACTCACATGATCTCTCATGATTTCCTCCAAACTCTCCTCTTCTTCCACATCGATTATAAGAGCAGAAACAGCAGGGGAGAAACCAGAGCGGACAAAGAGAGAAGGCGAAACATAAGGTTTGATTCCAGGAACCTTGAGGAGAGATTGTCGATGAGAGTCAAGAGCAGTGTCTTGATAGAATTCCTTGATATAGTCCGGATGAAGAACAAGGTCTTTGCGAGGTAGGAGGTCGAGGATGAGAACGAGCGACGTGGGACTGCTCTGTATGACTTCGAATGTAAAGTTTGGAGCTCTTGTTGAGGAGTTTAAGAATGTAGAGATGTTGTTATGTTGAGAGAAACACATGTTGGAATCTTGCAGTGTATCCAACTTCCAATAACAAAATCAATCTGAAAGAAAAGAATTTTCAGTTTGAATAAACCATCACTAGATTCAGTTTCAGCTGAGAGAAATGCGTACCGGAGAGGATTTCTCGCCGGGTCTGATATGAAGAGATGCTTCGGCGGAACCGTTAGGGCTTTTGAAGTTCCGTACATCCGGCGGGAGGCTACAAGGTTGGAGTAGCGACTGGAGGTTATCCTCAACCATCGACACTAGCTCAACCATTAGCTGCCTGCGCGTGTCTGACAAGTACGGGAACTCCATGAACTTCAGCCGGAGAAGCTCGTCGTGATCCTCCATCGACTGGAACTGAGCTCGAGCAATGAGTTTCTTTGGGAATCGCGACGGCTTTGTTTGAGTCAAAGTTAACGGAGAGAGAAGTGGAGAGGGAGAGAAGAAAGTGTTGCAAAATATCATCGACATCTTGTATGTAGCTATGAGTAAATTTGAGTTTTCTTTGTACTAATATACACACTCTTGAAATTATTTTCGAATTAGTGGTCCTGTTTAATAAGTGATTACGAGCCTTGACACGACTTTAGCACGATTTGGGCCTAACTCGTTTAAATGTAACGTACTGTTTATTGGTGCATGTATTGAAAAGTTTCCAGAAACATGTGGTTGAGATTACAAACGTACGTCGTTTCAATCTTTAATTCTTTATGAAAGCAAAACGATATTGATGATTGCATTTACCTATTCGCAATAGTACAAATGGTTACATCATTATACAACCCTACATCTTTACTTTATTTTACCAAATTAGTTTGAAAATTATATGTTTTCACTTACCGGTCATGTCACTATCTGCTTCTTTGATCATATTTTCTATATCATTATCAGTGCAATTTTCTCCTAAATACTTTGCAGTTGTCATGCGGTGGAATCTTCCCCTACAATATTCAGAAATTTGACTAGTCAAACTTCAAGAAATTTGCCAGTTTCTGTTAGTTGTGCTACAAGTTTGGTTCAAATCGAGCAAGCTAGAAGTAACAAAAGAAAAAGAAGTGACTAAATAAGCTTCTTGTTTATTTTGGGTTTTTACTTTTCTGCTCCGAGCTATAAGCTGTGTTTTCTAAATTTATCTTGGATATGTTGGTTTTTTGTGTGTATTTTTCTTAATTTATCTCCCTCATGTTCTTTGAATAATTCTTAATTCGAACTGATATTTCATGTGGTATATTCAGATGTGATAAACATAGTTTTTTTTATTTAATTACAAATTACTTTTTTTTTTTTTTTTAAATTCCAATTTCCTAAAATAACTTTATCTAACAAACAAACCCAATTGTGTGAATTTCGGCGCCATATCAGGAGCAACCCATATTATTTTAATTAGAAACGCCTTCTGCAAACAAAAGGCAAAACCCTAAAACAATCGCAAATCATCATAGTTATTATTCATGGCGGATGAGAGACGAGAGAGAGACGGCGCCACCAACAACACTGTAAAAAACCCTAACGACCGCAAAATCAAAGGAGTAGACAATTCTATTGAAGATGGAGATTTCATTAGCTCTATGCCAGATGAGATCCTCCACCATATTCTCACCTCTATTCCCACCGATCTCGCCATCAGAACTTCCGTCTTGTCCAAACGATGGAGACACGTTTGGTGCGAGACACCTTGTCTCTACATCAATGATTTTAGGTCTCAAGCGATAAACCAAACCCTAAATTCCTACAGGGCTCCCACAATCATGAGTTTCGATCTTCGTATGAGACTTGATCACACTGCACCCCAGATTGATAGCTGGATCTCGTTCGCTATGTCCCGAAATGTGCAGAAGCTGTCTGTGAACTTCGGTATTCGTAATGAGACTTATAATTTCCAAGATTTCTTCTATCTTAGTTCCTCTCTAGAGCAACTCAACGTGAGCTTTAACGATATGGTTCCCGGATGCACAGTGTCTTGGAAATCCCTAAAGAACTTGTCATTGAGTTTTTGTAAACTTGGAGATGAATCCATTGCAAAGATTCTCTCTGGCAGTCCAAAGCTTGAAAGCTTGAGATTGTATTTTTGTGATTCAGTTCATCGTCTTGACCTGACAAAGTCACTGAGTCTGAAAACATTGGAAATAGTTCGCAGTGGAAGTGGAAATGATTCTAGACAAGTCGAGATTATAGCGCCACACATCCAATATTTGAGATTGAAAAACTCTTATCCACCATGTACTTTGGTGAATGTCTCCTCTTTGACCGAAGCTGACCTTGACAGCTGCAGTAACATCATGTACATGTACAGGTACTTTTCTTCGAGGGCTGAATTTGTTCAAACTGTGGTGCTCAAGATGCTAGAAAATTTGGAGAACGTAGAGAAACTTACTCTTAGGAGAAGCGTTCTTCAGGTATGTTTTCTAATCTTGCATTCTCTAAGAGCATCTCCATTGTGTGTCTTTCACCCAAAATCTCTAGGGCTAAAACTTTATACGCCATGAAATAATGTTGAACGGTCAATGTTTCTTTAATGGTTAAGGTTTCATTGTTTAAGAGCGTTTAAAGCCAAAGTGCATATACTTTTCTTTTTATATAATTTGATGGTTAAACTTTACTTATCATTGTTTAAGCGCATGAAGTTGCTATATAATTCTTGTTATGCTTTCTTTTCTTTTTCTTTTTTAAAGATTTAATTATACTATATTAGTCGTTGTCTTGTCTTTAATATTTTTTTTCTCAATTGATTTGTTAGATTCTTTCTCTCGCCGAGGTATGTGGTGTTCCTTTCCCAACGCTCAAGGTCCAAACTTTGATTGTTAAAACAATGCTTGTCCGATCTGTTATGCATGGTATAGCAAGGTTACTACAGAATTCACCTGGATTAAAGAAGCTAATTGTACATGCAACGAACAGCGACATCATACCGGTATGCTTACGTGAAACCCCTTTTATTTTCTTGTATATAATAGGATAATGCAAAGAAACTGTGGAAATAAGTTTCTGTAAATTTTTCTTTGGGATAAATTTCGACAGGATATGCATCTTGACCACTATATGAATTCACAAGGCATATATCTGTATAAATGTTGGAGATCAGAATATAAGATCTTCCCTAGAGACGGGCATTTTCATCATGTAACGCCGGAACTCTTGGCTTCGTTGGTAAAATTGGTGCTGAGAAACGCAAAGCCACTAGAGACGGTGGTTGTACGGCTCTTCAAACCATGTTCCTCCCAAGATGCAAAATTGTTTGAAGAGCTGACTGGGATGGCTCGAACACTTTCTCACAACAATAATGTCTCTATTGTGATCAAACGAAGCAGTGACTAAATGTTTGCATCAGCGTTTGTCTACGAATTTTTTGAGTGTAACATTTAATATTTTGGTATCACTCAATTGAATTTACAATCACATATGTTTTGTGAACAATAAATTATATGTGCAAAGAAAAACAATCTATTAAGTAGCATTCACCAACTACTAGACTTTCTTCTCAATGCACTGAAAAATTGAATCATGTGCTTATATACATCTTCTGTGGCACTTGTGCTAAGCACAAAATCAATGTGACCATAGTTCTCAAGATATAGCAACTCTGGTCTTGAAGGTAGTTTCGCTAGCGTGCGTTCCACATCTGTCACATCTGCTAAACCATCATTGCCACCGTAACCCATCCACATCGGTAAAGATTCCGGGATGAGGCTGAGATCGAACTCCGGAGGCTTCGAAAACCCGTAAATCCTTAGGTTTTTCAGCAATCCGTAGTCATATTGTGCAAAGCTCCCCTTCCGAATCACTTGAACACAGAGAGTGTGGATTAGTACGTAAACTAGGCCGTAGAAGACAGAACACACAGAGAAACTATGAAAATGAAGGAAGTTAAATCAAGAACCAAATGAGTAGAGAGAGATCTTACTTTGGAAAAGATGGCGAATGTTCTTGACAGACGACGGGTGAGGCTCGTAATCTAGATAGAATTCGATCCTCGAGGCATTGAAACAACAATTCTTCCCTAACATTCGTTGACACCATTCAAAGAATGATTAGCTAAAACAAGATTTGGATACTTTCTTTCTTTTGTTCTGCATCATACTACTCTGAAAGTCTTTGGTCTCTAACAAGAATACTAAATGCTCAAGCTTGAGAAGCATGAGACTAAGCCTTATCGTTTTGCTTTAGAATGAAGCAGCAATGGTTCCTTCTAGAGACTTTGTTCTATGTGATTCTCTGTTTCTTTACTCACAAGCATAGTTATCAGACCAATACACAGAAGATCATATCTTGTCAACAGATCACTACATGGAGATTAGAGGAAGAGAAAAAAAAAACCTGTAATGGATGTGAGGAAATCAGTGCAATCCATATGCCCTTCGCATAACGAGTCAACAATATTAACCAACATATCACTGAAAACAGAACAAATCTACCAAATGTTAGTAAAGAGAAGTCACATTACATCAACACACACAAAAAACTAGATGAGACAGAAGAAGTCACAACCTTCTAAAGTTTATTTGATGAAGACCAAGAGCAACAACCATCTGTAAAACAAGACCAAAATGTGTTAACTTCATCTCTCTCAAATCGCTTTTTACGATATTCAAGAGCTAAGCCAAGAGTACCTACCTGATCAAGATGCATAAAAACCATTCTTTCTACAAGTGGAGCTGTGACATGACCCAAATACGATATTGGACAAAGCAACGCAGCTGCTTCAACCATTTCCGCAACATTTGGCTGAGTAAGAGCAGCGAAAGACATGATAGTCCCCTGTCGAAAAACTCAAAAAGAAGTTAGCTTTACTAAAAAAATCACAGAAAGGCGAAACCTTTTTAATCAGAAGAATGATAATTACCTGAGAATGCCCAACAAGAAAAATCTTGGAGTTTGCAATTGAGTACAGATACTGAATCATTTCTGCGAGATCATACATAGCCAAATCTTGCCAACTCCAGTCCCAATATTCCTGCATATAAAAAATCATTCCTTTTCTTTAGCATTTTCTTAAAACTATTCAATCTAACATCAAAGAAGTGAAAAAGCAGAGGAATTTGGAGCTTAAAGAAGAATATAACTCACAAGAAGTCCTTACAAACCTTATCAGTGTCAGATAGTGTAACATGTCCATAACTATAACGAGTGCCACGAACATTTCCTACCCAAACATCAAACCCCTGATCAGCAAGAACGAATCCTAATGACTCTTCAGGGGAATTCAAGAACCATGCATCTCCAGCCTAGTAACAAAACCCACCAAAAAAAGGAGAAGACTTTAGCTTGAAATTTAACGAATTTACTTAGAAAAAATGATGTTAAGAAGACATTAAACAAGATTACCATAAACAGGCCGTGTTGAAGCAGAACAGGTGGACCATATTGAAGTTTTGGATTTTGAGCAAGAGAAGAAGATACACGTTGAAGAGCTAGTATGTAACCATCTTTCGTTTGAATCTATGAAACAAATAAATTGAAAGATGAATTAAGCATTGAGTCGTATAAATTAGTGATCTTCTGAGACTAATTGAATGGAAGAGATGAGAGTACAGTGTGTTCTGTGCAGGAGTAACCAGCCGGATGAATGAGCTCAGCGCAGAGAGAATTGATCGGAGATCCACGGAGGAGATGGGATTGTGTTCCGCCGGAAAATATCGTGAAAGTGGCTATCACGGCGACGAGTAACAACCTCATCGTCGCCGGAGACTGTGTTTTCCTTATCTCGGATTAGAATGACCCTTTTGTCCTTGTCTTTGTGAATTGGATATTTTGGTGTTTTGGTCAACAAATTCCAATCTTATCTTCAATTGGAGGACTTTACGTTACTATTTTTTCTGTTTTTTAATATTTTCCTTAATATTTATAGCTTAATTGACAATTACAAGAAAGTGTTTCTATTCGACCACGCTCAAGCACACCTAAGCTTATGGAAGATTAATTCAGAAGTTTTTTTTTATATACTGAATTTATTCAAGATACAAAGTTGAGTTGATATTTTGTATATTGAAAAATGTGATTCTTTTTACTAAAATTGACTTGAGTTGTGATGCCAAAGATAAGGTCTCCAACATTAGAAGAAAACGATCATAAAACTAGAAGATTTTAGTCACGAGACTCACAACAGGAAATTCAGACAAGGAAAGTGGAATTTACAGCATCATTTGAAGCCCCACTATTTGTCTAAATGGGGAATTTCTTTCCCTTGGGTCAACAAATGAAAATCTTATCTTCCAGTGGAGTACAAGAAAGTGTGTTTTTGTCAACAAATGAAAATGCTCTTTTTGTCTTCACAACATAGTTAATGGACGTTTACAAGAAAATGATTTTATTCGACCACGTTCATTGATCAAAGACTGACCTAAACTTCTAATCAACTCCTACCATCTCTGACTAAATTCACTATTATTATTTCCTAAAATATAACTCGTTATCTTGTTACATCATTATTGAAATACATGTAACTTGGAAACGCAATGACCAGTTCCACGACAATTGTAATGTGGTAATTTTCATTTTTAATTAATAGTAAAAAAAATCACGGTGGTTCTATTATATACACCATACTAAAAATCTTCGATAAACTTTAGTCCAGTAATCTGCATGCAACGATTCACAATATCTGAAAATCGAACTCTAAACATGGTGTGAGAAAATAGAACTATATACTCTTGTTCAACCACTAGACCGAATGAGATTCCACAATATTGATTAAACTTATAATATCAATTTTAGCAAGAACTCTAACATAATACAATTACATGTAACTTTGAAACAGTATAATCTGTTTTTCCAATTGAAACTTACAAATTCATAAAAGAGATTACAAATTATTGCATAGGCAATATTTCATTATTCAGCTTTTTAAACGTCTTGTTTTATTTTGAACACCACACTGTTTATATTCATCGACCATACTTGGCAATATTTCATTATTTGTTTTTCGAACGTCTTGTTTTATTTTTGAACACCATATATTTTATATTTATTGACCATATTTAGCCTTGTACTCTCTCCATAGCTGATTCACATCTTTCCCAAGCAAATCAACGAAGAAACCATCACTATATCCACTTCTCATCTTCTTGTTCAGCTCCGCAACGAACCCATTCCTTAAATCGTTACAGTAATCCAAGAACCTCGCAGTAACGTCATAACCCTGATCCCACCTATCACCACGACCGGGTCCTACCCAATGACCCGGTGCATAACCCGCTTTCAACCTCACGTAGTCCGCTATACCTTCGACAAGCCCGCCTGGAGCCCGGCCCGCACCGTTCCACTGCCAAGAATGGACCACCTCGTGATAAACAACGCCGGTAAATTCTCTCTTTACATCTACTGAGATACTAGCGAGATGCCCCACGTTGAAGTGTATCTCACTTCCCGAGTTCGAGTTGTACGCCACACCGTTAGTGTTCTCCATGAACAATGTGATCTTTGTAACGGATCGTCTGTCCGAAGGGTTGTTGGTTTGCTGGAACAAACGCCACGTGAAGTCCGTCGCAGCTCCCAGTGTCTGTGTGGCGTAGCTAGCTCCGCCGACTTCTCCCCGGAATCTTCTTCCGCCCGCGGAGTCGCCGGTGTTGTCCACAACCGCGTAATCGACGGCGTTGACAAGCGAGACCGCGAGCATTAGAGAGATTACAAGGAAGATTTTGCGACACGTCATGTTTTTGTTTGTTTGTTTGTTTTTGTTCTTGCTTGTGTTTTTTGGACAATGATCTGTTTGATTTAGATGGAGGTCTTTTATAGGGAGAGTTAATGGATTAATTTATGAAAATGGAAAGAAGAAAAGTATTCGAGAATTTTGGTCAAGCGAAGACTTATTCTTTGGTAGTGTTCCACAATCTTTAGTTTTGTACATTTACGACTTGGTAGCTTTAAATATTAGGGGGAATCACAAAACTTAAATATATGAATGACGGGAATAGTAATCTATATAACTTTTTAACTATTGAAATGTTGTTTAGGAAGAAACTGAAGTCATTGCCTGAAAAGAAAAACTGGAAAAACATCGATGTGTAACTAACTTTTAATACTTTTCTGATATTAGAGTCCACGAGAATTCGACTGTAACTGTAGATTCTTATGTTTTTTAGTTAGTTCATTCATTGTAACCTTGTATATGGTAATTAGTAGGTCATGTGTCACTTTTAACTTTAGTTGTATATTGGTAACAGTTGCAACACCAGTTGTTAAGTTTTATGGGTTTCTAATTCAAAATTAATTAGCAATGATTCGGCTGACCAATAGGCTTTATATACCGTTTAAGATATTTGCTCACTTGCTATATGATGTAAAATATTATTCCCAATGTGCCCCTTTTCAGCTGATGATTTTTCTGGTTATTTATTCCAGAATTATTTAGCATGGATCAGCATGACCAGTTTTGAGTAGGGCTTATTTCCATGTAACTACTTTTGGGTTGGATATATTTTGGATTACGTTGGGTATTGACCTATTATTTATAGTCCCTTCTTTATATACACTTCAGGTCAGTGTCCACTTCCGATGTAAAACATGATTTTCAATGATCAAGATTATTTGTTTTTGGTTGTTGTAGTGAAAATCATATTTTGGAGATAGCTCTAGTCCGTGTATGTCTCGAGTGGGTTGCTGAGTGGTTTCGAAACCACTACAGCACTACTCACTTACCTGAAAAGTTACTCAGGGGTGACCAAAATGCGGTTCCGGTCGTTTATATACCCACTTTTCTCCAAAAACCAAATATCTATCAATTTAAGAGTTATGATCAGAGAAGAATCACAATTACAGATTTGCCTAAACCAACATTAACCGAACTCACAATAACTCATAATAACAATTTTTTTTAAGAGCTCATTAAATAATGCAACAAATACAGCAATATGTATGTATATATGTTTCCCAATTGAAGCTTACAAAACCAAAAGAGGTTACAAATTATTGCAAAGGCTGTTTCATTATGATTTTTTTGTCTCCAGTCTTATTTTATTTTGAACACACCCATATTATTTTATTTTATACGTACGTATTCATTGGCCATAATTGGCCTTGTACTCTCTCCAGAGCTGATTAACGTCTTTCCCAAGCAACTCAACGAAGAAACGCTCACTATATCCACTTCTCATCTTCTTGTTCAGCTCCGCAACGAACCCACTCCTAAAATCGCTACAGTAGTCCAAGAACCTCATTGTGACGTCATAACCCTGGTCCCACCTATCACCACGACCAGGCGCCACCCAGTAACTCGGGACGTAACCTGCCTTCAGCCTCACGTAATCTGCAATCCCTTCGATGAGCCCACGCGGAGCCTGGCCCGCACCATCCCACTGCAAAGAATGGACCACCTCGTGATAAACTACGCCGGTAAACTCCCTCCTTACATCTCCCGAGACACCGGCGAGGTATCCGGCGTTGAAACGTATCCTGTCTCCCGAGCTGGCCGCCACACCGTTTCCATTCTCCATCACCATTGAGATCATTGGAGGGTTCCTTCTGTCCGAAGGGCTGTTGGTTTGTTGGAACACACGCCACGTGAAGTCCGTCGCAGCCCTCAGTGACTGTGTGGCGTAGCCTATGCCGCCGATCTCGTTCCTGAATCTCCTTCCCCCCGCGGAGTCTCCGGTGTTGTCAACGACTGAGAATTCAACTGCGTTTACCAATGAGACCGCGAGTATGAGAGAGATTACAAGAAAGATTTTGTGACACGTCATTTTTTTTTAGTTTTTGCTATTTGTTTTTATCTTCTTTTTTTGTGTGTGTGGCTTGGGTTTTGAGACAATGGTTCTATGTAGATTTAGTAATGGCTTTATATAGAGAAAAGATATCGCGTCTTTGGTCAATCAAAGACCTTTTCTTCGGTTTCGTTGTCACATTTTAATGCCGGTGTGGAGAAGATAACTAAATTTCAAATGAAAGGAATAGTTTTCTATTGAAAGGACTATTATTATTTTGATGTTGTACTTGTTCGTAACGTGGTAGAAATTTTAGTCATTGATTGCCTTGAAAAGACACTGTAAGATTGGTGTGTTACTCATTGATTTACTTTTAAGAAATTTTAAATAGTTAATACCATTCTTTGCTAAAACAAAACACTAATCATATCATCACTACTAGTATTTTTCTTTTCATTAGAAAAAAAAAACTATATACATTTTCATTTTCAGTTTTCAACGGCTGGCCTAACTTGGAAGACCATGCATAGATACAAGACGGTGCAAGTAGACTCTGACGACTATAAACTTCGAGACTTGGTCACACGACTCACTGTAGAATTTTCAAACAAGGGAAGATTCACGACATAATTTGAAGGCCTACTTGGCCCAATTAATAAATGTGACTCCACGGTAGGGTAGAGACTGTGAAAATGCTAGGCGGGCCACAGAGGTTTCAACTTGGTTACTTAGGTGATGATTGGTTCTCCCGCTACCACCCGCAAACGCAGCGTTTGCGGTTCGTAGCGGTTCTTAGCGTTTTATAACAATCACGACAACCGCTTTCAACCGCTCTATACCACTCTGTACCGCTCTATATCGCTGAAAATCAAAAGCTCCTTTCCGCAAGCGTTTGCGGTTGCGGGCGGTTGCGGTTTGAAAAAAAAAAAAAAAAAACATAATATCTCCAAATTTGGAATAAGGGTATATTTTTTTGAAAAATACCATAATTATGTTTAAAAATTTCGAAAATACCCTAAATTTTTTCTGTTTTGAAAAATACACTTTTAAAATGTAAAAAGTATGTTTTGACGTGATTTAAACAAAAAAATAATAAATAATTACAAATTATAAACGAAAATTTAAAAAAATAATAAACTAATAAGTTTTTTTTCAAATAAATATAGTATATGTTAAACTGAAACAAATTTTAATATTTTGGATCTTTATATAAACAACTTAACCTCATACACATTCAAACCAAATGAAACTTTAAATAAATTAAAACTTTACATATATTTAAAGTTTATAAATTATTAAAAATTTAAAAGTGGAGAAATATATCTTTCATTTTTAATGTTTATCTTTTGAAAAATTTAAATATTTTTGAAACTTTGCATAAACAACTTTAATCTCACCCCATTTAAACTTTATATAAACAATCTTATATTTTTATTAAATTGTTTAAAAAAAAACTAAACAGGTAATTAGGATGTTAAAATGATACAAAATTATTATCAAATATTAATATTTTATATTTCTTATTTGAATTTCGTTTTTATTAAATTAGGAATAATCATTTTACATATAAAAAGTGTATTTTTCAAAACCAAAAAAAAATAAGGGTAGTTTTCAAATTAAAAATTCATCAAAAAATATATTTCAAAAAAAAAATTATTAATATGGTTATAAATGTTTTGAATAATTATATATTATTTTTATTTTAGTAACTTTTGGTTAAACCGCTCTTGCACCCGCTGGCTAACCAGTCAAAAATATCCCGCAAACGCAACCGCTATGAATTGCTATACCAGTCGTACAAACAGCTTTTAATCGCAAACTCCCGCTTCCGCAAACTCCCGCAGCCGCAAACTCCCGCAACCGCAACCGCAGCGGTTAAACCAGTCAGACCCTTAGGTGATGATTGGTTCTCCCGCTACCACCCGCAAACGCAGCGTTTGCGGTTCGTAGCGGTTCTTAGCGTTTTATAACAATCACGACAACCGCTTTCAACCGCTCTATACCACTCTGTACCGCTCTATATCGCTGAAAATCAAAAGCTCCTTTCCGCAAGCGTTTGCGGTTGCGGGCGGTTGCGGTTTGAAAAAAAAAAAAAAAAAACATAATATCTCCAAATTTGGAATAAGGGTATATTTTTTTGAAAAATACCATAATTATGTTTAAAAATTTCGAAAATACCCTAAATTTTTTCTGTTTTGAAAAATACACTTTTAAAATGTAAAAAGTATGTTTTGACGTGATTTAAACAAAAAAATAATAAATAATTACAAATTATAAACGAAAATTTAAAAAAATAATAAACTAATAAGTTTTTTTTCAAATAAATATAGTATATGTTAAACTGAAACAAATTTTAATATTTTGGATCTTTATATAAACAACTTAACCTCATACACATTCAAACCAAATGAAACTTTAAATAAATTAAAACTTTACATATATTTAAAGTTTATAAATTATTAAAAATTTAAAAGTGGAGAAATATATCTTTCATTTTTAATGTTTATCTTTTGAAAAATTTAAATATTTTTGAAACTTTGCATAAACAACTTTAATCTCACCCCATTTAAACTTTATATAAACAATCTTATATTTTTATTAAATTGTTTAAAAAAAAACTAAACAGGTAATTAGGATGTTAAAATGATACAAAATTATTATCAAATATTAATATTTTATATTTCTTATTTGAATTTCGTTTTTATTAAATTAGGAATAATCATTTTACATATAAAAAGTGTATTTTTCAAAACCAAAAAAAAAGGGTAGTTTTCAAATTAAAAATTCATCAAAAAATATATTTCAAAAAAAAATTATTAATATGGTTATAAATGTTTTGAATAATTATATATTATTTTTATTTTAGTAACTTTTGGTTAAACCGCTCTTGCACCCGCTGGCTAACCAGTCAAAAATATCCCGCAAACGCAACCGCTATGAATTGCTATACCAGTCGTACAAACAGCTTTTAATCGCAAACTCCCGCTTCCGCAAACTCCCGCAGCCGCAAACTCCCGCAACCGCAACCGCAGCGGTTAAACCAGTCAGACCCTTATTGTTTAGTTGATAGAAAACAAATGATTTGGAAAACAAAATTGGAATAGAAATGCATTTCCAAATGGGATAAGTATTTTGGTTTTTGTTTGGAAACGGGCAGCACTAGATGAATAACAATTTTCCAGTTTTCGACAAATTCACATAAGTACGTAAATTTTTTTTTATATAAAGTAAGTACGTAAATATTAATGAAAGTTCAAGGGACCTTGGCAGAACTCAGAATGGGGCCTCGCCATATTTATGTTACGCGGTAACCTGATTACTTAGGAAACAAATTAAATTAGAGCTTATTTTGAAGTACCTTTTTTCGTCAATAGCTTTTACAAAAGTTAAAAAAAAAATTAGAAATCCAAACTAGTGGAACAAATCTACATAGTTAAACGTATTGAAAGTGCAAGGAAATATGTGAGACGAAAAAAGACTTACACCTTTTTTCTTTCTTTCTTTTTTACGGCTATGGTATTATTGGAATCTCGCTCACCACACAGCCGTCTAATAAGTACCAATGCCATTATTGGATCAGCAAAGGGAAGTGTGTGACAAGGGACCCTCCTATGGCCGATTTCAAACTGTTCAACAAAACGTACACGAAATGATAATATTTTACACTTTTTATCATTTTATTACTCTCTATGTTTCATTTTAACTGATTTTAAAGAGGATTGTTTTTTTTTTTTTTTGTATATATTCAAATTAAACGATTTCCTCTTGTTTCTATGCACAATTTCCACTAAATGCTACCCGGAGAATTACTGCATTGGCCCGACACCGCTTATTTTGTACTCGCCTTACTGCAGCCACCGAAAATACCATGGCCAGTCCGTAACATACATATATGACTAACTACAAAAAAAAAATTGTGGCTGTTTCCGTTTTTTCTTGTACTGAATTAATGTTATGTAAATAATACTATTAAATTTCATTCATCATTACTTACGTAAACAAATACAAACATACGATGCAAACTCTTAAAAGAACAAACATAAGAAAAAAATTCAACAAAAATATAACAAGATAGATAGTTTGAATAGTTAGCCAAAAGGGCCTAAACAATAATAATCAATATTCAATCTCAACCGGATATCTGTCCATGCAATCTTCCCATGGATTGTTAGCCGAAGGCTTGACGTTGCGCAGAGCCACCCAAACCGAACTGTTACACTTGAAACCTGATCCCAAAGCAATCTGCCAAATCCTATCTCCTTGCTTCATCCTTCCTTTAGCTTCTGTATAAGCCAACTCATACCAAATCGAGCTTGAAGAAGTGTTACCAAACCTGTGTAGTGTCATTCTTGATGCCTCTACGTGTAATGGAGACAGCTTAAGATTCTTCTCAAGCTCATCTATTAGAGCTCTTCCACCAGCATGGATGCAGAAATGCTCAAAGGCAAGTTTGAAATCCGGTGTGTAATTCCTCAACTCTGGCTTGAAATACTTCTTTTTGAGGAAAGTCACGAAGAAGGCAAGCTTCTCTTTCAATGGAAGAACAAGAGGACCTAAAGTGGCGATATTGATCTTGAGAGTCCTTGCAGCAACCATCGGTAGATTCTTTGTCAAGGTAACTCCAACTATACCATCTTCATCTTCTTCTTGTGTTGCACACTCGAAGGACTTATCATCTGATCCTGTGTGGATCCTAACGGTATGAACAAGCTCGTATTTGGCGCGTACACGGTCTCTAGATCTGTTGGAAAGCAGAACCGCTGCACCACCAACCCGGAACAAGCAGTTTGTGACTAGCATTGATTTGTTTTTTCCCAAGTACAAATTCTGAGTGATGTTCTCCGTGCTTACCACGATAGCATAAGTGTTCCTATGAACTTGCAATAGTCCCTTTGCGACATCAATGGCTATGACTCCAGCACTGCAACCCATTCCTCCAAGATTTAGACTCTTGATGTTGTCTCTGAGTTTGTACTTGTTCACAATCATTGAAGCAAGTGATGGAGTTGGATTAAACGTGCTAGAATTCACCACCAAGATCCCGATCTCACGAGGTTTGACTCCGGTGTTGCGGAAAAGATTGTCAAGAGCTCCGCATATGACTTGTTCCGTCTCTTTACGCGAAGCGGCCATGTCTTGCTGAAGCGGAAAACACTGAAGACCTTCGGGGATGGAGGTTTCTTGACCGAGACCGGAACGTTCAAGAATCTTCTGTTGGAAGTCAATCAAATAGGCGTCTTTGTCCTCCCAACACATGCCTGCTTCTCTTACACGTTTTGCGTGCCCCATCAGCGTTTGGACACTGACCTTGAGATGAGAAGGCGGTAGGTAACAGGAGAAGTCAACGAGGTAAACCGGTTTGGGTCGAGTAAACATGTAGATGGTGAACAAGAAAAGCAGAGGAACTGAAAGAAGGGTTATGGTTTCAAGGTTATTTAGGAAGAAGTTTTGGAGATCTTCTAAGTTGACCCAAGATCCTTTCACGGCTAATGTTACCATTAATAAGATGAAGAAGATCTTGAAGAAAACCATCTTTAAGTTCTTCATTGGAGACTTACCTAAGAGTAGAAAGGAGAGGACAAAAGGAGTCTTTGTTTGAGTGTTTTTACTCTTTGGCTCTAATTTAAGTTGTGCAGTGGCCTTTCGTTTGAGCTGGCTCAGTTCACATATATAGAAAGTGGAGTGTGAATCGAGAAAGTTATGACCAAACGATTTCATTTCTTTTCACTCCATTTTGTATAATGAGCCAAGAAGAGTATCTTAATATTTTTTTTTAAATGGACACATTACAAGTACGAAGAAACGTCATCAACTATTAACATCTGATGAGAAAATGATATAGTATATATTTATAATCTACACATATTAGACATGAGACTTTTAATATAAGTACTTAACTACGTATTCTTCGTGGACATTATTCTTTGAATAGTACACTAAAAAGAATTTAGGTGCTTTATTTTCGTTCTGGAAATCTCTTTCTTTCTAGGACAGATAAACGTTGACAATTTTCATTGCTATATAATATGGTTTTGTATAGCAAAGAATAAAGAGAAAATACATTATCAAATAAAACAAGCCGCTTACCTATAATTTGACGCGTTTCTTTAAATTATTACCAAAGAAAAAGTGAATGTTTAGATAATGCTATATTGATGGAGTAACTACCCACATTCATGAGTAATAAATATGAGTGATGAAAGAAGCAACTACTTCTTTTCTCTGTTGTCCTTATTATTTCCAACTATCTAATACAGAATTCACCAACATGCCATTACAAGGTAACATGGCCTTTTCACCCTTAGAAATAGAAAAATTAAATATGGGGTAAGAAGAAAGAACAAATCCATCAAATGGCCGTCCGTTTTATATCTGCCAACCTTCTAATTAATTTTATTTTACGAAGTAATTAAAAGAAATACACATACTCTTCATCTTCATTTTATTTTTGAAATGTCAATTGTATTAATCGACAAAAATTAATGTCTTGAAAAAGGGCTGTACACTAGAGTTCAAATATATAAAAAATCATTGTTTGTATATATATTATTTTAGAAGAAAGTACACCAATGATCACAGTATCATTAATTCACACCATGTAACTGAGAAATGGTGTATATATACAATACAGATAAGTTATTCAATGTTATCAACACACAGACTCTTGTAGACCCTAACATCTTTTATTGCGTTCCCATATAATCGATGAGATGGGTGGGCGCTAGGCACTGGCAGATCTCGATGCCTATATACGAAGTAATATGGTTGAGGGAGAACTACTTACTTTTGTAGAAAAATAAGCTTTGTCGTCGAATATAAACAATGATATTTAGCTACGTATGTTCTCCACTAAAGATAGAGAGTATTAACAGTTTGTTTGTTTTTTTTTCATTTTGAGTTTCTATAATTCATGAGATAAACAGAAAATTAATATTATCTTAAAATAACAATGAAACTTTATGTATGAAAATGTATGTATGTACGTAGGACTTTCGGTCATAACTCATAAGTGTATATGACGTCTGAGGAAAAAAAGATTACAAAAGCAATGTTGTACAAGGTTAGCCTAAAGTCTCCTGAGCTATCCAGAGAAAATGGAGCGGTCGCCTAGATGTCCGGGACTGGCACAGCTTTCAATAATCTTTACTGAAGGAATTTAAATTAGCTTCACCTGTTTGGTTAATGTTGATCGATGTTTTTTTTGGGTTTGATTCTTTTAATGCGATCAAAATAAATTTCCTGAAATCGTGGACATTGGTCAGGTAACCCGGCACTTTTGTTTGGTAAGCGAGTGCTATTGAGTAATTTACTTTGTAACTAGTATTAATCCATATAATCAAATACAACAAATAAAATGAAATAGTGTTCAACATTGTATGTCAAAAAAGAAGAAGAAGAGCTTTTCTTCATAACAAATATTAAACGCTAGAAAACTTGTATCGAGCGCAGAAGCACACCATCAAGTTTCATTCTTGGATATCAATTTTGTTTTCCCTTAGCATGGGCTTTCTTTTCTATGGCGAAATTTTATCCAAAAAACAGAAACACACTTTTCTCTGAATATATTACACGTTTCCGCTATACAAGTAGATGCACAACATGCATAATTGCGTATATGTAAATATAATGCAATCTATAAGGCCAAACCCTTTTCTTAAAATCAAAATCTATGATATCAAACACAAAATCAAAGAAAAACTTTTTGTTAAGCGGATTACAGAGAGAAGAGCAATGAGCGGTCAGTGACCGCGTCCACGGCGACTTGGTCCGGAAGAAGTTTCACTCATAAAGAATTTATGAGTTTGGCAGACCACCGGAGTTTTATCAGCAAAGTCACGACAATCTTCTTCTTCATTCTTGAGAGATCTTAAGCTTCCCGCCGATGAATAATTTGAGAGTAAAAAAAAGAAGATCATCAAAAAGGTTAGATTTGTAATACAAACAGAGGAACGGCGTTTCATTTTCTCTTATGAGAAATCAATTTAGTAGATTGGGGTTTTGTTTTAGCTATGTAGATGTGCTTGCTTAAAGAGGATTTAGTTTATAGAATTGGTAAAACATTTACAAGATTGCTTTTGACAATTTTTCTTTAATATACTTTTAGTTTAGACATTTTCATATGACCTTTTCGTTTAATCACCCTTAATCCACGCTTGTGGGTGGGTTTCACTACAACGTGATATACACAACCTTTGGGTTTTCTTTTATCTGCTCCAAAATTTACTATCTTTCTTTTATCGTCAATTATTACGGATTATAAAAACAACTACATAGACGATTTCATAACGAACAATTTTACCCGCTTCCATATGCACAATGTTTACAAATTACCATATACAACTTTATCCTTATGCAAAATTTAGAATTATTAGTGTGAATGATCTTCAATATGTCTTTGCAGTTTCCTTCACTCAAATGATGACACTTTTATTTTCTTCGAAAGATAAACAATAACGTTTTGCTTTCCTCATGAGACCATTTTCTTTTTATTTTTGAACAATACTTATAAAATAAAATATCAAGCATATAAAGTATACACACTTTTGAATTTTATGCTGGTGTTGTTCGGTGGAGTTGATATCTTACAATAAATGTCTTTCAGTATTATAAAATATTAAGCTGAAAAAATAAAGTACCTGTTTTTGTTTAACATTGCTTTCGTATTGGCAATTGGAAGAAGTCAAAAATTACATTATTCAGATAGAAGAAGTCGCTCTGTTTAATACGGAGAATGATTAACGTGTATCCTTTCGGTTGGTCACATTATTTTTTCTTTGTCTTGTTACCAGCGTATGCGATTTTACAAAGATGATAATGCTTTTTTAGCCCAAAAAAGATGATCATGCTTTTAACGAACGATACCATTTATTGCAGTTTGGTTAATTCTTGTTTTTTTCGCCTCACACTAACACTACCAAGTACCAACTTTGAATCCGAGTTATAACTACTAGTAAGCTACATGTCCCAATCATTTAACTTTCAAATTATGAAAACTTGATCGCTGCATATATAATATACGTATCATAAGAAAACTATAAAAATTACATGTAATATCTCTGTGTTGTTTAGCATACATTTTGTATTGGAGAAAAAACTGTAACATATTAAGTTGGTGTGGCTTAAAAAGTCAAAAGTTTGGGATCTAATAGTTTTGCTGAAAATCTACCAACTCCTACCTTAATTTCTAATTAATACATCCTGATCGACTACGTCAAATTACCAAATCATAACTCCATATCCTAAATCATAACTTCCATTATAATAAATTAAATTCTAAAACTCAAATTTTCATCCCAAATAACTCATATAATTGCATAGTTCTTGTTCATTTGGCAGTTACCATCGAATATTGTAAGGTATTGAATATGTTATCAAAGTAAATTGCTGACTCTCTTGTTTTCATCCAAATATACAATATTCGATGATATATATATATTATGGATCATATTCACTAGTATTTTATGTGATCGAAAAATGAATGTACGTATTCGCTCTAGTTCATGCAACACGTATTATATACCACAAGCGAGAAAACGTTAAAACTCCACGTCCCTTGCTTGACCTCCCGCCATGCAAAAAAGAAGTGGTCGTGGTTCTTTATAAGCCAAATATCATAACAAGAAAACAAGAGTAAGTCATTAATGAGGATATTGTGTAAAGCCACAGATAAATTTCTGATCCGTGACAGCTTCGCTGAAGAGTCTTTGGTTAGTTTAATATCCTTCATGGCTTTTCCTCTACCACATGATCTCTCTATAAAATTCTCAACATCCGTTTATCGCAAAAGGAATTTCATCTTCACCATTCTTTCCATCTACCAAAACACACATTTTCCCTGAGAATCTTAAACAAGTCCAAGAAAATGGATCCGTGGTCATGGATATGCGAGCTTCCAGAATCTCCTGAGTTCGCTGAGTCTGATTCACATGCAGTGTTTCAGCTCGTAGACAACTTGACTCGTTCAATCCAACTTAGGGTTGAACGATCTTCTGCCCCCGACCCAGAGTCTCTCTCTCTCACCTTCAAAGTGGTAGTAGAAGGTTTTAACCGTCTTAAATCGTCGACCATATGGGTTTCCGACAAGTGTACCTTGTTGTCGGAGAAACCATTCCTTCCTCTGGTTCTCCAACTTCTTCGAGAAGTAATCTCCCTTTCCCCAACAACACGCGACGGTGCATGCACAAAGTCTGAGCTTCTCGAAATCAAACCGGGTCCGGTTAACTGGGTCATGGACTCTCACTCGCCGGAATCCTTCTCATCCGTCTTTAATCTACTCCTCCTCACGCGCTTATTCTGGCTGTGTGTGTTCGATGCTCCTAGCGAAGTAGGCTCTTTCTTCTTCCAACACCTGCTTGGTCCTCACGTGAAGGCGCTTACGTGTCAACGCTCTCCTGTGTTGCGAACGTTTCTCGTCTCACTCGGTGTAGACGCCGAGCTGTGTATTGTACGCGCCGCCTCTTACGCCTTATCCAAATGGATGATCTCCAAGGAAGTGGGACTTGGGAATCTTGGCCTGAAACAGATCAGCAGCCCCTTGTCACGTCATTCATTGGGCTTTGCATATGCAACAGAAGCCCATGGGCTTTGGGTGTTAAAAGGCTATTTCCCAATCTCGTCGATGAACGTCGCAAATAATAATAGCTCTAACGAGGTTCACAACAAGATCATCAAGTTTCCGTTTGTGGAGCCTAAAGAAGCTGTCTTACGTTACGCTTTGTCGCACCAACAAGCTGAAATAATTGTTCAGTTTGAATACTCAGTTAGGTTCCACGAGAGCTACATAAAAGTGAACGCACGTGTCGACAACATACGTATCAACGTGTCGAAGCTAGGGTTTCACAAGGGAGGAGGAGGCCCGGAGAATCAGATAGCGGATTGTTACTCGGAGGAGAAGTACTTCCCGTCGCGGGTACGGGTTTGGGTCGGTCCGGAGATTGGGTCGAGCCACGTGTCTGGACTAAGCCTAGGACGGTCGACTAAGAACGAGGAGAGAGAGATCGAGGTGACGAGAGTGTTAAAGGGAAACTTCGGGAAAGGGAAAGTGGCTCCGAGAGTGAAGGCAAGAGCAAGAATGTCGACGAAGAGGAAGATTAAAGATTGGAGAATCGAGCAGGAGAGCGAAGGAAACGCTGCCGTTTTCGATGCGGTGTTGTACGATAGAGAGAGCGGCCAAGAAGTGGCTAATGCGAAGCCGAGAAACGAGGGGTTAAAGAATGTGTTTTCGAAGAGTGGAGGGATGGTTTTTGGAAGGGATGAGTATGGAGATGAGGTTGGGTGGAGAGTTGGGAGAGAGATGGAAGGAAGTGTGTTGAAGTTTAGAATGGGTGGTAAAATTTGGCTAACTTATTGGCCAAATAAGTTGAACACTTCGTTTTATGAGACTAGATGTGTGGACTGGTGTGATGAGGTTGATCTGCCTTTGGTTCCCACTTCTTAGAGTTACAATTAAGTGTAAGTAGTGAGAGATAAAATATAGGTATACAATAAAATAAAATGGATATCGCCATCTCGGTCACAACTCACAGATTGATACGTGTTTGTAAATATTAATTAAACCGTAAAATAGTTGTAGTAGTATCTCAAATATTTGTATTCATATTGATTGCATGCATGTGCAGACGCAAATACTGTTACTTATAGCTTTAGAAATAAGTAGCTAAATTAAGTCACAAAATCGTTTCTAGACAGATTTTACGAAAGGTATTTGTATTGTCATCGATTTTGTTTTCTATTTTAGTGTATGATGTAATTATATCTATTTTTTAACATATAGTAATTACTACCCATATAAAAGTTTTCTTACAAAATGGTGTATATTATTAGTTCAAAAATGGATTTAGTAATAACATGTGGTGGTAGTGAATTTTAGCAGAAAAATGCCACTTATATATGTGTTGGGCCATTTCTTATGTGTATATTGGGCCTATTAAGAATTAACCTTGGACTACAAATCGAAGGGTGTAATTATCTGCTACGATGCACCATACCGAATCATCTGAGAGTTGTCTCTAGTTTCTCGTAAACCCTAGCAAAAACCCATCTTCTCTCAATTCACATTTCTCCTTAACAGTGACCAAAAATGGCTTGGCGCAATGCAGGATCTGCTGCTCGTTCTTTCGTCTCCGCCACCGCAAGATCACCGTCTCTCCGTTCCCCAACAACGGCGCTTCCTCGCCTCCGTCCTTCCCCATCATCCTTACCTGGCCGTCGTTTCTCCTTTTCATCGCCTTCCAGGTTTGACCACAGCTCCGTCAAATTCTCTTTCTCCAGTAGAATCAAATCAGTTAAAGTTACAGACTTTAGGACGAATTTGCAGATTTTCGTGTCTCCGAATTTCAATATCTCGATCAAAAATTTGTCCACTTCTTCGCCTTACTGTAATTCATCGGAAATGTGTTTCCTTTTTGCGTACTTCAGAAACATTTAAGATTCTCAATCTATTGATTGCTTTCAAGCTAACAGCTTTGCGTAATTTTCAAAAACATTTGAGATTTATACTCTCTCTGATCTCTGTTTTTACTTACAGAGCTCTAAAGTCAATCTGTTCTTGGTTGTGATCTTTTCAGGAATCTAGGAGCACTTGGTTGCACACAGTCTTTCTTGCCGCTGTACAGTGTTGTGGCTGCTTCTCAGCTCACATCTCACCTGAATGTTAACTTGAGGGCTTTCTGCGAGCTGTCTAACGGTACCTTCCAACGCACTTGTCAAGATCGCTAACTAGTCCTCTTTGTGACTCGTGAGTCTTACTTTTCTTAGGATTTTATAGAAAAACATGGGAGACGAGACACTAGTAGTTGCTTTACTGATTGTTTCCTTGTTTAAAATGTTCAACACTAGTGCATTAATGTCTATGTTTAGGAAGATTTAAGTTGTTTTGGTCGTTTGTTTTTTCTTTCTCTTTTGTGATCTTTCTTTTAAAGAACAAAGTTTGGGATTGGGATTGATAGGGAATGGAAAAGATGGGTGATGCTCGTGGATTTTCAGTCGCTGGACAAGAGAGTTCTGCTGCATTGTAGGTTTCTTGTCCATTTTGTTTTTTTTAGTGTTATTGATTTTGAAGATTAGAGACTCTGTTTTCTTTTTGGCATAATAAACAAAGGAAAGTTTTTTCTAGCAGTAAATATAGCATCTTGTTCATTTAGCCAACAATTTGGTATTTCATTTGCTAATTACTCAAGCTAGATGTATAAGGATTGCGACATAGCATTCAAGCAGAGATAGTCTTTGGCTTGGCATAAAGATTCATACGTTCTTGCTTTTTGATCCGTAGAGCATTTGGTTTATACAACCTCTTGGTGTTTGGTTCATTGTGATCTATCTGCGTTGTGGTGGTAGTTTATTAAGTAGTTTTGGTTATCAATACAAAGATGACGAATTGGCTTTAGTAATCTGTAAGTCTGTTGAATTTTCCCTCAGGTTCTGATTCTGAGCTTTGATTGCGATTTGACACAGGTACTTGAACAGGCAATAGAGTGTAATGCCATAGTGCGTGCATCAGTACTTTGAAGGAGGGGTTGTGAGGTCTTTTGAGAAGTTTACCTCAGAAACAAACAAGAAAACTTAATTCGTTGTTTTACTTTTCTTTGAGAAGTTTTAGTTGTGGATTCAATTTGATTATTAGCTGTAGAGCCTTTGCTTTTGCTTCGCACAATGTACTATCTCTCCGAGAATACTTAATATAAAATAAGTGTATGAGATTAGAACTAAAAACATTGTTGTTTTTCCTTATACATAATGCAAATCCTTAAAAAACAAATTCAGTTTTGTCCACTTTATTTTTACTTATTTCAGTTTTGTTCATTTATGAAGTGTATGATAGTCTTTAAATGTTTTCTTAATGCATAAAACGTTTTAGAATGACACAATGAAAAAGATGGAGTGATAAATTGATATCTTTTTTTTTTTTAACATAAAAAAAATTGATATCTATGACCGATTTACTACAGAAAACTAAGTCTATATGTTCACCAAACCAACTACAAGGTCAAAGAACATAAACAGCTTTAAATGATTAGCGAAGGTGTGATAATGAAATTCAATCATTCAATATAAATATGACAAGTGAAGCATAAAATTTCATTTACTTAAAGATTACGATGCCTGGTTGTACAGACTTATAGGAGTACGGAAACTCGTTCGTACATGATTGATGATTCTTTTCTTGTGATTGTTTCATATTTTCCAAACATTCAATCATCTTTTACGTTATAAAAAACATTCAATTGCGTTTTATTTATTATATGCACATGCAAACGAAATATAACAGAAACTTCCAGTTCTTTATCAGTTCGATTGCCTGTAATCGAAGTCTGCGTCAATCCCCATTCGGTCAACCAAAGATATAATATGGAATAATTGGTTGTTTTGTTAACTCAATCATCGAAATTTGTAAGTCCATTTCCACTTCATTCCAATCCATAAGGGTTTATACATAGATATTCAAGAATGTATATATACAGATATCATTGGGATTATTATGGAGAAGAAGAAAATGTCAACAATGAAAATGACAATAAAAGAGCATTGTCCTCGGAGTATGTAAGAAACAAAAAATCGCATTTCTGACCAACAATGGCTGTGAACAATAAAAGAGTATTGTCTTTCAAGTATGTGACCAAATATGTGTATAACATGTTTTTTTTATAGAGAATGTATATAACATGATGGTTTGTGTAAATATCATCGCATATATATATATATATATAAATTATAAGTTGTTGGCAACAAACCTTATTTATCCTTCAATTTATTGTAACGAATATAAGTTGTTGTATCATCATTTGGAGTTAAATCTGCATTATGTATATATATTGTTTAACACATATATGTGCTTATTATAAAATTGATCATTAACTATCATACATGTTTTCGCATGATCTAAACTAAATAAAACATAATTTAAAATCGACATGAAGAGATTGGATTTGGGGTAGCTGGTACGTGTGTCAAACTGTGGGTAGCCTCTTTCTACGAAACAAGCAGCAACGACTTCTCAACTGGAAACAATTTCTGCCACACTGACTCCACCTATATTCTCTTCTACCACATTGTTTTATTCCTAATCCTTTAACGTTTACACATTTTTCTTTAACAATTTTTATATATAATTTCGCTGTTAGTTAATTGCTAATTAGACTTAGTTGCAGTCTATCATTAAGATCAATGATAACAAATTGTTGCATTATATACTAGAAAAATTGGTTACAAGAAAACTTAAGAAACAAGGGGAGAAAAAGATGAGGAAAGGGAAAGGGAAAGGAAGCACACGTGATGAAGTCCACAAACTTCAAATCTTCCGAAGATCTTATGGCGGTGTGACGGTTCCTTTCTTTATTTTTCCCTGTCTGCAATGCCAATAACCATTATTATGTTCTTCTAATTTAATCATTTTATCTACAAAATTATTCATATTTTATCGTATTGTATTTTGTTTTTGGTAACGGCAACATGCTATTGCTAGTAATTAACTAATTATGCAACAGGAAACCTCCAGTTCTCCAACTAAACGTTGACCTCATCTGAAATGTGGAGACTGCTAATATTATATGGAAATCCTTTATATATTATGATGTATATTATTGAGGAGCATTTTAAATAAATAAGAATTTTCTATACATAAGAATCTCATGGAGTGAGACAGTGACTGTTGGTGAAAACAACGTACGAAGATTCTTCGATTACTTTTTTTTTAACATTAAGAAACTTAACACAGTAAATGACATGAATTATATAACCAAAGATGTTGGGATCTGCAAATCCATCTTAATACCCATTGATATGATATCGTGTGGCGTCTTTCTAAAAGATCTCATACTAACTGAAGTTAGACTTTAGTCAGTTAACTGATATAAAAAACTATCATTGTCTAATCTTCTAATGTGAGATTTCGTTTCATATCCCAAAACAAGAAGACTATATATATGATCCACCATAAAATTGTATTAATATGAAGCAAAAAATCGGTTAGCAAAAATAAGGAACAAGGATAAACAAAAATGAACGGGTATTGTTGTCAAATACTTCTTGCCAGTTGGAAGTATTTGGCATTCGTTGAAACAATAAACACTTTAATCTAAAATATAGAGAAAATTGTGATGATCCCATTTGTAATAGTGGAAATGGTGAGGCAAGAAAGCATACATGCATGGAATTAGGCATTTGTCTCACGTGCCCAATGGACCATTGCTTTCGACCACCAACCCGGCAACACACTTCCCTTTTGTCAGGCCCCCATTTTCTTGTTCCTCTTTGATCTCTTTAATTTAAGAGGGAATTTATAAAAATGCTTCCATTTTTTTGTTTTTTATTATTATTTGGAGGTTATTGACCAAGTCTTGTAATTTCTCCGAGCCCAGGATCAAATCATATACTATAGCCCGTTTCAAGCGTCACTCAAATGCTTCCAATTCACTCGCCACCTTACTTGGGTTAAACCTGTGCTGTTCAGGTTAATAAAACATCTCATACGTGACACAATTCTTTGGAGAAGCTAGACATTTAAAAAAAAAAATCTTCGACCTAATGGCTAACTTGAAAGTGAAGACACACTAAGTGTTTTTTGTTCGTTTTTTCTTTCTATTACAAGCAAACTCCGAATGCTCATTAAACAAGTTTCATACAAAAAACTATAATCCCTCTCAATTTAATAAATGTAGACATAGATGAACAATATTTATTGAATAGGACGAAAACAAAGTGGGGAGAGACGAGAAACGCGTAAACGAAAGATGATGAGTTCAATGGTAAGCTGACATGGCTATGGCCTAACCCCACATGCAATCTCCTCTTATCGTGCCATGTTGACGTTCTCTCGAGGTCCCACTTTGTCCCCTTAACTATCAACATCCCCTCCTTTATTGCCTCATTTCTTGTGTTCTAGTATTTTATTATTAGTGTTTAATTTATCATCCCCACAACAAAATTCTCCAGCCAGTGTATTTCCAGTCTCCTTCCTGTCAAAAGCTAAGTTTTAAATTGCTAATTTTATGTCTTCCCACCACATTGTAAAATTTGACTTTCATTTCCACACGCATGATGAAGTTAAACCTTTTGGTTTTGCTATAAAAACAGTCCACCCACTAGAAAAAAAATCATACTTCTTTGCAGTTTCCTTTTACCACGGTCAAGTGGTATATTATTGAAGATGTCATATCAATTTATACGGAAGTTATTAGAATCACGTTTAAAATGTGAATACACTAGCAAAGCTTAACTTTTATTTTAAAGTAGGCCACTTTAATCAGCCAAACTATATCCGTATCAAGTTTGTCTTGTCATTTGTCTTGAATTGTTCCAATCTATTATGTGATTGTGATCAAGTAACCTAATGGTTTTGTTGGTATGTCATTTCCTAAACTCAAATCCATATACACTGCATGTTTTTGACAAAACATTGAAAAATAGGACTATGGTAACTCAAGATCGTCTCTTATACGTAAATTACGTAATACAGTCAAAATAAACGTATGACAACACACATAAAACTGCTCATGAGTCATGATAATGTTTTTATTGCGTTGAATTTGATAGATCATAAAAGAGATTTCAGATTCGTGTCTTAGAGGAGCGCATGCAATATCTTAGTTAAGATTGTAAAGTAACACAACTAGATTATTTGAAGTTTTTGTCCGAGCTCACGTTTGTTTGACCGCGTGACGTGGCACTACAGAAGCAGCTTGTTGACCTTCCTCTATATAAATACGCCAACAAGCTCTTCAATCCCAAAACACATCCAATTTCATTTCCAAAGTACAAAACACAAACTCTCTTCTCTCTCTCTACCTCAATTTTCTCCATCCTATTTTGTTTTTTTCCCTCCAAATAAATAGAAACAACATATAGTAAAAAAAGGAGAAAATATGGCCGTAGACTCAAACCTCTCGTCGCCGTTAGGACCTCCGGCGTGTGAAAAAGACGCAAAAGCCCTCCGTTTCATCGAGGAAATGACTAGAAACGCAGACGCGGTTCAAGAAAACCTCCTAGCAGAGATTCTAAGCCGCAACGCTGACACCGAGTACCTCCGCCGCTTCAACCTCGACGGCGCAACCGACCGTGATACCTTTAAATCAAAGCTTCCAATAATTACATACGAAGATCTCCAGCCGGAGATCCAACGTATCGCTGACGGAGACCGCTCTCCGATCTTATCCGCACATCCCATCTCCGAGTTCCTCACAAGGTTCCTTACCAAACTTATCTCTGTTCTGACCTTATGAAAAATTAAGAGTCGTCTTGGAACTGAATTTTAACTGTTCTTTATTATTTTCTTACAGCTCGGGAACCTCAGCTGGAGAGAGGAAGCTCATGCCCACCATTAGAGAAGAGCTTGATCGTCGCCAGCTTCTTTACAGTCTCCTCATGCCTGTCATGAATTTGTAAGTCCTTCACATTTTTTTAACTAAAAGAAAACAAAAACTTAGAAAAACAACAATATTGTCATGACGTATGAGTTTGTTAATTAAATGAATTATTCTTTATTATTTTAGTTCAAGCGTTGACATTTTTTTCTCCATTTTCTTGAACAGGTATGTGCCTGGATTAGACAAAGGAAAGGGATTGTACTTCTTGTTCGTTAAGTCGGAATCAAAGACACCTGGTGGTTTACCGGCTAGACCGGTCCTAACCAGCTACTACAAGAGTGACCACTTCCGGTCAAGACCTTACGACCCTTATAACGTCTACACGAGTCCTAACGAAGCCATTCTCTGTCCCGACTCCTTCCAAAGCATGTACACTCAGATGCTATGCGGCCTCCTTGACCGATTTTCTGTCCTTCGCGTGGGCGCTGTCTTTGCCTCTGGTCTCCTCCGTGCCATCCGCTTCCTCCAACTACATTGGTCGCGCTTCGCCAATGACATCGAGTCAGGTTCTCTCGACTCCGAGATAACCGACCGGTCTATCAGGCAATGCATGTCCGGTATTCTTAAACCGAATGCTCACCTGGCTAAATTCATCCGCCAGGAGTGCGAGTCGGAAAATTGGGAACGGATCATCACCCGGATTTGGCCAAACACTAAGTACCTTGATGTCATAGTAACCGGAGCCATGGCTCAGTATATCCCAACGTTGGAATACTACAGCGGCGGTCTTCCAATGGCATGCACCATGTACGCCTCCTCCGAGTGTTACTTCGGTTTAAACCTAAACCCAATGAGCAAACCGTCCGAAGTCTCTTACACCATTATGCCCAACATGGCATACTTTGAGTTCATACCTCTCGGCGGCTCCAAGGCCGTTGAGCTCGTTGATGTAAAGATCGGCAAAGAGTACGAACTTGTGGTCACGACCTACGCCGGTCTATGTCGATACCGAGTCGGTGACATCCTCAGAGTCACCGGCTTCCACAACTCGGCACCTCAGTTTCACTTCGTGAGGAGGAAGAACGTCCTCCTCAGCATTGATTCTGACAAGACCGACGAGTCAGAGCTTCAGAAAGCGGTGGAGAACGCATCACGCCTGCTGACCGAAGAGTGTGGGACTCGTGTAGCCGAGTACACTAGCTACGCAGACACAAGCACCATCCCTGGCCACTACGTACTATATTGGGAGTTATTGGCGAGGGATGGAGCGAGGCAGCCGAGCCTTGAGACTTTGGCTCGTTGCTGCCTTGAGATGGAAGAGTCGTTAAACTCGGTTTACCGACAATGCCGAGTCGCGGACAACTCGGTTGGACCGCTTGAGATTAGAGTGGTGAGGAATGGAACGTTCGAGGAGTTGATGGATTACGCTATCTCAAGAGGCGCGTCAATTAACCAGTACAAGGTACCGAGGTGCGTGAACTTCACGCCTATTGTGGAGCTACTTGATTCCAGGGTAGTGTCGGCGCATTTTAGCCCAGCTTTACCGGATTGGACGCCGGAGAGGAGGAGGAGATAAGGGCAGGACCATGTTTTTCCTTTCGTGAAGTCAAAGGCTTTAAATTGATAAGTACTTTGGTCTTGTATTGTATTATAATTCAGATTCCTCACTGGTGATTTAGTAGTTGTTTTATTCTTAGTGTTTTCTTTTTTTATTCTCGTTAATTTTTTTCACTGTGGAATCTCTGCATGTAATTTGTGTTTTTTTTTTTTTCTCTCTAGTTGGGACAAAAGAATCCTGATTAGAGAAAAGTTTTTATGTTCCTGCAGGGATCATGTCTAGTGTCTACTTTTATGGAAGTTAATGTAATTTCATCGTAAATTTGTTGGGAAGATTTTCGTTCATTATTTACTATATCTACTTATTTTACTACATCAGTAAATTTTCTTGATGGAGACTATTCACATATTTCTGCTTAGAGTGTATTAGTTGAACTTCACTATGGAGTTTCTGAACCGATAAGAGAAGCAATGGTTTTGCATATAAAAACTATGGTGTTTGTTTTGATAGTGTATGACTATATCTACTAATATAATTATCTCTAAAATCTTAAATTTTCGGATAACTCCACCCGATTAGTGTAAAATCATCGACATAAAACAAGGCTGAAATTGTATAATTTCATAGTTAGTCCTGAGACATAAACCGGCATTCGATTATATATATGCAAGCACATACTTAATTGAAGAATAAATAACACATTTGGGTGGGCCAAACATGGAAACAAAAACAAGGGATAGAGCTGCATGTGACCAAAATGTTGGTATAAATAAGGGTTTGTGGGTTCGTCAAGAGAAACATGTTATATGAAATTGTTAGTGTTCTGCTCTTTTGGAGGTTTATAACAAAGAAACATAATAAGTATGAAGCTTGTTGGGTTTGTACCAAAGCAAACTGACATTTCCAAAACATACTTACTACAGCTAACTTATTAGATGTCTTCAAAATTCTGTAACACGATGGCCAAACCGCTGCCTCTTTGCTTCTTTTCTTAATATTCTAACGAGTTCTTACTTTGAATCTTGATCAACCTTGTTGGTTTTGATATGCATAGAATTAATTATTTTATGATTATCTAATGCTTGTAAGAATTTTAAAATATGCATGAACCAGTTGAACTCGTGGAGATAACTCGTGTGTAAGGAAATAGCCGTAATATATTTTAAAGATTTAAAATATTTATCAAGTCTACATTTTATTTATCACCCAAAACCAAAACTAGGGTCAATTCGTTTATCCTAGAAATCCTAAACTTAAAAACTCCACATATCTGATAGCCTAAGCCCAATGCCCAAGGCCTAAACCTAAATAACAGCTTTACAACTAAAATACACCTAAACGAATCCTAAAGCTAATTGGCAAGAGAAAAAAAGGAGGGAGGCTAAAACAATATGGCTATCAAGGATATATGGAAATTTATATTCTCCTTTATGACAATCCTTGTAATTACAGTATGTCTATCTCTGTAATCACTCTCTCAATCCCTACAATCACGCGTAGCTCATTACTGTGATTAGCTTGTGTCCTCTATATATATGGAAACATTATATTCTCGATAGTCACAACGCTCGCAACGTTTTTGATGTCGAGACTTTTTTTCTCTCAAAACAATGGTTGGAACATTTGAATGAGTTTTTTTTGTTTACAGGCGCTCCAGAGGGTTAATAGCTTGTGATAAAGTTTCTAGCGATGAAGGTACAGGTCAACAGAGCTTATGATGGATATCAACCGGTTTTATCAAGTAAACCAAATCTCTCGAACGACACATATGGACTGGACAATGTGAAGAGAATATATACCTTTAGTACTATTTTCCTAGGTTTTAGGGATTTGCATTTCACAATTGCACAACCAGCAATGGAAATGTGGAAAATCAAATCACTATTTCTCTTCACCTTGTCTAGTGTGTATGTGTTGCCCAAGAGATCTGGTTTTCTCCACCCATCAGCTTAGAGATTTAGAGGCAAGAATTATACAAAACTTGTCTATAGAAGGAAAAAAAATTACAAGAATCAAGGCGAACATAATTATTAAAAAAAAAAAAATTCAAGATTTAGTGATCATTTAACCAACAAAAATATTTTATCCTTCAGTTTTCTTCCATGGACCAAAAATACCGGATTCGAAATTACAAAACCGGACTCATACCGGTTTAGTACACAATAGACGGTCAGAAGCAAACCGTTTTCGTTGACGATGCGTCATCACTGTTCATCGTTTTTGTCACGTTCCGGCTGTTCTGTGGCTAACAACAATACTCGAAACCAGAAGACATCACAATTCAATTCACAACGCAGAAGGGGAATTAGGGCTTAGAGGAAGAGAAAGAAGAAGCTTTCGTTGTATTCGCCATTAAAAGCTTCCATCTTTAATGGCGACGACGACGACAAATTTCTCCTTCTCTCTTTCTCTTCCTCAAGTCCTCCGCAATAAACCCACAAACCCTTCTCCGTCGCTCTACCTTCTTCCCCGATTCAATTCGAGATTTCGAACTCTCACTCTCACTGCTTCAGCCGCAACTTCTTCGAACAGCAGTAATCGAGACGATGGCTTCTCTCTCGATGATTTCACTCTCCATTCTGATTCTCGATCACCGAATCCTTCTAAGGTTTCGTCGGAACCACTTTTCTTCTTAAAGCTCTGATTTTTGAATTTGAATTTGATTTGATTTTCGTCTTTGCTTTTGTCTTCAGAAATGTAAACTTTCTGATCTTATTCAAGAGATTGAGCCATTAGATGTGAGTTTGATTCAAAAGGATGTTCCAATCACAACATTGGATGCTATGAAGAGAACAATCTCAGGAATGTTGGGTCTTCTTCCATCTGATAGGTTTCAAGTTCATATTGAATCGCTTTGGGAACCTCTGTCAAAGCTACTGGTTTCTTCTATGATGACTGGGTATGTAAATGTTCATCATCAATACTATTAATTGTTTAATTTCCCATTAGTTTTCAATTACAAATTACTCTGCTTTAGATATAAACAATACTCTAGAATACTTTCATGCACAAAATGTGGCCTCTTTGGAATATTGTGATGTTTGTAGCACAGTTTTGGAACTTGTGATCATCAATAGAACCGGACTTAGCTAACATTTATCCCGAAAGTTTATTCCTTTTGCGGCTATCAAAGTTCAAGTTCTGAAGCATCCATGTCTCTATAGATTCAAATTGCTTACCTGCTTTTATGATTTCACATAGGTGGCTTGTTTACTACTCTGCTCCGTTAATGTCACTCTTTTTCCTTAGGTGTAGATTAGATTTTAGTGGTATGTCTTCCTGATTCCCTCTTCAAATGATAGGATACTAGTACACTTCTTTGTTCTGATGCTTTGTTACGCTGTAGGTATACGTTGAGGAATGCTGAGTACCGTCTTTTCCTTGAAAAGAACCTAGACATGCATGGTGAAGACTTGGACAGCCACACTCCAGAGAGTACTGATTACGATTTGAAAGGGACATTTCCTGATGATGCAGAACTGGGTGAGATGTTTGATGGAGATAATGTTTCATCAACAAAGGATAGCAAAACTCAGAGTCTTTCTGAAATGGTTGATAAAGAAGGTCTGGGCAGAGTATCCTCTGAAGCTCAAGAATATATCTTTCGTTTGCAGTCACAATTGTCTTCTGTGAAAAAGGTGAAGTTTCTGATATAATCATTTTAGCTCTGTTAAACAATCATTTTAGCTCTGTTAAACATGATCATAGAGATGTCATTGTCCTCACTAGGAACTTTTCTTGTTTGGCTTTGTGGATATGCTATGAGTTCTTGCTGTTATTGATCTTAACCTGTAACATGTTGTGATGTTATCTGCATTACAGGAATTACAAGAAGTGAGACGAAAAAACGCTGCCCTTCAAATGCAACAGTTTGTTGGAGAAGAGAAGAACGATTTGCTTGACTATTTAAGATCATTGCAACCTGAGAAGGTTTGTGTAACAACCTGTTACAGCTTGTGGGATATTTTTGCTTATCAGCTTTTCTCTGACCATTTAAACTTTTGTTCTTTACAGGTAGCTGAGTTGTCAGAACCCGCGGCTCCCGAGGTGAAAGAGATGATTCATTCAGTTGTTCACGGTCTCTTAGCAACGCTATCTCCGAAGATGCACTCTAAGCTGCCAGAATCAGAAGGTCCACCACCTACTGAAACAGTAAAAGCAAAAAGTGATGAAGATTGTGCTGAACTTTTAGAGAACACTTCGCTTCACTTTCAGCCTCTTATTTCACTGACTCGAGACTACCTTGCTCGTCTTCTCTTCTGGTTAGAACTGCCTTGCACTCTCTATCTCTCTCCCTCTTGCTTTCTAGGATGTACATGGACTTTATTGCGTCTTGGTTCTGTTGTCAAAGACGTCTTATATCATAGTGTCTGCTTTCTGTTAGGTGCATGCTGTTGGGACACTATCTCAGAGGTTTGGAATATCGAATGGAACTAATGGAGGTTCTGAATTTGACGTGCGATGCCGATGGTTCTGAGAACGTTGCTTGAAGCTACCTTTTATACATCTCAAAATTGTGTTACTTGGGTATGCTTAAACCTTTAACTTGTGAAATTGTAGTGTTGTTGTGTTCTGTAAAGCTGATTATATTTGGGTATAGCATGTTTAAATTAAAATATAAATGTTTTGTTTGTTTGAGAAACTCTTTTTCGTAGATGGAAATGCTCTTATTTCTTACGTCCAGCACAATAACATGATGTATCTTGTGACTAGGCATGTGTACCGGACTAGTCCAGCCCGGTCCAAAATTCATAAAGTAGTTCGTATTGATTTTTGGCTAAGTCTACGTCCACGTACCCTATGTTTTGACTATAAGCTCATATCGCATAAACTTCGATTTCATATAAAGTTCTTGTCCCGATCTTCACCAAGGACCCGTTGTTAAACCTGAAACATCAATCGTCCTTCCACCTTAGACCCGGCTCAAGTGGGATGGGCATAAGTGCGACAGGTCATTGCTTAAAGAGTACTCTTGCTTAAAATGCTGCACATATAAGACAGAAATTTAAATTATACGCAAGACATTAAGTCTACTGGCATCATCTTTAGGCATCTGTATATTCCACCTGATGTGTTTTACACAGTTGATAGTAATAAACTAATAACATTAGAGAAAAAGGGGGAAAATGCATTATGATAATAGTTACGAATCCTAATCATAGAAGTGGTTTATTTGTCTCATTATATATTGATAAAAAAAAATGTAGACAGTGAAGTAGTTGAAGCACGTGATGACCTATAAACATGATGGTCAGTCTTTTAAAACCTCGTAGAAGTTGTCGCACGCCATCATAATTATTTACCAAACACGTTCATCTCCTTTCTCCTAAAAGAATCCTCTCATTTATACAATACAAATTTGGATTAAAATGTACTCTTGTTTAAAAGAAGTCGTTGTCGATTTCATTGTTTATCTCATGAAATACATTACAACCTGTTCTTTTGCACATATTAATTAAAAATTCATATTCGTCTAAACATTATCGTTTTGTGATTACCTCAAACCAGAAAAGATCGATGAAAATTAGGAAATTGTACTTGTTTAAAAACACAATGGATCACTAGATAGTTTGGATTGTTTGATAAATTTATAATTTCACATGATAATCACTAGAACCGAATAAACACCGGGAATTGCAATTACAAATAAAATAAAATAAAAAAACTCATATAAGCCATAAGCAAAGATCCATTAAGGATCTCTCTTTTTTATTTGTTTAAAACTTTCGTCCGAGAGAAGTAGAATCAAGGACATTTTGGAGTGAGTTTGCTGCTGAGCTTGTCACGATAGCAAGCACACTCGTGCTTGTTCCCATAAGTTCCTGAAGGAACACACTTACAGTCTTTGCAACATATCCCACAATACTTTAAGCATCTATCCTTCAACCCCGCTTCTTTGCACCTCACTTCACACTTCCCTCCACACCATTTCTCTAACGCCGGTCCATCTTTGAATTCCGGCGCCGGAGCTACCGCGCTACCACCACCTTCATCACCATAAATTTATTCATGATTTAATGGGGAATTACAAAAAAAAAGTAAGAAGAGAAGAGTCTTGAAGAGATTAACAAACCTGAGACAGTAGCTGAAGCAAGAGATGATGTGATTAGAAGAAGTGTGGCTACAAACAATATGGAGACAATGATCTTCATGTTTATTTCCTTTGGCTGTCTTAAGTCCCGAGGATGATTAGCAAGGATCAGGTTTATCAAGTTCATGTGGTCTATGCATTGGCCTTTTATAGGCCGAGTTACCAACTTCTTTATTTTAAAATAAAATTGCAATATTATTCCTTCCATTATTAAATAAAACCAACTTGTTCTAGAACTTTTTGTATACTTTTTTAACAAAAATTCCAAACAGTATTTCGGTCTGATCTCTAAAACTTGTAAGAACATGTAGTTTTAATTTTACATTATTAACAAAATGATAATAATTGGGGATCATGCATCGAAACTTAGACTAATCTTCAAAAATCATTGAGTACTACTTATTCTTACCATTTAAATTATATATAGTGACCAAACATGATTAAAATCACAGTACGGAAATTCAAACTCAATGTTTTTCTTTTTTAATTCCATGATGAATCATTTAACTACTAAAGCACTATGAATAATTTCGTTGTATTTGTGTAAATATTTCTTATTTGGTACACGTTTTTTATTTTTAACAAACTACAAAATTTACTTTTGAACGTTAGTTGGGATGCCACAGTGATAATATAATAATGATACTGATACAGATGTAGTTGTCGCCAGATAGTGGATCATTCAATTGTTATACTCTCAAGAACATCTATGCATTAAAGTGTTGATGAAAAACGAGGAAGATACAGAAAAAGAAAATGGATAGAAAAAGAAAGAGGGAAACAGGCTGGTGGCAGATGGATAAGGAACAGAAACAAACGATGAGATTGTCTCCTGAAGACCTCTTTCCACGCGGTTTCCGCACATGGCTCTCATTCTCACGTATTATTCTTTTGTTCTCTTGCTCTCTAGAACTCACTTATCTGTTTGTCTTAATCTCCAAATGGCACATTGTTCAACAACTATCTAAGTCAATTCAGATGTAATAATAAATATGTTACATTATTATAGAGTATTTTCTAAAGCATCACATTTTTGCACCTCTAAAATATTGATCGGGAGAAGTGATTGTGGTGTAGTGGCGTCAGTATGTCCACCAAGAATCGGCATCACTTCACTTGGGATCGAGTCCCCTCCTCTACAATAGGAATAATTGTGCTAATGGGCCGCCAGTTGTGATCCCAAGTACAAACAAAGGCTTCCTGCTACCAAAAGTTTGAACAAATATGGCAAATAAAGCTATCGTTAAGAACAATTTAACAGTTTTCAAGGCCAAGGAAGTATAGTTTCCCATCCGAATCAAGAGAACAAGTTGGAGCTTTTGGTGCAAAAGGTTATATAATTGGCAAACTTAATTCTACGCGGATATGGAGAAGAGATTCTTTAATACTAAGAAAAATGGCATGTACAATTGATGGGAAATTATCTCAAGTTTGGCTTCTCATGTCAAGACTATTGACTTGAAATTGATTTAAAACGCTATTACTTCTGAGAGTTCCAAGACCAATACTAAAGAATATTACAGCATGTTCGGTTCGAAGCATCAAGAAGCAAACATAAAATGTGTGTGCATTCTGAAACAATCACAGCATGGGACAACATATCAAAATTTTCTCCATACAGCATAGTTAATGATTTTCGTGTTTAACAAAAATATGAAGTTGGTAAAAAAAAAAGAATCAATGTGATGAAAAAAGTTAAAAACAAGCACGTAATAAATAGTAGATTAGAAAAGTAATTGAAATTTTTAGAAGTGTAAATATGATTTTAACTTTAAAATAGTGTGGTAGATATTTTAGGGAAACAATTTTGTTACACTATTTAATGCCCTTTGTTTAAATACTACAAAATTAAATGCGGCGTTTGCATTGTTCATCGACTCCAACGAGATAAAGTTTATATTATACTGTATGTTTAGAATCTCGAGAAATAATTAGCGTAAGAAGTTTTTCATTATTAAGCCAATTTTCAAATTACCGACAAACAAAGAAAAAAAATAAGCCAATTTTCTCTATATAGATTTCGTATAAATAGCAGCGTCGTCCCCATCTCAGCTCACCAAAGCAGATTGTGCATCACCTCTTTCATCCAGCATCACAACTCGCAAGTTACAAGTAAGAATTATGTTTCTAGCAAAAAGTATAGCTATTGATGATAGATTTAATATTTTGTATATATATCATTTATAAGATAAATAATCGAATAATGTTAGAAAGATATTTATCACTAGTAAATTCATTCTAAGTGCATATTTACAATAAGTTTGCAAAATAAATGTTTGTTTTGAATTTTCGCCAACTTTTCAGATAATATACAGAATCGAATTGAATATGAGTTTTTCAGTAGATACTATCTTGTCATTTGGAATTATTTTTCTATCTAGGTTATAACTTCTTCACATATGGATTTCTACAAAAATACAACTATATTCATCTGTTTGTTATGATTTTATAGTTTGTTATTTTAAAGCTTTAATTGCAAGTATGTTCTGTTTATCAAAACAAATTGCAAGTATGTTCTATGCTTGGCATAAAAAAGAAACACATGTATAAGATTGTACTGATGCAAAACGACTACGCGAGAATTAACACTATAGTAATGAATTGTTTATCTTAATGAAGATTCAACTCGGTTCACGATCGATGGCCCAAATGTTGGAAGCAAAGGGAGGAAAAGGAGGAAAAGGAGGAAGCCAGTGGGATGATTTAGCTGACCATGACAATGTGACAAAGATTTGTGTACGAGGTGGTCGTGAAGGTATTCAGCACGTCCAGTTCGATTATGTCAAGAGTGAACAACCCAAAACTGGACTAATCCATGGTGCCTTTGGTAAAGGTTTCACACAAACGGTATGCTAATGAAGTTGCGGTTTTTATTTAATTTGATTTTTTGGGTGGCTATTGTCAAAGTTCATTATACTAGCTTAGATCTCTAGTGTTCTTGACGTGTAATTTCTAATTAATGAAGTTGTAATTTATTCTTCTTTACAGTTTGAAATTAACCATCTCAACGGTGAGCATCTAGCCTCAGTAAAAGGTTGGTATGACAATTTATCAGGTGTGATTCAAGCTCTTCAATTCGAAACAAACTACAAAACTTCTGACGTCATGGGATATGATGGGAATAATACTACCAAGTTTACACTTGAAGTAAACGGAAAGAAAATCATTGGGTTTCATGGATATGCTGAGGCAAACCTAAACTCGTTGGGAGCATATTTCACAACAATCACTCCTGCTAAACTAGCATGCCAAGGTGGCTCAGGTGGCATTTATTGGGACGATGGTGTATTCACCGGTGTAAGGAACGTGTACATATATGCTACCAATGAGATAAAGTGTATCAAAGTCGACTACGACAATGGGGGCAAAGTGAAAACGATTGAGCATGGAGATAACAAAGGAACACAACTTGAGGTCTTATTTTTACATATATAATACTAATAATTTTAAATATATGTGTGTGTAAATTAATAACGTGAGTGTGTGTGGTTAGCTTATAATTATGAAACTTTTTTTTTTGTTGTAGTTTGAGTTGGACTATCCAAATGAATATATCACATCGGTTGAGGGGAGCTGTGATCCAGACACCGGAGGTGCAACTCGTGTTAGGTCGTTAACTTTTAAAACATCCAAAGGAAGAGTCTCTCCCACGTATGGAAATGTGAATACACGCACGTTCGTGTTAGAGAGCAAAGGTAGGGCTCTTGTTGGGTTCCATGGACGGTCAGGTTGGGCTATTGATGCTATCGGTGCATATTTTGGTCCACTCCCTATTGATCTTCCTCCTCCCGCTGAAAAACTGCAAGCAAAAGGTGGTGATGGAGGAGATTTGTGGGACGATGGTGTTTTTGACGGTGTGAAGAAGATATATGTGGGACAAGGTGAGAATGGTGTTTCATCCGTCAAGTTTGAATATCACAAGAACAACTCGGTAGTTGCAAAAGGTGATCATGGAAAGAAAACAATGCTTGGATACGAGGAGGTGATTACTATTTTCATTTAATTTCTTTAATGTCATATTGAGATACTGTGAAACATACTTGTATTGTTTCTGGTGAAACATTTAACTATTTAACATTTTATTGTTTCGCAGTTTGAGCTGGACTTTCCGAGTGAATACATCACAGCAGTGGAGGGTTGTTTCGACAAAGTGATGGGAAGTGAAAGTGGAGTTGTAACCATGCTTAAGTTCAAGACCAACAAGCGAACCTCTCCACCATTTGGACTTGAATCGACCTCAAGCTTCCTCATTGAGAAGGAAGGTTACAAAATCGTAGGTTTCCATGGAAAAGCTAGTCACGAGGTTCACCAGTTTGGGGTCCATGTTGTGCCCATCACTCAGTGATACTTGATCAATGTCATATGAGTTACATTGAACAACTCTTCTCATCAACCAAGTTTGATCATGTATTCATGTCGTTACTTTAATGCTCTTGTTGTCATTTGTTTTCATCTTTTCCTCTTATAATTTGATGTTGTCTATGATCTTGCTTTAATGCTTGTTGTTTGACATGTCGTTCAGCTCCGCAATGTCACGTAATAAGGAGGTGATTTTCAATCCGATTTCAACATTTCATTTTATAAAAGAAAACATGTGTCGTTTTGAGTTAACGAGTGACCTCTTTTGAATCATAACATTTAATGTTTTGGTATATTTGTTCGTTTCAAAATAGACAATGTTTTGAAGGCAAAAGAACGTAATCGGAGAAATGGAATTCAGTAGAATCAGTACACTAATAATCAAATAGAATGAGAAAGGAAAGCAACAAAAATATCTCCGAACAAAATATCCTGATATCTCCCCATCTCAACTCTCAATAAGTATCCTCTCCGAATGATAATAAATCCCAAAAGAATTCAGTTCAGTCCCCAAAGTAATAACAATGGAACAAACAAAGACGACATACAAAATAAATGCAAAGAACACCCTGCCAAAGACTCCACTCTGCTTAGATCATCAACCATACGAGAACGGATCCAAGTACTAAGCTCGAGACTGTCTTGCTAGCTCCATTCTGCAAAACGTAACATTTTAAGTAAGCACTGGTTACAAACTTAATAAAAAAAAAAACAATATTCCTATAGAGCTGACAGAGCGTGATTTCAAATTGGGACTTTTCAGGCAATTAAATTAATCCGGGTGCAGTTTGTAAATATGTTAAAATAAAGGGCTCCTAATTCACAATAATCTCCCGACAGCAGATTTGGAAGAATCTTTGCTTTACGCTTTGGTGTCTATTTTATTATTCTAACGAAACTCTAAAGTTAAACTAGATCTACTTTTAGATTTCAGACATACTGCCACGTGGAAGTTTTTAATTGTTTCACGTGTAGACTGACAGACTCACGTGACTATTTCACGGCTCGAGTTTGAAGATCTCGAGACAGATGCAGCAGCAACGGTCCAAAAATCAGCAAATCCGATACGGCGCACATTAGCATTTTCTTCCTAAATTGCGCTAATCATGTTTTCTAAACTCAAGAGTCAAATACCGGTTTTAGATCTAATCACTGATTATCCACTATAGCTAAATTAACGAGTTTCATAGTCAAAAAGTATCAGATCTGAAACACATTGTACAAGATCTAAGTGGAGTAGTGAAAAAAGCGTTACGAACCTGGTCATTCACATCGGTAGAAGGGCCAGGAGATTGTGAATCGGTGTTTGGTCCCGGAGCATCAGCCGACGGCAAAGGTGGGCTAGAAGACGGCGACGGAGAAGGAGTATCTGGCTTCTTAGTAGGTGCAGGAGCTGGAACTTGAGCGGGAGGGGAGGCAAGAGGAGCTGGAGGAGGAGTAGCGACGGGGGGAGGAGTTGCTGGAGGAGGAGTTGCTGGAGGAGGAGATGCGACGGGAGGAGGAGTAGCTGGAGGAGGGGAAGAGACTGGTGGTGGTGGGTTAGCTGGAGGAGGAGCGGTTGTGGCTGGAGGAGGAGAAGCTGTGACTGGTGGTGGTGCTGAAACAGGAGGAGGAGTTGCTGCTGGAGGTGGAGTTGTTGGTGTTGGAGGAGCTGGTGTGGCGGTTGGTGGTGAAGCCGGAGCTTGACCTCCGACGCCGGCGACAAGGACGATACAGATCACGGCGATAACAAGTTGTCGACCCATTTTTTTCTGCTTTTGCTTAATTATGCTGAACACTCTCTTGGTCTTAGTGATGGTTGGTTCAGTGAGGAAATGTAAAAGGAGGAAAGTGAAAGGATTTATATAAATAGGAAAAGAAAAAAAGTGGAATGTAAGCAAAACGCAGATACATAGCGTCGTATTGAAGCTGTTTAAGTGGATGTATTGTATAATGTCATGTTGGTTAGGTTTGGGGTCCATGATACCATGTGAGAGTAGGCGGTGCTAGATCTGTTGACACGTTGGCGAGCGACTTGATCAAATTATGATGGGATGTGTATGAGTTGTATTAATAGAGAGATAAAGCTAGCTCTCAAAAATTCCAAACATGTATACCCAATTTTAGCTTGAATAATTGGTCCAAAACACCTATGAATAACGTGGTATTTAAGCATAAGAACTGGAGTAGTAATAAAGTGTCATTAGTACTTTTAAAACTTTCTTATTAATGTAATATCATGGGACGAATGATTGTTTTTAATCTTGTAGGAATTTACAACTTACAAGTCTCTGCATACTAAGAAAAATTACATGTTGACAAGAAAATTACTAATCAAGTTTTGTTGCAAATCTTCTTTGTTGACAAGAAAACAAGTTATAAGTTTTATTACACGTTTACTTTATTTAGTTAAGGCTATAGATTGAGAACTTGCATTTAGAGTTAGTTTTGTTAGAGTGGTAATCTCGCAGATCTGTGTAGACGTTAAATAAAGAACAAATTCATAAAGACACCATTTTATGCCAACAAATAATATCATTGCTATTTTGATTTTCTTAACTACATTGCCTTTGTTTTATACAAAATTCAGTAGCTTAGGCATGTATGTGATACCCCAAAGAAAAAACTCAACATCAAAAATTATGGGAAGCACCAAACAAATTATGGAAAATGTCAATACAGTGACAGAAAAGAGGTGGGCAAAGCTGGCAAATAAAGAGTGAAAACAAGATTGGATCTATTAAAGAACATTTTTAAATTGCCTTAGAAACAAAGTTTGTTCCTTTATTTGAAAATCGATTTGAGAGAAAAAAAAAGTTTGTTCCTTATGAAACGAGTAAAGGGGAAAGTCATGGAGTGTTTTTGGTGATAGCATGTCGAAGGTGGGTCAGGTTGGGGTTATCCTGTGCGTTGCGATGGATGCTTTTGAACAAACCGAATATATTATTTTGGGAATTTGGGACCATATATCATATTCAATTATTTGATGAATTTTGGATTTTGTTAGTGCTATTATTATTCATGTGCTCTTCCAGACACCCAATGTTACTGCCACTTCATATATAAAATATAAAATCAGTTTGGTGTATAGCCTAAATTTTGAAAATATTTCAAAACACAACAAGTGAATTTTTCAATGAAGTAAATAGGAAAAAGAAGAACAAAATTTGACTAAAAATATCTTTGGTGAATGGTAAATGGGAAATGGTAAACACAGCAAGAGAGAAACTATATGTCAAATTGTATCTATGTTCTTCATCACAAACTGGCTTCACAACTTTGTTTATTTTTGGTATTTCAGTTATGTGTTTCTTTGGGACGAATCTTTTATCGAGATCTAACACCAACATCAAACCAAATGTAGAAAAACCTATGTAAGAGCTTAGAACAAAATGTTGGTATACTTTTCAAGTTTTTGCTAAAAAATTTTGTTCAGGTAGGGACTATGTTGTTTTGAGATGGAATCATTGTGTTCTAATGCGTTAGTTTCATTCGATTCAATATGATGATGGTCCCGACTTGTGATAATGGTTAAATGTGGTGGCTTGGATCTATCAAACATTTTTCACTCATCTTTTTGAAATCTATACTTTATGATTATCACGTATGTCTCCTAACGTTTACGATTTCAAATTTTTGAAAAATCAGACCAAAATATGCAGATTTATTTTTCTCTTTTTTTCATTTACAATTATGGCCAAATATTTCTCCTCGTTTTCGACAAAAACCCCAAAAAATAAAAAGGATAGCATCAAAACCCTTCTCGTCTTCCAATTTCGTTTTCATTTTCACCACACAGAGTCACAGACACAGACAGCGATAATGGCGGTTTCTTCTGGAACTTTCTCCTCCACCTTCCTCTGCATCAAAACGGCGTCGCTCCGCATCGAATCGGCTCCTTCGTCTTCTCTCAGGCTAGCCTCTCAGCCGGATAAACTACGATTGGTACGAGCGTTAACTTCTGCGACGGAATCTTCGGAGCCAACCAGTAAGAGAGTGCCGCGCGGTATCATGAAGCCACGACCAGTGTCACCGGAGATGCAGGACGTCGTCGGAGTTTCGGAAATCCCCCGAACTCAAGCTCTCAAGCGTATCTGGGCTTACATCAAAGAAAATGACCTTCAAGTAAAAATCAAATCTTTCTCTCTCACAAAAAAAAAAAAAAAACTTTCTCTCTCAATCACTCTTTGTTTGTTTTCGTTTTCGGTTACGGTTTTGTGATTGCTTTCTTATGGTAATTTGGTGTTTTCGATTCAAAAAGACATATTTTTAAGAATTGGATAACTCTTGCAAGTTTTTTCTTGAGATAAGGAAGCTGAGGATTTTGTTTGAGATTAGAAAGCTTAAACATGTTGTGTGAGTTATGTGAGTCATGACCTTACTTGTTCATATTTTACTCTCTATTAACAATCTTGAGCTGGTCTGTTAACTAGTGAACATAGTTCCAAGATTTTGAGGTGGTTTTAATTTCTTATACAATACGTTTACTAGGAGTAAAGATGGAATATGGTACTTATCTCACTTGTTTTGTTACCTATTGGTAAATAATTGTTTTCATTTTTTGAGAGTAGATGTTAATAACATTTTGTATAAACAGATTTGATTCTTTGATTGAGTCTCTCTGGTTTTTACATGTTTGGCAATGTGTGTTCTTTGAGGTGACGAATGATGTTCTCTGGCCTAAGTTCTTGAGCCTTATTCTACAGTAGTAGAGAATTGCCTATAGCAATTCGACCAGGATCTAGTCCGGTCAGAAACATGGTCTGTTCTACCATCACTCCCCCTCTGTCTGTTGAAATTGATAATCTCTGTCTGTTGGTTTTGAGATTGTCCGTTTCACACACTGAGCAAGTTTGGCTTCGTGTTTCTGATGTTTTTGATCTCCATTTCTTGGTATTGTTTCTGTTCAGTTTAGGTTCTTAATGTGTTCACTAGATTGAAATTTGAAGATGTGACTTTGAAATTCTTGTTCTATTGCATTTTTAAGTGTTTAAAAAGCTATTTTCTGCTAATGAACTGGATTTGATTATAACTCTACTTGATGTTTCACTTGCATTATATCAACCTTTGACTAAAGTGAAGTAAATTTTTTGTTATTCTTCAGGACCCTCTGAACAAGAAGGACATACTGTGTGATGAGAAGCTGAAGAAGATCTTCCAAGGCAAAGAACGGGTCGGGTTCCTCGAGGTTGCGAAGCTCATCGGTCCTCACTTCCTCTGATGGAAATTCCGGCCAAAAACATGTTGTAGGATGAGTTTTTAGCTTGTTAGGGCCATGAAGGTGTATCGTAAGTTCTTCTAAGACTTAAGCTTAAGATTAGTAAAGTAAATTTAGCCTTTATAATAATAGTTTTTGAGAAGAAAACACTTGAAGAAGTTGTCTTTTGTGGCTTTAGTGGATGTTGATGTTAATGTTATGTAGAAACCTTGCTTCCTAAGTCCTGACATTTGCTTTCTCGTTTAAATTTCAGAGCATATATTTGTTCTTGTTTATTTGGGAATCAATTTCAACACAAACCGAATTTAAAACGATTGAATACAGACCGAACCGGATGCAAACGAACCAATTTCGATGAGAATTTGGTTTAAAATTGTATCAAAACGACAAAACCTAACACAAACCATATCAAATTAATTTCGGTGAGAATTTGGTTCAAAATTTATCAAACCAAAATGACCAAATCAACCAAATGGGATGCAAACCAAAACGAATTTCGATTACTTTGGCTAAAATTTTATGACAACCGAATACAAAGCAAACCAAACTAATTTTGATTAAAATGTTATCAAACCAAACCGAACCCAAAAATAAATTAGAAAACCAAAATGCCAATAAAGATATTTTTCGGTTATTTACGGAAAATTAAAAAAAAAAAAGAAAGGTTTTAGCAGAAAATATCCATTCACTCACTTCTCTTCTTCCTCGTTTTCCCTCTCCGTTTTCCTCTCTACTCACCTCCAATGGCGGACAAGCTAGCTCTCCCGCTTCTTCTTCCAAGCACACCTTCCTCAAAACCCTTATTTCACGACCAAAACCACCACCACCACCTCTCTAGAACACCATTTCTCACATCCCAACTTCAATCACCACCACCATCATCTCCTTCTCCGGTGGAGCCACTCCTTCACGACGTCTTCCTCCACCAAAACCCCAATTCAAGACAACCCATAACCCCACAAACCCCCAGAATCCGCAACCGTACTCGAATCGGCAAGTCACGAGACCCCAACCTCGGGAAACCTTGGTCTTACCATGGCTTATCTCCACAAGGTCAACAAATTCTCCACTCTCTAATCGAACCTTCCTTCGATTCCAATCAATTACACCCTCTCCTCTCTCAGCTCTTCGAGCCTTACAAACACAATCCTCCTCCGTCGTCACCGTCATCAGAATTACTAGCTCTTCTTAAAGGATTAGGCTTCCACAAGAGATTCGATTTAGCTCTAACCGCATTCGATTGGTTTATGAAGCAGAGAGATTACCAATTCATGTTAGACAACTCTGTTATCGCTGTAGTCATCTCAATGCTCGGCAGAGAAGGAAGAGTCTCTTCCGCTTCAAAACTCTTCAACGGCTTACAAGAGAACGGCTTCTCTCTCGACGTCTACTCCTACACTTCTCTAATCTCTGCTTTCGCCAACAGCGGAAGGTACAGAGACGCAGTAACGGTGTTCAAGAAGATGGAGGAAGAAGGTTGCAAACCGACTCTGATCACATACAACGTTGTCCTCAATGTGTTCGGCAAAATGGGAACTTCCTGGAGCAAGATCACGTCTCTAGTGGAGAAGATGAAGAGCGACGGGATTGCTCCTGATGCTTACACTTACAACACGCTGATAACTTGCTGCAAACGAGGCTCGTTACACGAGGAAGCTGCTCGTGTTTTCGAAGAGATGAAGATCGCTGGGTTTAGTTACGATAAGGTTACGTACAATGCTTTGTTAGATGTTTACGGGAAGTCTCATAGGCCTAAGGAAGCTATGAAGGTTCTGAATGAGATGGAGGTTAATGGATTTACTCCGAGTATTGTGACTTATAACTCTTTGATATCTGCTTACGCGAGAGATGGGATGTTAGATGAAGCAATGGAGCTTAAGAAGCAGATGACGGAGAAAGGGATGAAGCCTGATGTTTTCACTTACACGACGCTGTTGTCTGGGTTTGAGAGAGCTGGGAAAGTTGAATCTGCTATGAGTGTGTTTGAGGAGATGAGAGAGGCAGGTTGCAAACCGAATATCTGTACTTTCAATGCGTTTATCAAGATGTATGGGAACAGAGGGAAGTTTGCTGAGATGATGAAGATCTTTGACGAGATCAATGTGTGTGGTCTCTCTCCTGATATTGTCACTTGGAATACGTTGTTGGCAGTGTTTGGCCAGAACGGAATGGATTCTGAGGTTTCGGGTGTGTTCAAGGAGATGAAGAGAGCTGGGTTTGTACCGGAGAGAGAGACTTTCAACACGCTGATCAGTGCTTATAGCCGTTGTGGCTCGTTTGAGCAGGCGATGACTGTTTACAGGAGGATGCTTGACGCTGGAGTCGTTCCTGATCTTTCCACTTATAATACAGTCTTGGCTGCTTTGGCTCGTGGAGGAATGTGGGAACAGTCTGAGAAAGTTCTTGCGGAGATGGAAGATGGTAGATGTAAACCGAACGAGTTAACTTATTGCTCTCTGCTTCACGCTTATGCCAATGGGAAGGAGATTGGTCGGATGCATTTCTTAGCGGAGGAAGTGTATTCAGGAGTTATAGAGCCTCGAGCTGTGTTGTTGAAGACGTTAGTCTTGGTTTGTAGCAAGTGTGATCTCTTGCCAGAGGCAGAGCGAGCGTTCTCCGAGCTTAAAGAGAGAGGCTTTTCTCCTGATATCACCACGTTGAACTCTATGGTTTCGATATACGGAAGAAGGCAGATGGTGGCGAAGGCGAACGAGGTTTTGGACTACATGAAGGAGATGGGTTTCACACCGAGCATGGCGACTTACAACAGCCTCATGTACATGCATAGCCGGTCTTCTGATTTCAGGAAGTCAGAGGAGGTCTTGAGGGAAATACAAGGGAAAGGGATCAAACCGGATATCATATCGTACAACACTGTGATCTACGCGTATTGCAGGAACACTCGGATGAGAGATGCGTCTAGGATATTCGCGGAGATGAGGGAGGCAGGGATTGTTCCTGATGTGATCACTTACAATACGTTTATTGGCTCTTACGCTGCTGATTCCATGTTTGAGGAGGCTGTTGGTGTTGTTAGGTACATGATCAAGAATGGTTGTAGACCGAACCAGAACACGTACAACTCGATTGTTGATGGGTATTGTAAGTTGAACAGGAAAGATGAGGCGAAGCTGTTTGCTGAAGAGTTGAGGAATGTTGATCCGAATGCTCCTAAGGACGAAGATCGTAGGTTGCTGGAACGGATAGGGAAGAAATGGCCAATAAGATAGTTGGAGGAGACTTAAGGACTATTGGCTGTGTAAGCTATATACAACATCCAAAGATGACCCTTCATCATCTGTTTGCTTGTACAGATGAAATTGAAGTATGGAACTGTATAGGCCGTTGGTGGTTCTTGGTTAGTCACTGGATAGATAACACATGCTCAGGCTCTGCTTCGTTGGAACTAGCTTGGCTGAGAATGCTGCACGCGAGAGCTTATATATATTTATGGGTATTAGAACATTGTTGCTAGCTGCATGAGAAAGAAGGAGAGATAGTTTATAAGATAAGTTATCGTTTCAAGATGTGTATTTGTAGCTTTATGTATAATATTTGGAAGTTTCATAAGGCAAGATGCTCATTGTTATACTCTCTGCTAACAATTGTTTTATTGCTTACTGTTACTTTCAAACAAACCACAGGCTACAAGAAAACATTAGTGGAAAAATTCCAAATTTCGTTAGAAGAAAAAGAGATTACTTTTCTTACACATAGAACAAGTGGTTACAAAACTTAATACTGTTTCTCATAAAAGAGATAAAAAAATTTCGTTACAAGAAAAAAAAGATGAAACTTTAAAAGAAGATTCTCTACTTTGACGATCCTTGCTTGATTTGGCTCTTAGCTTTCTCTTTGATGATCAGATTCGTAACTTTTGGAAGAGATTCTCTACTCTGAGATTAGCTTTCCTCGATTTGACTCTACACTTCATAGCTTTGATTTGAGCATCGACTCTCTCAATCCTCTCGGACAAGGCTTTGGCCATCATCTTCTTCGTCATAAGTCCTCTCGCGAAATCTTCGTGTACGAACTCCAATTCTCCAGGACCTTTGACGACTGCTTTAAAGCCATGATTGCGAAGCTCTGCTAAAAACTCTTTTAAACTTCTGCCCAATCCTGAGGATTTTGTGAGAATGTCTCTCTGAAGCTTTTTCAAGTCCCAAACGACGAAACTGTTGTCGTTGCTGCTTTTGCTCCACGAAATAATCGGATCCGTTGAAGAATCATCCACAATCTGATATAACTGGATGTAGAACGAAGACAAATCCTTTGGGAGTTTCTGAATCATCCTCGAAAAGGGGAAGAAGACGAAGATCGAGTAGAAGCAGAGACCTCAAAAACTTATCAATCGAGAGAGTAAAAAGGAAACTTTGAAGATCGTTGAATGAGATTTTAGCTCTACCTGCTGTATTATATAGCTATGGTTGCAAATTTGCAACAGCCATATGATGAAATTTCCTTTTTTCGGTTTAAAACTTTTTCCTTTTTTCCTATCAAGAAATTGGACGGTCAAGATCTGATTAGGATCATATCAACGGTCATTATTAAAACTATAAAGTCGGTTTGACTTATATTGCATTAACGGGATTATAGTTAACTGGCCTTTTTGTTGTTCTCTGTCCAAAAATAAAAACGACACCGTTTCGTAGCCGCCAACCAGAAAAACGCACCGTTTTGTAATAAGTTTTTGTGACTTTGCCCTAGTATCTGCTCGGTTCTTTACAAAATCATCTCCAAGGTTTTGGTGAAAAGAATCCATCCAATTCTGCCTGCCATTGCTGACAGAGTGCTGAAATGAATAATATTTTGGCATTATCACTTAACTTCAGTTCCTAAGAAAAGTCATTTTCTTTCGATCTAAGGAGTTTTGATTTTCTTCAATCAAAAATTGGACCCTTTTAAATTTTTACGAATATTATCACATTCACAAAAAACCTACATGATATTTACGTATTTTCTTTTGCGATCTACTCTTCTTATCCATTGATGATGATCGATTGTGTGTTTCTTTAACAAGGTTTTGATGGATTTTCCTTTACCGAATTCGTAGTAGAGGACAAGACAATGGCAACAAAGCATCGCTCGAGTGTGGAATTGGAATCGCTACCCCATGACGTGATAGAGCTGATCCTCGAGAGGCCTCCTGTGAAGTTTCTGCTCAGATACAAGATCGTGTGCAAGCTCTGGAGATCGACAATCCCTTCACAACGTTTCCAAGAGGCGCAGTTGCTCCGTAGAAGGCAATTACAATGTCCGGACATACTCTTCGCGTCCTTTGATCAAGAGAAACCTCCAGCAAGGACGCTTACGCTTGGGTCCTCACTGGTTTGCAATGTGAAGTTCCCTACATCAAATACATTAGTTTGCCATGCAGATTGTGAAGGTATGCTCTGCATGTACTCGTACTACACACCCATCATCATCATCAACCCAGCTACGAGAATGCAAGAAAGCTTTCCTCTCTCCAAGATTCAAGAGTAGGTTGTCATGCGTTATGATAATGGAGAGTTTGAATTCACATGTCCTACGATTCGGTAGAGACAAAGTGAGCGGGAAATTCAAGGTGGTGTTGGTGTTTCTGTACAACTCATTTGAGTTTGGGCTAGAAAAAGAAATTACATGTGAAGTATTCGATTTCACCTCCAAAGCTTGAAAGTTCATTGTGCCTGCCTCTCCTCAGCGGATTCTTGAGTGCCACAAACCTGTGTGTATCATGATGGCTCTCTCCACTGGTTCACTGAAGGTGAAGCCACCAATGTGTTGTCTCTGAATATGGAAACCGAAACTTTCCGAGTCGTTTCCAAAGCTCCCTTTGCACATGATCTTCATCGTGATCTGGAAGGGTGGATTTGATGGATTTGATAGTCCAAATCGCAAGTTGTCTTGCTGAAGCTGTACAAGCGTTGTGCAATTTTTTTAACACAAGATTCCACCAGTTGTTTTACATGACCGGCCACCTCATTTATCCTCTGACCAAGCAGGTCAAATCAGACGAAACAAGCTCCTTTGACACAGTTCATCGTCATTAAGAAAATCATTGCATTTTTTTTTTAAAAGCCAAAAAATGGCTTCTAACATTTTGAAAATGCCGTATTTTTTATTTTTTAAGTCACAATTTTCACAACCACTTTTAAAATAAAAACCAAAAGTCAAAATCTTTGAACCTAAAACAATAAACCCGATATTCACAATCACATAACCCAATAATTGAAGATTGTCCCCTGAATTTCCAAATCCAAGAATCACAAACCGAATTTGCCTATTAAACCAAAAACCCTAATTTCGGAAAGTATAAAATGGGAAAGAAATGAGATTTTTTCTTACTGAGAATTGATTTTCAATTGCGAGATATGTTCACGTTCACTTCTGATATTATTAACACATTTTTTTTTTAAGTAAAAATAAAAATTATTTTACTCGATGACAGTTTTGCTTTGACTAAACCAAGTTGAAAATGTTAAATTTGGATGTATGTTTAATCAAACTTATGTTTTTGCAAGTGCTGCTAATCATTTTGGTTCATTTTTGTCACAAATTTGTAAACCATAATTCATCTTGAGACTTTTATACATAACTTTTTCTTCATTTAGTTGATTAATTTATCTCTATTCTTAAAACTTCAAACCGTATCATATACGAAAAAATCCTTATTTTTTTAAATTATATGGATTATATTGCTTCGATTTCTATTAAAATACACGACAAAAAGATGAAGGAGAAAATATAATTGTCATAAGAGTCCTTTTTCGTAAAAAGATATAAAAAGCTAACCAGCTTTTGTAAAAAAAAATGGTACAGTCCAGTCGAGTAGACTATAACATGACGAGCGGAGACTGTTCGTCGAAAACTACCAAAACTTGAAGACCCATAAGTGTTCAACTAATTAAGTCGCCGATGGCTTTCAGTTCTCTCTCACTCATCTCTTTACTAATTTCTTCTTCTTCTTTGGCGTGCTATAGAATCTTATCTTCAACTTACCTCTCTTCCACATCATCTACCTCTATATAAATGCAGAACCATTAGTCACAATGATAAGTAAAACTTAGATTGAATATCAAGATGACATCTTCTAGAGTCTCTTCCATGGTCCTTTTTCTCATTCTTCTTTTTGTGTTTCCTCATATGGATGAAGCCCTTCGCACACACATGGAGCTCCACAAACTTAGTGAGTCTTTTCTCTTTGTCTATATATATTCGTTAGCTATTACAATTTTTTTTTTTAGGGGTGTTAATTTAATCATGATTTTGGTTTGGTTTGGTTTCTTCGAAGTTTTGAGTTTAGAGTTTTAAAAAGAAAAATAGTATATTATAGTAAATGTAAAACTTAGTCTAACATAGATCGATTTGATAAAATTTCATAATCAATCAAATTTATCTTTAGGTTTACAAAAAAAAGAGAGAAACAATAATTGAGGTATAGCGGTTTTGGATGTACTGTACAAAAATATAACAATTTTTCGTTATACCACGAATCCAATTTGGTTTTAAGTTCGGTTAATCCGGATTCATCAGACAAAATATTACAAAATTACAAAACTTCGATAATAATGTGTAATGTGTTTGGGTGGTGCTGGTGCAGAAGAGACAAACCATCCTGATCAAACTCTCCAACGTGGTGGTGGTTTTGGACGGATTATTGAACGGGGAAATAATTGGTTGAAAAAACACAAACCTCAGCACACAAATATACCGTCTTTTTCTCCTCCTCCGTCCGCCTTAAGCTCTTCCAAGGGCACACACAGACCTGGTCATTAATATCGCTGTGGAATCAAATGCGTCTATTATATACATGGACGTCTTTTACGTTGTGGTTTTGTTTGCCATTTCTGTCATCTATATATATCACAAATATGACTAGGTTACTTTATTTCGGCTCAGCCGTAACGCCTCTTCCGACGCATTTGAAGCTTTGCTTTTAATTCGCTGTCGTATGAAGATCTATCTTTATTAATCTCTACCTTGTTTATGCACTTTTGTATTGTTCAAAGAGGATGCTTAATACCTTCTTCCTATTGTATTATCTAAGTTTAATCTAATGAATAATGTGCTGCCCAAAAACAAATATCTGTTAAATTTTATAAACTTTATACTAGTTTTTTTTTTAATGATAAATCTTTTTTGTTTTTGTAAAGAAAATCATCTTCCCTCGATTGTTAAGACATGTATCTAAACGTAAGAAGATTTTTAAAAGAAAACTTTTACTATCATGTGTGATTCATATCTAAAAAAACAGAATGTATACATAATGAATGAAAAATAGATTCAAATCGTAGAACAAGAGGTTACAAAGCGTTTCTGAAAAATCAACAAAATTTCTTTACCACTAAAACAATTAATTGACATACGCATAAACGACCTTTTCAGATTTGTAAATCTTGCAAGAGATGCACAACTTTGGATCTAGCTTTCCTTGCTTTGGCTTTAGCTCTCTTCACTTTAAGTCTCTCAGCAAATTTCTCGTTCCAAGCTTTCCTCGGCACCATCTTCCTCAAAAGCTCAGGTCGACCTCTCACGAAATTCTCATGCACAAACTCGAATCTCCCGATACTTTCAAACCGATGATAAAGTAGCTCCGACACAAACTCTGAGAAATTCCGACCAAACTCGGCGGATTCGGGCAGAACTCTTCTGCGAAACTCGTCGACCTCACGAACCACGAAACTGCTGTTGTTGTTGCAGTTTTTGCTCCACGAGATGATTTGATCCGATGAACGATCATTCACAATCGTATACAGTTGGATGAAGAATGTATATGATCCCGTTGGTAAACTTCGAGTCATCCTCAAACCCTAAACACACTCCTCGAAATCAGAAACCCTAAATTGTTTCCTATTTGTTGGATTATCGGAAAACACAAACTGATCAGATACGAAGAAGAGCTTAATTTATAGATTAGGTATCAAAGCAATTGACGCTCACGATCTTAATATCATCAGGTAGATTTTAACGGTCAAGATTCGATTTACCAAAATTTCCTTTTTTTCCCAACTAAACAATTGACTTGACGGTCAAGATATGATGATCAGGAAATTGAATTGTTCAATTCTTCACTTTGGTTCACTCGGTTCATGTACGGTTTAGGTTAACTGGCTGGAAATTAGCTAGACCGAAAAAAACCAACATTTTTTTGTGTGGCACCAAGTTCTCGGAGAATTAAACACAGTAGAAGCAAACATGAGCCGAGCATTGTTCAGACACGTCGCCACCGATGCCGCCCGGCTAATACGGCGTAACGCGGCGGCGGAAGACCCGGTTGGGAAGACCGGTGTTGCTCATTCCGATGTCAGGCGATTGCAATCGAAGTCTTATTTCCGCTCGCGTCAGCTTCTTGGGAGAGCAAAAGAAACAAAACTCTCACCTACGCCTTCTTCTTCGGGTTTCTGTTCATCTTCTCCTTCTTCCTCGTCTGCGTCGGTGGATTTCGTCGGATGGTATCTTGGTATGGTGAAATCACGCCCAGTTCTCACAAAAGGTGTCACTTCCTCGCTGATTTACATTGCCGCCGATTTATCTTCTCAGGTATACTTAACTTTAAAAATTGCTTCAAATTTTTGGTTTACTTTGCTTTTGATATAGATTAAAAAGATTGCAATTTTACTTGAAAATGAGTCTCCTTTTCCAAATTATGAGATTCTCAAAAGATAAATTAGCTCAATTTTGAACAAGAGGAGTGAAGTTTGAATTTTTATTAGAGTAATGTGTCTTAAAGTCTCTGCAATTTTAGCTGTTTAATGTGAATTGAGCCATTTTCCACTGTTACATTACCTTGCAGTGTGTATGCTTCAATTCAGTTGAAAATTACCAGAAGATTATGCTACATTGCTACCATCAAACTCTAAATCATTTTGCTTGTGATTACTGATGAGTGATTGGTTATTTCCATTAGAGAGAGTCCCACAGTTTGTAACTTTCTGCTTTTAGTTTAGTAAGAGTCACATAGAGTCTCAGGGTTTTGTTTTGATTAACACTAAACCATGTCCTAAAGCTATTCTACTTTCCGTTTGTTTTGTTCAGGTGAAGGCGGTTCGGATATAGTTGCAACTTGCAAGATTGAAAAGGGACTTTCTTCCGGCGATGCTAAACTGTGTCATGTATTGGCCTGTCTGTGATTTCATAACATTCAAGTTCTTCCCCGTTCATTTACAGGTAACAAAACGATCATTTGACTCGCACTTCCTCTGTTTAACTTTCCTCATTGCTTTTTTCCTGGTCTTGCTGCAGCCTCTTGTGAGCAACTCGTTTTCGTATGTGTGGACAATCTACATGACTTACATGGGAAACCGTAAGAAACCAGACGCGCTTTCGAGCTGAAACACTCAAGAATATCTTCTACATTATATCTCCGGCATTGCATGTGGGTGAGAAGTGAAGAAACAGAGCTTGAAGAGGCCACATCAAAACTGCAGTTAGTTAAAAGACTAAAGCATTCTTCAAGATTCTATGTTCTCTGTTTGTAAATTTTTAGGTTGGTTAGTGTAAGTGCTTAGAAGAACCATCAAATGGATTGAGTTTTGTTTCCACAACTAACATTCGATTGGTGACATATGTTTACAATAAGAAACGTTCACTTCTCATGGAAGTGATGTTTGTTCTATTTGTGGATTACTTGTATGATTGTTTAGTTAAGATATATTCTTGTATTGCGTGGTGTCTGGTAGTCTGGTACAAGTGATTTGATTGTGTTGTGTTTCATATAGGCAAATGTGATTGCTTTTATTGAAGAACTCGTTTTTGGTGCTAAAAACTCAAAAATCAATTGTATTTGCAAATATGATAAAGGATTAGAGAGTATCGGGTTTGTTTTAGAAGCAAAAGATCAAATGAACTTTAAAAACAACCCAAAAAGGCATTGGACAATTACAAATTAGAACAAAAGCATATAAGGAATTGAACTAGCAAAGAGGTAAATGAATAAACAAAAAAATTGTAATGTATGTGGAAGTTTGGACCATTGTTTCTATCTATCAAGATGACGGTGAATATGATTTTCTCTCATCACACTTTCTTCAATTGGGGTATAGAAAAACGTCATTTCTTCATTTCTTGAGTTTTGTCTACTATTTTGCAGCTTTTTGATCCCAACTCACACACCAAATTGGCTGCTTTTGAGATATTGTATCTTCTCATTGATAGGCTGGAAGATCCCTACCATAAGTGTGTTTTTTTCGTAAACTATCCAACACCAAATTAGCTCCACATATATGATTTGGTGATGGAGAAGGATCTTGAGAGCCAAAAGAAGCCTCTTCAAAAGACGGCTCAATACATCTTATCTGAAAAAAGACTTGTCAAACTCGCATTCCTATGCCCTAAAACATCTCAAAGAAAATTCTATTCCATTAGGAAGAAGCTTGGAGTCATTGTATCCATCTCTCAAGATGAAGATGATAAAGATTCACTCATTACTATTTCTTCCACTGAGGTACAAAATCATCCCTTCTTCTCTTTCTTTTGCTATCTGATCATATTGATGAGCTTCATCTTCTGTTTTTCAGGTTGTTGAATTCAACTCCCCAACAGAATCTGCTTCTTTTGAGATGTGTGAGCTACTCATGGACATGCCAGAGAAGGCTCATCTCAAACGTTTGAAGGTGGGATCCTATAGGATCCGAATCCTTGGAGATGACAAAGAATGCTTTGAGGTTGATTTCGTTTATACATGGACTTTAATCACCAAAACCGAAATTTGTTTCATTCCAAGGAATGAAGAGTCGTTTGTGATTCAGGTAAGTTATTTGGTTAATTTTAGTTGGTTATTTTTAAAATTTATTTGGTTGTTGATTTTTTTTTCTTTTATGTTTCTCTCTTGAGATTGTAGGAGACTCTTCAAGCTCGGTGGAGAGAGCCTTCACTAAAGTGATCTTGAGAATGAGGAAAAACGTATTCGTTGTTGTGTAAATTTCTTTGATCGTAAAACTCGGTGGTCTTGAGATTAAAAGTAGATTTTGATTTTGAGTATTGTAAAGTTTTGGAAACCATTTTTTTTATGGAAAATCCACAGAAGTTTTCCAACGAAATAATTTGTTGGAAATTCATTAACTTTTCTTAAAGAGTTTGTCTCTCACTTATCTCTTCACTAATTTATATTATTCTTTGGCGTATTCTCTATCAATACCATATCTTCAACTCTCTCTTATCGTCATATAAAATTATAAATGCAGAAACATTAGTCACATTGATAAGTAATCTTAGAGCGAATATCAAAATGACATCTTCTATAGTCTCTTCCATGGTTCTCTTTTTCATTTTTCTTGTTGTGTTTCCCCATATGGATAAAGCCCTTAGCACACATATGGAGCTCCGCAAACTTAGTGAGTCCTTTTGTCTCTATATATTCGTAAATAACTACGGGTTTTTTTTTTTGGGAGTGTTTATATTAATCCTGATTCTGGTTTAGTATTTTCGAAGTTTTGATTATAATTTTGAAAGAGAAAATAGTAAACGTAAAACTTAATTTAACATAGATCGATTTGAAACAATTTCAATTGCTTTTATTGTATATTTAATAAAATGTATGTGTCATATAGTTCTTATAAATTTTTGGGGTTATTCATGCTAAATTCTTAATTATATTTATTATTAGTAGTAGTACATACGGAAAATATAATGGGAAATTCAAAGCTGAGCCACATTGAACAACGCCATGCAAACCTGAACAAAGAAGAGAGTGGCTGAATGTTTCTTGTTGTTATTCACAAAGATATGTGCATAATATATATACAACTCAACTCTTTAACCTAATACCCTCGAGATAATATTCTCATACAATGAAACTTCCCAAAAATTGTCAAGGAGAATATCTTAACTTGTGTCCCACGATATTCTCCTAACACCCCCTCAAGCTGGAGCATGTGGATTGCAAATGCCCAGCTTGTCTCTAAACTTTTCAAATTCACGACAGCCTAAAGCTTAGTAAAGATATCTGCCAATTGTTCTTTCGTATCAACCTTTTTTGTTGCTATCAACCGGTCGTGAACAGCATCTCTAACATAATGACAGTCAATTTCAACGTGTTTCGTCCGCTCGTGGAAGACAGGATTCGCTGCGATGTACAAAGCAGCTTGATTATCACAGTGTAAACTCATTGGTCGATCATGCTCGACACCGAGTTCCATCAAAAGTTGTCGCAGCCCTTTCAATTCACACAAAGCCATCGCCATACACCTATACTCTGCTTCAGCAGAGGAACGTGATACCACGTCTTGCTTTTTGGTCTGCCACGAGATAGGAGAACTTCCTAGTTGCATGAGCCATCCACTCAACGATCGTCTTGTTAGCGGACATCCCGCATAGTCTGAATCGCACCACCCATGCAGCCGTAAATCACAGTCAGATTTCAAGAAAACCCCTTGTCCCGGTGTTCCTTTGAGATAACGTATCACACACATCAGAGCTATCCAATGATCATGTCTGGGATGTTGCATAAACTGAGACAAGATATGAACAGCATAGGCCAAATCTGGTCTTGTTGCAGCAAGATATATCAACTTTCCCACTAGTCGACGATATTGTTCAGGATTCTCTAACAATGGACTTTGGGACAACGCAAGTCCATGTTGTTGCACCATCGGAAATGTCACAGGTTTGCATCCGAGAAGACCAGCCTCACTAATGATATCAAGTGTATATTATCGTTGACACAAGAAAATTCCTTCAGGTCTTCTCGCTACTTCAATCCCGAGGAAATATTTCAAACCTCCAAGATCCTTCATGTGAAAACATTCACTAAGATAAGCTTTAAAGCTTTTAATACCATCTGAATCATTCCCTCCAATGATCAGATCATCTACGTATACTAAAACATAGATTTCGGAACCGTTTTTCCGCATCGAGAACATCGAATAATCAGTCCGCGCCTGAGAGAACCCGTAATCAAGTAGAGCACCTCTCAGCATCTCAAACCAACATTGCGGCGCCTGTTTCAAGCCGTAAAGAGACTTCCTCAACTTACACACCAAATTGGATCCATCTGCTCCATTCACTCTAAATCCTGGTGGAAGCTTCATGTACACTTCTTCATCTAAATCACCATGTAGGAAGGCATTGTGTACATCCATTTGATGCAACTCCCAATTCTTAGCCGCAACTACTCCCAAGAATGTACGAACGGTGGTCATTCTTACGACCGGAGCAAATGTTTCTGTATAATCGGTCCCTTCTTCCTGGTTGTTCCCCAAAACCACTAATCGAGCTTTGTATCTTTCCACTTCACCAGTCGACAAGAATTTAATCTTGTAAATCCATTTGCACCCGATGGCTTTCTTTCCCGGAGGTAGCTCTGTTAAATCCCATGTACGAGCTTTTTCCAATGCTCCAATTTCCACATGCATAGCATCACACCATACACGTTCGATGACGGCATCTCGAAACAGAACCGGTTTTGTTCCTGCAGTAACAGCAGCCAAGAAAGCACGATATTTTGGTGAAAAAGAGCTACTATCAATAAACACAGAAATTGGATATTCACTTGAGCCTCCATCAGCAAGAAACTCTGGGATTTCATCCGTCTTGATCGCGTTGAGGACAAAATCTTTTAACTTCACTGATGTTGTCTTTTGCCTCAACCCACGACCCAACTCTTCTGTTCTGACCTCAGCTGCAGCCTCGTTTTGAGCAGCAGGTTCGTCTTGCTCAACTACAGCAGAAACTTCATCACTGTTTTCCATCCCCGTCTCAGGTAATGGTACTTCTACATCCTCATGTTCTGCCTCACTAGCAGTCTCAGCCTCAACTTCTTCAACCACACCATCATTTTCTGCATCTTGATCTCCATCATCTGTGTATGTATCATCATCCTCCTCTGTTTCACTCAACATACCAGAGATGTTGTCTTCACGTAAAGTCTCCTCAGTTTTGAAGGGAAAATTATTTTCAATGAATACTACATCACGTGAGACAAATATCTCTTCTTTTTCTAGATCAAACAATGTCCATCCTTTCTTCCCGAATGGATATCCAAGCATGATGCATTTTCTACTCCGCACATCAAACTTATCTCCGTCGCGTTTTTGCTTGTGAGCAAACGCTAGACAGCCAAAAACTCTAAGATTATCATATATGGGACTTTTCCCATGGATCACTTCATAAGGTGTTTTACCTTTCAAGACGCTAGATGGCGTTCTGTTGATCAAATAAGCTGCTGCCAACACACTCTCGCCCCAAAACTTGACGGGAAGCGATGATTGAAACAACAATGCTCTTGCCACATTCAAGATGTGACGATGTTTTCTTTCTACTCGGCCGTTTTGCTGCGGTGTGCCTAAACACAAAGTCTGATGTATAATGCCTTGTTCACGCAGCCCTGATGTTAAACATGTAAACTCAGTTCCATTATCACTTCGAAGTATCTTGATTCGTTTATCAAATTGCCGGGAGACCAAAGCCAAGAAATTCTTTAAGGTTATCCCAACCTGTGACTTATCGTGAAGTAAGTATACCCACACAGCTCGAGAGAAATCATCCACGATAGTCAAGAAGTAAAAAGAATTGCAGAGACTGGGAGTACGATAAGGACCCCATAGGTCTGTGTGAATCAAATCAAAAATACCATCACTTTTATTATCACTTGAGTGAAAAACCTCACGACATTGTTTAGCTTTCAAACAAGTTCCACAAGTAGAAAAATCCATACTCCTATTTCCAACAAAAGGAATTAAATCAAAAACAGTGTTTGACGGATGTCCAAATCGCTGATGCCACAGCTCCTCAGCTCCATCTTTATTCGTACGCAAAGCAGAAAAAGTCGAAATCCTTCGGAAAAAATAGAGCCCTTCTCTAAGTTCCCCTGCTCCAGTCAGATTCCTCGTTATACGGTCCTGAAGTACACAACCTTTGTTAGCAATTTGCATAACACAATCTGTATCTGCGATTAGTTGAGACACAGAGATCAAATTGCACTTCAGTTCAGGAACCAACAATACGTTCTTAAGACTGAAATCCTTATCAAACACCACTGTTCCCTTCGTTCTTGTCAACGTTTGTTGACCATTCGGCAAACCAATAGAGCAAGGCAATATATATTTCAAATCAGCAAGAAAATCAGCAGAACCTGTCATATGGTTAGATGCTCCAGTATCAAGTACCCAATCATAGTATTCAATCTTACCACTTAGACGAGGTGTGCCACTCTGTTTTCCATCATCGAGGATTTTGATCAGCTTGCTCCACTGCTCATTAGTGAGGCCCGTGAACCCATTTCTTTCAGCGTCGTTACTGCTTTCACCACTTTCCTGCGTTGTTACAGCATGTGCACGAGCACCCACAAAAACTCCTCGACCACGTCCGCCTCTGCCACCACCACGTCCGAATCCTCCTCTAGACGAGAAACTTTGATCTCCGCCACGTCCCGTTCCTCCTCTAGCTCTCTCTCCCCACCAGGGAGGATATCCCACAACTTGGAAACATGTTTCAGCAACGTGTCCTGTCTTCTTGCATTCGGTACAGAACAATTTGCTCTTGTCTTCTCCACCAATGTTCATGTTTCCACTGCGAACCGCAAAAGCCATCTGAGCTCCTTGCTGTTCCCTTCCTCGCACCACAGTCTGGACCCGTTCCACGGACTTCACTTTAGCATATGTTTGGTTCATGTTTGGAAGCGGCTCCATGCTGATAATGGAGCTGCGAACCGTTCCATACACCGATTCATCTAATCCCAAGAGAAACTGATGAATCTTATCATCCTCTTTTTTCTTCTCGATTTGCAGGTTCAGATTGCAGGTGCATTTTCCACACTTGCATGTGAGCGTCGGCTCATAGTTCATCAGATCATCCCATAGCATCTGTAGTTTTCCGTAGTAATCAATCACCGTCATACCTCCTTGTCGAAGGTTAGCAAGCTCTGTTTTGATCTCTTGAATTCTCGGACCGTTTCCCTCGGAGAATCGATCCTTGATTTCTTGCCAGAGCTCTGTTGGATCTTCTTTGTTGGCCAGAGTTCGCCTCACCTTTGGCTCAATGGTATTAAGGATCCAAAGTGCCACCATAGAACTCGCCGAAGTCCAATCTTCGAACTCTGCACTGTTTTCATCTGGTTTCGGTACAGATCCATCAACGAATTCGTATTTCTTCTTGACTCGCAACGCTGTTCTCATTGCTTGAGCCCATTCATCAAAGTTGTCTCCATTGAATTGCACTTGTGCAATCACAGCTCCTAGATTTTCATTGGCGGCCAACTGATAAATTGGTCCCATGTCTTTCTTCTCTCCACTCGTAATCTTCGCCATCTCGTTCTTCTCTCCGCTTGTGTTTCCTTCTTCAGTTTTTGATCCGCCGTTTTTAGTCATGTCGGCTCTGATACCATGAACAAAGAAGAGAGTGGCTGAATGTTTCTTGTTGTTATTCACAAAGACATGTGCATCATATATATACAACTCAACTCTTTAACCTAGTACCCTCGAGATAATATTCTCATACAATGAAACTTCCCAAAAACTGTCAAGGAGAATATCTTAACTTGTGTCCCACGATATTCTCCTAACAAAACCCATTTGACCGAGTAAAGGCAAAGACACGGCAAGCTTCAACTCCTCTCTCTGCTCTATCCTATATAAATGCTTGAAGTGTAATCAAAGTGATTTATCATTACGATGGGAGTGTCTATAGTCTCTTCCATCATTCTTTTTCTTCTTCTAAACACATTTTCACCTTTTGTTGATGCGCATATGGGACACCGCAAATTAAGTGAGTCTTCTACCTATAATCTATATAGATTAGTTTTTAACTCATTACTGTTTCACTTTATCACTTAGTTCATATAGAGGTTAGAGATTCTAAGTACAGTCGAAATTATTAAATGATTGACACTCTATATATGTCATGTGTAATATGTAGGTCGAGCAAAAGAGACAATAACAGTGAGGAGGAACTTGGAAGGCAATGGGGGTTCCAAAATTACAGTTTCACCGAGTACGACGCGGCACAGTGGACAGAAAAACACTGAAAACCAGCCGTCCAAAACACTTCCTGATCACACGACTGCCCACAGGGGTATCTCGTATGAAGCCCTACAACGTCAAGGTATATAGTCTCACTAATGGCCTTCGTAGGAGTTATTGGAAACTACTATTAGTCTTTCACTAGCTAGGAGCCTAGGACTGTCCAATTGGGCATGCTATATTATGCTTTCGCACTTGATTCCGAGTTTTACATTTATTTGTTTTATAGGAAATTAGAAAATCATACAGTATATATTATAACTTGGCTTTTAATGCAATATTGTTTTAAATTTTAAATTGAAATTTGCACCGCAGCGGTCTCAGGATATCGTCAGCCAAAGTCCTCAACCTGTAAATATCCGAACCGATGTAAGAGAACAACCTTTAACTCTGCCAACAATACTCGTTCCTGAGGCACACGCGGGACTAGTCAATAAACTTCGGGATTTGTACGCTGTGGTGTGTTTTCTTTTTTGCTCTGGTAATTCATTATTAGTTTATACAGGTGTTTATTTTTATGGAATAAGTAATTCTGGAAAAATATATACTTTTAGTTGTTCTATCAAATACCTTTTAGTTCTTCATCATATCTCTTGTAATATATTTTTTTCGTTTTTCTTTTTATAGCTATAAAAAGAATTAAAATACACTCAATACATCACATGATCACGTTTTAGATAACTTACTATTTCTAAATGGTGTAAAATCCTCAAACATGGGAGTTTGTTTGTGTGAGTTATAAATGATAAAAAGGAAGGAAAAAAAACTAACGACTTAGTTTTTCTGTTCGTTCTTATCCTTTCTACTCATGGATGTTCATGAACCTAACTAAGTACACCGTGGTTGTGTAAGTTTTCTTGCGGTGGTGTAACTTCAAAATTTTCTGGGTGGCCCATGAGCCCATCACAACCGCAGATTAAAGGCAATTGAGTTAGCACGCGTGCGTGAATTATGAATTTTATGAGGATGTAAATGTATGAGACCATATCTGATTCTTATTGGTGCAATTATCCTAACAATAAAGATGGAGCTCGAGATGTCTAGATTTGAGATTCCACAACTATAAAAAATGATGTAAGAGACAATAATATAATTTGAATCGTAATTGTGACGAGTGTGACTAATTTGGACGCATCATTTATAGTGGATGAGAGAGTTGAAGGCATATAAGACTTTTATTATTGATAAAAAAAGGCGTAGAAGACTTAGTTTTGTAGCTCATCCATCGGTCAATGGTCTCCGATCCTATAGACTATAGTCAGTCAAATGGGCTGCATTATTATTGTTATTTTCTCCAATTGTGTTGGATGATTTATGCTGGCCAACTTTCGCGTTTGGAATTGTATTTATATTCATTGTACCCTGTTATAATCCATACATACATCAAGTTCGTGAGTTTACTTTCGTTTGACACAATGTCGTTTCCCAACCGAAACAGAATCTTAGAAACGAAGTATGCAAAAGCAAGAAGGATGAAGGTCTTGTCTTTTGTTAACTGAACCCATTGGACCGAGTCAAGGGAAGACTAGAGGAGGACCCGTCTATCCAACGATCCACACAAATTAATTATAAGTCGTCTCTAGCTTCATTATTATGATGTCGTAGTCTATGGTCTGTTCTGTTGCATCATTTTTCTTTCATCTGGTTCTAATATATTCGTATCCATCCATATAGATAAGGTATCATCGCCATCCCAATGGAACACCACAAACTTAGCAAGTCTTCTACGTATATGGTCATTGACTCGTACTAACATGACGAGCAAAGACTCTTCGTCGAACACTACCAAAACTTCAAGACCCATAAGTGAACTAATTAAGTCGCCGATAGCTTTCAGTTGTCTCTCATTTATCCCCTCACTAATTTCTGTTCTTCTTTGGCGTACTCTACCAATACCATATCTTCAACTCGCTCTTATTCACACCTCTCTTCTATATAAAATTATAAATGCAAAAACATCAGTCACATTGACAAGTAAACTTAGAGCGAATATCAAGATGACATCTTCTATAGTCTCTTCCATGGTCCTCTTTTTCATTCTTCTTCTTGTGTTTCCGCATATGGATAAAGCCCTTAGCACACATATGGAGCTCCGCAAACTTAGTGAGTCCTTTTGTCTCTATATATTCGTAAATAACTACGGGTTTTTTTTTTTGGGAGTGTTTATATTAATCCTGATCCTGGTTTAGTATTTTCGAAGTTTTGATTAATATGTAATGCGTTTAGGTGGCGCTGGTGCAGAAGAGACAAACCATCCTGATCAAGTGACTGTCCAAAGGCAAATGCGCTATTTTATTGGTCGTCCGCTGACTCCGTGCACGTTCTACACCCGATGTAAGCGTTCAGACCCAGCTCCACAACCTCCTCCGCCGCGGAAAAGAGGTCACTGACTTGGTCACTGATCTCACTATAGCTTGTGTCTATGTATATATATTAACGTTTCTTACAATGTGGTTCGGTTTGCGATTTCCGTGGTTCTGTCCATATACATGTGCTTGTCATATTTAAAAGATTTATGTGGTATAGTTGTTGAATAAGTTTATGGTGGAGAAAATAAGGTTAAAATAAGTAAATAACTAAGGAATATACCATGTAATATTCCTTAGGCTTACTACTATCAATACCAGGGTTGGTAGAAATTAGGACCAAGCCAAAAGTGAGAGTTACCCGAGTTATATTGAGTCCTTGTAATCCTTCGAGTGTTCTTAATAATAAAAGCTCCACCTTTTTCAGAATTTCATCTTTTCTTCCTATAATATCTTTCTAAATTCTAATACCTATTCGATGCTAAAAAATCTCTTACGTGGCTGTACTTACTATATGTCTCACTAAATTAGAAAAATTAATGCGTAAACATTTGTCACCCAAATAATTACCTTCGTGAAAAAGAAAAATAAACATGTGTAAAGATTAGAATGATTTTTTTTTTTTTTGATAGTATCTGTTTCGAATTACTAAAGTAAATTTTTATCAAAAAAAAAAAAAAATAGTAAATTAATTCCTAAAAACAGGAACCGAAAGAGAAAATTGACAATGTGGGTTTTATTTTGCCATTAGACAAAAAGTCAAAGAATATATATACAAAAGTCGATTTTAGAAAAATGAACGATGCGTTGATAAACTTTCAAAATAATAAACATTACCTACAGGATTGATAGGTATGAAGAGGAAATCACAAGACTTGGTATCAAGATCATGAATCAACACTGGTTCAATGTAATCAATGACTGATTCTTTTCCAGAATTGCTATTGGAGACAGCAATAAGTTTGGTTCCCTCCAAAACCAAGAAAAAGTTTTTGTAATATCTATCGTACACATTTCCTTCCATGTGCGTGAAGTAGACTCGAACCACCATATCACTTGGGTGGGCCAGTTTTCTAATCAGATGTTTTAATTCGAAAATTCCAAAAAAGTAAATGTATACGACGACAACAGGATCAGGAAAATAAAAGGAAATTCCTATTTTGAGGGGAAAATCGTCATTTATTTTATTCGGGGCCTTAATTTGGGATTTAAATACGTGCCTTGACTCGAACGCTAAGGTTCCAACGTTTTGTTTTGTTTTGTTTTTTTTTCTGATAAAAGACTTGAAATAAGGTTCCAATGTTCTTCTTTTCAAATTCTCAACGTCTATATTCCAAGTTTGTGCATGTGTTATTGGCAATCACTTCTCAGTAAGAAAAAATCTCATTTCTCCCTTATGTTATACTTTCCGAAATTAGAGTTTTTGGTTTAATTGACAAATTCGGTTTGTGATTCTTGGATTTGGAAATTCGGGATAATTTTCAATTGTTTGGGCTTTGTGAACGATTCTGTGATTGTGAATATCGGGTCTATTGTTTTAGGTTCAAGGATTTTGACTTTTGGTTTTTATTTTAAAAATGGTTGTGAAAATTGTGACTTCAAAAATAAAAAATACGGCATTTTCAAATTGTCAAAGGAGCTTGTTTTGGCTGATTTGACATGCTTGGTCGGAGGATAAGTGAGGTGGCTCGTCATGTAAAACAACTGGTGGAATCTTGTGTTAGAAAGATTGCACAACGCTTGTACAGCTTCAACATGACAACTTGCGATTTGGACTGGAGACCTCGTTAAAGAGGTCTAAATGGAGGACAATTAGTTATCCAATCTCTATGAAGGACAAATAAATAGAGTTCTCCGATCTCTCTTGATGGGATTCTTTGGAAAAAAAGATTGTAAATCCTCTTATTCTGATTCTAAGTTCGCCCCATATCCCTTAAAGAGAGTTTTGGGGAATCAACGAGGATCAAGGAAGTTGTTAAGCGAATTGGTGTAAGAATCTGTACTTATGTGGACTTTGAGGAGACAATCACACTCAAGCTGTCTTCCTATGAACATATTGCTACCGACCCATCTCCTATCATCAAGGTGTCCATGGCTTTGTTACCTCTGTGTAGTAAAGTCAGAAGAATGATTGGTTGTCACGAGGTTGCTCTGTTTGTCAAGGATAAAAATATGGATTTACTTGTTAAAGCTGAGGTAAAGAAGCGGAGAAGACCCTGTGATCTTCATGGTGCACATGTTCAAATTAGAGAAGTAGCTCAAGGGGATTGACACGTGGAGGTATAATGTTTCTTAACTTTTGGTGGAAACGATTATCACTTTTGGTAAATTTTATGTAATTTTTTATTTTCTTTTCAGATTTTTGGTCCCTAAATTGGCTTCAACAAGACTTTTAGGGAGATAGTATCTCTCCTAAGAGACACTGCATTAACAGAGAGTGATAAACATTATAAGAGACTTTTATCATTTACTTTACAATAAGAGGGACTTTTTAGAATGTGAGCGACTTTTTTAGGATTCTTGTGAGGGAAGTTTTCCTTTATACCCTTAATGAAGTGTGAAGTAATAAAATTGTTACCATTTTGTTAGATTATGTCGGCGTAACGCCACCGGAAGTAAAGTCAGATAATCACTCAGATTTTGACTCCGTGGCATCCTATGATTTAACTATGGAGATTGATTTGTTGTGTAGTTTGTAAACAAGGCTTCAGATTGATGACCCATAGTCGTTGATACCTTAGGCGAATTTTTACGTGGGGTTTATTCAAAAGAGTTGGCCGACAGTAGTATTGATGTCACGTAAGTTGATTTTTAAAACCCAAGTGAAAATATGATTTTTGTTTATGAGTGCTCGAAAGAATTGCTGAAAACCATAGATGCTCTTTTGTTGCTGCAAGAAGTTTAACTATAAAATCAGTATGTGTTATTGTAGTGGATAGAAACTATCCATGAGAAACGAGAATGTGATTATAAAAAATATGCATCTACGTTATAGTGGAGAGGCCATAATAATGTTCGTAAACAAAACAAAAGAAGGAGCAAAAATACTTTTATCTCTGTTTCTGTCCAAATCATTTTGAGTAACCACTGTTCAACCAAATGACTCACCCACTAGAGCTTTCTTCAAAGTAACCACATCAAGCATCCTCCCAAACTGAGAAAACAAACAGTAAAGAGATCTCTTCAATTCTGGAAAACAAAAAACAAGTTTGATAAACAACAACGCCAAAAATAAAAAATGAGTATCGAAAAAAGAGTGTCCAAATGCAGCGGTCGTTGAGCTCTTATATAAACGTTCAACTAAAGCATCCATTAAAAGCATCCATCAAGATTATCCACCAATCTAAACACGTTCCTCCATCTTTTAGAAAGAAGAGATGTTGAAACAGCCTGTTTTATAGGAAGCAAGGACAATGGACAAATTCTTGCAGAATCACGTAGCATGCATCTAGATACCGAGTAGGGATTTTATCTTTTACTGTCTAATTCCATAATTAAAAGTTTAAAACTAGAGAAAAATGGTTGTTTTCCTTTTGGGAAATTATGAGGAATAACCACCCTACTACAGTTGTAAAGCTAAAATAAATAAAAAATAAAGAAAAAACATAATTTTAAAATAAAAACATTTTGACATTATATAAATATTTGTTTAAAAAAAAAAAGATTGATAACTCGGTTTAGTTCAGTTCCAGATAATTTACCAAGACCTAATTAATAACTTGGTTCAGATACGGTTTAGGTAAACCGGCTGGAAATGAATCGCTTTCATGGTGGAGTTGAGCAAGTAAGTACATTTGATTTGCAGTGACCAAAAGAGAACAACACCTAGAAGAATCTCGGCGAATCAAAACACAGCCGAGATAGAAATGACCGGGGCATTGTTCAAAAACGTCGCCAGCCGGCTCATACGGCGTAACGCGGCGGCAGACCGGACCGGGCTTGCACTATTCGACGTCAGGCGATTGCAATCGAGGCCTTATTTCCGATTGAATCAGCTTTTCGGGAGAGCAAAGGAAACAAGAATCTCACACTCCTCGGGCTTCTGTTCATCGTCTTCTACTTCTTCTTCCTCGTTTGCGTCGGTGAGATTCGTCGGATGGTATCTCGGTATGGTGAAATCACGCCCGGTTTTCACCAAAAGTGTCACTTGCTCGCTTATTTACATTGCCGCCGATATGTCTTCTCAGGTACTTAACTTTGAAAAATCGCTTCAAATTTTGGGTTTCGATGTGTTTGCCTTACATTTGATTCATGCAAAATTTGCAATTTACTGGAAATTTGGTTTTTTTTTTTATGCTTCAGCTCTTCAAATGGTCTCTTGTCTTTGACATTTATGCCTTAGTTATGAGAATCACAATTACAAATTGGCTCCATGGTCTTTGGGAGTCTTTATAATTGTGAATAGGAGGAGTAAAGTTTGATTCTTGTTGCAGTATTTTGTGCTTGAAACGGTGATTGAATTTGCTGTTACATTTCCTTGAAGTGTTTGTTTTTTTCTTTTGAGAGCTGACATTGGTCACTTTTGTGTTGATCTTTTTTCAACAGACGATTTCGAAAACTTCTTCAGAGTCGTACGACTTGGTGAGAACAGCAAGAATGGCAGGGTATGGTCTGTTTGTCTTAGGTCCAACGCTTCACTACTGGTTCAATTTCATGTCAAGACTCTTTCCGAAACGAGATTTGATCACAACGTTTAAGAAAATGGCCATGGGACAGACGATCTACGGACCTACCATGACCGTGATTTTCTTCTCCTTGAACGCATCCCTTCGGAATTAACCTGATCTTCTAGCATCTACAGATCTAGAAGATGAACTAAAATAACATTCAAATTTTAATTTTTATCGTGCAAAATAACTCCCAACTGTTCGTTCAATTATTATTTTCCTCAACCTTCGATTCGTTTGTTGAACTTGGTGAAATAACTTAAGAACGACATTAGTATCAATTCAATTTGGTCTTCGACCTTCTACAACACTAAATTTGTGATTCCCTATCTCCTCATTAATTTAACCGGAGAATAGAGGACTTCAGAATTTCAACCTGGTCTTAAAATTCAAATACATTGCTGCCATACTATGTTTACGAACTTAAAAGAATGAAACTTAAATAAAGATTGAATATATTAGTATATTACCGACGACTTCTGTAGTAGATAGATAGACTAAATAAAGATCAAACCTCACATGCATAGGAAAAAATATATTTAAATACACAATAAGAAATACAATGTGAAGTAAGGACTTGTGATGTTTGAAGCCTTTGATCACTAACAAAAGTTTGCACATGGAAGCAATCAGTCACTTAAGCCAATGTATGATTGCAGGCCATATGCATGGTGTGACCACACCATGAAAGCCTTGTCAGCATCCTAGTTAACAACATATAATCATGCTGACTTTCGAAAACATATGGTAAACTATTCTGTTGATTACATTCTAAGATAATTTATCTCACATGAATTGGGATTTGTAATGTATCACAATACTCCAACTAAGAAACGGGCAAACGACCCAAAGTCAACCTTTCGTTGGCTTCCCTTAACGAGAAAATTTCGTATGTGGAGACACCCATGCACTTCTCATAGGTGGCTTAACAACAATCACAATTCAAAATTTGGTTTCGTTGTTTATTAACATTTTGCTCTAGCGAAACTTATTTTAAATTGTCTGTTTAGTTGTTCCGCTACTACCATTGTAAACATTCATATGTATGTTTCAATCTAGAATGACATGTTTTATTACATCTATCGCTTTGTAGTGAAGTCTTAGTTAAGCTTTTTCAAACTTCTCCGAGAAACAACTAATTTAAGTAATTAGGGAGGGAAAGGTTTTTACTTTTGTCCTTGGAAGAGTACGGCAGAAGCCAGTTATCGCCCCTTGATTTAAGGGGACAAACATATCATTAAAAGGAAATTGCGTTTGTTAAGTTTGGATTATACACAAAGCATTATCCAATTATATATTTATTAAAAGAAAATCAGTTACTTTTATTAACTTTTTTGGCTGTCTCGGTCGTAGATTCGTAGTAGGTATCATAGAACTGAAGCTAATCCACTCACCATTCGGTGGGTTCTACAGTTTTAACTTCAGATTATTTCACATGGGCCATGATGTCATTCCCATCCAGAAAAGAAAGTGTTTATAACTGAATTGTACCAAAGTAAACCAGCACTCACAATTAAGTTTAACTAAACCGAGACCTTAATATAAAGCCGCTCCTGAGGATTTGATGGCTCCAACTCTCCAACCAAACAAACAAAAAAGTTTCATCGACATAATTGGATTTGGATCATCGCCGGATCACTCATTTAATTTGTTTTATAGAACAAGAAAGAAGAAACATAATGAAAAAGTAAGCGAAACCGCGAATTTTACTAGTTCAGGCTATCAAACCGATAGCTTTATGTCTCGGCAAAGGCAAGACTCGAATGGAAAAACTTTCGTTCTCTAGAAGTTTCTGAAACTTCTGGCAACAACAACGAAGAAGAGAGAACAAAACCAGTCGCTAGCCGACCGCCTAACAAGTAACAACCTTCAACAACCAGCGGGTTCTTGTAAGTTAACCAACTCACTAAATATACACACACGTGCTCGGATTAACATAAATGAAAACCCTCTCTTTTCCCTTAGAAACTTTCAAACTTTCAAATACTCCCACGAAACTTCATGTTACAAAAATAAGATGCATCACTTCGGAATTAACATTTAGAAAACTAAGCACCTCACGTTTTGATTTTGATGTTTTTCTTGCGAGAATCACGTTCTATCGATAGTTATTATGTAACACTTTTGAAGCTTGTGATTTAATAGGAGCTATAAAATGTGAGTTAATAGGAGAGTGATGTCACAATTCGTTATATTATACAAGAGTACTTATCTCACTGTATAAACTGTAAGATAAGTATCACAGTTTATAGTGATACTTAGATCGGTTTTTTCTGAAGTTGTTATTTGAGGCTCTGAAATCTTATAAACTGTAAGAAAAAAAATCTCTATGTGTATTGAGTTAAGATCATTTCACACGACATAACTAGATACGTAGGATCAGTTCCACTTCTGTCTCTTTAGAGTCAAGGCTAAAACGTGTATGAATTGGATATCTTGATTTTTGTTGAAATAATATGGAAATGTTATAGGGAGGGTTTAGTAATTCTAAATTCTTAAGAAGCAATCTTAAGCACTGCGCTAAGAGGCTTGTGATTGTGTTTGTTTTTCTTTGGTAGTGTATTGATTTTGATATGGTTATTGTATTAACGTAATTATGTTTACTTTCTAAGGTGTGAAAACCCGGTAGAGAACTGGTTATGCCGATGTTGTAAAGAGGTTCTATGCAGCCGCTTCGTGAACAGACATATGCTGATGCATCATCAACAGAATGGTCACTGCCTTGCACTCAGCTATAGGTCTATATATGTTTTCAGTTTTTCATTGCATTTGCTCTTTCTTTCTTTTTGTTTAAATTTTAACTGTGACTTATGGTAAGCTCTGTGGAATGACAGTGACTTGTCTGTATGGTGCTTTTGCTGCGAAGCGTATCTCGATGCTCAGATCATATTACAGCTGAGACCAATTCACCAGGCTGCTTACATTCTTAAATTTGGCGAGGCTCCTCCTTTACCCCAACTTTGAACACCAAAGAGCTCTCTTTTTTCTAGGGATGTGTTAACGAAAAAATTGTGGTATATTGAGTTCTTGTTGCGTTTTGATTTCCATGATTGAAAGCCAACGAGATTAGGCTGAAAATATTATCACTGATTATTGCCATATGTTATTTCAACTTTCATTGAATTTTCTCTTTTTTTTAAAGCTTAGCTTATAATATGGTTTGGACAAACAACATATAAACAACATATATAGAAATTGACTATTCAGCACAAAGACACTTTAACTCTTTGCATCCAACGTGAAGGTTCGGAGAAAGGCTAGTTAGTAAGTCAAGCAAAAGTCGATTTATCTTTTGTGGAGTACGTATACTGTGTTGTGTTTTGTGGTAAAGAGAAGAGCATGAAACCATTCAATCCAATCACAATCTCAACTGATATTACATTTTTCTTTCTTCAAAATTTAGCGTATAATTTTGTCCGGACAAAATGTATAGAAACTGACTATTCAAAACCATTCAAGTATATAAACGTCACAATATATATATGTATATATTTAACTTTCCTTGCATTTTTTATCCTTTAAAAGTTAGCTGATAATTTGGTTAGGACAAACAACATATATATGAACAAAATGTATAGAAACTGACTATTCGACACAAAGACTTAGACTCTGTGCATCCAACGTGAAGAACGGTTTGGAGAAAGACTAGTGAGTGAGTCAAGCGGAGTAGATTTATCTTTGTGGATTACATACATTCTATTTTTTTGTATATAAAGAGATGAGCATGAAACCCATTTAATCATCCACACACTTTCCAGTTCTATTTTCTTGTTTTTTTTCATTACTTGATATTCAAGAAAGACAAATTACTCTAAAGAAGGATGCAGAAAGAATCTTGGAACTCGATGAGTATCATTCTTGTTACTCTTTCTTTTCTCTTTGTGTTCTTTTTTAGTTCTCAGGATGTATTTTCGGCTCCTTCTTCTAGGCACTTGTGTCTTCCTGAACAAAGGGATGCACTTCTCGAGTTCAAAAACGAGTTTGAGATTGGCGAACTTTCTCGTTATTGTTATAGTGTTGGTCAACCGAAAACGGAGTCATGGGTGAATAACAACGACTGCTGTTCTTGGGACGGTGTCGCGTGTGACACCAAATCTGGGGAAGTGGTCGAGCTAGACCTTCATTGCAGTCGCCTCCATGGCATGTTTCGTTCCAATAGCAAGCTTTTTAGGATTCAAAGCCTTCGATCTCTTGACCTTTCACGTAATGATCTCAGCGGTCAAATTCATTGGTCCATTGGAAATTTTTCTCATCTTACCACTCTCGATCTTTCTAATAATTACTTTAGTGGTAGGATTCCTGCTTCGACTGGAAATCTTTCGCATCTCACCTCTCTCAACCTCGATTATAACAGTTTTGATGGTGAAATCCCATCTTCACTTGGAAATCTTTCTCATCTCACCTTTCTTCACCTCGATGGTAACAATTTAGTTGGTGAAATCCCATCTTCACTTGGAAATCTTTCGCATCTCACCTCTCTCTACCTTGATTTCAACAACTTTGATGGTGAAATCCCATCTTCACTTGGAAGCCTTTCTAATCTCACCTATCTCAGCCTCAAACTTACCAATTTAGTTGGTGAAATCCCATCTTCTTTTGGTAGTTTGAACAACTTGTACTACTTAGATGTTGACTACAATAAGCTTAGTGGTAGCTTCCCTCTTCCACTATTAAACTTGACAAAACTGTCAGCTTTATCACTCTCCGATAATCAGTTCACAGGAACGCTTCCTTCTTCTCTCTTCACCCTTGCTTCTTTGGATTTTTTAAATTTGAGAAATAACCAATTCAACGGCACTCTTGAATTAGGAAATATATCTTCATCATCTAAGCTAAAAGGGTTATTCCTAGGCAATAACAACTTCGTAGGGTCAATCCCCACATCCCTTTCTAAATTAGTCAACCTTGACACACTTGACCTCTCTTTTTTAAACACCCAAGGCCCAATTGACTTTAACATCTTCTCTCATCTCAAGTCGCTGGAAGAGCTTGACATATCCGATATGAACACAACCACTACGATTGACTTGAATGCAATCTTATCAGTTCTCAAGAGGCTCAGGATATTGGATCTCTCAGGCAACCATGTTTCAGCCATAAACAATATTTCAGTTTCAGATCCTTCTTCGCGATCGATTATGGGATTAAGCTTGTCAGGATGCGGAATCACCGAGTTTCCCGAGTTTTTAAGAACCGAACACGAAATCTGGAGTCTCGACATTTCCAACAACAGAATCAAAGGTCAAGTTCCTGGATGGTTATGGACGCTACCACATCTGTATTATGTGGATCTTTCCAGCAACAGTCTCACCGGTTTCGAAAGATCAACGAAACATAGATTATCCACTGTCCCGGAACCATCTATGAAAGACTTGCTTGGCTCCAACAACAATTTCAGTGGAAATATTCCCTCTTTCTTGTGCATGTTTAAGTCTCTACGAGTTCTAGACTTATCTAACAATAACTTCAATGGTTCAATCCCTCGGTGTATGGGAAATTTTATCAAAAGGTCTCTATTAGTTCTAAAACTTGGCGATAATCAGCTTAGTGGAAAAATGCCGGATATATTTCTCAGTGGCAGCAATCTAACGTCACTCAATGTTGCTCACAACCAATTGGTAGGGAAACTTCCGAGATCTTTGTCTAGTTGTTCTTCTTTGGAGGTTCTAAACGTGGAACACAACAAAATCAACGATACTTTTCCATTTTGGTTAGAATCTTTGCAACAACTACAAGTATTGGCCCTCCACTCTAATAAGTTTCATGGGTCGTTACAATACCATCCCAAGGTTGCTTCTCCGTTTCCTCAGTTGCGAATCATTGACATATCATATAATTCCTTCACCGGAGTCTTACCATCTGATTTCTTCATGTATTGGAGTGCCATGTCTAAAGAGGGAGATCGTTCAAAACTGAAGTACATTGGAGGAGATAATACTTTGTACCGAGAGTCGTTGGTTTTGATGAATAAAGGAGTAGAGCTGACATACACGACTATCATTACACTCTTAACCGCTATTGATATCTCAGGAAATAGACTCCAAGGAGAGATCCCTAAGTCTATTGGTCTACTGAAGAATCTTATTGTGCTCAATCTGTCAAGCAATGGTTTTAGTGGCAACATCCCTTCATCTATGGCGAATCTGACTGAGCTCGAGTCCTTAGACTTATCGCATAACAAGCTTTCAGGCCAAATCCCACCTGCTCTCGGAGTCCTCACAAGTCTATCTAAGATTGTGGTTTCCCACAACCAACTCACTGGTCCAATACCGCAAGGGACACAGTTTCAAACGCAAGATGCTTCGTGTTTTGAAGATAACCTTGGACTTTGTGGTCGTCCTCTCAGTAAAAGTTGTGGAGACAAAGACAGAGAGAAGTCACAAGAACCAGAATCAGAGGAGAAAGAAGAAGAAGGAGTATTGAGCTGGACTGCCGCTGCCATAGCCTTAACACCTGGAGTCATCATCGGATTCACAATTGGGCACATTGTGATTACACAAAAGCCTCATTGGCTCGTGAAGATATTTGGCATGACGAGGTACGTTGAATATTCAATTAATAGTTACAAATGCAAATCCTGGTGTAACTGATTCACCTTTTCCTTCTGGTTGACAGTTTCACCCATCCATTTGTTACTAGATGGTGCATTTAGGACATGCTGCGATCACTTGAATTATGTATCTCCTGATATGGCTCACGTACTCCTTGTTCAAGGTTGCCTCCTAAATCCCTTTTAACATTTGATTTGAATTTTCTTTTGGTATTGAGATCCACGTTTAGCAATTGCTAGGTCTCTATAACTTTTGCTTGATGAGAATGCGTAAAAAAAACTATAGTATTTTTTGGATTAGTCACTTATAAATAGTTATGATGTTGTTAATTATTGCGATCTGAACTATAGCAAATATTAGTGTATGGATTATGTTATCTCACAATTTCTTGTTATTTATTCTAGAACACTTATCACTAAATCGAAAAGGTGGTGAGAAGTTTATTGAGAAAATGTGGTTTATATTGCAGATGAGACCAATTCACGAAGCTGTTTATGTTCTTAAGTTTGACGAGACTCCTCCCCTTACACCATCTTTGACTTTGAATATCAAGAGCTCTTGTTTCTTCTTCTTTTTTTTTTACCTGTCTTGCTTTTACCTCTTCATGTGTAAAGGAAGAAGTATTGATACATTCAGTCGTGTTGTTCCATGAAAGCAATGAGATTATCTCACTCAAATTTGGCTGACAAAGCTATTACTTCAGTTATGTGTTCAAAATCTGCAGAGATGGCTACTCTTACGAGACTTGAGTAAAATACATCCTTATCGACCAAATTGAATTGATACTAATGTCGTTCTTAAGTTATTTCACCAAGTTCAACAAACGAATCGAAGGTTGAGGAAAATAATAATTGAACGAACAGTTGGGAGTTTTTTGCACGATAAAAATTAAATTTGAATGTTATTTTAGTTCATCTTTTAGAATATGTTTGTATCTATAATTTGGTTTCTTGGGTTAATTGGGTCAGATAGATATGGTTCGGCTCAGTTCAAATGCTCGACCCAATTGGTTGAGTATATCATTCTTTATTTAAAAAATTCAAAGACATGACAAATCACAAAATTTTACAATAATATTCAAAACAGAGCATGCCATTGGTAAAAGTCCACATGAAAGAAAAAGAAGATGTTGGTAAAAACTAAAAACCATGTTCTATTCTCTTCCCTTATTAATTTTCCATCAGAACATTTTCTATAATTATGCAAACTTTTACTACTGGTTATAACAAATTTTTGTTGTCTTCTCGATGTCATAATACACAAAGAAAATATATACTCATTTGACCATCACTTTATCAAAAAAATAATAATAATTTAAGGATGGAAATAAAGTGATGGTCAAATGGATGTAATGTCAACTATGTAAGACTCATTGCTTATAGTATAAAACAACTTGCCCATATATTAGCATGCGATTTAAAACAATACAGTCATTCCTAAATTAGCCAAGTCCTCTATCTCTTTAGAACTTTATCAATATATATAAGTTAAAAATTTACATTGTTACATACCTAACGATGTCACACAAGACTGAAATCTGAACCATTTTTTTTTTAATCTAGCTTTATTATATATAGGGAAATTGCAATCATTATCTTTATTTCTAAAAATTAAATTACGATTTCCACGTTAAAAAGGCTACATATTACAATAAAATAACAATGTCACATAAAAAATTCCCTATAAATACCCCTATGAGTTTGCAATATTATGCCATCATCAACCACAACACTTTGCGGAACCTCCACTTGCACCATTTCTAGACATTCGATATTCCTAAGAAGCTTCTTCAAGTGTTTCACCTTTTGAGCAGTTCCTTGATAACCAAGTATATGCAACACGTTCACTTGTTTCAAAGGCATGGATACATCGCTTGTGTAACTATTCAGACTCAACTTAACATTTTACCAACAAAAAGAAAATGTATGTAAATGATCAACCATAAAATTCGGATTTAGAAGGTTTTGCTAATGATATCATACCTGAATGTTTAGAGTTTCAAGCTGATACGGCAACAGTTTCCAACCTCGTGTATTGTTACATCCCAAAAGATAAACTTATCAGATTGTTAATTAAACACCGGTTAAAGTGGTCCAGGTTTAACACATCGATTAATAACCTGAAACACACACAGACGCATAGACTTCAAGAGTGTCCATTCTGCTTTTTCTCAGTTTTGGATTTATTCTAATATCCGAAATGTTTTGAACAAAGGAACCATTCAGATACATTCATAACTATCCGGTTCGATTCGGTTTAGTTACAGATTATTTACCAAGATCTAATTAATAACTTGGTTCAGATACGGTTTAGATAAACCGGCTGTAATTGAATCGCTTTCATGGCGGAGACTGAGAAAGCACATTTGATTTGCAGTGACCAAAAGAGAAAACACCTAAGAAGAATCTCGGCGAAGCAAAACACAGCCGAGATAGAAATGAGCGGGGCATTGTTCAGAAACGTCGCCGCCGACGCCGGCCGGTTCATACGACGTAACGCGATTGCAGACGTTAGGCGATTGCAATCGAGGCCTTATTTCCGATTGAATCAGCTTCTCGGGAGAGCAAAGGAAACAAGAATCTCACACTCCTCGAGCTTCTGTTCATCGTCTTCTTCTTCTTCTTCTTCCTCGTTTGCGTCGGTGGGTTTCGTCGGATGGTATCTCGGTATGGTGAAATCACGCCCGGTTTTCACCAAAAGTGTCACTTGCTCGCTTATTTACATTGCCGCCGATTTGTCTTCTCAGGTAAAAATTGCTTCAAAATTTTGGGTTTCTATGTGTTTGGCTTTGTTTTGATTTCATTTAAAATTGCAATTTACTTGAAAATTAGCTTTTTATGTTTATCTCTTCAAATGGTCTCTTCTCTATGACATTCACGCATTAGTTATGAGAATCACAAGTATAAAATGGCTCCATGGTCTTTAGGGGTCTGTATAATTGTGAATAGTTTAGTAAAGTTTGATTCTTGTGGCAGTAATGAGTAGTTGAAATGGTGATTGAATTTGCTGTTACATTTCCTTTGAAGTGTTTTGTTCTTTTGAGAGCTGACATTGGTCACTTAGTTGTTGATCTTTATTCAACAGACGATTTCGAAAACTTCTACAGAGTCTTATGACTTGGTGAGAACAGCAAGAATGGCAGGATACGGTCTCTTTGTGTTAGGTCCAACACTTCACTATTGGTTCAACTTCATGTCAAGACTCTTTCCGCAACGAGATTTGATCACAACGTTTAAGAAAATGGCCATGGGACAGACAATATACGGACCTACCATGACCGTGATATTCTTCTCGTTGAACGCATCCCTACAAGGTAAGCTTATCTACATGTAACTCGTAAGATAAGTTTACTTGACAATTACAGTCTTTGCTTTGATTAACACAACACCATGTTCTAAGATATTCTTGCATTGTTTGTTTCAGGTGAAAGCGGTTCAGAGATATTTGCAAGATTGAAAAGGGACTTAATCCCTGCAATGTTCAACGGCGTCATGTACTGGCCTCTATGTGATTTTATAACATTCAGATTCTTCCCCGTTCATTTACAGGTAACGATCGATCATATTACTCTCATTTCTTTCATCTGTTTAGAAATGTTCAAAAGGCGAATCATTTCATTTCTTGCTGCTTACATAAGGATTCACTCTTGTCTTTTGAATTTTCCTGCAGCCTCTTGTAAGCAACTCGTTTTCCTATGTATGGACAATCTACATGACTTACATGGCCAACCGTGAGAAACCAGTTGCGATTGCAACCTGAAACGCTCAAATTATCTTCGACATAGTCTCGGCCTACCTCTGATGTAATGATCGCTTTTGTCCGCATTGCCCTGTGGTTTGTGAGGAATGAAGAAAACAGAGCCTAAAAGCTCAGATTAAACCGCAAATTAGTTAATAGCTCTAAAGCATTCTTCAAGGATTTGTTTTCTCTTTTTGTATGTAGATTTTAGTTTGGTAAATGTAAGAATTATGAGGAAACAAATTATACATTTCGACATGAATGATTTCACGAAGCAACAATGAGTTTGGTTATCTACTTTCCTCTTATTGTCTGAAATCTGAATCATGTTCTGTTTCAGTGAAATATAACTTTTTGATGTTAAAAAAAAAAATTATATTGCGTTCATGGAAAATTTGTTACAGTAGAGAGGCACAAGGTGAAAAAAGAATTACAGAGAAAAAAGAAAAGAAAATAAAGACATCTTCTAAACAAATGGTATATAAGCTATATATGATCCTATCAGAACTTTTACAAACCCCAAAGCCTCTCTGTTGTTTCCCATCAAAGCTTTTTTCTTCAAGAACTCACTAATCCCAATTCCATCCAAATTTCCAGGAAAAGAATCTCAAAGTAAAAAAAAAGTAACCAAAATCTATCTGTTTTTCATGTATTACTAAAACAATGGCTTCTCTTCTCTACAACTCTTCTTCCAAACCACGAGAACACATCTTCTCTAACTGTATAGGCCAATCCTCACCAAGAACCTGAGGATTCAACTCCATCGCAGCACGGAAGTCCAACATCGACACGTGTCGAACCCGAGAGCTAGCCAAACTCAAACATGGCTCCACCAGCCTTCTCACAAACGCATCCAAACCACTATTCAACACATTAGCAGAGTCCATACTCAACTTCATCCCTTCCATCTCCAGTTTCCGCTCCAACCGATCCTTCAACGTTCTCGTATCGGGAAGCTCGCGGCTACTTTGACATAACGATGACCGGAAAACAGACTTCTTTTTCCCTCCGGTTAAGGAAACACCGAGCGGAGCGGTTAACGAGGTTCTGCTCTGCACACTTGGACTTCCGGTCATTTGCTCAACTTCCTCTCCATCTTCCACAGAAGCAACAAGTCTCCGTGCCTCGTCGTCATTCGTAGTAGTAGTGATACTCTGCGGCTTCCCTAATGGACCAAGCGGGCTTGGCCTGTCTCTAAACTTCTTCCTCGACCTGCATTTCCGAGGCGAAGGAGGAAACGGAGCAGAGTCGGCGTAAAGTGACTGACTTTGATGATGATTCGAACCGGATTTGTTGGAATGTCTCGGCGGTGGTGATTTAGCGACGGTTGCGTTCTTGAGAATCGAGCTTACTAAACGGTTGTGAAGCGGGATGTGTTCTCTGCCGATCGTCTTGACGCAGAGCTTGTCGAAGTCGGATTTGGTTATCCTCGAGGTGAGGAACTTTCCGAGCTGGTTGAAGTAAGTGTCTGCTCTCTGATGACCGAGTTTCTGGTGGATTTGGGATTTTATCTCGAGTGTGTTCAATCGGGTGAAGCATTGATCTGACCCCATTTTGCCAACAAATTATTCACCTGAGCTAAATCCAGATTTTGGGATTTAGCATTGAAAATCTGAACTTGAAGATCCAAAATTGCAGCGAGTTTTGGTCTGTTGCTTACGTAAAACCCCCAATTGGCTAATTCGTACACCTGATTTCAAAATCAAAAACACTGTTCTATTAGATTTCGGAGATCGAAGAAGATCAATTTTAGAACATTGAGCTTAAAAAAGGAAACATTAAAAGTTGAACAGATTTGACGAAGATCAATTGGGTCAGCTTACTAAAGTAAGTAAAATCGAGCACAAATTGCGAACGGAATTGATCAAAATCCGATTCGAGGTTATGGAATTAACGAAAACAGCGAAAACGAAGAAGAAATTGAGAGGATCCGAAGTTTAAAGTAGCAAGCTTTTCTCGAAGAATTAGTCAAAAACTCAAAATCAATAAACAAAATTGAGAACAAAAATGAAAATCCCGAAATGACAATCGGAGATTGAAGGAGATTAGAGTTTGAGTACGAACCAGTAGAAGCGATTGATTTAGCCGCGAAATTTGCTTTTTTGTTTGCAGAAGTGCTTCTCGTTGTGCCCTAAAGGGATTTTTTGTTTTTCCTTTTTATTAATGAACTTGTGTATAATTTCTCTTGTTGGTTCTGTTTGGTTTGAGTTTGTGTTCGTACGTGCGTGAAATAGAGAGAGACCAAAAACGAAGCCTTTAGTTAAAAAGGCAGCGCCTGAGAGCGAGAAGAAGAAATACAGTACGAACTACGAACCTCGTTAACTCTTTTCCGTCCGTAATTCGGACACACACACACGTGCGAATTTCATTCTTTGTACTTTTCATTTCTTTGTTAATCAATACAACAAAAAGACATGATTTACAAAATCAGACAGTCTATGTCGGTGCTTATTCGCTCTTTCCACAGATCATACTAGTCAATCCAATACTCAATAATAACTTAAGAAAGTTTATCCAACTTTTTGGATTATTGGAGTCAGAGAGAGACGACCACGAGATGTTCACAAAAGCAATGCTAATCGTTCATAAAATGCCTTTTCATCAACCAAAAAAAACAACAACTACAAACTAAAAACATGTCGAATGAAACAGAAACAGATGACACTCAATATACTTTGACCCGCGACAAAACAAAACACCGTCGTCACCAAAGAACCTCAGCTCACAATTCTCGAAATGTAACTTGTAGTTTGTAGGCAACATTTTCCCAATCGTCCCAAAAGTATCTAAAAGCAGGGCAAATTGACTTCGATAAACCAGGAAAGTATGTATATCCTCCTGTCTGATAAGATAACTACACCACCTCATCGCTGCTCTTCATCGGGTACGTCTTGTCCACCAATCACCCGTTGTGCGAGTCTGTAGTATAAAATCCCCATTGTTGCCATACACGCTCTGCAAATCCGTTATACAGAATTAGTTTAATGCCAGCAAAATAGCAAACAGTTGTCAAACAGTAAAAACAAAGGGACTTACATGATTGCTATGAACAGGAGTATTTTCCTTATATCCATCCTCGATGATCGATGTCTTACACGTCCTTCTGTACCATCTTCCGCCTTTGTTGCATCTTTACGAGGTGGTGCAGTCACGGGGAGTGTTGGTAACGCACTTGACCAGAACGGTAGTAGAGCTCGCAGAAACTTGTGACGAAGAGGACCTTACATACACGAAAACAATCAGTCTCAGTCTGTAAATGCTATTGATTCATAACAAGGAAAAATGGAGTTTGTTGTCTCACCTCTTCTTGAGTACTTTTTTTTATTCCCGTCTTCGTCGTCTGCGTAATACAGAGTCTCGGAGTTCTGTCTGTCAACGGCGGGTACGCCTTTCCGTGCAGCAGCAGCAAGCTATATACAACATCAAACTGATCGTTAAAGAAACTGTGACAAACCATAGAGGTGAAGGAAAAAGTTATTTTGAAGGGATCTCTTACTCCAGGGCTTGAGCTTTTCATGTAATTCCCAGCAGAAGCAGGAACATCTATCTCAACTATCTCCGAAACCGCGGGGTTTGAATATTCTCCGTTTCCAGATACTGAATAACCATCAGGGAGGTTCTTCCCTTCTTGTGTGTGAGAAGATGATGAGAAATTACTTAAAGCATCTGAAGCAAATGCAGGTGGTGGACTACGAGATTCGGTGGATCGAGAAACTGGATGGTTCCCAAATAAGTTCTTCTCAAGACCAGTCTGCAATATAGAGAACAGAAAATTATAATCCAACTAAACCAGGAATCTTTCAGGCTGCATTATAGTGTCTACTATGCAGCAGAAATTATGTGACAATACAATATTGCCACATCGCTGGGAATATTATATGCTTTTCAGATTTTAACCTCTGTCAACAAGAAAAAGTTGGATAATCTGCAAAAACAGTTGAGCTAAAAGATAAAAACTGACCTGCATAATCACTTCCCTTAACAGTGCATGAAGCTGAGATCCTGCATCTTTTACCATCTTGGGAGGCCATATCTGCATTTGAAGACCATATGAGAGCTATACTATGGCACTCTCCCAAGAACAAAACAACATTTCGACGCAATATACAAGACAAAACAAGGCTATCCAAACTATTTTTCAAGTAAATAAAGAAAGATTGCGAGGAATGGCATTCAATCGGGATGACTATTAGCTCAAAGCCTCAAACCCTGAGGAACCAAAATAATATTTATCACTATCTCAAGTATATTACATCATAGAGTGAAGAATTACACATTAGACCATTGTAACTAGCTAAAAGCCATCCGAAATTCCATAGAAAGACCCCAAAAAGAACCTGATCAGTCTAATTTTAGTTACTTCTCCAAGATTTCTCAGTATTACAAGGCGTAATTTTGATTGCTTGGCTATCATCTGCTACATTACAAACAAAGGTTGCTATTGGCTAGAGAAGTAAACTAAACCAGAACAATCCTCCTACCGGCCAGCAAATGAAAGAAAACTTAACCTAAAACGTTAGGACCAAATCAAGACTTACAGGGGTGCTACAGGATGGGCACACATAGCCAGCAGGTGCAGTATGAGGTGGAAAACTCTTGATAAGTGAAACCAAACAACTCGTATGTATAGCATCTGATAGAGGGTCAAGATGGTGCCATATATTTAGTTGACAGTTGTATATATTCAGAAATAAAAATCCAGTCCAGTAATGGTAAGAGTAAGATGACATACGCAAGCAGCCCAACCGAGTGACTTGATGACCTGCCCCCTCATCAAATGTTGCTTGGCACTGACAACACTTTGGCTGGTCATATTCTCCGTCTATCACCCATTCTGAATAAGTCCGGACCTATTGATTACAATATGATAAAAAAAAAACATCTTTCAGCATTGTCCCTCCATCTCACAACCATGAAGCAGCAAAACATGGCTGCAGAAAGATTATATAATAGGGGATAGGGCTGCTCGTGCATACTGATCAGGAAAAACAAGATAATATGCCTTGGGAATCGATCTTGATGTTACTAATGTAGGAAGGAATTGTTTATCTTGTGTATGTTACGATAAACCACCGTAAAATTAACATCAACAAAATGTCTAACTAAAGAAAATAAACACCGTATGAAACAACTTTATTGAGAGAATCAGAGACAGGTCCTCTAAACTAAGAAGTATTGAGTTCTTTATAGTACCAAATTATCCTTTGAAAATGCACGAAGATGACAATCAACAACTAAACTAATCAATCAGCAATCTTTGCAACAGTCAAAGATCTTTCATATAATTTTTTTGTTTCTATAAAGAAACCACATTCCAAACAACAAGAGACTAATTCCTCCAGAAATCTATCAACTCAAGTAACAGCAAGCACATGATTTGATCAACATACCACACAAGTTTGATGTTCAGGGAAGCAAATACATTCGCCGCAAACAGGGACCTTGTGAACAAAGCAATACAGCTTGGTAGCCTGGAAAAAAAAAACAAAAGAAATGAAATACATTAGCATTCACTTGATAAACTCTCTCCAACAGAAGCCAAGCAGAAACAAAATTCACAAAACAAACAAATCGTTCATGATTTCTCTATCGATTGAGTTAGAAACACAAGAAATCTTTAAAATCCAAAGAAAACTCCGTCAAATTAGGGAAAATCGTATCAACAAAGAGAACACATGCAAACAAATCGAAAACTATTTCCAAAATTTCAACTCAAAACTCAGAAATCCTGAACACTCCAAAAGATCATCAAATGAATCATACCTTTCTGCATTTGCAAACCACCATTGCACAGAGCTACGAACGGCGAGATCAGGATGGATAAACCAGAGCTCAGAGATTAGAGCGCTCAGATGAGATCGCACTCCGCAATCGAAAACAGCTTGGGGTCTCTGCTAGATTACGGATCACAAGACGGAGAAAAATAGATCAGAGTGATGGAGAAAATGAGCATTTCGGAATCAGATCAAGGACTAACAAAAAAAATCATGGGAAGAGGAGAAGAAGACGAGAGGATTTCGAAATTCGAGGTAACAAGCTCTCTCGACGAAACAATTGAAACTCAAAAATCAAACTGATAAGGAGATTCAAGAGAAACTCAGATTCGAAATCGAAGATCGAAGGAAGAGAATGAGAAACGTACCAAGCAGAAGCGATTTGATTAAGCCGCGAATTGATTTTCCTGAAGCGCTTCCCCTTTATGCCCTATGAATTATGTGTTGATATATTTCATTTTAGAGTGAATTTGCTGTGTGGCAAGATTTTGACCCTTATTTAGTTTTTTAACAAGCTGATATATTGCTTTAGGTAAATAGCAAAAGGGTACCCATGATTGTGAATTACTCTCTTGGGTGCGAGTGGGGAAACCATGAAGCATTAAATAATAAAAAGCTAATTATATTAAATACACTATTTAAAAATCTTTACTTTTTTTTCTTCTCACCTCGCACCCCTCTCTCTCTCTCTCGCTCACTTTCTTCCTCCATTTTATACTCCTTCGATTTCATATGATCTCACATCAATATAGTTTTAAAAACCAGATTAATCCATAATTTTTAATACCATGGAACATATAATCTCGACCAAGACCACAGAAACTCCAATCAAGGATCTCATACTCAATTTAGCATCATTACATATTAATATAGCATGAGATACCATAATATTGTTATTTATTAGATAGCATAGCATATATTGCAATAACGAGTTATGTATTTTTGTATCGCACTAAACAAATAAATAGTTTGTTATTTAACGAGATACACATGTATATTTTAGTTTGTGGATCCATTTAAAGAAAATGTACATGTATATTTGTTTATACCAGTTTATCTATATTGTTACGTCTTAGTATTTCATATTATATATTAACTTTAAAATATGTAGCACCATACATTCTCCATATAAATTTGTGTACCATGTTATTTATATTTATATACAAATAAATACATATATAGTGCTTCAAAACTAAATATACATGATTTCATAGATTAATATGCTTCACCATTTTCTGTTACTACTCTAAATCTAAATCTCATCATCATATCTCAATTAACCATGAATTCATCTATAAATAAATAATTGATAAATTAACTACGAGATCTGAAAATCGAAGATGAGGAACTCGATGATTGTTGAGTATCTCCAACCTATATACGCTTCACTTCTGTTACTTTTGGTTTTCTTAATCTCATCACCAATAAAAAAAGGAAAAAGGATTGAGTAGCCAGATCATTCATATGATTTAATAAAAGCAACGAATAAATAAAATCTAAGAAAAAAAAGAAGAAAAACGGATGAATGTAAAATGGGGGAGAAACATGGCGAAACATGGCGGAGGAAGAAGGAGAAAAATGGGGGAGAAAGAAGAAGATTGAAAGAGAAAGCACGAAGAAGAGAAAAAATGGAAGAGAAAAGAGAAAGAAGGAGAGAAATGGAGAAGAAAATGAATCGTTTTCTCATGCATGTCATATTGGTTACTGTGTGCAGTTAATGCATATGTCAAGTGAAAGGTATACGCGCGTAGGGTCAATATCGGAAAAAGTAATGGCGAAATACGGAGATATATACGACAATGATACGCTCTTGTTGAAAAACTAATTATGGTAAAAATACTTGCTCCTGGATGCAAATACTCTTCATTTTAACATTAACATTACTTTTGAGTTTTGAGTATTTACTTTGAACTTTTTTTGGGGGTTAAATACTTCGAACATAAATCAGTTAATGTTTCCATACGCATCATAATGTTCGATCTATTAAACAACTCCGGATTTGAAATCAAATGACGATGCAAATTACAAGTGCAAAACTATAAGACAAAAACATGTCCAATTTTTTTTAATTCTGTCTATTTAAATATATAACTCAGTAAGAAAGTGTTTTACTGAAGTCTCGTAAGAGTAGCCATCTTTGCAGATTTTGAACACATAACTGAAGTAATAGCTTTGTCAGACAAATTTGAGTGAGATTATTATGAAACGTAAATAATCTCATTGCTTTCATGGAACAACGTGACTGAATGTATCAATACTCTCAGTCTTGATATTCAAAGATGGTGTATGGGAGGAGCCTCGCCAAACTTAAGAACATAAACAGCTTCGTGAATTGGTCTCATCTGCAATATAAACAACACTTTCTCAATAAACTTCTCATTACCTTTTCGATTTAGTGATAAATGTTCTAGAATATAATACAAGAAATTGTGAGATAGCCTAATTCATACACTAATATTTGCTATAGTTCACATGGCAATAATTAATAACATCATAACTATTTATAAAGTGACTAATCCAAAAATACTATAATTTCTTTACGCATTCTCATCAAGCAAAAGGTATAGAGACCTAGAAACAATTGCTAAACGTGGATCTCAATACCAAAAAAAAAATCAAATCAAATGTGAAAAGGGATTAGGAGGCAACCTTGAACAAGGAGTACGTGAACCATATCAGGAGATATAGAATTCAAGTGATCGCACCATGTCCTAAATGCACCATTTAGTAACAAATCTATGGGTTAAACTGTAAACCAGAAAGGAAAATGTGAATCAGTTAGACATGTATTTGCATTTGTAAGTTTTTATTTATTAAATATTCAACGTACCTCGTAACGCCAAAAATCTTCACGAGCCAGTGAGGCTTTTGTGTAATCACAATGTGCCCAATTGTGAATCCGATGATGACTCCAGGTGTTAAGGCTATGGCAGCTGCAGTCCAGCTCAAACTTCTTCTTCTTCTTCTTCTTCCTCTGATTCTGGTTCTTGTGATTTCTCTCTGTCTTTGTCTCCACAATTGTTACTGAGAGGACGACCACAAAGTCCAAGGTTATCTTCAAAACACGAAGCATCTTGCGTCTGAAACTGTGTCCCTTGCGGTATCGGACCTATGAGCTGGTTGTGGGAAACCACAATCTTAGATAGACTTGTGAGGACTCCGAGAGCAGGTGGGATTTGGCCTGAAAGCTTGTTATGCGATAAGTCTAGGGACTCGAGCTTAGTCAGATTCGCCAAAGATGAAGGGATGTTGCCACTAAAACCATTGCTTGACAGATTGAGCACAATAAGATTCTTCACTAGACCAATGGATTTAGGGATCTCTCCTTGGAGTTTATTTCCTGAGAAATATCAATAGCATTTAAGAGTGTAAGGATCCTCGGGTATGTCAGCTCTACTCCTTTATTCATCAAAACCAACGACTCTTGGTAAAAGCGATAATCTCCTCCAATGTACTTCAATTCTGAACGATTCCCCTCCAAGGACATGGCGCTCCAATACATGAAGAAATCAGATGGTAAGGTTCCAGTGAAGGAATTATTTGATATGTCAATGATTCGCAACTGAGGAAACCAGAAGCAACCTTGGGATGGTACTGTAACGACCCATGAAACTCATTAGAGTGGAGGGCCAATACTTGTAGTTTTTGCAGTGATTCCAACCAGAAAGGAAAGGTATCGTTGATTCTGTTGTGTTCCACGTTTAGAACCTCTAAAGAAGAACAACTAGACAAAGACCTCGGAAGTTTCCCACCAACTGGTTGTGAGCAACATTGAGTGACGTTAGATTGCTGCCACTGAGAAATATATCTGGCATTTTCCACTAAGCTGATTATCGCCAAGTTTTAGAACTAATAGAGACCTTTTGATAAAATTTCCCATACACCGAGGGATTGAACCATTGAAGTTATTGTTAGATAAGTCTAGAACTCGTAGAGACTTAAACATGCACAAGAAAGAGGGAATATTTCCACTGAAATTGTTGTTGGAGCCAACAAGTCTCATAGATGGTTTCGGGACAGTGGATAGTCTATGTTTCGTTGATCTTTCGAAACCGGTGAAACTGTTGCTGGAAAGATTCACAATACAGATTTGGTAGCGTCCATAACCAGCCAGGAACTTGACCTTTGATTCTGTTGTTGGAAATGTCGAGACCAATTTCGTGTTCGGTTCTTAGAAACTCCGGAAACTCGGTGATACCGCATCCTGACAAGTTAATCCCAATATCGATTGCGAAAGAGGATCTGAAACTGAAATCTTGTTTATGGCTGAAACATGGTTGCCTGAGAGATCCAATTCAACGAGCCTCTTGTTAACTGATAAGATTGCATTCAAGTCAATCGTAGTGGTTGTGTTCAAATGGGATATGTCAAGATCTTCCAGCGACTTGAGATGAGAGAAGATGTTAAAGTCAACTGGGCCTTGGGTGTTTAAATAAGAAGGTCAAGTGTGTCAAGGTTGACTAATTTAGAAATGGATATGGGGATTGACCCTACGAAGTTGTTATTGCCAAGGAATAACCGTTTTAGCTTAGATGATGAAGATATATTCCCAAATTCAAGAGTGCCATTGAATTGGTTATTTCCCAAATTTAAGAAATTCCAAAGAAGGAAGGGTGAAGAGAGAAGAAGGAAGCGTTCCTGTGAACTGATTATCGAGAGTGATAAAACTGACAGTTTTGTCAAGTTTAGTATTGGAAGAGGGAAGCTACCACTAAGCTTATTGGACTAACATCTAAGCCGTCCAAGTTGTTCAAACTACCAAAAGAAGATGGGATTTCACCAACTAAATTGTTACCATCGAGGTGAGAAAGGTGAGATGAGAAAGATTTCCAAGTGAAGATGGGATTTCACCATCAAAACTGTTAAATGGAGGTGAGAGAGGTGAGATTAGAAAGGTTTCCAATCAAGAAGGAATCCCCACTAAAGTTATTTACAGAAAGGTTCAGAGTGGTAAGATGAGAAAGTTTCCAATTGACAAGGAATTTGACCGCTGAGATCATTATATGAAAGGTCAAGTGAACGAAGGCTTTGAATCCTAAAAAGCTTACTATTAGAATGAAACAGCCATGGAGGCTGCAATTAAGTTCTAGCTCGACCACTTCCCCAGATTTGTGTCACACGTGACACCGTCCCAATAACAACAGTCGCTGTTATTCACCCATGACTCCGTCTTTGGTTGACCACTATAACAAAAATCAGAAAGTTCGCCAATCTCAAACTCGTTTTTGAACTCGAGAAGTGCATCCCTTTGTTCAGGAAGACACAAGTGCTAGAAGAAGGAGCCGAAAATACATTTGAGAATTAAAAATGAACACAAAGAGAAAAGAAAGAGTAATAAGAATGATACTCATCGAGTTCCAAGATTCTTTCTGCATCCTTCTTTAGAGTAATTTATCTTTCTTGAATATCAAGTAATGAAAAAAGCAAGAAAAGAGAACTGGAAAGTGTGCGAATGATTAAATGGGTTTTCATGCTCATCTCTTTATATACAAAACAATATATATTGTATGTACTCCACAAAGATAAATCTACTCAGCTTGACTCACTAACTAGTCTTTCTCCAAACCGTTATTCAAGCTGGAACAACTCCAAATAAACATGCATCAAATTAGGGGTTTCGTTGCAAAAAAGAAACACATGCAAACAAATCGAAACCAATTTTCTTTGTCAAATCTCATTGCTTTCATGGAACAAAAAAAAAGAAAGGACTGAATGTATTAATTTTCTTACATATGTATAGAGACAAAAAGCAAGACAGTTAAAAAAAAGAAACAAGAGCTCTTGATGTTCAAAGATGGGCTGATGAAGGAGCCCTCTCCAAAATTAAGAACATACGCAGTCCCGTGGATTGGTCTCAGCTGCAATATAAACCACATTTTCTTAATAAACTTTTTTCTACCTTGTCGATTAGTGATCAATGTTCTAGAATAAACACAAGAATTTGTGAGATGACTCTTTTAGTATCTCACAGTTTCTAATTTATACACTACTATTCGCTACAATTTACATGCCACTAATCAATACCATAATAACTGTCTATCAAGTTACTACTCCAAATATGGGGAAAACTCTTGATAAGTGAAACCAAGCAACTTGTATGTATAGCATCTGATACAAATATGGGGCAAAACTGGTTCCAGTTATTTAGTTGTAGAAAATAGAAATTCAGAAATAAAAATCCAGTCCAACAATGTAAGAGTCAGATAACATACGCAAGCAACCCAACCGAGTGACTTGATGACCTGCCCCCTCATCAAATGTTGCTTGGCATTGACAACACTTTGGCTGGTCATACTCTCCGTCTATTACCCACTCTGAATAAGTCCGGACCTATTGATTACAACATGATAAAAGAACATCTTTCAGCATTGTCCCTCCATCTCACAACCATGAAGCAGCAAAACGAAGACAAAGAAAAATTCTGAACATTGATCATTTATAGGAGGAAAATATGGCTACATACAAGATTATAAAATGGCTGGGGAATTAATCTTGCGGTAACTAATGTTTATCTTGTGTATGTTACGATGGGCCACTGTAAAATTAACATCAACAAAATGTCTAACTAAAGAAGTATTGAGTTCTTTAAAGTGTCAGTTGAAATGCACAAAGATAACCAATTGTGCACCATATATCTAAATTATCCTTTGAAAATGAAAGAAGATATCCAAATTATCTCATAAGCAGCAATCTTTCCAGCAGTGAAAGAGATCTTCCATATAATTTTGCTATTTCTACAACGAAACCACATTCCAAACAACAAGAGACTAATTCCTCTAGAAATCTATCAACTCAAGTAACAGCAAGCACATGATTTGATCAACATACCACACAAGTTTGATGCTCCGGGAAGCAAATACATTCGCCACAAACAGGGACTTTGTGAACAAAGCAATACAGCTTAGTAGCCTGGAAAAAAAACCAAAAGAAATGAAATCCATTAGCATTCACTTGATAATCTCTCTCCAACAGAGAGCCAAGCAGAAACAAAATTCACCAACTACCAAATCGTTCATGATTTCTCCAACCATTGAGCTAGAAACACAATAAATCTTACAAATCCAAAGCAAAATCCGTCAAATTAAGGATAATCGTAGCAACAAAGAGAACACATGCAAACAAATCGAAAACTATTTCCAAACTTTTAACTCAAAATCAGAAATCCTGAACACTCCAAAAGATCATCAAATGAATCATACCTTTCTGCATTTGCAAACCACCATTGCAAAGAGCTACGAACGACGAGATCAGGATGGATAAACCAGAGCTCAGAGATTATAGCATTAAGATGAGATCGCACTCCGCAATCGAAAACAGCTTGGGGTCTCTGCTAGATTACGGATCACAAGACGGAGAAAAATAGATCAGAATGATGGAGAAAATTAGCATTTCGGAATCAGATCAAGGACTTAAAAAATTCATGGTAAGCGAAGAAGAAAACGAGAGGATTTCGAAATTCGAGGTAACAAGCTCTCTCGACGAAACAATTGAAACTCGAAAATCAAACTGATAAGGAGATTCAAGAGAAACTCAGATTCAAAATCGAAGATCGAAAGGAGACGAAAGAAGAGAATGCGAAACGTACCAAGCAGAAGCGATTGATTTAGCCGCGAATTGATTTTCCTGAAGCGCTTCCCCTTTTACGCCCTACAAATTATGTTACGATATATTTCATTTCAACATTAACATCTATACTTACTTTTGAGTATTTACTTTGAACTTTTTTTCAGTTTTTGAGGTCAAATACTTCCAACATAAATCAATGTTTGTTAGATCAATGTTCTATAGCTCCGGATTTGAAATCAAAAGACGATGCAAATTACAAGTACAAAACTATAAGACAAAAACATGTGCAATTTTTATAATTCTGTTTAGTCAAACATAAAAATTGATATAACTCAGTAAGGATGTATTTTACTCAAGTCTCGTAAGAGTAGCCATCTTTGCAGATTTTGAAATCCAACAAGGATGAACACATAACTGAAGTAATAGCTTTGTCAGCCAAATTTGAGTGAGATGATTATTGAGGTTTTTCTGTATGAAACGTAAATAATCTCATTGCTTTCATGGAACAACACGACTAAATATATCAATACTTATTCCTTAACACATGTAGAGAGATAAAAGGAAGACAGGTAAAAATAAGAGAAAAGAAACAAGAGTTCTTGATATTCAAAGATGGTCCAAGGGAGGAGCCTCGCCAAACTTAAGAACATAAACAGCTTCGTGAATTGGTCTCATCTGCAATATAAACAACAGTTTCTCAATAAACTTCTCATTACCTTTTCGATTTAGTGATAAACGTTCTAGAATAAATACAAGAAATTGTGAGATAACATCTAATTCCATACACTAATATTTGCTATAGTTCACATGCAATAATTAATAACATCATAACTATTTATAAAGTGACTAATCCAAAAATACTCTAATTTCTTTACGCATTCTCATCAAGCAAAAGGTATAGAGATCTAGAAACAATTGCTAAACGTGGATCTCAATACCAAAAAAAAAATCAAATCAAATGTGAAAAGGGATTTAGGAGGCAACCTTGAACAAGGAGTACGTGAGCCATATCAGGAGATACAGAATTTAAGTGATCGCACCATGTCCTAAATGCACCATTTAGTAACAAATCGAAGGATTAAACTGCAAAACCAAAAGGAAAAATGTGAATCAGTTACACCATCTACATGCATTTGTAACTATTTATTAAATATTCAACGTACCTCGTAACGCCAAAAATCTTCACGAGCCAATGAGGCTTTTGTGTAATCACAATGTGCCCAATTGTGAATCCGTGATGACTCCAGGTGTTAAGGCTATGGCAGCTGCAGTCCAGCTCAATACTCCTTCTTCTTCTTCTTCTTCCTCTGATTCTGATTCTTGTGACTCCTCTGTCTTTGTCTCCACAATTTTTACTGAGAGGACGACCACAAAGTCCAAGGTTATCTTCAAAACACGAGGAATCTTGGGTCTGAAACTGTGTCCCTTGCGGTATCGGACCTATGAGCTGGTTGTGAGAAACTATAATCTTGGATAGACTTGTGAGGACTCCCGAGAGCAGGTGGGATTTGGCCTGAAAGCTTGTTATCTGATAAGTCTAGGGACTCGAGCTTCGTCAGATTCGCCAAAGATGAAGGGATGTTGCCACTAAAACTATTGCTTGACAGATTGAGCACAATAAGATTCTTCACTAGACCAATGGATTTAGGGATCTCTCCTTGGAGTTTATTTCCTGAGATATCAATAGCATTTAAGAGTGTAAGGATCATCGGGTATGTCAGCTCTACTCCTTTATTCATCAGAACCAACGACTCTTGGTAAAAGCGATAATCTCCTCCAATGTACTTCAATTCTGAACTATTCCCCTCCAAAGACATGGCGCTCCAATACATGAAGAAATCAGATGGTAAGGTTCCAGTGAAGGAATTATTTGATATGTCAATGATTCGCAACTGAGGAAACCAAGAAGCAACCTTGGGATGGTACTGTAACGACCCATGAAACTCATTAGAGTGGAGGGCCAATACTTGTAGTTTTTGTAGTGATTCCAACCAGAAAGGAAAGGTATCGTTGATTCTGTTGTGTTCCACGTTTAGAACTTCTAAAGAAGAACAACTAGACAAAGACCTCGGAAGTTTCCCTACCAATTGGTTGTGAGCAACATTGAGTGACGTTAGATTTCTGCCACTGAGAAATATATCCGGCATTTTTCCACTAAGCTGATTATCGCCAAGTTTTAGAACTAATAGAGACCTTTTGATAAAATTTCCCATACACCGAGGGATTGAACCATTGAAGTTATTGTTAGATAAGTCTAGAACTCGTAGAGACTTAAACATGCACAAGAAAGAGGGAATATTTCCACTGAAATTGTTGTTGGAGCCTAACAAGAACTCCATAGATGGTTTCGGGACATTGGATAGTCTATGTTTCGTTGATCTTTCGAAACCGGTGAGACTGTTGCGGGAAAGATCCACATCATACAGTTCTGGTAGCGTCCATAACCAGCCAGGAACTTGACCTTTGATTCTGTTGTTGGAAATGTTGAGATAAAATATTTCGTGTTCGGTTCTTAGAAACTCGGGAAACTCGGTGATACCGCATCCTGACAAGAGTAGTCCCGTAATCGATTGCGAATGAGGACCTGAAACTGAAATCTTGTTTATGGCTGAAACATGGTTGCCTGAGAGATCCAAAACAACAAGCCTCTTGAGAACTGATAAGATTGCATTCAAGTCAATAGTAGTGGTTGTGTTCAAATGGGATATGTCAAGATCTTCCAGCGACTTGAGATGAGAGAAGATGTTAAGGTCAACTGGGCCTTGGGTGTTTAAATAAGAAAGGTCAAGTCCCTCAAGGTTGGCTAATTTAGAAATAGATATGGGGATTGACCCTATGAAGTTGTTATTGCCAAGGCGTAACTGTTTTAGCTTAGATGATGAAGATATATTTCCTAACTCAAGAGTGGCGTTGAATTGGTTATTTCCCAAATCAAGAGATTCCAGAGAAGGAAGGGTGAAGAGAGAAGAAGGAAGCGTTCCTGTGAACTGATTATCAGAGAGTGATAAAACTGACAGTTTTGTCAGATTCAGTAGTGTACGAGGGAAGCTACCACTAAGCTTATTGTAGCCAACATCTAAGTAGTACAAGTTGTTCAAACTACCAAAAGAAGATGGGATTTCACCAACTAATCTGTTAATACCAAGGTAGAGATAAGTGAGATGCGAAAGATTCCCAAGTGAAGATGGGATTTCACCAACTAATCTGTTAACACCAAGGATGAGATGAGTGAGATGCGAAAGATTTCCAAGTGAAGATGGGATTTCACCAACTAAATTGTTACCATCGAGGTGAAGAAAGGTGAGATGAGAAAGATTTCCAAGTGAAGATGGGATTTGACCGCTGAGATCATTACGTGAAATGTCAAGAGAACGAAGGCTTTGAATCCTAAAAAGCTTACTATTAGAATGAAGCATGCCATGGAGGCGGCTGCAATGAAGGTCTAGCTCGACCACTTCCCCAGATTTGGTGTCACACGCGACACCGTCCCAAGAACAGCAGTCGTTGTTATTCACCCATGACTCCGTTTTCGGTTGACCAACACTATAACAATAACGAGAAAGTTCGCCAATCTCAAACTCGTTTTTGAACTCGAGAAGTGCATCCCTTTGTTCAGGAAGACACAAGTGCCTAGAAGAAGGAGCCGAAAATACATTTTGAGAAATGAACACAAAGAGAAAAGAAAGAGTAACAAGAATGATACTCATCGAGTTCCAAGATTCTTTCTGCATCCTTCTTTAGAGTATTTTATATTTCTTGAATATCAAGTAATGAAAAAAGCAAGAAAAGAGAACTGGAAAGTGTGTGAATGATTAAATGGTTTTCATGCTCATCTCTTTATATACAAATTAATAGAACGTATGTACTCCACAAAAATAAATCCACTCAGCTTGACTCACTCACTAATTTGTCTTTCCCCAAACTGTTCTTCACGTTAGATGCTGGATGCAGAGAGTAAAAAGTCTTTGTGTCGAATAGTCAGTTTCTATACATTTTGTTCATATCTATGTTGTTTGTCCAAACCAAATTATCAGCTAACTTTTAAAGAACGAAAAATGCAAGGAAAGTTGAGATTGTGACGTTTAAATACTTGTAGGGTGTTTGACTAGTCAGTTTCTATACATTTTGTCCAGACACAATTTTGAAGAAAGAAAAATGCAGTGAAAAAAGTTGAGATAGTGATTGGTTGAATGGTTTCATGCGCTTCTCTTTACCACAAAACAATAACAGAGTATACGTACTCCACAAAAGATAAATCCACTTTAGCTTGACTTACTAATTAGCCTTTCTCCGAACCTTCACGTTGGATGCAAAGAGTTAAAAAGTCTTTGTGCTGAATAGTCAGTTTCTATATCTTTTGTTCATATGTTGTTTGTCCCAACCAAATTATAAGCTAAGCTTTTAAAGAAGAGAAAATTCAATGAAAATTGAAAATAACATATGGCAATAATAATAAGTGATAATTTTGTCAGCCGAATATCGTTGGCTTTCAACCATGGAAATTAAAAAGCAACAAGAACTCAATATTACCACAATTTCTTCCTTAACACATCCCTATAAAGTATTACAAGTACGAATGTACGATTAACTATCTATCTATCAAGTTGCTACTTCAGAATTGCTAGTATGTGATTCTCGCAAGAAAAACATCAAATCAAAAGTGTGAGAGTGATCGAAAGACCAAACCTTGAACAAGGAGTATCAGGAGTTGGTAATTCAACCAAATCGGGAGAAAGAGAATTCAAGTGTTTGCAAGATGTTCGGGCTTCGACCCAACCCAACCCGGCTCCGAGTACCCAGTCTTGTGTTTCATCTGCAACTTCCTGATCGAGAAATAGAGTCAGGAGGAATCGGGAAACGATATCGGAAAGAGAGGACAATCGAAGTTTTCCCGGCGGAGAAGAGGAGGACGACGTTGGTTTGCTCGCCATAGAGATTAAAGTGGAGCCCAAGATTCTAAACGCACCGTTTAGTTACAAACCGAAGCGAAATCTTGTTTGTTACTAAAAGGTGCGTTTCGAGTCTTGGGCTCGTTTTTCCCGTTTTGACTCGTTTACTTTACTCATTTTTTAAATTGGTGAAAGTGTAATTAAATACTTTTACGTTTTCAAAAACTTGGAAACCACCCAGTTTTAACCATACATATAGCGTTGGTTTCTACTTTCTAGTATTAAATATGGTTTTCAACTAAAGATGGCTGAAATTAGTCCAAGTCTTGGGATTGCATGTGAGATCTCATTATCACTGCATGCTGTGCATAACTGTCACGTCGTCCTGAGTGTAAAAAATTCATGAATTGTGAAGTGTAGTGGTGTCAAGGTGTGGGAGGATGTTAAGATATTGAAGGACTTAGTGAGTCTTGACGACTTAGAAAGCTAAGCAGAAACAAAACTTTCAAAACAGCCAAATAGTTCATGATTTCTCCAACGATCACAGAGAGCTGGAGACGCACACAAAAATTTACAAATCCAAATCAAATTGCATCAAAATAAGGGTTTCGTTGCAACAAAGAAACGCATGCGAACAAATCGAAACCTATTTTCTTTGTCAAATTAAATCTCATTGCTTTCATGGAACAAAAAAAGAAAGGACTGAATGTATTAATTTTCTTACATATGTAGAGAGACAAAAGCAAGACATGTAAAAAAAGAAACAAGAGCTCTTGATGTTCAAAGATGGGCTGATGAAGGAGCCTCTCCAAAACAAAGAACATACGCAGTCCGGTGAATTGGTCTCAGCTGCAATATAAACCACATTTTCTTAATAAACTTTTTTTCTACCTCGTCAATTAGTGATCAATGTTCTAGAATAAACACAAGAAAATCGTGAGATGACTCTCTTAATTAGTATCTCACAGTTTCTAATTTATACACTACTATTTGCTACAATTTACATGCCACTAATCAATAACATAACAACTGTCGATCAAGTTACTACTCCAAAAAAAGAACTCGACTTTCCTTACGCGTCAAGCAAAAGGTATAGAGACCTAGAAACAATTGCTAAACATGGATCTCGCTACCAAAACATCAAATCAAAAGTGAAAGGGATTTAGGAGGCAACCTTGAACAAGGAGTACGTGAACCATATTAGGACTAGGAGAGATTGATTTCAAGTGATCGCACCATGTCCTAAACGCACCATTTAGTAACAATCCCAAGGGTTACACTGTAAACCAAAAGGAAAATGTGAATCACTTAGACATGTATTTGTATTTGTAAGTTTTGCCATTAACATTTTTATTTGTTAAATATTCAACGTACCTCGTAACGCCAAAAATCTTGACGAGCAAATGAGGCTTTTGTGTAATCACTATGTGCCCAATTGTGAATCCGATGATGACTCCAGGTGTTAAGGCTATGGCAGCTGCAGTCCAGCTAAATAATTCTTCTTCTTCTTCTTCCTCTGATTCTTGTGGTTTCTCTCTGCCTTTGTCTCTGCACTTGTTACTAAGAGGACGACCACAAAGTCCAAGGTTATCTTCAAAAGACGAAGCATCTTGCGTCTGAAACTGTGTCCCTTGAGGTATCGGACCAATGAGCTGGTTGTGGGAAACCACAATCTTAGATAGACTTGTGAGGACTCCGAGAGCAGGTGGGATTTGGCCTGAAAGCTTGTTATGCGATAAGTCTAGAGACTCGAGCTTAGTCAGATTCGCCAAATATGAATGGATGTTGCCACTAAAACCATTGCTAGATAGATTGAGCACAATAAGATTCTTAAGTAGACCAATAGATTTAGGGATCTCTCCTCGGAGTTTATTTCCTGAAATATCAATAGCAGCTAAGAGTGTATGGATCCTCGTGTAAGCCAGCTCTACTCCTTTATTCATCAAAACCAACGAGTCTCGATAATATGTATTATCTCCAATGTACTTCAGTTCTGAACGATCTCCCTCTGAGGACATCGCACTCCAGTACATGGAGAAATCAGATGGTAAGGTTCCAGTGAATAAATTATGTGATATGTCAATGATTCGCAACTGAGGAAACCAAATAGCAACCTTGGGATGATACTGTAATATCCCATGAAACTCGTTAGAGTGGAGGACCAAAACTTGTAGCTGTTGCAAGGATTCCAACCAAAATGGAAAAGTATCATTGATTCTGTTGTGTTCCACGTTAAGAACCTCTAAAGAAGAACAACTAGACAAAGACCTCGGAAGTTTACCCACCAACTGGTTGTTACCGATACTGAATGACCTTAGATTGCTGCCATTGAAAAATATTTCTGGCAGTATTCCACTTAGGTGATTATCTCCAAGATTTAGAACTGACATAGACCTTTAGATGAAATTTCTCATACAAGGAGAGACTGAACCATTGAAGTTGTTGTCAGATAAGTTTAGAATGATTAGAGCGCGCATCAAGCATAAAAAAGAGGGAATATTTCCACTAAAATTGTTGTTGAAGCCAGCCAAGTACTGCATAGACTGTTTTGGGACAATGGATAGTCCATGTTTGGATAATCTTTCGAAACCGGTGAAAGCGTTGTTGGAAAGATTCACATAATATAGATTTGGCAGCGTCCATACCCAGCCAGGCACTTGACCTTTCACTTTGTTGTTGGAAATGTCGAGAACCTGTATTTGCAGTACAGTTCTTAGAAACTCCGGAAACACAATGATACCGCATCCTGACAAGAATAATCGCTCTATCAACTGCGATGGAGGATTTGAAAATGAGTTCTTGTTAGTGGCTGAAACACGGTTGCCTGAGAGATCCAAATGACTGAGCCTCTTGAGAACTGATAAGAATGCATTCAAGTCAATCGTAGTGGTTGTGTTCAAATAGGATGTGTCAAGATACTGGAGCGACTTGAGATGCGAAAAGATGCTCAAGTCAACTGAGCCTTGGGTGTTTAAATAAGAAAGATCAAGTCCCTCAAGGTTGGCTAACTTGGAAATGGATATGGGAATTGACCCTCTGAAGTTGTTATTGCCAAGGAATAAGCCTCCTAGCTTAGATGATGAAGATATATTCCCAAATTCAAGTGTGCCGTTGAGGTTGTTACTTCCCAAACGAATAAATTCCAAAGAAGGAAGGGTGAGGAGGGAAGAAGGAAGTGCGCCTGTTAACTGATTATGGGAGAGCGATAAAAATGACAGTTTTGTGAGATTTAGTAGTGCAAGAGGGAAACTACCACTAAGCCTATTGGACCTAACATCTAGAGTGGCCAAGTTGTTCAAATTACCAAAAGAAGATGGGATTTCACCATCCAAATAGTTATTATAGAGTTTGAGATCAGTGAGATACGAAACATTTCCAAGCGAAGATGGGATTTCACCATCAAAGTTATTACCACTGAGGCTGAGAAAGGTGAGCTGCGAAAGGTTTCCAATCGAAAAAGGAATTTGACCTCTGAGATCATTAACTGAAAGGTCAAGAGAACGAAGGCTTTGAACCATGAAAATCTTACTGTTAGAATGAAATCGGCCATGGAGGCGGCTGCATGTAAGGTCTAGCTCGATCACTTTCCCGGATTTGGCATCACACTTGACACCGTCCCAATAACAACAGTCGCTGTTATTCACCACCCATGACTCCGTCTTTGGTTTGACATCACTATAACAACCATAAGAAGGTTCGCCAATCTCGAACTCGTTCTTGAACTCGAGAAGTGCATCCCTTTGTTCGGGATGACACAACTGTCTCGTAGGAGCTGAAAGTACATCTTGAAAATTAAAAATGAATACAAAGAGAAAAGAAAGAAAATTAGAAATGATACTCATCGAGTTCCAAGATTCTTTCTGCAACCTTCTCTAAAATAATTCAACTCTCTTGAATATAATGAGAAGTGAGAACAAAAAAAGGCAAAAGAGAACTAGAAAGTATGAATTAGTGAATGGTTACATAGTTTTCATGCTCATCTCTTTATATACAAAAAATAGAAGTCAGTTATTCATGTTAGATCGATGCAAAGAGTAAAAGTCTTTGTGTTGAATAGTCAGCTTTTATACATTTTGTTCATAATTTGTATGTCCAAACCAAATTATAAGCTAACTTTCAAAGAACGAAAAAATGTGATGAAAGTTGAGATTGTGATTGGTCAAATGGTCTCATCCTCATATCATTATGTACTCCACAAAGATAAATCCACTCAACGTGGCATTTCTCTGAATCTTTCTTCAAGTTGGTTGGAGAGAGTTAATGTCAATGTTGAATAGTCATTTTTGTACATTAATCAAGTGGTTTTGAGTGGTTAAATGGTTTCATCCTCATCTCTTTAAATAATCTATTATGGGTTATTTCTGCCAATAATTAATCTTCTCGTTTTTATTTTCTAGCAAAAACGTAATAAATCTCATTGGCTACCAAAAAAACCACAAGAACTCAATAAACGACATTTTCTTCCATAACAAAGTAACACAGGTAAAAAAAAAAAAAAAAAAAGAGAGCCCTTTGGTGTTCAAAATTTGAGTAAAGGAGCGATACTCAACTCATGGTATCCATACTTCTACCTTTACACATGTAGGGAGATAAAAGCAAGACAGGTGAAAAAAAAAGAAAAAGAAACAAGAGCTCTTGATATTCAAAGAATCAAAGATGGTGCAAGGGAGGAGCCTCGCCAAACTTAAGAACATAAACAGCTTCGTGAATTGGTCTCATCTGCAATATAAACAACACTTTCTCAATAAACTTCTCACTACCTTTTCGATTTAGTGATAAGTGTTCTAGATTAAATAACAAGAAATTGTGAGATAACACAATCCATACACTAATATTTGCTATAATTCACATGGCAATAATTAAAAACATCATAACTATTTATTAAGTGACTAATCCAAAAACTACTATAGTTTTTTTACGCATTCTCATCAAGCAAAAGTTATAGAGACCTAGAAATTGCTAAACGTGGATCTTAATACCAGAAAAAATCAAATCAAATGTGAAAAGGGATTAGGAGGCAACCTTGAACAAGAGTACGTGAGCCATATCAGGAGATACATAATTTAACTGATCGCACCATGTCCTAAATGCACCATTTAGTAACAAATCGAATTGTTAAGCTGTAAACCAGAAGGAAAAATGTGAATCAGTTACACTAGTATTTACATTTGCAACTGTTAATTGAATATTCAACGTACCTCGTAACGCCAAAAATCTTCACGAGCCAGTGAGGCTTTTGTGTAATCACAATGTGCCCAATTGTGAATCCGCTGATGACTCCAGGTGTTAAGGCTATGGCAGCTGCAATCCAGCTCAGTACTTCTTCATCTTCTTCTTCTTCTTCCTCTGATTCTGGTACTTGTGATTTCTCTCTGTCTTTGTCTCCACAACTGTTACCGAGAGGACGACCACAAAGTCCAAGGTTATCTTCAAAACACGATACATCTTGGGTCTGAAACTGTGTCCCTTGCGGTATCGGACCTATGAGCTGGTTGTGAGAAACTATAATCTTGGATAGACTTGTGAGGACTCCGAGAGCAGGTGGGATTTGGCCTGAAAGCTTGTTATCTGATAAGTCTAGGGACTCGAGCTTAGTCAGATTCACCAAAGATGAAGGGATGTTGCCACTAAAACTATTGCTTGACAGATTGAGCACAATAAGATTCTTCACTAGACCAATAGACTCAGGGATCTCTCCTTGGAGTTTATTTCCTGAGATATCAATAGCATTTAAGAGTGTAAGAATCCTCGGGTATGTCAGCTCTACTCCTTTATTCATCAAAACCAACGAGTCTTGGTAAAAGTATTATCTCCTCCAATGTACTTCTGTTCTAACGATTCCCCTCCAAGGACATGGCGCTCCAATACATGAAGAAATCAGATGGTAAGGTTCCAGAGAAGGAATTATATGATATGTCAATGATTCGCAACTGAGGAAACGGAGAAGCAACCTTGGGATGGTATTGTAACGAGCCATGAAACTCATTAGAGTGGAGGAGCAAGACTTGTAGTTTTTGCAGTGGTTCCAACCAGAAAGGAAAGGTATCGTTGATTCTGTTGTGTTCCACGTTTAGAACCTCCAAAGAAGAACAACTAGACAAAGATCTCGGAAGTTTACCCACCAACTGGTTGTGAGCAATATTGAGTGACGTTAGCTTGCTGCCACTGAGAAATATATCTGGCATTTTTCCACTAAGCTGATTATCGCCAAGTTTTAGAACTAATAGAGACCTTTGATAAAATTTCCCATACACCGAGGGATTGAACCATTGAAGTTATTGTTAGATAAGTCTAGAACTCGTAGAGACTTAAACATGCACAAGAAAGAGGGAATATTTCCACTGAAATTGTTGTTGGAGCCAAACAAGTACCCCATAGATGGTTTCGGGACAGTGGATAGTCTATGTTTCGTTGATCTTTCGAAACCGGTGAAACTGTTGCTGGAAAGATTCACAAAAACAGATTTGGTAGCGTCCATAACCAGCCAGGAACTTGACCTTTGATTCTGTTGTTGGAAATGTCGAGAAACCACATTTCGTGTTCGGTTCTTAGGAACTCCGGAAACTCGGTGATACCGCATCCTGACAAGGTTAGTCCCGTAATCGATTGCGAAGGAGGATCTGAAACTGAACTCTTGTTTATGGCTGAAACATGGTTGCCTGAGAGATCCAATTCAACGAGCCTCTTGTTAACTGATAAGATTGCATTCAAGTCCATCGTAGTGGTTGTGTTCAAATGGGATATGTCAAGATCTTCGAGCGACTTGAGATGGGAGAAGATGCTTAAGTCAACTGAGCCTTGGGTGTTTAAATAAGAAAGGTGGAGTGTCTCAAGGTTGACTAATATGGAAAGGGATATGGGGATTGACCCTCTGAAGTTGTTATTGCCAAGGAATAACCCTCTTAGCTGAGATGATGAAGATATATGTCCTAATTCAAGAGTGCCGTTGAATTGGTTATTTGCCAAATTAAGAAATTCCCAATTAGAAGGAAGGGTCAAGAGAGAAGAAGGAAGCGTTCCTGTGAACTGATTACTAGAGAGCGATAAAACTGACAGTTTTGTCAAGTTTAATAGTGGAAGAGGGAAGCTACCACTAAGTTTATTGGAGCTAGCTTCTAAGACGTCCAAGTTGTTCAAACTACCAAAAGAAGATGGGATTTCACCAACTAAATTGTTACCACCGAGGTCGAGAGAGGTGAGATGGGAAAGATTTCCAAGTGAAGATGGGATTTCACCATCAAAACTGTTATAATGGAGGCGGAGATTAGTGAGATTAGAAAGGTTTCCAATCGAAGAAGGAATCCTACCACTAAAGTAATTATTAGAAAGATCGAGAGTGATAAGATGAGAAAAGTTTCCAATTGACCACAAAATTTGACCGCTGAGATCATTAAATGAAAGGTCAAGTGAACGAAGGCTTTGAATCCTAAAAAGCTTACTATTAGAATGAAACCAACCATGGAGGCGACTGCAGTTAAGGTCTAGCTCGACCACTTCCCCAGATTTGGCATCACACATGACACCGTCCCAATAACAACAGTCGCTGTTATTCACCCATGACTTCGTCTTTGGTTGACCACTATCACAAAACTGATTAAGTTGGCCAATCTCAAACTCGTTTTTGAACTCGATAAGTGCATCCCTTTGTTCAGGAAGACACAAGTGCCTAGAAGAAGGAGCCGAAAATACATCTTGAGAACTAAAAATGAACACAAAGAGAAAAGAAAGAGTAACAAGAATGATACTCATCGAGTTCCAAGATTCTTTCTGCATCCTTCTTTAGAGTAATTTATCTTTCTTGAATATCAAGTAATGAAAAAAAGCAAGAAGAGAACTGGAAAGTGTGTGGATGATTAAATGGGTTACATGCTCATCTCTCTATATACAAAGCAATATATTTTATGTACTCCACAAAGATAAATCTACTCAGCTTGACTCACTCACTAGTCTTTCTCCAATCCGTTCTTCACGTTGGATGCAGAGAGTACAAGTCTTTGTGTCGAATAGTCAGTTTCTTTACATTTTGTTCATATATATGTTGCTTGTCAAAACCAAATTATCAGCTAGGCTTTTAAAGAACGACCAATGCAAGGAAAGCTGAGATTGTGACGTTTGCATACTTGAATGGTTTTGAATATTCAATTTCTATACATTTTGTCCAGACAAAACTATACGCTAAATTTTGAAGAAGAAAAATGTAAAGAAAGTTGATAATGATTGGTTGAATGGTTTCATGCTCTTCTCTTTACCACAAAACAATAATACAGTATACGTACTCCACAAAAGATAAGTCGACTTTAGCTTGACTTACTAACTAGCCTTTCTCCGAACCTTCAAGTCTTTGTGCTGAATAGTCAATTTCTATATATTTTGTTTCATATGTTGTTTGTCCAAACCATATTATAAGCTAAGCTTTTAAAAAAGACTAAAATTCAATGAAAGTTGGCAATAATTTACATATATTTTGTTTCATATGTTGTTTGTCCAAACCATATTATAAGCTAAGCTTTTAAAAAAGACTAAAATTCAATAACATATGGCAATAATTTTACCAAAAAAAAAACATATGGCAATAATAATCAGTGATAATCTTCACAGCCAAATCTCGTTTGGCTTTCAATCATGGAAATCAAAAAGCAACAAGAACTCAACAAACCACAATTTCTTCCTTAACACATCCCTAGAAAGTATTACAGGTACGATTATCATACGAATAGTTAAACCAGAATCGTCAAAAGTATTACTTAATAACTACCAAGTTGCTACTTCAGAATTGCTAAAACGTGATTATCGCAAGAAAAAAATCAAAATCAAAAGTGTGAGAATGATCGAAAGACCAAACCTTGAACAAGGATTATCAGGAGTTGATAATTCAACCAAATCGGAAGAAAGAGAATTCAAGTGATCGCAAATTGTTTCGACCCAACCCGACCCGGCTCCGAGTACCCAGTCTTGTGTTTCATCTGCGGCTTCCTGATCAAGAATTTGATTTAGAAAACAGAAACGATATCGGAAAGAGAGGACGATTGAAGTTTTAACGGCTGACAAGAGGAGGACGACGTAAAACCAAAAAAAAAAAGAGAGGAGGACAACGTTGTTTTGCTCGCCATCAGACTCTAAACGCACCGTTTAATTACAAACCAAAGCGAAATCTTGGTTATTAGTTTATTACTAAACGGTGCGTTTAAAGTCTTGGGCTCGTTACATAAGTCTGAAACAAAAACAATAAAACTTAACGTTTTATGTCTTAAATAAGCCGAAATAACAAGAAAACCTATAAATTCACTTCACTCCATTTCACAGCCACCTCCAACAACAAAACCAATTCTCAATCTCATGTCCACCTGCAACAACAAAGCCAATTGTCATTCTCTTAAAACAAAGCCAATTGTCATTCTCGATCAATGTTTTCATTCCTTCATCCAACATGATAAAACCACAATTCTCACTCTAACTAAAACCAATGTTCTCATTCGTCGATGACAGAACCACAATTCTCAATCACCTAAAACCAAGATTCTCTTTCCTTTATAACATAAGAGGACCAATGTCCTCACTCTTTTAAGACTCCTAAAACAAAATTTCTCAGTCATAGACCATTTACATATAAACAGCGACATACCTGTCCCATTCTCCAAATTCAGGAGTAGAAGTCTGAGTTGGCTGACTAGGACCTGCAAGATCTTGAGACTCAACCACCTCGGTTACTGTCTTCTTCTTCTTGGGTTTACGCCCTTTCTTTCCAACAGGTCTTGGATCTTCCATACCATCAGCCAATTTGGATTTTTTTGGCGGCCTAGGTTTAAATGGTACACCCGAATTAGGACACTTGTAAGCGTTGTGGTCAGCCAAACCGCAGCGGTAACAATGCATATCTCTACCATGGTTTGTGGCCTTTTTTCCCTTTTTTGGTGACTCATTAACACCTTTGATCCGTTTCTGTGGATTTTTTTTCCGACCCTTTTGTACCTCTGTATCTGGTGCCTCAAGCGTTGTTTCTCCACTTGTTCTCCAAAATTTCATCCCATTGACCGGTCCAATAGAATCGATATATTGATCCTGCCACTTAGTAGTCAAATACCAATCAGAAACCAAGTCCTCTTTCTTGTATGTTTTCGGGTTGTCAAACACAACGCGTAACGCGTGACGGCATGGAATCCCTGTCAGATCCCATTTCCTACATCTGCATGTCTTCTCCTTCATATTAACCTTGTGTGATTGACCGTTATCCATAACTTCAAACAGACCAGGGCGTGAAGCGATTGTCCTCAAGTGTTTAACCGCTTTTTCTTCTTCTGCGATCACTAGAGCAACCTTTAGAGAGTGTGTGGCCTTATGCTTCTGCGTCATTTTCCTTCTCATCGCTATCCTCATCATAGTTTGCCTCCTCATGGTTTCCAAACTCTGAATCAATGGCATTGCTCTCGCCTTTTCAAGTGTATTGTTGTAACTCTCTGAGAAGTTATTAAGTGCATCTTCACAGCATGAATCGGTCTTGAAGAAAGCCCGGCTACAGTTTCTTGGATTTCTACTCATGAAGGCCTCATAGATATCACTATCATATTTCTTCAGTTGCGCCAGATTTATTTCATAATCTTCCTCATTGAAACTATCAACCACACGCCAAAACTTGGTCTTCAACTGCGGCTTCCTAGGATGATCCTTCCTTATATTACCATAAATATGTCTTGCACACATACGGTGCTCAATCTCTGGTAATTCTTGGTTCACAGCAAAGAGTAGTCCCTGAAAAAAAGTAAATTTAAAAAATCATAATCACAACATTTCATAACAAAAAAAAAACAAAAACGTAATCACTACTACACATACCTTTTGCCTATCAGAAATGACAGTGAATCCTTCACCATTTCCAAGGCCTAAGTCGTTTTTCAAGTGACGAATGAACCACAACCAACTCTCGCTGTTCTCCACTTGCACAACTGCCCAAGCGAAAGGGTAGATCTGATTGTTTGCATCTCTCCCAACGGCTGCCAAGAGCTGTCCTTTGGAATTGGACTTGAGAAAACAGCCATCTATTCCGAAGATTGGTCGGCAATGGCCTTTCCATGTATCACGCAGCCCAGAAAAACACATGTAAAAACTGTCAAAAACTTCTACCCCAACCGCATTAATCTCAGTTCTAACCTCCACTGTCGAGTGTGGGTTTCTCCTGAGACATTTAGATAAAATGTCACACAAACAAGCAATAAAAAAGAAAAGAAACCAACAATGAATTTAAATACTTACGCTTTAAGTTCATCTCTGTAATCTTTCATCCTTGAATATTGTTCTTTGAATTCTTCTTCAATAAGCTCCAATGCTTTTTTCTTCGCTTTACGGCATTGATTATGTGAAGGAGCCACATCGTAACGGTCATGGATTCTCTGCTGCATAATGACTGGTTTGAGTAGAGGATCATTTCTCAGTTCATGGATGAACATGTCACATATCACTTGTTGTGACAAGATTTTGCATCGACCATCTTTGAAACAGGTATGGTTCTCTTGAAACGTCTTTATCATCCACATAGCAATTGAATCCTCATAAGAACAGTAGACTCTCCAACTGCACTTCTCAATACCACACAATGCCTCAGACTTCACAGCTCCCCACCTATTAAACCGTATATTCCAACCTCCTTTCAATGCGTACTCAATCACAGCTTCTCTAAACTCTTTCACGCTTTCAAACACTTGCTTAATCTTGAGTTCTCCACTTCCTCTTACCCACCTATCATAAGGACACCTCTGGATTTTTCTTCCTTCGTTGTCTGATGTAGTAGGAGTTCGTTGGTAGTCATCATTCTCCTCCTCTTCAAAAAACTTAGCCACTACTTCTTCAACCTGAGCTTCTTCTTCACACATCTCGTATACCTCTCGTCCATCTTCTCTGTCTTGATCTCTTCCATCATCAGTATTATTATCTCTTCCATCTTCATTATTATCATCTCTTCCTCTTTGCTCAACCTGATCAGCGCCTCTTTCCATATTTTGATCGTCATTTCTTCCTTCCTCATTACCGTGATCCCCTTCACAATCTTCATCTTTCTCCATATAAATCTCAATCATCCTAGTCCACTTAGCTGCTTCACACATCCTCTCGAAATTCTCAGTACCCTCACACAATATCCTAAGCTCTTTCAAATCTTCAAATGGTAATTTGTACCAAATTCTTTGTCCATACAAACTAACCGGCAATCCCTGAAACAATGATCTTGGCTGTGTAAGGAGCTCATGCCCAGATCCACCATTGTAAACAAGTGTGTCATCCGACATATTTGTAAACTTCCCACCGTAATAGATGGTGAATGAGACATCATCACTACAACAAATTAAAGAATTCAAAATCGTTAATATATTATAGCTTTCAGACGAATTTTATATTGCAAAGTGTGTAAATAATTCTAAATCAATATTAAATTCAAACCCAGTTTTCTAAAAACCCTAAAAATTCTACATACCTCATTTTTCCAGAAATTGCTTCGCTCAGCACAAATAGTATGCAATCTTCTTCAATTAGTGACAGAAACCGGAGAATCTTATGCAGAGAAGAAACAGATTTCAGTACGAAATCAACCTACTTTGTTTTCTCTCTCGAACTCCAAAACGGCACTCGACAAAGAAGAATGAAGAGCCTATGAAACAAAACGACGCCATTTTAAGTTTTGGTTTCTTTTCAATCCAAACGACGTCGTTTCAATTAATAAAATTGATTTGAGTAAACCGGTATTTAACCGCTGACAAACCGAAATTCAGAGCAGTACCAGAAATTGAATTTCGGGTGGCGTTTAGGGAAAAACGACATCGTTTTGATATCCCGTTCCAACGGGGCAGCTGACGTGGCAAGATGACTCAGCACCGTTAACGAATTCGCGTAGTTGACTAACGGGGTGATGGTCAATGTTGGTTATGGCCAGGCGAGAAAGAGTTGGGGTACGTATCGGATGGTTTATAATAGTTGGGGAATGGATTGGCACACCTTGAAAGTTCGGGCACGGATTGGAACCTCTGAAAATAGTTCAGGCACGAATTGGCCGCTTTCCCCTCATTTTTCTGTTTTGACTCGTTTACTTTACTCATTTTTTTGAATTTGAGTAAATTGGTGAAAGTGTGTAATTAAATAACATTGTAAATACTTTTACGTCTGTCGACAAAAAAAAAAAAAAAATACTTTTACGTTTCAAAAACTTGGAAACCAACCAACCAGTTTTAACTTTTAACCATATAGCGTTGGTTTCTAGAATCAAATATGGTTTTCAACCAAATATGGCTGAAATTAGTCCAAGTCTTGGGATTGCATGTGAGATCTCACCGATCTCATTATCACTGCATGCTGTGCATTACCGTCACGTCGTCTTGAGTGTAGTGTGGTGTCAAGGTGTGGGAGGATGTTAAGATATTAAAGGACTTTAGTGAGTCTTGACGACTTAAAAAGCTAAGCAGAAACAAAACTTACAAAACAGCCAAATAGTTCATGATTTCTCCAACGATCACATAGAGCTATTTAAAAATCCAAATCAAAATGCATCAAATTAGGGGTTTCGTTGCAACAATGAAACACATGCAAACAAATCGAAGCCGATTTTCTTTGTCAAATCTCATTGCTTTCATGGAACAAAAAAAAAAAGAAAGGACTGAATGTATTAATTTTCTTACATATATATATAGAGAGAGACAAAAGCAAGACAGGTAAAAAAAGAAAAGAAACAAGAGCTCTTGATGTTCAAAGATGGGCTGATGAAGGAGCCTCTCCAAAATTAAGAACATACGCAGTCCGGTGAATTGGTCTCAGCTGCAATATAAACCACATTTTCTCAATAAACTTTTTTTCTACCTCGTCAATTAAGTGATCAATGTTGTAGAATAAATACAAGAAATCGTGAGATAACTCTCTTAGTATCTCACAGTTTCTAATTTATACACTACTATTTGCTACAATTTACATGCACTAATCAATAACATAATAACTGTCTATCAAGTTACTACTCCAAAAAAAAGAACTCGACTTTCCTTACGCGTCAAGCAAAAGGTATAGAGACCTAGAAACAATTGCTAAACATCAAAACATCAAATCAAAAGTGAAAGGGATTTAGGAGGCAACCTTGGACAAGGAGTACGTGAACCATATTAGGAGAAGATAGAATTCAAGTCCTAAACGCACCATTTAGTAACACTGTAAACCAAAAGGAAAATGTGAATTAGTTAGACATGTATTTGCATTTGTAAGTTTTTATTTATTAAATATTTAACGTACCTGGTAGCACCAAAAATCTTGACGAGCCAGTGAGGCTTTTGTGTAATCATAATGTGCCCAATTGTGAATCCGAGGATAACTCCAGGTGTTAAGGCTATGGCAGCTGCAGTCCAGCTCAATACTCCTTCCTCTTCTTCTTCTTTCTCCTCTGATTCTGGTTCTTGTGAGTCCTCTCTGTCTTTGTCTCCGCAGTTTTTACTAAGAGGAAGACCACAAAGTCCAAGGTTTTCTTCAAAAGACGAAGCATTTTGCGTCTGAAACTGTGGCCCTTGCGGTATCAGACCGACGAGCTGGTTGTGGGAAACCACAATCGTAGATAGTCTTGTGAGGTACCCGAGATCATGTGGAATTTGGCCTGAAAGCTTGTTATGAGATAAGTCTAGGGACTCGAGCTTAGTCAGGTTCGTCAAAGATGAAGGGATGTTGCCGCTGAAACCATTGCTTGACAGATTGAGCATAATAAGATTTTTCACTAGACCAATGGATTTAGGAATCTCTCCTCGGAGTTGATTTCCAGAAATATCAATAGCATTTAAGAGTGTAAGGATCCTCGGGTATGTCAGCTCTATTCCTTTATTCATCAAAACCAAGGAGTCTCGGTAATAGCGATTATCTTGTCCAATGTACAACAATTCTGAGCTTTTCCCCTCCAAGGACATGGCGCTCCAATACATGAAGAAATCTGATGGTAAGATTCCAGTGAAAGAATTGTACGATATGTCAATGATTCGCAACTGAGGAAACGGAGAAGCAACCTTGGGATGGTACTGTAACGAACCATGAAACTCATTAGAGTGGAGGACCAATACTTGTAGCTGTTGCAAGGATTCCAGCCAGAATGGAAAAGTGTCGTTGATTTTGTTGTGCTCCACATTTATAACCTCCAAAGAAGAACAACTAGACAAAGATCTCGGAAGTTTTCCCACCAACTGGTTGTGACCAAGATTGAGTGACCTTAGCTTGCTGCCATTGAGAAATGTTGCTGGCACTTTTCCACTCAGATGATTAGCACAAATACAACGAGGGATTGAACCACTGAAGTTGTTGTTAGATAACTCTAGAGCGAGTAGAGCGCAACATGCATACGAAAGAGGGAATATTTCCACTAAAATTGTTGTTGAAGCCAAAAAGGTACTTCATGGATGGTTTCGGGACAGTGGATAATCTATGTTTCGTTGATCTTTCGAAACCGGTGAGACTGTTGCTGGAAAGATTCACATACCTCAGATATGGTAGCGTCCATAACCAGCCAGGCACTTGACCTTTGATTTTGTTGTTGGAAATGTCGAGAAACTGCATTTCTTGTTGGATTCTTAGAAACTCTGGAAACTCGGTGAGACCGCATCCTGACAGACGTAATCGCCTTATCAAATGTAAAGGAGGATCTGAAACTGAACTCTTGTTTGTGCCTGAAACATGGTTGCCTGAGAGATCCAATTCAACGAGCCTCTTGTTAACTGATAAGAATGCATTCAAGTCAATCGTAGTGGTTGTGTTCAAATGAGATATGTCAAGATTCGAGCGACTTGAGATGAGAGAAGATGCTAAAGTCAACTGGGCCTTGGGTGTTCAAATAAGCAAGGTCAAGTCCCCGAAGGTTGACCAATTTAGAAATGGATCTGGGGATTGGCCCTATAAAGTTGTTAAAGCTAAGGCTTAACAATACTAGCTTAGATGATGAAGATACATTCCCAAATTCAAGAGTGCCATTGAATTGGTTTTTATACAAACTTATCATAGCCAAAGAAGGAAGGGTGAAGAGAGAAGAAGGAAGCGTTCCTGTGAACTGATTACGGTAGAGTGATAAAACTGAGAGTTTTGTCAAGTTTAATAGTTGAAGAGGGAAGCTACCACTAAGCTTATTGTCATAAACATCTAAGACCTCCAAGTTGTTCAAACTACCAAAAGAAGATGGGATTCCACCAACTAACTTGTTACGGGTGAGGCTGAGATAGGTGAGATGAGAAAGATTTCCAAGTGAAGATGGGATTTTACCAACTAAATTGTTACCATGGAGGTGAAGATAGGTGAGATGAGAAAGGTTACCAATGGAAGAAGGAATCTCACCACTAAGGTCATTTCTAGAAAGGCTGAGAAAGGTAAGATGAGAAAAATTTCCAATTGACCAAGGAATTTGACCGCTGAGATGATTATATGAAAGGTCAAGAAAACGAAGGCTTTGAATCCTAAAAAGCTTGCTATTAGAATGAAACAGACCATGGAGGTGGCTGCATTGAAGTTCTAGCTCGACCACTTCCCCAGATTTGGTGTCACACGTGACACCTTCCCAATAACAACAGTCACTGTTATTCACCCATGACTCCGTTTTCGATTGACCACCACTATAACAAAAACTAGAAAGTTCCCCGATCTCAGACTCGTTTTTGAACTCGAGAAGTGCATCCCTTTGTTCAGGAAGACACAACTAGAAGAAGGAGCCGAAAATACTTGAGAATTAAATGAAACAAAGAGAAAAGAAAGAGTAATAAGAATGATACTCATCGAGTTCCAAGATTCTTTCTGCATCCTTCTTTAGAGTAATTTAGCTTTCTTGAATATCAAGTAATGAAAAAAAAAAAGCAAGAATAGAAAAGTGGAAATTGTGAATGATTAAATGGGTTTCATGCTCATCTCTTTATATACAAAACAATATTGATTGTATGTACTCCACAAAGATAAATCTCACTAATGTGTCTTTCTCCAAACCGTTCTTCACGTAAGGTGCAGATGGGAAAAGTCATTGTTTTCAATAGTCAGTTTCTATATATTTTGTTCTTATATATGTTGCATGTCCAAACCAAATTGTATTCTAACTTTTGAATAGTCAATTTCTATACATTTTGTCCAGAGCAATTATGCGCTAAATTTTGAAGAAAGAAAAACGTAATGAGAGTTGAAATTGTGATTGGTTGAATGGTTTCATCCTCATCTCTTTATCACAAAACAATACACTGTATACGTACGTACTCCACAAGATAAATCGACTTTAGCTAACTGATCTTTCTCGGAACCTTTCACGTTGGATGCAAAAAGTCGTTGTGCTGAATTGTCAGTTTCTATACATTTTTTTGTCATATTGTTTGTCCAAACCAAATTATAAGCTAAGTTTGTAAGGAAAAGAAAATTCAATGGAAATTGAAATTGAAATAACATATGGCAATAATCAGTGATAATTTCTTCAGCCAAATCTCATTGGCTTTCAATCATAGAAATCAAAAAACAACAGGAGCTCGATATACCACATTTTTTATTCATTAACACATCCATAGAGACATAAGCAAGATATGTAAGAAAAAGAAACCTCTTTGGTGTTCAAAGTTGGGGTAAAGGAGGAACCTCGCCAAATTTAAGAATGTAAGCAGCCTGGTGAATTGGTCTCAGCTGTAATATCATCTGAGCATCCAGATACGCTTCGCAGCAAAAGCACCATACGGACAAGTCACTGCCATTCCACAGAGTTAGCATAAGTCACCGTTAAATTTAAACAAAAAGAAAGAAAGAGCAAATGCAATGAAAAAACTGAAAACACATGTATACACCTATAGCTGAGTGCAAGGCAGTGACCAGTCTGCTGATGATGCATCAGCATGTGTCTGTTCACGAAACGGCTGCATAGAACCTCTTTACAACACAGGCATAACCAGTTCTCTACCGGATTTTCACACCTTAGAAAGTAAACATAATTGAATTAATACATTAACCATACACTACCAAAGAAAACAAACACAGTTTCTCAATAAACTTCTTAACCTCTAACTAAATCAGTGAGATAAGTAATTTTGAATAATACAACGAATTGTGACATCATTCTCCTATTAATTCATAGTTTGTAACACTAATTAAAACACAAGCATCAAAAGCGTTACATAATCACTATAGATCAAGTGGCTAATTCTCGCTAAGGAAATCATCAAATCAGAAAGTGAAAGGGATCAAGTGGCTAATTCTCACAAGCAAAACATCAAATCAGAAAGTGAAAGGGATCAAGGAGCCAAACCTTGAACAAGGAGTATCAGGAGTTGGTAATTCAACCAAATCGGGAGAAAGAGAGCTCAAGTGATCGCAAGATGTTCGGGCTTCGACCCAACCCGACCCGGCTCCGAGTACCCAGTCTTGTGATTCATCTGCAGCTACCTGATCGAGAATCTAATTAAGAAATTAGTGATAGAGATCGGGAAACGATATCGGAAAGAGAGGATTGATTAAAGTTTTACCGGCGGAGAAGAGGAGGACGACGTTGTTTTGTTCGCCATCGATTGAAGGCGGAGCCGAAGATTTTAAAACGCACCGTTTAGTAACAAACCGAAGCGAAATTTATTATCTCAGGCGTCGTTTTACTTTTCTTTTGACTATTTGACTCGTTATTTGACGTATTTATATGGTTTTTTTACATCTGAGAAAATTGGTTTAAGTGTATTAAATAAAGATAATTTACGTTTTCAAAAACTTGGAAACAAAACGAATTTAGTAATTTAACATCAATTTATTCAAAATGGTGTTGATTTCTAGGATTTCCTTTTAAAAAGTGAAACTGATTCAAAAAATTACCATAACTCAATAAATCTCCCTTCGATATCCAAAAGAATTAAATGCATGCAAAAAACCTTACTCAAATAACATCCAACCATGAAACAGAAATGAAGATACAATTACGAATAATTTCACACTCACATCCTACATTGCATACTTAACATGTCACAAACCACTCACTCTTAAAAAGAAAAGAAAAAACTACTAAGAAAAACGTTTCTCATTTTAGCCGTCATTTGAACAGGTAAACATCCCATCGGCGCCAACCCTCCGACCACAATATTCCGGCAACCTAAACTATAAAGCTCCTGTACACACAAGAGAATCATTTGAACAAATATCATAAAATAACTCGAAGAAAATATCAAAGATTGGTCTAAACCCTAGAGGAAAACAAAAGCATTTTGAGACATTACCCGAACAAATCCGTCAACTCTCTTGAGCACAAAGTCTTGGTAACTATAGATATCAGGATACTCGAGACGCCTCGTGGGAATATCGTAAAAGTTCAAGATGAAATCATTGGGACCTGCGCTGATGACAACTAAAGCGTTGTTGATGATCTCCATGGCTTTCTTGTCTCCTACGATGCCTTTGAGACGAGCAATGTAACTCTTGAACATGGTTGGTTGTTGTGAAACGGGGATGGCCTTGCTCGATAGCGAGGTCCGGTCATCGTATCCAGCACCGGCGGATGCAAAACAGACTCCGGTGACAATATCTTGGTCGGAGATGTTCGGTTGTAGAAACGGAGGAACAAACTCTTTGATGTTGAGATTGGAGGCGATGACGTCAGAGATTAGCTTTCCGTTAGAGAATCTTCCGTTGGCTTCGTGTCCGGGAAGATCAACTCCGTAAGGGAGATGGTTAGCTTTGAAAACGGCTTGTGAATGGTAGTTGTTGTTGCCTGTGTCTGCGGTTGAGTCGCCGAAGATTAAAATCGCGGGGAAAAGTGGGTTTGCTGTGACGTTGCAAGACGCTGTGAGTGTTGCGATGAAGAGACCAAGAACTATGGTTTTAGATGTACACATTGTGAAAGTTATTTCGAATTTGTTGTTTCTACTTTATTTTGTTGAACTTCAAATGTGTTCGGATAATTATTTATAACATGCTTGGTTCTCTTATATTGAAATTCTGTTTTTCCTGAAACTGAAAAACAAATTGATAAGAAAAGAAAGAAGGAGATTGGAATCTTGTAGTCTAATTAAAGATATCATTAGTATAGTAAAAAACAGAAGAATGTTGACTAAAATTCAAAGTCAAAAACAGAAGAATTTGAAACTAAAATGGTTAAAAACGTCCCCAGGGTATATAAACGCTTGGAGGCTCGATTGGTAAACTCCCACATTGAGTTTCTTTTATCGTAAAATTGTATATGCTAGGATATCTGCGGGAGACTTGATTTTTTAATAAATTCCATAAAATTATAAAATTATAATTTGAGCTTAACTAGAGTGAAATGATATTTTTGTATGAAACATATTTAATCTCATTGGCTTGCAACCAAATGTTTTTACTTAACACATCCAGAAAAGACTAAAGCAAAATTTGTAAACTAAAAAAAGAAAAAAAAAAAGAGAGAGACAGAGCTCTTGATGTTCAAAGTTGAGGTAAGGAAAGAGCCTCGCCAAATTTCTGAACATAAACAGCCTGGTGAATTGGTCTCATCTGCAATGTGAACAAGAATATCTCAATATTATTATCGCTACCATTTTGATTAGTGATAAATGTTCTTGAGTATATACTAGAAACTGTCAGAATTCTCCCATATACACCACTATCTAGTACAATTAACATGCCACTAACTATGTATCAAGTGACTACTCCAAAAACACTAAAAGTTTCTTACACATTCGCATCAAGCAAAGGGTATAGAGATAAACCAATTACTAGACGTTAAATTATTCTCGCTACCAAAACATAAAATTAAACGTGTAAGAGATTTAGGAGGTAACCTTGAACATGAAGTATGTGAACCATATCGGAAAAGATAGAACTTCAGTGATGGCACGATGTCCTAAACGCACTGTTTAGTAACAAACCTGAAGGGCAAGCTGTAAATCAAAAGCGAATGGTGAATCAGTTACAACAGTATTTGCATCTCTAGGGTTTCCAGAAATAAAAATTATTGATTGAATGTTCAACGAACCTGGTAATGTCAAAATATTTCACAAGCCAATGAGGCTTTTGTGTAATCACAATGTGCCCAACGGTCAATCCAAAGATGACTCCAAGTGCTAAGCCTATGGCAGCTGCAGTCCAATTCAATGCCCCTTCGTCTTCTTCTTCCTCCGATTCTGGTTCTTGTGATTCCTCGGTGTCTCTATCTCCACACATTTTACTGAGAGGACGACCACAAAGTCCAAGGTTGTCTTCAAAAGAAGAAGCATCTTGCGTCTGAAACTGTGTCCCTTGCGGTATCAGACCGACGAGCTGGTTGTGGGAAACCGTAACATTAGCAAGACTTGTGAGGTCTCCGAGAGCACGTGGAATTTGGCCTGAAAGCTTGTTATGCGATAAGTCTAGAGACTCGAGCTCTGTCAGATTCGCCAAAGATGAAGGGATGTTCCCACTAAAACCATTGCTTGACAGATTGAGCACAACAAGATACTTTAGTAGACCAATGGATTTAGGGATCTCTCCACGTAGCATATTCCCTGAAATATCAATAGAGGTTAAGAGTGTCGAGATCCTGGTGTACTTCATCTCTACTCCTTTATTCATCAAAACCAACGACTCTTGGTAGTAGAAATTTTCTCCAATGTACTTCAGTTCTGAACGATCTCCCTCTGAGGACATTGCACTCCAATACATGAAGAAATCATATGGTAGTGTTCCACTAAAGGAATTACATGATATGCCGATGATTCGCAATTGAGGAAACGATGAAGCAACCTTGGGATGGTAATGTAACGAACCATGAAATTCATTATGGTGGAGGACCAATTCTTGTAACCGTTGCAAAGATTCCAACCAGAACGGAAAAGTGTCATTGATTCTGTTGTTTTCCACGTTAAGAACCTCCAAGAAAGAACAATTAGACAAAGATCTCGGAAGTTTACCCACCAATTGGTTGTGGCCAACGTGGAGTGACCTTATATTGCTGCGACTAAAAAATATTGGTCCGTGGAATGAATTGAATGACAGGACTAGAACTTGTAGCTCCGGCAAAGAACTCAACCAGAACGGAAACGTGTCATTGATTATGTTGCTTTCCACATTTAGAACTTCAAGAGTAGAGAGACGGATCAAAGATCTTGGAAGCTTTCCCACCAGTTGGTTATGACCGATGTCAAGGAACCTTAGACTACTCTTGAGATTTCCCATACAATGAGGGATCGAACCATTGAAGTTGTTGTTTGATAAGTCTAGAGCGACTATAGAGCACAAATCGCATATGAAAGAGGGAATATTTCCACTGAAATTGTTGTAAGAGCCATACAAGTACCTCATAGAAGGTTTCAGGACAGTGGATAGTCCATGTTGAGTTGATATTTCGAAACCGGTGAAAGTGTTGTTGGAGAGATTCAACTGCTCAAGATTTGGTAGCGTCCATAACCAGCCAGGCACTTGACCTTCGATTTTGTTGTTGGAAATGTCGAGAACCTCCATTTTGTGTTGGGTTCGTATGAGCATTGGAAACTCGGTGATACCACATCCTGACAAGTATAATCCCCATATCAACTGCGGAGGAGGATTTGCAACCGAACTCTTGTTTGTGGCTAAAACTCTATTTCCTGAGAGATCCAAACTGAACTTTTGCATGTGGTTGAAGACTGCTAAGATTGCATGCAAGTTAATCGTAGTGGTGGTGTTCAAATGGGATATGTCAAGATATTTGAGCGACTTGATATGCGACAAGATGCTAAAGTCATTTGACCCACTGAAGTTGTTATTGCCAAGGTGTAACTCTACTAGCTTCGATGATGACGAAGATATATTCCCAAATTCAAGAGTGCCACTAAGTTGGTTATTTTCCAAATGAAGAGTACTCAGAAAAGGAATTGTGAAGAGTGAAGAAGGAAGCGTTCCTGTGAACCGATTGTTGGAGAGTGACAAAAATGATAGTTTTGTTAGGTTTAGTAACGTGAGAGGGAAGCTACCACCAAGCCTATTGGAACCAACATCTAAAATGGCCAAATTATTTAAATAGCCAAAAGAAGATGGGATTTCACCAAAAAAACTGTTACGATAGAGGTTGAGATAGGTGAGATGCGAAAGGTTCCCAATCGAAGAAGGAATCAAACCACAAAAATAATTTTCAGAAAGATAAATAGTGGTAAGATTAGAAAAATTTCCAAGTGAAGATGGGATTTCACCATCGAAACTGTTATCATAGAGGCTGAGATAAGTGAGATGTGAAAGGTTTCCAATCGAAGAAGAAATCCAACCACTAAAATAATTTCCAGAAAGATCGATAGAGGTAAGATGAGGAAACTTTCCAAGTGAAAATGGGATTTCACCATCAAGATAGTTTTCGGAAAGGCTGAGATAAGTGAGATGCGAAAAGTTTCCAAATGAAGAAGGAATACAACCACTAAAGTAATTTTTAGAAAGGTCAAGAGTGGTAAGATGAGAAAAATGTCCAATGGACCATGGAATTTGACCGATGAGATCATTATTTGAAAGATCGAGAGAACGAAGGCTTTGAACCCTAAAAACCTTGCTTTTAGGTTGAAACCGGCCATGAAGACAGCTGAAAGAAAGGTCTAGCTCTACCACTTCTCCGGATTTGGCATCACACGTGACACCGTCCCAATAACAACAATCGCTGTTATTCGTCCACGACTCCATCTTCTGTTGACCACTCACACAAAAAGAAGGTTTGTGAATCTCGAATTCGTTTTTGAACTCGAGAAGTGCATCCCTTTGTTCTGGACGACACAAGTGACTTGTAAAAGATGAAAATGCATCTTGAGAATTCAAAATGAATAAGAGAAAAGAAAGAGTAATAGAAATGATACTCATCGAGTTCCAGGATTCCTTCTGCATGCTTCTTTTAAGTAATTTAACTTTCTTGGATAAAGAAAGCAAAGGAGAATGGGAAACAGTGAATGATTAAATGGTTTCATGCTCTTCTCTTTATATACCAAAAAATGAACTGTTTAATGTATGTACTCCACAAAGATAAATCCACTGAGCTTGACTCACATTAAACGCAGAGAGTAAAAGTCTGTGTTCAATAGTCAGTCTTTATATATTTTGTTCATATGCTGTTTGTCCAGACCAAATTACAAGCTAACTTTTAAAGAAAGAGAAACTATAATGAAAACTGAAAACAATCACAAAACTTTGGTGCAGTGTTTAAGATTATTTCCTTAGAAAATAGAGTTACTAATCGCTCCCTAACCTGAGTTTCCTTTAAATAACACATGTTAAATTACATATAATCTAGCTTTTGCTTGTGAGTATGGGAATATTTGATGAATGTTATAACGAGTTAACGATGTCGCATTACTAACTGATGATAACGTTTATAGTTTTTCTGCGCATCCCCAAGAAAGTGAAGAAAAAAGAACGACATTACTTCACTGTATAAATATTCCCCTTTGTGAGAGAATTACTTCACTGTATAAAGATATGATAGAGAATTACTTCACTGTGGTTAAAGTTTATAGGGTCAAGCAATCATGTTGTTGTACATATGGTTGCAGAATATTGTGGATGAACTCAGTGCTATTTGCTAACAAAAGATGAATGTTGTGCTACGTACTATCTATCTATTATTAGTTTATTACTTCCCAATTGTGTTTGGACTTTCTCAGCTTTTATAATCTAAAACTCAAATTCTTCATTTTCAGTTTAACTCACTTCTCTTGATCTTGGTATACCGTATACGCTAAATATTGAACCAAAGAAATATTTGTGTTTCTGTCATTACTGATTAACATAGTAGAATCAAACTGTGGCTAAGATCATCTCTTGTCGCGAGTCAAAGAGAAGCAGAAATGTTTTTTGGTTTCCTCTACAAAGTTTGCAAACTAATGAAAGGCTTGTCACATGTTTGCTTTTTGAATTATAAACTACTGTTGTGCTTTCAGAAAAAAAAGATGACTGGTTTGTGATCGTAAATATTGCAGGTTTGTATTTTAGTCAAGTGTCCAAATGGCAAGAGTCTACGTCATTTTGGAGTTGTCTCCATGTGGTGGTGAGCCAACGTAGTAAATGCATGTAGGGTTTGCCTCGTCTTGTATATTCAATTTCCTGCAAAACATGAGAAGACAAACATTACCGTCTAGAACGATCTATATTACTTCACTGTATAAAGATTCCATTTAAGTTGTAATCAAAACTACAGTTTCCTTGTATTCCACGTTATCGCATAAGAACTGTTTTGTGTTCTAATAAAAAGAGTTCTTCAAACCCTAAATACAAATAAAATGGAGACTAGACGGATAAAAAAAGAAAAAGAACCAAAAATCCAAGTTTTTAAAAAGCTCATCGTCTTTTCCCAAAACAAGAACACTAAAAAAAAGCACAAGTGTTTACCAAAAGCTTATTCTGTAAACCTAATTCTTGGTCTTAACAACATGTCTTCTACCACCAGATCCAATAGTGTTACCATTTTCTATACATCCTCCATGAAACCTATCCTTACACGGCATCTCTTTCAGATGTTTCTACCGACTTCAATTCCTCCAAACTGATACCCCACTCTCCCTCTCCGTAGCCGTCCATATCAACATTTTAACCTTGGCATTACATAAAACATCTCCATCTTCTTTTTACGTTCCAAATCATACGTTTTAGTTTTAGCCTTTTACTCTAAAGAGACATAAGTGGAACTGATTTTACGTATATATTTATGTCGTGTGCAATGATCTCAACTCAGTGCTCATAGATATTTTATTCCATGGGGACTATATGCATTTGAAATATCACTGTATTTATTATTTTTATTCAAATCACTCTAAATTTCAGTTTGAATACACCCTCCTATGAGTATTGCTTTAAAAGATACGATACAGCTTATTATTTTCATTCTCTAACTCTAAATATCTCTTATAAAAAACGGTCTCCATGTTAAATAGACAAAAAATAATTCAAAGAAATTACAGTTGATTCATATAAATCTAAGGAAACCCATTAAAACATGTTTGTCAAGAAAATACTTGTTCATCAAGAAACAGAAACCCTCCTAGTCAAGTTTCTTGAAGGCGTCGCTGTTTTAGCCCCTTCTTCAGTCACAGATCCAAGACTCCCCGACGAATCCGACCCACCATTGTTCTTCTCTCCTCCTCCTCCTCCTCCTTTGCTCTGCGACTGCAACTTCTTTCCAAATATCTTCTTAGACTTTATCAAGCTTTTCACTCTGCTCATCGTAGTCACCGCCGCTCTATCCATGCTCTTCCTCCCACTCTCTTCCTGAAGCTTCAACGCCGCTATCTCTCTCTTCAATGCTCTCATCTCTTCCTCCGTCGCAACCGCATCCCATTCGTCTTCCATAACCGTTGGCACCGATCTTGCGCTCCCGTAAGTTTCACAGTTGCGTAGCTCCCTCATCATCCCTTTAGGCAAATCAGGCGTGCTGCTTCCAGACGAAGCAGCTGCTCTCACTTGCTCAAAGAAGAGTACTTGAACCACCACACGAAGCGGAAGCCTGTCGTTTTGCACTGCGTGCATGCACGCTTCTACCGATAGTTTCCTACAATCCATCAGCTTGCACATCCTCTTCTTCTCTCCCTTTGTGATTCCTCCATGTTCCTGTGTTTACAATTTGGGTTCAGTTTGAAAAACAGAGCAAAAACAGAGAGATTAACCGAAATAACAGAACCGAAACAGAGGAAAACAAAATCTTGGTACCTTAAGATACGTATCGATAGCACGGTAGAGTCCATCATGAGCAGGCCTTGAGATACTAGAAACAATCTCAGCAAGATCGATGAATGTATAAGCAGAAAGATTTGGATCTTTGGCAATTTCAGCAAGATAACTATCTATAACTTTTGCCACCATTAGCTTTGAAGCTTCAGATAAAATCCCTGGAAACTTCTTTATCTCCTCAACTTCATCATCATCATCATCATCATCTTGAATCTCTATCTCACTGTTTTGATCTCTTGCCATGAACTCAACAACTATCTTCTTCACCAAGTCCACATCGTACAAGGTTTCACTTTCTTGATTCGGTTTTATCAAGAGCTCGGCTACAGAAGCTTCCTCTAGCTGCTGTCCTATTCTTCTCACGAGCTGTTCTTTCACCATCTCTCCAGAGTTTAGCATAGTGACTGCTTTCAAGAGCTTAAGCAAGAAACCGCAAGAAACGCTGTTTTTCTCAGCAGGTAACAACCAAACAAGTGTCTCAATGACTGTCTTATGCTTCACCAAATCTCCTTGCTCCATCACAACTTTGTTGAAACTTGATAATCTTCTATAACCATAAGCTTTCAAAGCTTCTCCGATAACTTCTCCTCCAAGTATACCTTTAGTTTTGATGTTTATGATAACCCTTTTGTAGAAATCAATCTCAAGCTCACACAAATCCTCCACCCACCAATCATTTGGCACTTCTCCTCGAGTCTTGACTTGATCCGGACCAATGTTTTCTTCAGGTAGTTTCTTTCTGTTGTAAGTATAAGACCACTCAACGTGTGAAACATCTACACAAGCCTTACTAGCTATAGCATCAATGCAAAGGCTAATCAGTTTGAGATCCTCGGAGAGCGGTAAGTAGGGTTTAGTAGTCTGAAGAACAATGATTGAGTCTTTCCAGCTACGAAAGAGACTCGAGTTCAAGAACACGTCAATCTTGTAAATGAGATTTCCTTTCTCCAGCGTCTCGTTCATTCCAAGATACTCAGCTGCACATCTTGTGGCTACAACGTTGTATGCACTTAGAGTTACTGTCATACCGTAACAGAACTTTGCACATGTCTCGAATGCTGTTGCTCCGCCTGGTATACTGGAGATATCAACCTCATCGACGTTGTTCTTGTCCGCGCTTGAGAGCAACTTTTGTAGGCAGGCACATTTAGAGAGTAGAGGAAACTGTAAAGGATAAACAAGAATCATCAAAACTCAAGGCAAAACCAGTTTTCAAGAATCAGACTGGATCAAGAACACAACAAAACAGATGAATATGTGAAACAAGATATCTAAAACCAAGTTAAGATACACCAAGATTAATCAAATTCTAGGGAAACAGATTTGCATATGGAGACAAAGTTTACATACCTTATGCAAACAAAATCTTGATCCTTCAACATTGATAGTAATGTCACTAGCTAGTTCATTTTCTACATACCTGCGTGAGATCAAATCAACATCTAGAGTCAGGGATCATCGATTTAAACACTAGTTTGTAGTGATTATATCTTTGATACAAAATCTTGATCACTCAACTAACAAAACAAGAAGAAACAAAAGGATAGATCATAACAGTACCTGACATTGTTCCCATCAGTTTTAAACGAATCTGGCTTTGACCCAATTTTCATGAACTTCATCTTCTTCCACTAGGAGAATAAAATGCTCTTGAAGAGATTAAAGATCGATTTACTTGCAGAGGAGAAGGAAGACCAAGAAAAGCTTCAAGAATCAGAAATTAGTTAATCCATAACCAAAACCATTTCTCCTAAAATGGAAAGAAGGATGTTCCAAGAACTGAGGGTGGGGACCAGATTGTTCCTTTTATGCAACTAACTTTACTTCTTCCCTTGGAGATCTAAAAAGCACAAACACAGAGAAAGGAGAAAAAGAAAAAAAGAACCAAAAGGAAGAAAACAAAACAAAGCCTCAAATGCAGAGAAGTGACTCTAAAACCAATCAGATTAGTAACAATATGTAAACTTCCATTTCCTCTTTATTAAATTTGTTAACTTGCACAATAATCAAAATTAAAAAGGTTCTCTTTTCTATCGAAAAACTAATCAGAGAAGCAAATTGCTTCCTTAGATACCAGCAAAGGGCCGTGAAGAGCGGCCAAACGCAGCAACCAAAGGGGACAATACCGTAGCAAAATGTCTCACTACCAAATCCGAATCAAGAATCAAGATCCAAACTTTTAATCACTTCTGGTGTATTCTATTAATTATAATCAATGTACACTCTAATGTAGCTTAAGATGCAGATTAAAGAAATGGATTTTAACCTGTGTTGTGACTGTGTTGTGTTTCTTCAAGTCTCAAGTTCCAACTTTGAAGCACATGTTTGTGGTATTAGTTTATTTCAAACCGTAGAAGTTTGGGAACCTGCAAATTTAAAAAACATAAAATAAAAACAGCATCTCGGTATTAGTAGAAATAAACCACCACAACGGTAGACAAGAAGCATCTTTTTTAGTTTATCCCTTTCGTTTTTATTAATTTCTTGGTAATTAAACAAACCCAAGAATAATCAAAGCAAATTGCAGGTGGTATGATCATTTTTAAGTTGACCCAACAACTAAATCTGAGAGATTTACAAGAAAGATCACAAAGTTAAATGCTTTTGGGCTTGGTGAGAAGGAAGAGAAGAAGGGTTTAGAACAACGAAACTTTAACTAACAAAACCCATTAGTGAATGTTTTTTTTTTTTTTTTGAACAACAAAATTAGTGAATGTAAAGGTTGGCTCACAAAATAACCACAAACCCCAACATTGTCTCACAAAAAAAGTTGAAGTTTGTTTGTTGAGTCTTTTGACACAATAGATTAAGACAGAACAGAGACAAAGTTACAACCTTAGCTTTGAACGTTACAAACGAAAGTGTTTGGTTGGTGAAGATAGTAAAATCTGGTTATCAAAAGCTTTTATCAGTTTAGGCACGCCAAGACTGACACACGAGTCTCTTTCTCTTTTTCTTCTTTTGAATTTGTTTTCACTTTAGTTTGTTCATTAAATGAAATGACATCCTCCTTTACGTTTTCTCTAAATAGCTGCTAGTCACCATCTTCCAAAAGCTGGTCCGGTCAAAACCAAAAAGAAGTTCTTATTTCGTTTGCAATTCCTTGTGGTGGGATTGACGCCAAACAAAGTGGGCTTAATACTGTACTGTAAAGAAACTAGAACTTGGGCCGTCACAAAAAAAGCCCATTGGCATTGTGACTACTTAAGTTTTAAATGAACTTACATGAAAAACAAGTTTTACAGCTTCAAAAGAGAATAAAACAAGAATCTACATAAGAATTTAAATGTATTCATAAAGTTGGTATGTGTTCTTGCGAGTCTGAATGTGAATACGAGTGATGTGGACCAAGCAGTTGACTTATCCGAATATTATAAACACTTGAATTCAAGTTGGCTTTTGGAAAATCAAATCATACTTGATTTCAGTGCCCTTTAATTTGCACATTAATCACTTGTACGTCGGAACTTTCAAAAGAATTTAATGCACTTGTGGTAGAGATTGGAGAGAGTGAACTTCTACCCAAAAAAGTAAATTGAGTGAATGATATTGTGAACAAGTCATGCGACCGCCGACCGATTGAGTCAAATAACGTGATTGTTGGGATCACACATTAAATTAAACTAATAAATAAATGATCGTCTGACACTTTACCGAATCACACATGTCAGGCCCTCAATCATAATCGAAGATACGATTCACATATCTAACTAAGTAAGTAAGTAGGGAGTAGTACGAAAGTTTCTGTTCACTTATTTCTCTTTGTTTTTACTATTGTACTACACCATTTAATTAAAATACAAAAAAAAAAAAAAAACCATTTGTTCCCATTTTTCTAGTCTAAAATGCTTGTTTAAATCCATCAATGTTGCTCTCCATCCTACCTCTTGATATTATTTCGTATGTGTCTTTCGAACAGTAACAATATGGAAGCAACGAGAATGGGTTTTGGTCCTAAAATTCTCTGCCCTCACCTTCACAACCTCCCTCCCAGTCTCAAGACCGACCTCTCTCTCTTCCCTCGCCGTTGGCTTCACAAGCACAGTCTTTCCCTGAAACATGCAAAACACCAATTGGTCTCCGTTAGGGCAACTGAGAGTAGTGATGATCTTGAGAGAACTCGTCCCTTGGCAAACTTTTCTCCCACTCTTTGGGGAGATAACTTCCTTTCTGTTCCCCTTAACATCGCTGTAAGTAGATAAATGACCCAATGTGTTTCAAGATTGATGGTTTAGATCATAACATGATTCTTTATAAGTTACATCGTATCTTTATCTTTCGTACGTAGGATTTGGATGATTTCTCAAGAGAGATTGAAGTAACGATGAAGCCAAAAGTGAGAAACATTCTCATGTCTTCCAAAAACAGCGACTACGAGAGGATTCATCTCATCCATCTGCTTATTAACCTTGGAATCTCATATCATTTCGACATTGAGATTGATGAGATCCTTAGCCAAGCTTTTGGGAATTTGGAAGACATAATAGCCAAGGAAAATGATTTGGAAAGAATCTCAACCATGTTTGAGGTTTTCAGATTACGCGGCTACTATATGTCATGTGGTAAGAATATCACTTTCCCTTACTCACTCACACACACACACACACACACACATGCATATAATTTTGTTGGCTTCATTGTAGATGCATTCAATAGATTTAGAGGTGAAGATGGGAGGTTCAAGGAATGTCTAGCTGAGGATGTTAGAGCGATGATACAGTTCTACGAAGCAGCGCATCTCGGGACACCGTCTGAAGATATAATGGACGAAGCATTGAGTTTCAGTAGGTATCACCTAGAGACGTCTCTGACAGGTCAACACGTAGAAAATGCTACTCCACATCTCTCTAGGCACATAAAAAACGCATTGTTTAGAGCTCGATATCATAACTTGGAGATCCTCATCGCCACAGAATATATCTCCTTTTATGGTCAAGAAGAAGACCACAACGTGATGCTTCTCAAGTTCGCAAAGCTCAATTTCAACTATTGCCAGCTACATTACATCCAAGAGCTAAAAGAACTTACCAAGTACGTTTTTGGTAGTTTTTTTTTCAATTAAATGTCAATTTATTCAACCACAAATACATTTCGTTTTACGTGCACCTAGTGGATCGTGAAATACAGGTATATAATAATATATTTTATTTTATGTCTACGTTGCTTTATGAATTATGCTTATTGCAGATGGTGGACGGAGCTAGATCTTGCATCTAAGCTACCTTACATCAGGGACAGAATAGTAGAGGTCTTTTTCGGGGCACTCGCATTGTATTTCGAGCCACGGTATTCACTTGGGAGAATTATAGTCACTAAGATTACTATGATTACGACTGTTTTGAATGATACATGTGATGCATACGGCACTCTTCCTGAAGTCACAAGCCTCATTGATTCTTTCCAAAGGTGTTGTCTTAAATTCCTAATTCATATTTTTATTGATTAATTTTGAAATTATGCAAATGAGACATGCAAAAATTGTCGTCCAGGTGGGATCTTGGGGACAATGAAAATCTACCAAGCTATTTAAGACCTGTCTTACAAAGTGTGGTGGGTACTATAGAAGAGATCAAACAAGAAATGAAGCCACGAGGAAGATCAGGCCTAATGCAACTAATAGTAGATGAGGTGAGTCCTCCAAAATTAGGGTAATAGAAACTGTAGTAAAGTTTGTGTGTTTGAAAATAAAACATGTGATTTGCATGTAGACGAAGAACTTGGGGAGAGCCTACTTAGCCATCGCAAAATGGGCACGTTCAGGTCACGTGCCAACCTTTGAGGAGTACATGGAGTTTGGTATGATGACGTCAATGGATAAATTTGCAGCCTATTGCTTTGTCGTGATGGAAGATTGTGATGACAATCAAGTGTGCGAGTGGTACAATTCAAGACCAAAAATGATGGAAGCTTTGAATGTAGTGTTTCGTATTAGGAACGACATATTCACCTTTGAGGTAATACATACAAAATCATGACTATAAATGATCACATCAAGAACAAGTTTTTACTTTTTTTTTTCTTTTTGGCATCAACAAGTTTTTACTTATGTCTATAATTTAAATTAAAAATGGTAATGGATGAGCAGCATGAGATGAGAAGAGGAGAAGTGGCTCAAGGGCTGAATTGCTACATGAAGCAACATGGTGTTACCAAGGAAGAAGCCATTAGAGAGTTAAACAAGATTTCGAGTGATTATTACAAAATAATAATGGAAGAGTTCTTGACGACAACCGCTGTGCCACGCCCGATTCTGGTGCGATGCCTCAACGTTTCGCGACCCATTGACCATTTTTACAAGGAGAGTGATGAATTCTCGAATCCTTATTTCGGAAAGCTCAAAGAAGTGATGGCTTCGTTGTTCATCTATCCACTTCCTCTTTGATTAGGTGAAAACAGTTTTAAGTATGATAGTTTCAAGTGGTAAGAGTTTGTCTATACAAATGTCTTCATATATATTTCAACCGATACAATGCTACCGATCAAGTTTAATATTGTCTCGCCGTCTTTTATCTCACTGCCACTATATTTTGCCATCTCATTTATAAATGTTTTCTCTACAACCGTTTTCAAAAGTTTAAATGACTCGTTTACACAATATCACAACTCGAACCCAAAAATTGTCTAGTGACCTAATTAATGTGGCACCTCGGTGAAGACTGGACATACTCAGATACACTCAATCGAGTCTACAGTTGGGATTTCAGTTACAAATATGGTTGTTAGGTTAGGCTCAACATATCTCATTGAAATTTAATTAGAGACATTACTGGGACAACGTATTAACAGCTAAAGTGGATTGCCATTGACTCATTGGAAATTAGTTCGTTAATGGTTACAGATTCTTCAGTATTTGAAGCGTCAAAAGCTTGATCATTGAAACATCATTAATTACTTCATTAGTCACCATTCACCAATATTTGGATCTACAAGAGAGTATTGCCATGAAGAAGTCAGATTATGACCTAGTTAAAAACTTGAAATCATAGGAGTTGACAAAAATAGAATCTGACTTTACATATTTTGACCAGGGAAGCCTCCAGAGAAGCTCTATGATCTTGTCGGGTTATGGAATATATGTATAAGCATTGTTAACTGATTTCATTTCATTTTAATATGGTTGCTTGAGAATATCCGACACACGTGGCGCCTTCATCTCCAACCGTGTTGTAATTATGAACGGAAATGTCTTTTGAATCAATTACAAGACCAGAAAAATGTTTAAACCCATATGAATAATAATTTTTCAGAAAAAGAAAAAAAGAGAAGGAGAGAAATATAAACAAATAAAATCAAACGACAATAGAGAGGTTGTTTGGCTATCTTAAAGTGCAAGGGGGCATCAAATTAAATGACAGCTATCAGCACAATACATAACTTGTACTAGTAATAATCTACATTCGTCTACTATTTCTAATCATATTTTGTTAGTAATATATATTCATATTCTATTTGAAATCGTATTTTGTCGTGCGTGCAAGGATTCTCTCGAGTACTAGAACCTTCCGAAAAATTTGTACTACTTTATATCATATTTGGCAGCCAAAATTTTTCTCCAAGGATGTCAAAATCGAATATCAATGTTGCCTCTTCGATTGTCCAATCAAGAGTGGTTTTAGCAATTTTACATTTGATGAGAGTCAATTCTTAATCTAGACCAATAGCCCATTTCTGTGTTTCTTTTTTTGCAAATGAAAGAGTCTATATTTTGATAATTAAAACTTGTTTGTGGTCATTTAGTAAAATTACCGTAGTTATATCATATTTTGTATGTTAACATTATACATGGGCAAAATTACGTCAATCATCTAGTATAATGAAATATGATTATCGTAACTCGTTTATCAAAAATAAAAATTAAAACTCAACTTATGTAAGTGGAAATAAGTTTTTTTTTTCCTGACGGGAAAAAGTATTATTTGCAAGTAGTTATTCGTAGATTTATAAGACCTACGGACTTTCACTCGTACGTGCTACATTCGACAACCAAGACCAACTCTGCCCACTCGATATCTAGCCGCTTGGAGTAGTTGTTTTACATTTTACTCTATTTTTAGTTTTTGCAATAAGTTCTCAATATCTACCCATATCATGTAAGTAATCTCTTTTGTTGAACAATAAATTTCACCTTCTAACAAGAATTTTTTTTGTAAGACGACTTTGACAAATCATTTGCTCACAGATAATATTTATATAAATGGGACAAAGTTATCATTTTACAAAAGTCAATATTTTCTGATAACTCGTTGACATATACAATGCACCCTACTATTTTATAGACAACTATCTTTATAAACTGGGTAATTACATAGTTTTATGGTCATTTCATGGACTAATATGTTTATATATGAGCGAGAATAACTATATTTCTTATAGCCAACACTGATGAGTTAATATAATTACATGAACAATAAATTGATAATTGGTCCCAAATACCAGAAACAATTATGGACCAAAAACCTAAAACTTTCATGATTTACTAAAAAAATCAATTAATAGTTCATCCACTAACAATTTTCTTTCTAGTTGTAATAGCATTTCGTATCTCGTTTTATTTGACATTTATTTAAACAAGAATAATTATTTAAAATGGCAATAATTTTATCCCTGTTTGAGAAATTGTCAAAACTATTTCAATTTCCGCGAGATGAGAGTGAGTTTCACAAGGACGATTTTATCGTTCTCATTTTAACTGTCCAAAGTTCATTTTTAGTTACTTACACAGATAAATCTTTGATTATAGGGAGAAAAAAAAAAAACTTAGAAAGATTGTTTTGATAAGAATGGGTTATGGCATTTCCACGCGCACGATTAGCCGTCCGTTCATTGACTTAAACCTATCAATCTGGTTGGTATTTTTGTTGTCACCTTATAATTAGTCATTAAACAATAAACTACTTTTTTGGTTTTGATTAATGCAGAAATTAGTAACTTATATCAACAATAACTGTCACGTTCAGCAACCGAGTCGCTAATTCTCGCCTTCACATCTCTCGTTTTCGCTCCCTTGAAAACATTATAGAGTTATTTAAAAATACTTGTTCAAACTCACCATACTCCTCTTCTTCATTTTTTGTCAACCTTAAAAAAAACGGAGATTAACTCACCATAATTATGTACTCGAAATTTGTATGCATGGAACTTCTTTCAGAAGTGGTATATTATGTAATATTTCGTGCAAACTATTATGTGTAAAGGAAACTTGCATGACCAAACGACTTGATCGTGTAGATGATGTAGAAATACTAACGAACAAAAATAACGAGATTTATGTGTATGAAACGTTAGTCCAACTATTTCATGGTAATGAAACCCGCAGCGGTGGAAACTGAACGTTTTTGTTCAACATTCGGTCTAACACTAATGTCTTGTGTTTATCATTTCCTAATTATCAGATTTATGATTCAAATCGTAGCGTTAGACCGACTGTCAGTTTTCAAAATATACTTGTAAATTTTTTCTATATCTTTATTCAAAAAAATATGAATCATAGTTCGTTTATCCAACTGTATATACATTTGTTTTCGTAGCTAGTTAATTAGAGATTTCTTATTGTAGACTTGCTCAAAGAATTCCTCAATACAACTATACAACAATTATAAATAAAAGCATTCGTATAATTCCATGATTTCGGGACTGATACATCACAGTGATATTTTCTCCAAGTTGTTTGTTTTTTCATTCATTCGCTGTTTTCTTCACCAGTATTTATCAACAATATAGTAGTTACATTTGAAACCGGATGTATCTCCCCCGTCAGATGTGTATAGTTCTGATCTTCTTTCTTTTATTTTATTGTTTTTAACTTCGCACCAAATATGAAAAACATGCTTATTCGATATAAATATTTCAGGATGTATCTGAGTTACCAATGACTAATCAAAGCTTAAAAATATAAATAAAGAGAAAGAGAAACAAAAATTCTTTAAGCTCAATAGTTAGCTGTTCATATCTAAGGGTATCAAGACCTGGTTACAAAAATACTTTATTCCAAATATGATTATAATGTTTGATTGGTTGAGATATAAATTATATCCATTACTTCTCATGATCCTATATATATATACACTTCATCAAACACATCTCAATCATTCCATCTATTCTCATTACTAATTGGATTTCAATTAAAGATTGATCTCTTGAGGAAAGTTGTTTAGTCCATTACTTCCAAAAAGATGGAAGCCATGGGAGAATGGAGTAACGGCTTAGTCGGAATGTACACAGAAGAAGCCGACTTTATGAATCAGCTTCTTGCCTCTTATGATCAACCGTGTGGCGGTTCATCATCAGAGACAACCGCTACAGTCGCAGCTTACCACCGCCAAAATACTCACTGGACTGGCGGCTTCTGCTTCTCCCAGGAGAGCAGTAGCTACAGCGCTGAGCACAGTGGTTACTACGCGGTGATGCCACCACAAGAAGAAAACAACAATGCGATGGAGGATGTGACGATCAACACAAACTTGTACCTGGTGGGTGAGGAGACTAATGAATGTGACGTGTCAGAATACTCCGGTAAGAGCCTTTTGCCTTTGGAGACTGTCGAAGAGTTCCACGACGATAATATGCCTCAGCCAGATGTCTCATTGGTGACGACCGACGATCAAAAACTGTTCACCACATGCGAGAGTTCCAAGAAGAGGTCGCGTGCCACATCAACTGACGTAAGTTGTTTATATTTTATTTTTTTATAGCTAAACCGTGCTTACATTTTAAGAAAAAAATCCCTAAAGATAATATTACTAACAAGTTGGACAGAATTGTTGTCAAAATCTTACATAATTTTGTTCCAAATTTTTGTTTTAGTCTCTATATATATAGAACTTTCTACCTTTGTAGATCATATGTATATAAAAAAATTATATCTCTTTTAAGCTATCACAAAAAAATTAAGTCGCTGTTATTTTTTTTTTTCAAATAGGCCCTCAAATATTTTATTTTGAAAAGCAGGCTATAGGCGAATGTTTCTAAGTGTAGACCATAGATAGGCAGGTCCGGAGAGATCTCTATACTAATTCCCTATTTTCTTTGTTCTTATAACCACATCAGAAAAACCAGAAAGCCAGTAAGGCACGGAGGAGTCAGAAAAGAATTGAGATGAGTGACGATAATCATAATGGCGACGAAGAAGAACAGACGGAGAAGGCTGCTGGAAAGAGAAGGACCAAACCACTTAAGCAGCAGAAAACTTGTTGTTCGGATGACGAATTAAACGGTGGTGACGTTTCCTCCTGCAAAGAAGGTAGCGAAGACTCTAAGGCTCTCAACCTCAATGGTAAGACTAGGGCTAGCCGTGGCGCTGCCACCGATCCTCAAAGCCTCTATGCAAGGGTAAGTTTTACATAGATTTATATATCAAAGCTTCGATTTTTCCCAAACGCATAAAAAACATACAAAGAATAAAAAGAATTTATCAAAAAAATCAAGATTAGTCTTTCTTATGTGGATGCTATATAAGAATATAAAAAATAATAATATTTCGTACGTAAAGCTGAAATATTAAAACAAAATCCGATCTTATGATGTTGTAGAAAAGAAGAGAGAGGATAAACGAGCGGCTAAGGATTTTGCAAACCCTCGTCCCTAATGGAACAAAGGTAATTTACTTTTCATGCAAACATATGTGAACGAAATTACTACGTGACAACATCGATTATTTACTAGTTTTTTTTCAATATCTTACAAAGAAAACTAAATGTATTAAATATGTGACAGGTCGATATTAGCACGATGTTGGAGGAAGCAGTACAATACGTCAAATTTCTGCAGCTCCAAATTAAGGTACGTTAGGTTTCTTTTCAATGATTTGATGAAGTCATACTACATAAACAATTATACCGTATATATATATATATATATATATATATATATATTTAATTTATTTATCAAAGGCATAGAATCTAAATACAATTTATAATGAATAATGTCACAGTTGTTGAGCTCTGATGATCTATGGATGTATGCGCCCATTGCTTACAACGGGATGGACATTGGCCTTGACATGAAACTCAACTCACTCGTATGATTCACGAGAGAGCATTTCGGATTTTGATTGTAATTTTTTTATGTATATAAATAACTTGAAGTGTAATAGTTTAATTTTTCTCTCTTTTTATTATATAAAAGCCTTCCCACCTAGACGATGAGTCCGATTACAAACTCTAGTATTATTCTAAGCAAGTCGACTTATGCATAACAATTTTTGATCCGTGAGATATTGGTGTACGACAACTTTTTTTAAAAATCGAATTTGGATTATTTTATTTATTTGATTGGTTAGTTAATGGATTCGTTTGACTTGTTGGTTGATTAATGGAGTCGTTTATGTCAACCACTTAACTTATGTAGGATTACATTTCTAAGTTTCAGTATTTCACTGGACTAAATGGCCATTTTATATAGGATTTACATAGCAATTGAAGTTTATAGGTCCATCAAAACAAAATGGTGCATTTAGAGACAAAACAAAAATGGTAAACGTTTGTTCATGCTTGAGCCTAAAAGGACTGGAGAAACTCTGATGAAAGTTCTAAAACGTGTTTGACTCGAAACCACACTCCAAAATACAAGACTTACAAGCTACATCACAATCATTTCCCATAAAGATTCATTTCACTAAAGCATACAAAAAGGGTATATTGGAGGATACATATAGAAATGTGTAGGAGTCTTTAGCTCTTCACTTATATTTTATATATACAGGTCCATAACATGAAGAGATATAATACAAAAAAAGCAGAAGAAAAATTGTGAGATACTATTTATTTTTCAAACTTGTGATTTCCATAAAAACAGCCATGAATTTTTGCTTTTTGTACTCTGGCTTGTTAATAGAACTATGAGTTTGAAATAACAATTGTGCACGTACGGTTGGTAATTTGAAGTAATTTATGCCTGAAGATAACCCTTGTGTTCTAAGTATGCAACGACTGTTTCAGCCATTTCAATAGGAGATGTTCCTTTTTCTTCGTGTCCTAGAGCAATCTTCACATCACAGAAAAAAACAAGAACATAATGTCAGACAAGAGAATTACGCAAGAAGCTCAAGATCTAGACCAAGAACCAAAGTGACACTTACCTCACAATTCAATGGTGGCTCGTAAGGGTCATCAATCCCGGTAAAACCTGAATAAACATTTCAATCCATAAACATCATTTCGGAATCTCATAGAGACAAAAATCATATCACACAAATACCAAACCGGACTTCAAGACAAACCTTTGATCTTTCCTGCACGAGCAAGCTTGTATAGACCCTTTGGATCTCTAGCCTCACAAACTTCAAGTGGTACATCCATGAACACCTATTTTCACCAAAACCAATTCTACTTTCTCAAAGCTTGAAACTTTCACATAGAGACGACGAAAAAAAACCCTCCTTTGTTCTCAAATTACCTCAACAAAATCTCCTGCAGGAAGCAAACTTCGACAAGTATCTCTGTCTACTCTGTATGGAGATATCAAACTAGCAATGCATATGATTCCAGCATCAGCAAAAAGCTTAGCAACCTCTCCTAAACAAAGCAATTCAAGAACAACAAATGTCAAAAACCGAAAGCTAACAATTTGGTTAACGAGATTTGCTATTTGTTGTTTTAGTTATAAGCTCACCGACTCTACGAATGTTCTCTGCACGGTCTTCTGCTTTAAAGCTAAGATCACGGTTTAAGCCGTGCCTTACATTATCACCATCAAGAATATAACAAAGCTTCCCCTTTTGATACAACTTCTGATTCAAAGCACAAGCCAATGTGCTCTTCCCTAAACAATACAATTTTTTTTTTTTGGTCAACAAACAATACAATTATGTTTTTAGATTTTCACATAGAACCAAAACTTGAATGTTTTCGAAACGATTTGATTGTTGCACGAACCTGAGCCACTAAGACCGGTGACCCAAATCACACATCCTTTCTGATCAAGCAATCTTTGTCTATCAACTTTCTCAACGGGACATTCATGCCACTTTATGTTCGTTGAGTTTCCGACCGTAGACAATGGACCTTGTTTTTGTCCTAATCCAAAAGAAAGTACAATCATTTATGCCAAGGTGAGAAATTGGTAATATGTGTAAAGAAAAAATAAAGGAGAAACCAAAAAAATTGAATTACTTTGACCATTTTCCCCCAAAATCTTAACAAATCAAAGCTCAAATTATTGAAAGATTGTCCTAATGTAGACAAAGGACCTTGTTCTTGTCCTAATCCAAAAGAAAGATAAGAAAGTAAAATCCTTTTTCCACAAAACTTGTGACCCAGTCGAGAAATTGATAATATGTATAAAGAACAGTTGAAACCAAATCAGAGCTAAAATTCCGGAGATAATCGGATTCATTTTTTCTGGCGATCAAATCAAACAACAATGAAACTCGAAAGAGAAATTAAGAAACGGAATCTTATATACCTATGTGACCATTACTCGATTTAAGCTCAGGAATAGACCCATTTTTGTTATGACTCATCGTCTGAGATCCTTCCATGGAAACACAAGCACGAAGAACACCAGAAGATCTCGAATTGCTATCGGAAATCCCTTTGTGAGATGAAATCGGAAGACCTAGAAACGATTTAGCGCCGGCGGCAATCATAATGAGATCGGAATTTTAGCAGAGAAATCGAAGAAGAAGAAGAAGAAGAAGAAGAAGAAGAAGCGGTAAAAAAACCAGAAAGGAGAATTTTTTTTTTTTTTTGGGTCTGAAACTCTGAATGTTGAAAAGTTTAATTAAGGAAAGAGGAAACATGTGACCGTTAAAAAGGGCGATTATTGGGTTGGTGAACTGGTGAAAATGGGAAAAAATGTTGTTGGACACGTTTATTTTGCAATCATTTCCTTCCTTATTATTGACTATCAAACGATGTCGTTTGGAATTACTGCTTAAACTAATGTACTTAACATGGATTTGCATCTAGATTCTTAAAATAGAAAAGTTTTGTAGAGACATATACAATATACAGCAACTTGATTTAAATGGTTGTGTATGTATTTGAGTCGCCTATCAACATGGAATTGATGTTTTGGTGTCTAGATTAGAGAAATTGGTTTTAATAGTCAATTGAGCAGTTTCTTATGACTTTACTACATAGGACCAGACCAGTCAAACCATTGGTATGAGTTTTGTTTCTCTTAAATTCGTGCATGATTCTACTATGGATGGTAATAGCATGCAAATAATATTGTGTTTTCCATTACATTTTAGGTTATGTCTTGGTTGAATGAAACTACTTTTGTTGTTGTTATATAAAGGAAATTTTAATATTTCATGTGGTTGTGATTCAAGATCTTTCGAATTAAGAGTATCTCCATTAGGAGGTTCTTAACATGAGTATTATCAATTATGTCTTCTGTTCGACACTGTGACTAAAAGTTTCTACGCACAAGTAAATCATAAACTCCATATCTATAAAAAATCCAAAACGTTTTCAATAAGAAAAGAAAAGTGATCAAAACCACATGAAATCTTTCTTGCCGAATAGAGAAAAGCATCAATAAATTTGAACCATGAGCTGCACCAACAATCAAAGCATAGATACACGAAATAATATAACGTGTGTTAGATGTATATAAAATGATTATCTATAACACCACATTTTTGTTAAATCATTCAATCATTCAATCATTCCATTACAAGATGATAAGTTCCCAATGCATGAAGGTAGAATCTCACTCAATCGATTATAAGAAAGAAACAAAAGCAAGATCTTACAAAGTGTTTTTTTTTACGAATCTTATGGAATTTCTTTTACAACTCTATCACTATGTTACATGCATTGACACATTGGATTAAAAAAATGACAAAAAATAGAAAAATAAAAGCAAATAGTAAGCAATACATAAGTACAATATAAGAATAACTTGAGTAAAATAAAAGCAAAAAATAAATGAAAATATAAACTTCATAAAAAAGGAGCTACTGTTCTTCTACTAGCAAAATTCAAAGATCAAAACTCTTAGGCGATGTAGCTCCTTTCAAGAAAGGTAAGATGTTTCTTAAGGTGTAAATGATGGTTTATTATGGTTTACTAGTTTGTATATTGGTTATGGTTTCGGTTTAGTTGCTTTGTATTTAAAATCACTCGTATCAATTTGTTTCACTCAGCGGTAGTTTGTTCAGTGACTATTAAAAATCTTCTCGTCAAAAGAATTGTACGAAAGATTTAGAGTTTCAAACTTGTAGAATCTCTTAAAGCTTTCTTAACCTGCAAAAAAAGGAATTATGTTAGTAGATTAACAATATGCATGGATGTTAATAAAGTCACATTGATCTTCAAATCAGCGTCTATTCTGTATATATTTGATTCAACGTGAATGTGAAATCAACGACGGAGTGTTGGCAAGCTTTAAGTTACTTTCCTAATTTCATGTTCGATGCAACCTTTATATGTGTGCATCTGTAGAAAGAATACAAGTAGCACCATATGAAAGTGAGTTCTCCATCTCTCTCCAATATATTGGTGACATTTACATATACTTCTAAATTTATGTAAGAGAAAGATGTAACAATCATTTTAGAATTTAACAAACTTGAAATTGTATCACGTAGTCACCTCCATATAGATGATTAAAAAAACAGCAGTTTACTTGAATGCAATGTCAACGAGAATTTATCATACGCCCACTTAGATAAACTGATGAAAGCTTCACAAACGTAACTTGGTCTCTTTCGATTGGTCTTGTCGTGGTTGATGTTTACTAATTCTTGATGACTTCTTAATAACTAAGAAGCAAATTACCCAACCGGGAAAAAAACGTGAGTTACTGTTCTTCTAGTTTATAAGTAGATAGATAATGCTAAAAATATTTGCAAAATAATGAAAAGGGACCAAGTCATAAGACTTGTAGTTTTTGTATTTTTAGATTTGCTTTTTTCGGTCGAACATGTTGGCCTCGCATAAAATGGATTGATACAAGGAAAAAGAAAAGAACAAACCACCAACTTGAACTTTAGTTCTTTCTTCTTTCTAATCTAATTCTTTAAGGTTAAAGCAAAGTTTCCCTATTACAGACGTCCCATGGACATAAGTGAAAAAGAGTAAAAAACATGAGTTACATTACAACAATGCAAATACACTATTTGGTAAAGGAGTTACAGAGCTACAGAGGCATCAAGAGGCCACACCGATTAAAAGAACGTGTCACCTTGAGTCCCATCCGAGGAATAAATAGATGTGAACACTCCGCTCTCTCAAGCACGTTCATCATTCACGTGGTTTTGAACCTCCGCTTGGCTGTCCAGTGGCATGTACTGTGCCATTATTGCTCTGATCTCTGAGTCCATGTATCGCTGTAAAACCACAGACACAGTAAAGTTCAAAACAGTTTGCTCAAGCAATGGGATATGGTAACAATGTCAAGTTCACAAACATCTCAGGCCACAAAACCAAAAGATTAATCTTTTGCTTTTACCATGAAAAGCAGATAAAAGAGGAGGCAACGCTTACCCTTAACCTATATTTGTAAACGAGGTAAGCTCCACCAGCTGCAAGTCCTAATGATAACATTATAAGCCAAACGGCCGCCCACGCTGATCTCACTTGTGCGCCCGTCTTGCCTATATTTCAACAAACAGAATCAATCACAATTGGAAAAGTAAAGGTAGAACTTGTTTGAGTAAAAGCTATTTGTATGCTCAAACTTTAGACTTCCAAGTTCTTGAAAACTCACTGATGCAAGTGTCATGGTCTCTGATGTAGAGAAGGTCTCCGCTACAAGAGCACTTATAGCTTCCCCATGTGTTCTTGCAGCTACATTCCGGGCACTGACAGGCTTTCTTCTCTTTGCACTCATTAATATCTGGTGAAACAAGTAAAGAATTTTTTAAAAAGATGAAGAGAAGTAGCACAAAGAAGTATGGTAACCGAAGTTTTAACAGAGTGTCTGACCTTCACACTTCTTGATACCGTCTCCTTTAAATCCTGGAGGACATTCACACTTAACACTATCCTTGTCCTGAAGGAATTACAAGTTGACACATGAGTCGCTTATTATACTCAAAAGTGAAGCAAAGTGCAGAAGAAAGACTAACCACACAAGCAGAGAACGCATGTCCATCTCTCTCTTCATGCCAACAACCTCCATTGTTGATCGTGCATCTTCCTGGACCACTCGCTGGAATGCATTAACCAAATAAATTCGAAATGTGATATCCAACGGAAGCACAGCAGAACAAGGCAACGAACACAAAATCATCCATCTCTGATAGCAAAAAATGGAATATAAAGTTCTAGTTCTCGTGAGCATGGAACCAACAAAATATTTTGAATTTTCACCAGGCAAATGTGAGCGATTAAGAATCCGAGAGGGTATACCAAATAATTTGTTTACGAGTCACTGATTAGAAATTATACTTGAGCTCTGTAAGTTACTAAACTAATAGTTGAACAAACTATGTCACTCTGTAAGTAACTAGACTAATAGATTGCTACTGAATAACACTCACGTTCACAGTGGCTGTATCCGTCCCCTTTGAATTGCACACCATCAACTCGAGGACACTCGCATACTCTTCCACGAAACGTATCCTGCAAACTAAGCAGATTAATATGTATATATAAAAGATTTATTTTGTCAGGAGTATCACAATATACCTTGCAAGCAGTTATGTTTGCTGATTTATCTTGCCAACATCCGCCATTGTTATCTAAGCACTCGTTTGATTCCACCTCTGTCATTTGCAATAGAAGATGCAACTTTCATTCAACAATAAGTGTTTAAAGGTGTGATCAAGCATGGAGCATCTCAAATCAATTTGAGTTCTGAACAGGAAATTCTGAACTCTGGACACACTAAAACGTTCTGATTAAGTAACCAGCAATATATACCTGTGCTCAGGCATATAGCTGGCTCAGTCGTCTCCTCAAAACCAGAACATAGAGCCTTGAGTACTGCACTCTTCTCCAACTTTCCTGTAAGGAAATATTCATTTGAGAAAGGAAAATACATGAGTCGAAGTGTTAATTAAACACTGAAAGGCAACACTTATTTAACAAAAAGTAAACATTTACTGAAGTCTTAATCAAACGCTGCAAGACAAACCTCGGTACTGTCTGTTGTTGACAACCAGAGTAGGCAATATGGTAACATCACCCCTTGAACCCTTTCCAACCTAAATAATAGATCAATCCCACACGTATTATTCACTGTGAGATGCTCGCAGGACAATTTAAGACGTAATCAAAGCAAAAGTTTTTTACTTGAGCATCTTGTTCCTCTTTTAAAACTGGATTGTCTAAGTCAGCATCAGGGTCTCCCATACATTTTTCAAGTTTTTTACTATCAATTCCTGTAAAAACAGAGAAAATAAGAATTGCCCTCCCAGAAAAATAAAAAAGTACGTTGCGTAGCTATAAACGAAAGACTCACCAAGAGATTTGATAACAGAATCAGCACACTCTTTGTTGTATTTCTTCTCCTTCATGGGACATCTAATCTGGAAATCAGTGACATAATCCCACCAAACCCAGGGCTTCCCGGTTTCATTCGCCACCTTATAAACACAAAGCTGCCTCAAGTTCTCAACAACAACATCTTTCCCATCGTACCCGGAGCTAAAATCCTGCTCTGGATCAGGAGCACAGTATCTCCCTTTGTTGATACACTGAGACTTACACTGCCTACTCAAAGTGAAAGCATGAGGACAATACCAAGTAATGTAATGAGGTCTAAACTGCGTGTAACCGCCTTTCTCAAGAATCTGAGCAGCTCCTTTAAAATCCTTCACAAACTCCATCAACATATCACACTTCACCCCACACTCATCGTTACTATTCGTCCACAATTCGTACTCCACACGGTCGTCAGGGTGAGGAACAGCTTCTCTCCAGTCAAGATGCAAGTTGACCATATCTCCTCCACTAATTGCTTTCTTCAGCTTCTCAGCAAAACCTTTCGTGACAAGAGCAGAAGGTATAGTGATATTCTCAATGTACTTGGCAGACGAAACATCCTCTTCTGGTGTGTCCATAGTAATCAAAGGCTCATCAACATTATCTGCCACAAGAACAGCCGAAGCACCAGCTTTCTGTGCATTCCACACCTTCAACGCGAAGAAACAATCTACACAATGAAACATAACCAGTAAATTGCTAATTCCAATTCGATTCAAAGTTGTGAAAATTGAAGAAGAGTGTCTTCAATCATGTACCTCCCCGATCAACCAAGAGGAAGATAGGCAAAGCACCAGGCTGAGACTTGAACGAAATGGAGAAATCGCTGAACTCTTTACACGATTTCTGATTCTCCTTGGGGTAAACCACCGTGCCGGCCATGCTTCCGCCGTACTGAGGGATCCCGAAGTTGCCGATTGCACTGTCGTGAGCTCCCTTGATGCTATCCGGCGACGTCACCGATAAACTGTTCTTCTCCACCACGAATCGAGCTTCGCAGCAAAAGGGGATGGAGAGAAGAAGCAGATACGGAAGAAGGAAACAGAGGAGCTGCTTCATCTTCGAGATCTCCGCCTCAACACAACCCAAACTATAAAGGATGAAAACTTGACTGCTATGTTCCACATGCGATTGTTTAAAAGTCTTTCCCTTTTTTAACTGATTGTAGTGTTGTGTTGTTAGTTTCTATAATCTTTTTGCCAAGTGCTGCTAGATCATCCTGTTTATAAGTTTGAATGACTGTGTTCTTGTCCAGTGCCCGAGATGAGAAGGAGATAGGTTTGTGCATGAAAGACATAAATTCGCCAGCTTTTCACCCAACAATGATTTCTCTGTGGGTTACTGATTCTTTCGAGAGAAAAGACAAAGAGAGAGATCTCTTAGCAACGCTCCTTGTTAACCTCGTGAAATCTGCTGACAACGCCTTAACCGAAGTCCAACTAGTGAAAGGGTAAGTAAAATTTGAAACCAACAAATTTTCTAAGTTGTCGTCACTATTTAATGATAAAAACATGTTTTGTTTTTTTTTTTGGTTTGGACAGGTTTGAATCAGTTTTGACAACCCTGGAGGATGCGGTAAATGATGCACCAAAAGCAGCAGAGTTTCTTGGGAGAATCTTTGGTAAAAGTGTGACAGAGAAAGTAGTGACATTGACAGAGATTGGTCGGCTAATCCGTGAAGGAGGAGAAGAAGCAGGAAGTCTAATAAAGTTTGGACTGGAGACCGGCTGATCGTGAAAGATCATATTTTCCTTCAAAATTTATTGGAGGGCTTGCTGGTGAAGTGGAAGTATGTGTTCTCTCTTTGAAATTAGATTTTTCCATCATATTGGATGCACCTACAAAATTTTCAAAATATAATTTCAATTATTAAACTAATATTTTTATTTTTAAAAAAAACAGAAAATATTCTACATATTAACATAATAATAAAATAAAAACTCACATGATAAAAGAAGAACTGAAAAGCTCAAAAATAAAATAGTTGTTTTCATTTTTTTCAAAATTCAATAATATTTATGAACCTTTTTTACAAAATGTTCAAAACTTTGTTTGAAAGTTGTTTAAGTTAGATAATGTCATATTTATATGTGTTTTTTTTACTTATGTTACACAAGATTTAATGATCTAAACAATGTTTATCCGTTATAAAGTAACATTAAAGACATTATTATCATCTTTCAGGTTATAGTTTTGTTTTAGTGGTTTTTATGCTGTAATATGGTCTTTTGAACAATGGGCAATGAAATCTTGAAATAAGTGAGTGTGAGAACAAGACACATAATATCTTTTAGAAAGTTGAAACAAAACTAGAGAGAAACGAATAGACGAGTTGTCCTCAAAGTTACATTTTGAGAGCGTTTTATTATCATACAAGCATTTATATTGGTTGCCACATATAGGATTGGGACAACTTTTATTACATAGAGCTGACAAAGTCAACAATTTCAACCAAATCATGGAGCAACGAGTTGGAGTTGACCACCCTACAATTCCTCCTGATCTGTCCTTGAGTTCCTGTGAGAGGCGTGATGTTTCCCATCCTATCCATTGCCTCTATAAACGCATTGAAGAACTTTTGTGTGCCATCGGCATATGCTCTTACCAAGGGGATTGTGTCAGTGGCATTAGGGCTCGAAAACAGCTCTTGATCGCTTTGGATAAGTCCTTTGTGCTCTTTTAGATTCACATAGTATTTGTTGTCGAAAACCGTTGGTGTACGTAGATCGAAGTCCACCAGAATGCTCTGGTTACCATTTTGAGGGCAAAGTCCACGAAGTGTCGTGAGGTAAGTAGTGTTGAGGGTAGGATCGGGTAGACCAGTGTTGCTAAAGTTGTATAGCCTATCCATAATAAATTGGCATTGGTTCTTACCAAACGTGTGACCACCTAACCAAGAAAATAGACAATAAGATAATCAATAAACTCGTTAGATTAATTTACATCACATATGTAATTATTTGGTTATTGTTTTTCTAAGAAAATATGATTACCGGAGAGAGCAACGAGATCAGAAGGACGATCAAGACCGACGTTTCTAAAACTGGCCTTAAGTTGTGGAAGAGTGAAGAATGGAGCGGGGAGATTATTATTGGCAAGACTGAAAAATGCTTGTAAGCTGTCTCGTCTCCCCAATGGAACCCTCCACGAAGGACCTCCTGCCTAAAATTCCCATATTTTCAAACAATTATTAGTTGAGAAAAATAAAAACATTTAAGATAAAAAACAAGAAAGATTTTCTTGTCTTATCAGTTCGTAATTGTAATCTGTCTTGGTCAAATTTAGTAGAACCACGCGTTTATTATATTTTCTCAAACTAAACTTTAAGACATGTCCGATTTTTTCAAAAGAACGATAATAAAGTGTCATGTTCTGATATAAAGAGCCGTGTTGAATATGTTTGATAACGACTGCATGCAGGAATTTAAGACAGTATTTGTCACTAGTGAAACAGAAAAAGAGTGTTGTTGTATCAATATAGAGCATACCAAATTGACAGATTGTTGAGCTGCGATGGTAAGCATATCTGCACAGGAAACAATCCCAGGGCATGCAGTCTCCACTGCTGTTTTCATTCTATCAATCACTGGAAATCCACGAGCCGAGTTTGCATTTGGCGCCGCGTCTTTCTCTGTTCTAAACGATGTTGTGTTGTCTAACAAGATCGATGCATCACAACCCTTTACAAACCAAGAAAAATTGCACAAACAATTTTAAACCATGATCGGTTTGATATATATATGTTTTGGAATACTTTTGTGTATAGAATAAATAATAAGTCGTCGTTGACGACAAGAGCTAATATATTCGTCAGTAAAAGCCAAATTTAAGTATGTGGTGTTTTATAATGATAATAATAATTCTGGATCAGATCCGTTAGGTACTGACTATTATTGTAGATAACACATACTCCTCTCCTCCAAAGATAACACATACTCATATATCATCTTAACTAATAGTTTGATACCACAAAAAACAAATATTATTTTTTCAATCATTATAAATTTTAATAAATGATGCAAGTACGTACTGAAAACCATGTGTTATGTTGTCTTTGCCAATATTTATACCTGATAAAGACTTTTTCTTTTCTTTTTTTTTTGATACAAGTAATTTTTTGTTTCTTGAGTGTCTCGGTGACCCAAATGAAAGTTGTTTCAGAGACCAAGTAGATAAAATAACACGTTGACAACAAAAATCTAAGAATCAAAAGACTGCCATAAGAAGCTATAATATAGAAAAAGCTGCAAAAGCTACAAAACATAATTTCCCTTTCTTTATATTTCGGAAAAATTAGAAACTGAATTTTTGAGATAATCTCTACGATACTACCGTACGTACAAATAAAAATTATGAACAAAAGTCTACTACTATATATGAAAAGAAAAAATCTTACATTAACGAAACAGTCGTGGAAGTGAAGTCGAAGGATGCTCGCAGCGATACGAGGATCAGTTCTTAGCTCGGTGACTATGGTGTTCCTTACGATGTTGAAGACGCCAGGGCATGAAGTGTCGTAGAAAGTTGGAGTTAGCTGAGCACTGGAGAAAGATGAATGGAGCATAAGACATCCCACAGTTATTAGGATTGTCCAAGTTGACAACGATGACAAAGAAGAGAAATTCATTTTTTTCTCTCCTACGTAGAAATTTACTTTTATTGGTTTTAGTAGAGAAAGATGAGAAAGCAGCATATCACAAAGAGTCCTTTTATAGAGAAACTTTGTCTATAACTTGTAAGATTTTTTTTGGGTGAAATTTTCTATACCTCATTTGGTCAACAACTATATACAATATACGGGAATTAGGGCAAATAACTAAGAAAATAACAAAAACTTAGAAAATGACCAGAAACTTTTTTAGTTATAATATTCAATATAATTTATGCGATATTTGCCATTATGCCCTCGTCGTGTTGTCAACACACGCACCTAAACCTAGTGGTGAGTTTTCTTTTTTCATGATCTATCACCTATCCAAAAACCGTTCATTTAAAAGTTGACCTTATTAGGATCAGATCGTAACCACGTTCTCTGCAGCTGCGGCGAGTTTACGAGGCGCCCCATCGACACTCCCACAAATCCACTTTGATGTTCACCCACCCAAAGTCACTCATGTAAAGTACTAAGATCGTGGACGTGGTCACACTCTCCACGACTGCGTTAAGTTGAAGACAAACGCTATCGCTGATGGGGTGTCCCAAATAATCCTAGCTGCAAGTGCACAAAAATACAACTAGTATAGTGGAGATTGATCCACCGAGAATCATATATCTCACTACAAGCTAGAACAAAGAGAGTTTATTGATGGGGATTGTATATAGATATCAAAATAAGACAGAAGAGCACTAACTTAAATGATGTTGATATCAAGTACAATATTAGGTTTTAGGATAATTGTTTGAAAACATGAACAATTTGATAAATGATATGCTCATGATTAAGTATGAAGCAATTCTGTTCAGTCATATAATACACTGTTTTTTAACCTTTGGATAACTTTTTTTGTTTGTAATAGTTTTTGACTATTTTATTTTCACTTGACCAATCGTCTTTATAAAAATGTAAGTGGATACTGGATAGCGTGATGGAAAAATCGCTATCTATTATTTTAAAAATCGATATAGTCGGATTTTGTTTGATGCTTATGTCCGTGTCCAAATGTTACATCAGCCACCAAATACCTGACATGTAGCGTTTAATTCATTATGAATGTTCTAAGTCACTAGTCAATAACTAAGATATTCATAAATCATAATAACATTTAAAATGTGGCAAATAATTCAAACCATAAAAATTATCTTATAATGATTCTTTTTCGATTTCCATTGTATTCTTGCCGACTCTTGAATGTTATCAATGATATCAGAAACCTAATAAATCGATCATTTCCAATGAAAACTTGATTCCAAATGTATTTCAAAATATTTCAGTGAAGAACTGAAAGTATGAATGGCTCAATATTTCAAGAAAACTATTGTGACAGCTAAAAAACAAATAAAATATGCTAACGTGAGCATAGAAAACGCTCGGCACATTGACCTTAAGATACAAATCCAATTTTACATACCCCGGACAAAGAGGAAATGTACAATTTATTTTCTTGTTTAAAGAAACAGTTCACCTAATCTGATGACTAATTGAAATTCAACCATCGCTAGCAGCTGTCTGTTTTAGACTCTAACCTTAGCTAATTTGTGGTAATAAAAAAAGTGTATATTACGATTTTAATGTAAAACTTTTATCGCTGATTCCCTTCAAGGAATTCCGATTATTGTCGGAAACTAAAGGGAACGCTGCGGTTAACCAATTCATGTTTCTGGGATGGCTTTTGCAAAGAGCAATTAGACTTCTAAAGCGTCTTGGTTTAAAACATCATTTCACAATATCAACTAGCTATAGACGTTCGGATTTCCGGATAGGATTCGAATTTGGTCATTCGATTTTTTTGGTGGTTTTGATTCTAAAATATTAAAACCAAAACCACCCAAATTGCTATACTAAACTATTCATATCATTCATTACTGGGGTGGTTTTGGTTCTATTGGTTTTTCGGTCGGTTTATGTGACAAATAACCGAAAGTTCTTCTAATGGGGTTCATATTTTTATCATCCAAAAAATTTAAAGTAGTTTTGGATATACATATAATTATAGTTCGGCTAATCCGAGTACCCGATGAAATATCACTTCGGTTTTGGGTACCAACTGAGTATTGATAAACTGTAACAGTTGCGTATTTCGTAAATAATTAAAAGGATATCAAGATTACGGTTATTTTGTCCCAAAATAAAACTAAACTAACTAAAGTTTATGATTATGACTTTATGAGAGCTAATACAATATTGAATATTCTTCGGATCTTAATTTTCATCACTCTATCAATAGTCGACTGATAAAATATTCTTCTCGGCGTCAAACAGTTTGCTAAACAAGGAAACCCATATTTAGGCCCATTAAAGAAAGAAGAGGCCTTAATAGGTCGCGGGAAATTTGGTCTCTTGTGGATCAAAAGCCACCGGTCCGTTTGTTAGGAGGAACTTTGGAAACCATTAGTTACTTACGGGTCAAACCTTGTCTTCTCGAACAGGATCATCTCTGAAGTTTTGTGATTTTCTGTTTCATTCTCATTATTACCTAATCAAACTGCTACAGTATTATATTTTCTCAAAAAGTTGTCCCTAAAGATGTAGACGGCGCAAGACAAAGGAGAACCAAAGTTGAAAGAGTAAAAATGTAATGAATAAGTAAACACATAGATAGTGTTTAAAAGTAAAACCTTTTTTTAGTCATTATTTCCCAAAACCCTATAATATGTCTCACAATTCCTTTTGACGCCAAGAACAAGTTATGGTCCTCCATTAAAGATTACAGACAGAACACCAGACCACCAACTAATCACACAAACATAATTAAAAGGATCAATGTTATGATCCATTTCCTTTTCAAACAATCATAAAACGCACGAGGAGTCGTGCCGTGGCGCATGGATTGCCGTCTTTATCATACAACGGAACCGCACGTATTCCCGTCCTCAGCTCAGACACGGGTAGAGAAACCTTACCCGCAAAGTCATTTGTTGAGAATCTGTCACGGTCTTTAACCTCAAAAACAATCGAGGCATTTCCAGGACTCCGTAAAAGGAACTCAAACTCCTCTCCCCAAGTAGGTGTCCAGCTATTTTTCTGGACTTTGGTCTTCTTTGTGCGTTCGTCAACAGGTACACCCTCTATACTGAGCTGTTTCATTAGTCAATGAACCACAATCAGTTATAGCTGGAATCATCACCATAAGACGAACACGAAAAGTCTTGGAAGAAATTATATTTACTTTAAGATAGAGATCTGGAGGAGAACCCTCATCCAGCATCGGGTAATCTATGTCCCAGCCGATTCCCGTATAAATTTTGATCTGCCCATTTCATATTATCAGTAAAGAAAACGGGAGCATTGGTTAATCAACTGTTGAAATTTTCACTGTTTACATAACAAACCTTCAGCAGTTTCTCCATTGTCGCATCCAAAGTCAGACTAGCTGCACCTAGAACGACCACTTGACTGGCGCTTGGACGATCCAACTCCTGCATTATGTTATAAGCTTCTTTAACTCAATCGTCAAACTTAAAAGTGAAGCAAAGACTGGTTTCTAACCATAAATGTGTTGTTCCAAGTTAATTTATTTACTAGATGTGTTTTTTTTTTTGAGGTAAGCTATTCACAGCATAATCTTTAGAACACTTATAGTAAGGATTGGTTATTAACTGTCCAACCTCCCATTCTGATTCTGATTACGATTCTGGAAACATTCCAATTCAGAAACATTTTTTTATTTTTCTCATATTTGTTTATCAATTCAACAACCTAAGATTCCAAAAATAGAATCTGCTTTTTCCTATAAAAGCGGAATTAATTGAAAAACGCCGATCCATTCATCATACCTGGATAAGTTTCGGGAAATTGGAAATGGGTGAAAAGAGATAATCCTGAAACTCTGTGAGAGTGGGGACTTCAGGCCGGAGCTCGGGAAATCTCTCTCTCCAGCATTTAAACTCTTCCACGGAAATTTTAATCGCTCTCACTCCACCACATTCTTCCACCTCCGCGCCTAACAACCCTACCACGATCGACAGCGGCTTCGGCACCTCTTTTTTCTCGAAATTGAAGTTCGCTTCAAGATGATCGCGCACGCTTCGCGGCGAATTCGCCGGATTTGCATCAAATGTTTCCGTCACTCTCATTTCTCCGTCGTGTGTCGACTATGCTTCTGAATGCTTCTGAAAGAACGAATTTCGATGTAAGCGATGTATACAAAGAATATGATGGCCAAACGCCGTCGTTTCTCATAAACCTTACTATGTAACTGGTAGCTAAAATAAATACAGGCTTGTTAGAGATTTAAGTTAGGCCCACAAATATCGAACCAATGGACTGCAGACAAACGACGTTAAGATTGGTCATGTTTTAGTAGGGTTTTGCTTTGATTTACGTAATTCACGTATTTGTCTTCCGAAGTTAATTTATTTACCAGATGTGTTGTTCAAATGCGTTAACGATTTTTTTTTTCATTAACGGATTTAGAGGAGCAAAGCATGTCAATCAATAAGATATGTGTTAAAATATTTTGGGAACATAATCTAGTTTGATTATTTAATGCATGTCTAACTTGTTAAGTACAAGAGTCCTCAAGGGAACATAAAATTGGAACGATATAGAGAAGATAAAGATAGCCCCTTGCGCAAGGATGACACACATAAGTCGGAAAATAGTCCAAATTTTTTGATGTAAAGAAAAAAAAGTTTAAGCGATTATTTAGAATTTCATGTTGGTAACCAATAACCATTGTAGTAAATGATTGTGAATTATATTCACTATATATATGTGTGATTTGACCAGAATAGTGCTTAACTTGATTCATGTTTTGATAATCTGATTTTTTTGCACAGTCAGAATAATACACCAAAATTACGTATTAGTACACCAAAATTATAATCTGAGTTTGTATGTAAATAGAAAGTCGGATATGCGAAAGTCGGAGTACGTATTAGTACACCAAAATTATTCATGTACGTTTAGCACATCTGTCAAGAATTGAGACACAAAATGACGGTTTTCCCACCTGGCCACCTACTAACCATCCCATATATTTTACAAATAACTAATAACTCAAGCTACTATTTTTACCACATCTCATACTTGATTAATGGGGGGACGACAAGAAAAGAACCCGCACTGGTTTTTACACCACGTCACATCACTTTCGTGTATAGCCCTCTCCCCTCCCCTCCCACCAAATTTAAGGCCACAATTTTCCTATTTTATAACCTCTGCAGTTCACACGTATAAACTTTTTGACTTTGATATATACGACAAAACAAAAGTCACAATTTTGCCATAAAGAAAAGGAAAATATGTTAGTAGGGTCGTAATCCTTATTGGTTTATGAATTTCAAGTGATTTACAAATCCTATATGTGAAATTATGTCATAATTTTCGACACCACATAGTTTAAAAGATAAACTTAAAATCATATCAATATTTTGTTTAACACGAACTAAACAATTCTGTTACGTTTTTCAGTGGTTAGGTTGAAGGTCTTTATATGAGTATATATCTCAGTATACTTCCTTTGATAGATTAAAGTGAGTAAAATTATAGTGAAATTGTAAAATGCTAATATATTTATGGAAGAGTACTATTTTTTGATAAATATATTCATTGGACCATGTGCAAATATATATGCATTATTGCATTCATACGCATGTGTTCGAACGTTTACCCATTTATAATAGTATTATCTTGACCAAGCGTATTAAATACCACCTTTCTAAAGTTATGTCCCGGCGTCAAATTCTGAAATAATTATATAAGAAAACTCAATTAAGAACTCAAAACTTTTTATCGGTTTGGTTAGTTGATATTAAAATGTGGAGCTCCTAGCTCCTTGCAATATTTCCAAACCAGAAAGACCTTCTCTCACTTGATCTATACCTTCACTTCACCTCTCCATTTTCCTTCTTCTTTTCTTAAAGATTTTTTTTGTTCTTAAAGATTTCTCAAGTTCTTAAATTCTTTATAGCAAAAAAAAAAAGAGGCTCCCTACTACTCAAGATGTTCAACAAGCTATCGTGTTGTGGTGCCATGAATGTTGAAGGCTCTAAACAAGATGTTGAAAAAGGTGAGAGTTCATCCATGCCCAAAAGACCCGGAAAAGCTATTGAACTCACTGATCAAGGTATTAATTCAGAGAAGCAGCCCCAAAAAAATGGTGACAAACCTCCAAATATTCCGATAGTTGGTGAGGGGTCTTGCATCTTCATGATCCCCCAAAGCCTGAAGAAGATCCACCACAAAGGATATATACCTGAGTTAGTCTCAATAGGTCCTTACCATCACAACGCAGACCATCTCAAGATGATCCAGGAGCAGAAACATAGATTTCTGAATCTTTTCCTTGATAATGCCACAGAGAAGGGTGTCACTAAAACCGATTTGGGCAACAAAATAAAGGGGATAGAGAACGTTATAAGGAGCTCTTATTCTGATGATAAGATTGTTGGGAAGCTTAATCAAGATCAACTCATCGATATGATGCTTCTCGATGGTTGTTTCGTTCTCATGTTATTCTTTTTCGATGCAAGCAGAGTTTCAAGAGAGAAGTCACCGGATGATCAGATTTTGAATACGCCATATATTCTTCCGACTATCCGGAGCGATCTTCTTCTTTTGGAAAACCAGGTTCCATTCATTCTTCTTGAAACTCTTTTCAAAGCATCCAATAAGTCTTCTTTGGGTTTAGGAAGCTTGAACGATCTTGCGTTCACGTTCTTTAACTTTTCAATGGACAAACCAAAAGCATATTGGGAAAAACACAACCAATATAAAGCAAAACATTTACTTGATCTGATTCGTAAAACTCTTATCCCCATTTCATCCTCAAATGGTGGCTCTTACGATGCTACAAAGCCATCACAAGATAATGATTCTCAATCTTTTACAAGATTGATCCTCTCGGCAAAGAGACTCCGTCTCCAAGGAATAGAGTTCAAGGCCTCTCATGATCCTTCCTTTTCAAACGGGTGTTGTGCCAAGATGTTTTGTTGTTTGTCTAATGAGTATCATGCATTTATCCCGAAGAGACAGCAAGAAGAAACAATATTGGAGTTACAATTAAAGGGAGATGAGCTTCAAATACCGCTAATAGTCTTTGATGAGTTCATCAGCTCAGTATTGCTAAACTGTGTAGCTTTTGAGCAGTTATCTCTGAAATGTTCCAACGATGTAACCAGTTATGTCGTTTTCATGGGATGTCTGATGAGTGACGAGGTAGATGCTACCTACCTAAGTGAGAAAGGAATCATCGAAAACTATTTTGGGAATGGGAATGATGTCTCTCAGTTCTTCAAAAACATCAGCAGTGGTGTCGCCTTTGATATGAATAAGAGTTACCTGAAAGAAGTGTTCAAAGGGATCAACAAGTACACTTCAAAGAGACGGCATGTAGAGTGTGCAAGGTTTATGCGACTTCACTTTGATTCTCCTTGGACTTGCATGTCATCTGCTGCTGTATTGATTATTCTTTTGCTTACAATATTCCAGGCTACTTTTGCAGCCCTTAGTTATCTTCACCCTCCTAAGGAACCAAAAGATAAAGGCACTTGAAATTTATGTCGAGTTTTGGAAGAAAAATGTGAACCATCGCACATTTGTGTTTTTTTTTTTTTTTTGGTACTCCATTGCTTCCCATTTCTTTGTGTATGTTTGTGTATCTCGTTGCTTCCCATTTATTTCCATTGTAAGTCTCTATAAACATGGTTTGTATTTGCAAATTTATCATTCATGTTCTCGTTTTATGTTTGGTCATATCATATTTTAAATGTATACTCAGTTACGCGCAACATCAAAAGACGAGTTAACCCAGTAATAATAAAGCACGAGTTAAGCAGATTATGCGAAAACCAATCTGTAATTATAAAACTATTACATTATAATAATTAGGTTGCACAAAGCAGATTAACCTCAAAAGATGTTCATTTATTGAATTACAAAATAAATAGACTCGAAATGAATGGGACTTTTTGAGCCTATCGACTGAGAGAGGACTTTCCGACCCTATTTTTTGTTTATTTTAAATTGAGTCTTTTTGAGCTTTTAGAAAACGAATCTTGTCCAAGTGTTGGCAAGTTGTCCGAAATTGATCTGACTTTTCGACCCGACAAAATTCGAGGGACACAATAGTAGTAGACGAACACGACGCGGTGATCAACGGCTCAAATTAATAGTAGTAAGAAAGGGTCCTAGCCAAGTAGCCAACTACATAATTAAACAACGTATAGAAAAGAACACTCTTGGGGTCTTGGACTAATGGACTCTTGGCGTCTTTTGGGTGATACATCATACATCTTAATCAATCTTTTTTATATGTTTTAGTGGCTCAACTGACTCGACAAACTGCTTTCACACTAAATAAAAACGACTATTCAATGCATCCATTTAATAATTTATGTTTATAGGATAAAATAGTACACAATTTATTTTCTTTTTTTTTTCTTTTTCCTTAGCCTGGCTAACGTCTCATTTTGCTGACTTTTGATATCAATTTTGTGTGTGGTTGATTTGTAAAATATCTAGAACTTTTTTTCCCAAAAAAACTGAGTAAACTAGTGTACTTAGTAAATAATTTCATCCACTTTAGTAAACAAAATCATAATTGGACATCCTTTTCCTAAAAACGACTACGGATGATAAAATCATACTATTTTACTCGATAAAGTGGTGTTCTCTATAATATAATGCTATTTATTTAACGAAAAATATGATGTTTCAACATATGACATTTATCAAGACAAATAATTCAAAATTGCATAGTAGTAAATATAATAATTCTTTTTTTGGATTATCTGGTTTTAAAAGAAATAATCGCTCCATTTCATCTTAATTATCGTTCTAAGTTTAAGTTTTGTTTCATTTTAATTGTTGTTTGAGTGATTTACAGTTATAGGCACTTTTGTCTTTTTTTTTACACTTATAGGCACTTTGTGCTCTTAGGTGACTTTGGAGTATTGTAATGACAAAACATCCCTTGCTTCTTTTTTTTATTACAACTTTGTTAACTACTTGTTTTACTTTACTTTTTATTACTTATCTCCATTGTTTCACCTCCTTTCATATTTTAACTTTTTTTCCAGAAAAACTTCTAACGACAAACAAAAAAACTCTAAAAACACCTCCATGATTTCTCTGTCGCTCCTCTGTTGTATCAATTTTTTGTTTTAAGCTTCTCTTACCGACGAATTAGGTTGCCGTTGTTTCTCTGTATGAAGAATAGCTATTTACAGGAACCCCGTCGCCTATTTGTGTGTATAAAACAGATGTATAGAAAAAGCTATGGAAGGTGATTCTAATCTCTCACTCTTCTTTTTATCAGAAGAATTGTAAATTGATAGGTTGTTAAATATGTAGAAAATCAACAATTTGAATATTCATTGCTAAGTTGTCTTCTAATTACTTACAGAAAGCGAGAGATTTAGTTCAGATCTGGGCCTTCCTAGCTTTGAGATATACATCCGTGTCCAGACTCACCCGTCCATATGAGTTTTTAGTGACATAGGGAGATGATCATGGATATGAAGAGATAGTTATGGATATACACCCCGTCCAAACTCACCCATCCACGTGACCACGCATGTGGGCGTACAGGAAGAAATTATGTTACCTGTTTTTCCCGAAATTCAACCCGTCCAGAGTCCCCAGTACACAGACATATCATTTCTTGGGAGAATGTGAAGGAGAACAAGAAATATTACATAACCTATACTCAATCTTTTATGTTTTCTCGCAAGAACCTATACTCATCCTTTTTTAGGTTGTCCACGATCCTTTATGTGAGGAATATCCTGATGAAGTTATTTGTGTACAGACGGATCAACTTGGTTAAGCGCGTAGGGATATGGACAATTCCGAAGGAGTTGCTGAGAAGCTTGTTATCCATCCACCGATCTAAATCAGCCATTAAACTGAATGTGCACGCATCCACCGTATCCTTACCAAGAAGACAATATAATCTGTACTACCCAACAATGACACAGCTACAAAATACTTTTCCTTTATTACGACCTAAGGGTCAAACACGTCTGCCCAACAATGCATGAACATCCATCTCTTAATTCAGTAACTCATAATTACATGTATTATGCGAGTCATTAACAGTAGAGAGCTACATATCCACTGTTGCTAATCCATGAAACTAAATCTCAAAATACAATAAGACCTCATGGTGGAAGATATGGGTCTTCCTAGTTGGTTGTTGAAAACCGATCACTTTCTAACCCCGTCCAAAGTCACCCGTCCATGTGAGTTTTTATTGACATGAGAAGATGGTCATGAATATACACCCCTGTTTTTTTGTCATGGATATGAGGAGATAGTTATGGATATACACCCATCTAGACTCACCCGTCCACATGAGCACGCATGTGGGTGAAAGTGGTGTATAAGAAGAATTTATGTTACTTGTTTTGCTCGAAATTCAACCCCGTCCAGAGTCCTCAGTACACATACATACCCGTCCAGAATCCTCAGTACACATACAACTATACAAGACTTTATGGTAGAAGATATGGGTCTTCCTAATTGGTTGTTGAAAACCGATCACTTCTCTAGCCCCGTCCAGAGTTACCCATCCACGTGATATGAGGAGATGGTCATGAATATTCACCCCATTTTTTTATTAGTAAGTGGGTGATTGATTTATCCATGAAGTCGTAATCTAAAAGTTTATACGAGGAGATGATCATATGGACATTGATCTGAACCTGATCGTATAGACATATTGTATGGACATTGATCATATAAGACTCGAAACTTCCTAAACATACCAATTCGACGGTGAGATTTGAGTCATGCTATATCCATTCATATTTCAAAACAATTATCTAAGTAAAGACGTCCAAATGGACGCATTACGACGTGTACACGACGGTGTGGACATGTATATGTGGACATAAGCACGAGTTAATCCAGATTCATCTTCTCCAAAACTTTAACGAACTGAAATTTTTCCAGATCGTCAATAAACTCAGATTCATATAATAGGAGCATAAATTTTTCCAGATCCATCAACTCCTCTTCTTAGCTTCGCAATGGTTTTCTTCCTTTGACTAAGACAAAAGTAGCTTTGTTTTAAAGACAAATCTTTCCTAGATCAAATATCTGTTATTCTTAATCTCTGTATTGTCTTCTTCCTCTGATATATGGCAAACTTAAATCCGACGAGTTCATCAGGTTTCAGATCGAAGAAAGTTACTGCGACATTTATGGTAAAAATCCTTCTTCAATTGTAAAAGAGGAAAGGACGCAAACTTAATGAAAGGGTATCTGTGGAATTTTGCTTTCTCATTTTTTGGCCAAAGTCACCTAGTAGTGAGAAGTGCCTTTGTGTGTAATTAGAAACTAGAAATGTGCCTTTAGATGTAATTTTCTCTTGTTGTTTTCATCTATCGGTGTGATTATTGTCTAATCACATACAAGCCACTAGGCACGGCTCAATAGCCCGATTAGTGCCTAACGAATTTTTGAAGTTGGACAATACAGTACTACGATAGGTGATTGACATCACGATCTTCAAGTGGGTTTGAATATCAATAATGCATCCTTTTAAGATCCGAGCTGAGAAGGAACTTGGTAACTGAAGTAGATATTGGTCCAAAAATAGAAAGATTTTGTGTTTACAAAACACTGAAATTTTAACTTGTGTAAAGAAAAAGGTTTTCTCCTTTTCAGTGTTGTCAATCACCACTCTTGTTCTTAAATCACTCGCACACTTGTTGTTGCTGGAAAAAGTTGGGATCTATACTTGAATCACCGAGCAGCCAATTTCAGTAACTTCTTCACATTTGGTTATAGGGAGTCGGATAGTCCACAAAAGCAGAGATTCTTCTTCTTTAAAATGAAACAAACAGAGTACTGAAACAACAATTATGATAGAGAACAAACCACTTGGGAGAAAAGCAAGACATATCCATACACACACAGATACCACACATCATAGCATCGTACAACAAACTTATCACAACATAAACTGGAACAAAAGTAATCCTTAAGAACAGACGAAACTCGCACAAATCTGTTTCAATTCCTTTTATTGTCGATACGAAAGTAACTACCGACGGCGAGAGAGGTCTGGATAAGCGTGAGAGCTAGGAGCAACAGAGCAGCACAAGATGCTAACAAGGTCCACGAAGAGCCGAAAAAGGTGTGCTTCAATTCTTCGTAACGCACAACGTAGCCTTTTGAAGTATGTTTGTTCAGTCCTTGAAACACTTCCGCTAGATAACTCCTAGAAATGTCGAAAGCCGCGTCTTTACCAACGCTCTTGAAGAACCGAGAGACCTCCTCGTCCGTCTCGAAATAGTTCTCCATGATCCCCTTCTTGTTTAGGAACCTGGCGTCATCCTCGTCGTTCATGAGGCACCCCATAAAAGCTACGTAGCTCGTTATGTGGTTTGAACAGTAACCGTAGAACTGCTCAAAAGCAACAAAGTTGAGAAAGACTTGGCCGATGAAGTCGTCTAAGACCAACGGTGGTATCTCAAGCACACCGTTCCTGAGCCTTATATCCAACAAAGTCTCTGCCTTTTTCCTCGCCGTGAGTACTATTCCCTTGTTACGGAGTCTCCTCGCCGATGTGATTAATCGAAGGTAAGGGTTCGAATCAGAAGGAATGGAGAGACTTACTTGATTTGTGGAAGTAAAAGGGATGAAAGTTTGACGGATGAGATCAAGGAGATGTTTTGCTTTGATCTCGTAGTTACTCTGCCGAGATCTTTCCGGCAGTTGCGTTGAGTAGCGGAAGAATTTAAAGGCCATCTTGTTCAACCCACCGGAAGGGCTTATCCTCGAAGTGACAAAGAGGGCTTCCAGAAGAAAAAGCGGGATTTGATTTTCCAAAAGCAGAAGATCGCTGCGAATCGTCGGCAGAATCCAGGGCATCCGGAAAATCGGATCGTCTTTTCCGGTGAGCTCAAGTTTCCTAGAGACGATGAAGAACAATATAAGAATAAAACAGCCATCGAGTAGCATCATATTCATCAGCTCCTCCCGATTTAACTCAACGAGATTCTCGGAATAACATCTCCTAAAAGCTTCCTCGTTTCTAGATACAGTATCGACAAGTTCTTCTAAACCCACACCGTTTTTGCCAGCTTCTTCAACGAAAAGACGGAGAAATCGAGGCTTGTGCTCCTCAATCATCCGGAGCTGTTTCTTCCCGTGATGGTAAGGACCGATTGACAGTAGATCGGGCTCGTAGGCTCTGCTATTGATGCGACGGAGACGATTACTTATTCTGAAGATGCAACATGACTCGTCACCTGCTGATTCCTTCAGATACGTCGGCGTTACGCGTTTTGACAGATGATTTCGAATCGCTTCAGGGTTCATCTTCACAATCTCCGGGTGATTCGTCACCGGCTGCTCTATCTAACACGTTTCCTAGAATTTAGATTCAAAACTTTCGGCCCGGCATCGAGATAGGTTTGGTCATCGCGACTAAGGGGAAAGTAGGAAGAAGGTTCCCAATTCTTCAGGTGGGGTTCGGTTTTATTTTTCTAGTTTTTTTTTATTTTTCATTCCTAAATCAAATTATTTGGGTTGGAGTTTGACCTTCACAAATGGGATTTTCACGATATAAAATTTACATTTTCTCTGTTTCACTCAACTTTTAGATGTTTACACACACACATATATATATATATATATATATATATAATTTGTATGAATATTCCAAGAATTTTAAATATTTTGAACACTAACCCTTGTTTTGAAAAATTTGAAAACTAACTTTTTAGTTTCTAAAACTACCAAAATACCTTGAATAATTCAGACATATAAATAGTATTTTATTTTTTAATTAATCAAAAGTCAGCTTTAAACATTATTAGCGTATGGATTTTACCAAGGTATTCAATTATTTGACAAAGATTTTATTATATTAATAATTGGGTTTAGTAAGTTCAACAATTCTACTTTTATGATGACAATGGGCTATTCAATCTAAACCAGCATGGCAACATCATGTAAGGCTTGGAAGCGGAGAGGACAGGCTTGTTCTGCTCTTGGGATGTCGCGGTTAATGGGTTCACGTCTCAGCTATTTAATCAAACTTAAAACCTTAAATGTATTTTGTGGGGCTTTTTCTTAACTGTTTGCCCTGCATCTGTTTGATTTTTGATTGATATCCAATCATTTGGATACGCCCAAGAGGCCAAGATTGATGTCCATTTGTGATCATCCAGTTGGATAGTAATTGTCCTGAAACATGATCTCATCTCGTTAGTATTAGTAACACGTAAATACCAAAATATAGAACCAGAAAAATAGACTATACACAAATAGACTTTGTTCTCCTTCGTTCCTCCCTTTTAAATTAACCATTCTTTTTCCCACTTGTGTTGAGTCAACTGTTAGAACCAGAAAAGTAAAGAAGGAGCTTGAGAGGTAACAGAATTTGCAAATGTCAAAAGGTACATATATAAACCATTTTGATGATGAAAGAAGATCGAAATTCTTGATTTGAAACTTAGATGCTGTCTAAACTTTTATTATATGTCCAACCTTGAGAATATGAACGAACAAACTGACAGAAAAATGAAAAAGTGAAAAGAAAATATATTCTTTCGCAGCTAAAAAACCATCCTTACTTTGAATCACATTCCAATCATATGAGGTTTGAAAGTCCAAACAATTTATTTTCCTTGTCAAAGTTTGGTTTCTAAAAGAATTCTCACGAGTATTTATTGGCTATCATCAAATTCAGCTTCTTCTCCAAATAAATCATCAATTTGCTTATATAGCTACCCATATTCCTCCAAATCTTCTCCTTCATTCTCTGTCAATCTGAAGCGATCATAATCAATAATCATCACTCTCACTCCCTCTCCTCTCCTCATCTTTAAAATGTTACCACATATAGTTACAAACCTGAAATTTATGTCATAATAATCAACCTCAGCAAATATCCAAAAGGTACTATTCAGAAGAATTTTAAAAGTCTTGTCATCGTAGAGTTACCATTTTGCTTCAGAAACACATACACAAATATCCTACGAATCACAAAAACAACCATGTAACGAAGGTGAATGTCTCATGAGAACTTTAGAAAGAAATGTGAAAACTCACAACATGAGAACTTCCTAAAAGCTTGGTGGTGTTAAGTGTTAACAGATAAATTCAGTAAGTAATCTCTCCGAGATCGTTTCCCACGAAGATGAAGAAAATCGCTTGAAAACTTAGGAAGAACACTGCTTTTCCGTGAGGAGGAAAACTTAGCCGCCGCAGAGTTTGTCATGTTAAACTTTAATGTTACAGAGGTTAGAATTTGGAAAATTATGCGTTGAAATGAAGGATCTCGATGTGGAAGGGTTGGAGCAATCGCTTATGCCATGTGGCATGTGAAATAACAAGTTTTTCTAACAAAGAGTTAAAAGCTGACGTGGCATTGTGGGAGAGCTCTCTGAATAGTCCTGTTTTAGTGGACTATTAAACAGGATTATCATTGTCCTGTTAAAATTTAATAATCCTGTTTAAATAATATAATAATCGTGTTTACAATATAATCTTGTTAAAATTTATTCTAATAATATAACAGTATAATAATATAATAATTTAATAATACATGACTATCATTGTGAGAACACCAAATCCTAATGTGAACACTTTGAGAGACCCTAAACAGCTTTTAAGTTATTAGTGATTATTCTCATTCCTATATAAAATAATTAGTTTCTCTTAGTACTATTTTCATAGGCCTCAGTATATACAAAGACCTCTTACAATTATTTTAATACATAAAACAATAATACAATTTACATTCATAATCAACAGAAGAGATAAGTCGTCGACACCGAGAAAGACACTAAAAAGTTTAGTTTTGACAAAACTGAAAACCGTGACATAGAGAATTTTAATATAATAGAAAAATTTAATAATTTTATATAAAATACAGAAGATTTTTTTTAATATTCTTCTAATATCCGCGAAAAAACTTTAAATGATTTTCCCTATGTCTCGAATTATAAACACTTTATCTTTGTTATAATTTGGGATATAGAAGTACTCAATAGTCAGTCAATACTGTACTACCAAATTTCTTTTTTTTTTTGACGAGTTCTACTTTATAAATTACTAGATTAAGGCCCATGTATACGCGGATTTATTTTAAGATTTTATAATAAAAACATGGAAAATATTAAACAAAATTTGAATTTTACATTTTTATTATAATTGATTTTTCTTTTGAATTTATGATATGAAAAAATGAATTAATTTGTTTTAATATTATTTTTATCCAATACATAAACACTTACTAATGTCTAAATCTGATCAACTGATTAATTAATTAAACTTTTATTATTCCATTCAAGAGATTTTAATTGATGAAATCTTTATTTCAATTTTTTTTACCTAACAAAATTTGAAAATCAAACTATTTAAAATTAGAATATCGATTATAATATTTTAATTTTAGTTAATTGTTTGAATATTATTTTGTTAGTTTTCTATTTATATTTTTTCTTTCTCAATTTTGTTTTTGCCTCATACCATTATAAATAAGGGAAATTGCAAGGAATATACATCAATAATCCTATAATTAAATGGGTGACACGGACAATTTTATTATTATATTGTTCACTCACTATTCATTGGCCAAAGACTCACAACACCTTGACTCTACAAAATATTTTTAATGTGTTAGCAAATTCCAAATAATATGCTAACATGCCTGTTAACAATTAAGTTAAATAGTTATCATAATACGATTTTAGTTAGCACGATAATTAAATAAGTTATCACAAGATATTGGTGATATTATGATAACAATATTGATTATCATGCTAAATTGTATAATATTATGATAACTATTTGATTATCATGCTAACTAATGTAATATGGTGATAACTTTCCTTTAGAAAGTAATTTAACACATAACTTTCGTATTATCATTTTAACTTAATGTAACATATTGTGATAACAATATTGATTATCATGCTAACTTATATGATATTATGATAACCATTTTATTATCACGTTAACTAATGATATTATAATAATTAAATATGTTAATGGCATCAGATAAGTCAATGGCAGCTTATGTAATATCTTAGGATTAAAAGGATAGTTTTGGTTTATAGAATATATTCTCTCTGCTAAAAAACTAATTATCATGTTATTTTGCAAAATACTTAATTGTCAGATTATTTGTGTATATTAGTTAAATTTACCCTATAAATAATATATATTGATATTTTTCCTTTTCGAAATGCATTTTTTCCTTTTCTTAATAGATGTAACAAAAGAATTTAAATTATTTGTTTTCTGTTTTTTATTACTTTTAATGGATTTATTATTTTTTCATTTTAATTATTTATTATCTGATTTTCTAATTTTTATTTAGTCTTATACATATTAATTTTTTTATTATTTTTATTCTATGACACATGTTACAATCTTCATACTTTCATAATTTTTTTTTTCTAAAACAAATGTCACAATTTTGTGAGTTATAAAAATCATATGTATCGCAAAACTGTCAAAAACATGATTTTTAAATTGGAGAAATAGAATCAAAGGGATCTATGAATTTGCTTTGATGAATTTATGATTGAGAAACTTTGACTCTCTTTTATAGGGATTCAAGTAACCTATTCAGTTATATGAAATTTAGTTTACATAACATTATTTATTTCATTATACAAATATGATTTTATTTATTACATTATTTTGATTTTATTATTTGTTTGAATAATATTAATTTGATTACATAACATTATACAAATAGGATTTTATTTATTACATTATTTTGATTTTATTATTTGTTTGGATAATATTAATTTGATGAATGGAAAACCTTTCTCTATTAGGATATGACAAATATATTTTTATTTCTTTTAACTGTAATAGATTAATTTTTTTTTTAAATTTTTTATCTAAAAGCATCCAACTTTATATAATAAAAAAATTTGATGAATGGGAAACCTTTTTCTGTTTGAATATGGCAAATATTATTTTTTCCTTTTTGATATAATAGATTAAATTAAATTTCGTTTTTTTTCTTAATTAATATTTATCTGGAATTCTTTTTTTTTTAAGTTCTCTTTTTTTTTCTAAGACACGTGTCACGATCTTAACGGACATAAACTTAAAAGTGACATATGTCGCGATCCTGAATTTTATAAAAATCTTATGTGTCGCAACCATGTCGTGCGCATCCAGCTTTATATAATAAGATATACAAACAGATTAAAATCTGTTAGGGACAAAGAGATTACACGCAAGCAGGATAACACCAGTTAAATATAAAAAATTTAAAATAGTCATACGGTACGGTACATTGATATATAGTTATATACTAGTATTTATTTTCCTTTTTTTTAAAAAAAAATTTTTGGGTAAAAAGTATTTTCCAGCCATTTGATATTCATTGTTCTTAATATCTGGAGAAACGAATTCACCGCCGCCACCATTGATAGCTCTTGGTGAGTGCTGAATCTGATCTCTATCATATATCTATTTTGCTGTTTCAGACTCTAAAACCTCAGTATTGAACCACAAATCAGATCTTGAAATGAGACTGACGTCTGATTTTGATGCAAATCCGGCCAATTCATCGCAAAACGTGCTCGATGTTCTTGAAGCACGCTTCAATTTCGAGAATAAAGGAGTGCCGATGCTGCTGTCGATCTTGGTAGAGTTGTTAGGCGTAGAGAAGGAAGAAAGTGGCGGAGTGAAAGCGATCAAAAGGTCTTCAGAAGAGTTTAATCGCTGGAGAGAGGGGGTTCCCGAGCCCAAGTGTGAAGTCCCTACCCTTACAGAGTTGGGAGATTATCTGTTTTCACCCATTTTCAATTTCCCGAAAACTGTCAAGGTATGAAGATAGTCTCTTGAATGAATCAGATCTGGGTTGTGTTTGATGAGTAAGGTTTTTAAATTGATTCCACTTTTTTGGATATAAATAATATTCTGATAAATTGATTCCACTTTTATTTTGGATATAAATAATATTCTGATAAATTGATTCCACTTTTTTTTTGGATATAAATAATATTCTGATAAATTGATTCCACTTTTAGGGTAAATCATATTCTGTTTAGGATAAATCCAATTGTACGGAGGCTAATGATTGATTCCTCTTTTAGGGTAAATCATATTCTGTTTAGGATAAATTGATTCCACTTTCGTTAAATTGGACAATTGAATTTAAAAGCTGATAACATATGCAGGTGCTGGACAGTCCAAGCACTAGCCAAGTGGTCCCGCTGGACCTTTCAGGCACTAGCCAAGTGGTCCCGCTGGAACTTTCAGGCACTAGCCAAGTGTTGGATCTTCTAGGCACTAGCACTAGCCAAGTGGCAACTCTAAGTGTAGGTGCAGTTGGTCTGACTGTGAATACGACATTGCCTAAAACATTGAAGGTTCGTTATGTTACAGTGAAAGTCTCAACAGTTCAGTATCGCATATTCCCATTTTCTTTTACTGAAATATGAAATGAGCAGGTCAAAATCTATATGGGAAGCGGTTGGGACATGGATTTCCCGATGCTCGATGAGGGTTCTCCTCCAGATCTCTTTGTTAAAGTAATATAATTTTTCAACACTTTTCTTCTTCTTCTTCCTATGTTGATGACTTCATTAATGCCTAGACTGATTGTGGTCTCATGAACCAGCTCAGGATACAGGGTCTATCCATTGACGAAAGCAAGGCGAAAAAGACCAAAGTCCAGAAAAATAGCTGGACACCTAGTTGGGGAGAGGAATTTGAGTTCCTTTTACGGAGTCCTGGAAATGCCTCGATTCTTTTTGAGGTCTACGACCGTGACAGATTCTCAAGAAATGACTTTGCGGGTAAGGTTTCTCTACCCGTGTCTGAGCTGAGGATGGGAATACGTGCGGTTCCGTTGTATGATAAAGACGGCAATCCATGCGCCACGGCACGACTCCTCGTGCGTTTTATGATTGTTTGAAAAGGAAATGGATCGTATAGGTTTACTTTACCTAGGTTAGTGTGAATGGTCGGTGGTGTCTTGTTCCTTTCATAATCTTTCAAGGAGGATAACTTGTAATTTTGTGATACATGTTGTAGAATTTTGGGAAAATAACGACTAAAGGAAGGAAGGCTGCGTTTTGGATACTATCTTGCTATTGTTTCTATGTGTATTCACTTATTCTCTGGCCTTCTGCACCTTATGATAGACTCAACGAGCACATCACTGAGTCCCAAAAGGTCGCAAAGTAGTGATAGCAGTTTGATTAAGTAACGAAAAGAAAGAAAATCACAACACTTGCGAGAGTTATTCCAAATTTGTTACTTTTGATCCACAAAAGACAAAGATTTTCTCAGACCCATCAACAAAAGGTTATTTGAGGTTAAGATCCGTTAAGAAGCCCACATACCTTTTAACTTAGTAAACTTCGTTTTGTGGAAAAGAACAAAATGGACTTCAAATTCAGATCAGATTGTTTGGTCAACGATATATGTTTTTGACTCTTATATGTCGTCTAAAAGTCTTCCCCACTCGCACCAGAAACATTTGTTGAGAGAAAAAAAACCGATTTTTAATTTTCTCTGTGTTTCTCGAGAAACACTCCGAAATCGCATTACTTACCCTTCAACTGTACACCTTCAACGAATCGAGCTCAGACTCAAAGAGTGATTTCAAATTTCAATCACCAATGCTCTTGATCGTTTAATCCAATTTGTGTCTTCTTTCTCCAATCCTCTAAAGTTTTGATTCTGTTGAATCCGAGATCTCCGAAGATGAAGAAGCAACACAGCAAGCAGAAGCAGCAGCAGCTCCTCTGTTTCCTTCTTCCGTATCTGCTTCTTCTCTCCATCCCCTTTTGCTGCGAAGCTCGATTCGTGGTGGAGAAGAACAGTTTGTCGGTGACGTCGCCGGATAGCATCAAGGGAGCTCACGACAGTGCCATCGGCAACTTCGGAATCCCTCAGTACGGCGGAAGCATGGCCGGCACCGTGGTTTATCCCAAGGAGAATCAGAAATCGTGTAAAGAGTTCAGCGATTTCTCCATCTCTTTCAAGTCTCAGCCTGGTGCTTTACCTACTTTCCTCTTGGTTGATCGTGGAGGTACATGATTAACGACACTCCTTCTTCAATTTCACAACTTTGAATCGATTTGATCCTTAAAGCTTCTTGCTTTCGTCTTCCTATAGCACTGAAGTTTAAACCTTTTCGTCAATTAGGCTTAGATCTTGCAATAAATTTTAGATAAGATTCGACTTAGTAATCTTGTTGGTTATGTTATTGTTGTGTAGATTGTTTTTTCGCGTTGAAGGTGTGGAATGCGCAGAAAGCTGGAGCTTCTGCTGTTCTTGTGGCAGATAATGTGGATGAGCCTTTGATTACTATGGACACACCTGAAGAAGATGTTTCGTCTGCCAAATACATTGAGAATATCACTATACCTTCTGCTCTTGTCACGAAAGGTTTTGGTGAGAAGTTGAAGAAAGCAATCAGTGGAGGAGATATGGTCAACTTGAATCTTGACTGGAGAGAAGCTGTTCCTCACCCTGACGACCGTGTGGAGTACGAGTTGTGGACGAATAGCAACGATGAGTGTGGGGTTAAGTGTGATATGTTGATGGAGTTTGTGAAGGATTTTAAGGGAGCTGCTCAGATTCTTGAGAAAGGCGGTTACACGCAGTTTAGACCTCATTATATTACTTGGTATTGTCCTCATGCTTTCACGTTGAGTAGGCAGTGTAAGTCTCAGTGTATCAACAAGGGGAGATACTGTGCTCCTGATCCAGAGCAGGACTTTAGCTCAGGGTACGATGGGAAAGATGTTGTTGTTGAGAATTTGAGACAGCTTTGCGTTTACAAGGTGGCGAATGAAACCGGAAAGCCTTGGGTTTGGTGGGATTATGTCACTGATTTCCAGATCAGATGTCCCATGAAGGAGAAGAAATACAACAAAGAGTGTGCTGATTCTGTTATCAAATCTCTTGGTGAGTCTTTCTTTAATAGCTCTGAAAGGAAAGAAAAGCCAACTACTTTGGAGGCTGATTTTCTGTGTCTTTACAGGAATTGATAGTAGAAAACTTGACAAGTGTATGGGAGACCCTGAAGCTGACTTGGACAATCCAGTTCTCAAGGAAGAACAAGATGCTCAGGTATATTGCTTATGCTTTTCTTTCGTTCCTTTGAGTATCTCACAGTTATGTTCTTTGTGGAAAATGAAAATCTTGTATGGGATTTGACATATTATGTAGGTTGGAAAGGGGACAAGGGGTGATGTGACCATATTGCCTACCTTGGTTGTCAACAACAGACAGTACAGAGGTTTGTCTTGCAGAGTTAACTCTAGATTTCAATACATATTATGTAGTTTACTTGCAGTGTTAATTAAATTTTTCATTGCAGGCAAGCTAGAGAAGAGTGCAGTGCTCAAGGCTCTATGTTCTGGTTTTGAGGAGACGACTGAACCAGCTATATGCCTCAGCAACGGTATAGTTTTTTGCATACCTGAAACACAATCCTTTTTAACAATTTAATAATTTAATAAAACATACCTAAATGCCTGACTAGGATTTTTCTTTTTAACAATTTAATAAAAATGGTTGGAATGTAAACTACACTTATTTTCACAATTTTTAACACTTGTTGTGAAACTTTAATTTGTAATTTACTATCGGATTTGACAGAAATGGAGACAAACGAGTGCTTAGATAACAATGGTGGCTGTTGGCAAGATAAATCAGCCAACATAACTGCTTGCAAGGTATATTGTGATATTTTTGTTTGGAACAATTTATGTTATAAGATATTAATCTGCTTAATTTGCAGGATACATTTCGTGGGAAAGTATGTGAGTGTCCTAGAGTTGATGGTGTGCAATTCAAAGGGGATGGTTACAACCACTGTGAACGTGAGTGCTCATACCATTTCTTAGTAGTGTAAATCGACTTGTTTAATTCAGTAGCAATCACATCTCTCTGGTGAAATTCAAAAGATACTGTTGGTTTGATGATCACAAGAACTTTGATAGCAAAAGTACTTTATAATAGGAAGATCACTGACTTTTATATTCCATCTTCCCGTTAAAGATGGGTGGTTTTGTGTTCTTTGCCGTTGTTGTTGTTGTTGTGCTTCTCTTGGATGTAAAATTTCGCATTTATCTGGTGTTTGCACTGCAGCGAGCGGGCCAGGGAGATGCACAATCAACAATGGAGGTTGTTGGCATGAAGAGAGAGATGGACATGCATTCTCTGCTTGTGTGGTTAGTGTTTCTTCTGCATTTTGCTTCAGTTTTGAGCACAATCTCACATATAAACAAAGACTCATGCCTCATCTCGTAATGCGTTCAGGACAAGGATAGTGTGAAGTGCGAATGTCCTCCAGGATTTAAAGGAGATGGTATTAAGAAGTGTGAAGGTTAGACTCTCTGTGAAACTTGCGTTACATTACTTCTTTGTGCTACTTCATAATCCTCTTTCTAAGGATTTCTTTGATTCCTTCACCAGACATTAATGAATGCAAAGAGAAGAAAGCTTGTCAGTGCCCTGAATGTAGCTGCAAGAACACATGGGGAAGCTACGAGTGCTCTTGTAGTGGGGACCTTCTCTACATGAGAGACCATGACACTTGCATCAGTGAGTTTTCATGAACTTACTGGTGCATACAAATAAGAGAGCCTCTTTGTATTTTAACTGTGATTGGTTCTGTTTGTTGAAATTTAGGCAAGACGGGTTCACAAGTGAGATCAGCGTGGGCGGCCGTTTGGCTTATAATGTTATCATTAGGACTTGCAGCTGGTGGAGCTTACCTCGTTTACAAGTATAGGTTAAGGGTAAGCGTTGCCTCCTCTTTTATCTGCTTTTCATGGTAAAAGCAAAAGATTAATCTTTTTGTTTTGTGGCCTGAGATGTTTATGAACTTGACATTGCGTCTTTGGATCTTAACATGGTTACCATATCCCATTGCTTGACGAAACTGTTTTGAACTTTCCTTTGTATCTGGTTTTGCAGCGATACATGGACTCAGAGATCAGAGCTATAATGGCACAGTACATGCCACTGGACAGCCAAGCCGAGGTCCAAAACCACGTGAATGATGAACGTGCTTGAGAGAGCGGAGTGGTCACATATATTTATTCTCTGGCGGCAGGGACTCAAGGTGACATGTTGTTTTGATTATTTGTGGCCCTTTTGATCGAATGTGTATCTCTGTAACTCTTTTACCATATACAGTGTACTTTGTGCTTTTTTTTTTAAAGCAATTTGGTCCTATGTGTTGTCTTTACTTGTGTCCATGGGACTTGTTGTAATAGGGAAACTCTGATGTAGCTTCAGAGAAGATAGAAACAAACATCAAACCATGTTTTTAAACTTAAAACTTTAGTCTTAGACAAGTTCGATTCTTTGTGGAAGTTTCCTGCATTTCTCTTAGTCCAATAAAATAGTTTCTTACCAGACGACAACAATGTTTCTCTTCACTGCTGACAACTGATAACAGAGTAAATCATTTGAAAAACAGAGTAAATGAAGTTAAATTCACAATAGTAAATGCATTATTATTCTTACCACATAGTAGTATATAACATGTGAACCCATTAAATGTTCTACGATTTAAAAATGATTTTATTTCAAGCTTTCTCTATACGTCAGTACTAACCCATTACTATAGTATAAATCATGAAAGTCGGTGGCTAGTGGCTGAAAGCATTTAGTGCATTGAGATTTTGTTTATATTTGTTTGTCCCAATAAAAAGCCTTTCTTTACTAAACCCGATCACTTCAGCAAAACCACTACATCGCTCCATTCCAGATTTTCTCGCGAAAATAGAGAGAGCTAAAAACTCCAAGAAGAATAAAATCAAAAGATGAGGCCAAAGATCTTTCTTTTTGGTGATTCCATCACTGAAGAATCGTTTAGTGATGGTGGTTGGGGAGCTTCTCTCGCCGATCTTCTCTGCCGCAAGGTATAATATACATTTATACATATTTGCGTATATATAAGCTTTGATTATAACTCTGGTTCTATAGTTTTCTCTTATATCAAATGACATTTTCAGTGCTATTCATAGTTTATCTTAAGCTATTCTGCCAATTTGAAGATAAAAGTCAATTGTTTATGTCCATATACTTCAAAACTAAATAATTTGTGTCTAGACTCATCTTACTACTCCTTATGTTTCACTAAATTGTATTGAATGTTTAAGGTTTCTTACAAACATTTTGTTTAATAGATAGTTATTAGTTGACTGCATAACCTTCAGGAAATTTTTCATTATTTATTCTCTGGTAAACATAATAACATTTTTCAATTTCATCCATTTAGTTACCTTTTTGATATATCAAATTTATTAGGCTGATATAGTGCTACGAGGATACAGTGGATATAATACGAGGTGGGCGTTAAAAGTCGTGGAGAGAGTTTTTCCGGCGGCGGCAGAAAACGGCGGAGAACATCCGGCGGCGGTGACTGTATTCTTCGGAGCCAACGACGCGTGTTTACCGGAGAGATGCTCGGGGTTTCAGCACGTGCCACTTCACGAGTATAAGCAGAATCTTCGCTCTATTGTTTCATTTCTCAAGGTGACCAACGTTTTTTTATTACATCTCATTAAAATCCTGCACATGCAAATGTTTTTTAACGTTATCTTGGACATGTAATACATTTTTCGTTTACATAAATAATGGATTTCTTCATGATCTCTTATAAATTAAATTATTAGCAGAATTTTGTTTTGAATTTTAGAATCGTTGGCCACAAACGGTCATTATTCTCATAGCTCCACCTCCAATCGACGAAGAGGCTCGCCTCCGGTACGAATTCTCTAACTTCCTCGTCGTCCAATGTATTTGTTATCAAGATAAACCTTGGATTTTCAAATGCAATGTAGACATCATTTTTGCAAACACATTTTAAACCTACCTAAGAAATTATTATCATGACATTCTTGTAGGTATCCTTATATCGAAAACACGACGGGCATTCCAGAAAGAACGAATGAAGCAGCCGGATCATATGCAAAAGCGTGTGTAGATGTTGCTAACGAATGTCAAATCTCAGCCATTGATCTTTGGTCCAGAATGCAGCAAATTCCAAATTGGCAAACGGAATGTCTATGGTAATACTAAATTTTACAAATTATGTTTGCATTTCTTTTGTCGAAAACGGTGAATCTATGATCAACGCATATATTTGTTGTCTTTCGGGTTTTAGGGACGGTTTGCATTTGAGTCGGATAGGGAACAAAATAGTGTTTGAAGAAGTTGCAAATAAGCTTAAAGAAGAAGGCATTGGAGCTGAGGATTTGTTAGTGGATCTTCCCCTCATTGAAGACGTTGATCCGAAGAAACCTCTCGAAGCCTTTGATGAGTTTTGATTCTCTTTACATTACCATTACGTAGTTTGGTTTCATTTTCAGATAAAAATCGTTGGGAATGAGAATCTAAGCACTTTTTTTTCCCTAGTGTTATTTTATATTTTGTTGTCTTGACTTAAGATGAGAAAATCTTATATGAACAAATTTGGATAAAAAATAACACAAAAGTATATTAAATTTTTATTATTCATACTCTTTAAGGTAGAGGATACAGTAATTAATAGACTATTGATTTGTTTTTTTGAAGGAAAACATATACATTCTCCCATAAAGCATATATAGTCACTCTTGTATATATTGGCCAAACACAATAGTTTAAACAATCCAAGTCATTAGAACAACTTTCCTTTTTCTATTTCTCCCAATACCGTTAAAAAGCTTCCACAGTTCCACTAGCTGTTAATTATTGTGGGTTAAGAGTTGGTTTAGACACATGAAATCATTGGGTCGACATTGAACTTTATAAGTTTTGTCATTGTAACGGATTTTGCATTAGATACTTCTTACATTAAGTAAGCAAAATAGATCATACAAATCTTGACTTATTTGTAAGTTTGTACTTTGTGAGTTTTTTTTTTTTTTTTTCACATGAACCACACATATCATATATATTTTTTTTTTCTTTTTCACATGAACCACACACATATCATAAGAGCATGTCCATTGGTGATACCCTTATTGGGTATCACAAGATTTTTTATTATTATTTTTGTCAATTTTTTTTGTTTAAGAGACTTGAGTTTGTTTATAAGTTTTACTCTTCCAATGGTGATACTCTAGTATCTTAAAAACAAAATATTTTGGTAGAATGCATCTCAAGCAACGAGATAATGCATTTCAAGAAAAACCAAAACAAAACTTCTTATAAGATATTAAGATGCATCATCTTCTACACTCATGAGGACGTGCCATGTTCCATCTTCAGACTCCTGCATTAAGATCCATCATCATCATTATACAGATAATCATATAAAGTTTTGTGTTTAATATTAACAAACTTGACAGAAATCGACTTGTATAAAAACAGAGTATGGAGATGGCATATGCAGTTTCAGTTCATTCTCTCTCGACACAAATACAAACTCCGATATACAAAACATCAAGTTAAACACTTGTTAATTCAAATCTCAAGGTGAACACAATTACATAAGAAGGCTAATATCATTCAAACTCACATGCAGCTACATATCCTAAATGATCCCCAAATCTATATGATATACAATCCAAAAATTGATCTTACAAAAAGGAAATATCAATACAATAGGAATCAAATGAATCTATAAGAGGCAGAGCACGATTCAAGCAAGAATCTTGTTCCTAAAACCAAGGCCTAAGCAAACAGATGAATCCAAAACAAATAACACTAACCGAAATTCACTAATTCTAGCAATAAGCTATTCGCACCATTATCTTAGGTGGAACCAAATCACTACAAAACAAAGACAAAAGAAAAGAACATGAAACACAATCATCTCAAGAAGAGAGAAACCAGACGCATCCAGAAAAGAGATTAAACCTGAAAACCAATATTGGCAGAGTCAATGAACTGATTTCTAACGGTACCAAATTTTCTACCTCTTTCACGTATTTATTATTTTTTGGGCATAACAAATAATTCGAATTGAATAGAACACTGCCAGTCTGAATCATCAAAAGATCGGAAATAATAGATAGACAGAACTCACCAAAAAAAACGTGAAACCTAAGCAGTCACCGAACAAAACACCGCCTCTTGTCGCCGGTCTGACCTCAGACGGCATGAAGAAGGAGAACGAAGCGAGACGGTGATGGTCGGAATCGAATTCTCCAGCTTTGTGATCGGACTCTTCTTCAATCGCTCATCAACGGTATCATCGAGAAGAAGAAGGAAAATATGACGGAGCAAATCGCATTTTCCCTTTTTTCTTTTTTTTCCTTTTGTTTTAAATGAATAAACCACATGCTGACACGTAGCGTCTCTGAGACGGTTGCGAAATCTCTTACTAAAGAGACGTCTCAGGCTATATTACCCATTAAAACATTAATTTTAAATCTTTTTACTTCTGGGACTCACTTAAGAACTGAGCAAATATCACCGCTGGACATGCTCGGCATAACTAAAATTAGTGTGTTTTCTCGTGAGAATTAATTTGCAATTTTGTTTCAAACTCTTCTTTATGTGTTAGTAAGGTGTTATGTCGTGCTTGTAAGGCTATAATCACATTTACTTCCCGTCTAAAGCTGAGCTATTTCATTTTCATAATTATGGTTTTTCATGTTTCTTCTTTTTTCCTAGTTTCCATTACGTGTAACCTACACTAAGAAGTTGTTTTTAGATAAAAATGATAAAAAAAATACTTTGATTTTGTAAAAGAAATCTTATTAATCGGCCGTACAAAATAACCCAACTACGGATATAAAACACTAAAAGCGATTTGACTGATGGGTCCTTACAACTTACTCACTAATGAGATCGAGATCAGTAAACAAATTTACATTCAAATGACGAATATTTAATGAAAATACTATTGACAAAAATAGTTAGTTGTTTCGAGTATATGATTTGCAGAGAATAGTTAAGCTACATCGAAAATTACCAACAACGTGCAATATGGAAAATACTATTAACAACCTACATAATAAAATTTAAGAGTTTTAAAATTTGACATATAAATAAATATAAAGATAAGGAAACTGAAAGTCATATATACACGACTCTACAATTAATTAAGGATAAAAAATCTATATAATTTAACTTTTGTGTGCTACATAATTTTTCATAAAATTAAATAAGAAAATAGTGCAATCTCACAAGAGTCTTTATATAGGGGATATCTCTTTGTGTATTTTTGAGTTGTCACAAGAAAAGATGAAGAGATTCAACAATGGCTACTACTCCCACTTGGTGCTTTTTCTTATCTCTCTTTTCCTTCTTCTTCTTCTGGATTCAGGGCTTTGCATGGATCCTTTCTCCTACGATCATTCTCTAAACTCAGAGGTACGCACAAAAATAAAACTATTTTCTTTCATATATATAGTCAACCGAATATACCATGTTTTAATATATTTCACATCATTTCAAGTGCCTCACGGAGCTTCCAAAAACTAACAATACTGGAGAAGGATTCCAAGAATTGAACATCAAGGAAAATGGAAAAACCCAAAACGTAGTAGAGAGAGTTCATCTTCAGAAAGGGAACATATACAGCATCACTGGTAACAAAACGTTGGTTTGTTGTTTCTTGTGCATGTAAGTAAGTTATGATTTTGATGTTCTTGAATTGGTGTGATCCAGCTTGGGTCAAGTTAAGAAAGGGGAGTGAAAAAAGAGTAAGAATGACTTTTAGAGGGAGGAACATAAGATACGTTGATGGAGGCCAAGTTATGGCGAAGAAAGGATGCTGGTCTTGGCTCAAAGGTGGTCTAACCGTCGATCACTCGGTCCATGTCAACATTTTCTTCCAGGTAAACAAGTTATCTTTGTGTACTCCTTTGTAGATTCTGAGAGCTAATCCAGAGAGTTACTTGACGCAGAGCACTGACTTAACGGCCACAGAGATATTAGTAGAAAATGTGAGGTTGCAACGGTTCAACAAAACTCAATGGAGGCTAAAACAAGACCAAGTCATTGAAAAGGTATAATTATACATGTAAACGCAAACACACAAAAATAGCGTTTTGAAACAATCCTAATAATGAAAACATTTTTTTTTTTGAGAAACTCAGGTTAGGAAGAACAAAGTGAGATTTCAAGTGAGTTTCCAGAACAAAACCGTGGCAAAAGGATCATTGATCTCCATCAAACAGATCAAACCATCTTTCCTCCTCGGCTGTGCTATGAACTACAAAATCTTGGAGAGTGATAGCTATAAAGAATGGTTTACGTCACGGTTTAAGTTAACTTCTTTTACCAATGAAATGAAATGGTATACAACTGAAAGGGTGAGAGGCCAAGAGGACTACACACTGGCTGATGCAATGATGCAGCTTGCAGAGGAAAACGAGATTCTAGTCAAAGGACATACGGTCTTGTGGAACAACCAGATTTGGCTGCCGAGTTGGGCTCAGGCGATAACCGATCCGGAAGATCTAAAGAATGTGACAATCAACAGGATCAACTCGGTTATGAAGAGATATAAAGGGAGATTAGTTGGATGGGATGTGTTGAATGAGAATGTGCATTTCAACTACTACGAGGACATGCTTGGGAAAAACGCTTCAGCCATTTTCTACTCTATGGCCTCTAATCTTGATCCTGATGTACCGTTGTTCGTGAACGAGTACAACACGGTGGAGTTTGCTCGAGAAGGAGTTGGGAGCCCTATAAACGTGAAGAAGAAGATGGAAGAGATAGTCTCATACCCAGGGAACATGAAGATCAAAGGAGGAATTGGAGCACAAGCTCACTTTACTCCAACGCAGCCTAACTTGGCTTACATGAGATATGCATTAGACACGTTAGGCTCTCTAGGTTTTCCGGTTTGGCTTACGGAGGTTGATATGGCCAAGTGCCCGGATCAGGTATGTAAGCAAGCAATGCACACTTTGGCTGGTTTAAATTTTGACCTAAAGTAACGTAACAAGCAAGCTATGGTTCTATGTATGTGATAGGTTAAATACATGGAGGACATTCTGAGGGAAGCTTACTCGCATCCTGCGGTCAAAGGGATAATCTTATATGCGGGACCTGAGGTGTCCGGTTTCAACAAGTTAACGCTTACCGACCAAGATTTCAACAATACAGAAACAGGGGACCTCATTGACAAGTTGCTCCAGGAGTGGCAAGAACAACCTGCAGAGTTACCTATTGAAAACCATGAACATAATGATGGTGAAGAAGGTCGGATAATAGGGGTTTCACCAGAGATTTCCCTGTTGCATGGACATTACAGAGTGACTGTAACTCATCCATCGATGAAGAACTTCTCCACCAACTTCAGCTTGGAGGTAACCAAGGAGATGGGTCATCTTCAAGTGGTTAAACTTGAAATTTAATGCTTGAAAACCGAAACATATCAGTATCCCATGAGAGTGATTTTACAGAAGCAGTGTGTTTAGTAGAGGCTTATTACTATTTACAATTATACTAAGTACTATAAAGTAACAGTTGTAAGAGTTTTCTGGTTCTTTAAGGGGGAGTGGGAGAAGCTCCATCATCAAATTCTCAAGTTATTGTAAATCCAGAACTACAATCTATAAAAAGTCTGTTTCAATATTCTGTTCTTATAAGATTGTTGAACATCAACGCAATAAAAATCAAATTATCATGCCTCCACAATACTAAACCAACCTAACGACTAATGAAAGTTTGAAGTCTTCGCACAGACCAACTCACAATGCCTATAGGGAACTGAAGAATGAAGTTTCAGTCAGTTGTGTTGTTCTTTCATTATCTCGGCTGCTAGAATAACAAGCTCCACCATCTCAAACCCTGCAGCAGAAACAGAATCCGTCCTCTCGCAGCTTGATTCACCTTCAGAAACTGACTCCATGTCTGATTCAGCTGACCAGCTAATGGGTATGGAGATGCCAAGGGCAGTCTTCAAATGTGTTGCTTCCACAAGGATGTTTGCAATCGCTACTTCGCATCTCCTTACATCTGTTTCAGTATCATTTGACTCTTTCACCTGTAAAATGGAAACAACTAAAATTTGACCTAACAGGAAGGAACCAAAAGCTTAGTGCATATCACTTTAGTGAGCTGTAACTACCTTCAAGAGAGCTAAACGAAGCCTGCGGATTGAAGTCGTCAAGTGCCCCATGCTTTCCAGGCTCTCTTTTATAGCTGCATATTCAACTTTCATTCTGCCAACACAATAGCGATTGATCGTTGATGAGCAGACAAAGGAGACCACAAAAAGAAAACCTTTGCCAATGTATGTTTTGGATGACAAACCTGGCATAATCAATGTTACTGGCATAATCAGTTTCAGCGTTCGAGTGACTTCCACCTTCTTTTGAACTTGGGTCAATCCATCGATTTATGTAAGACTTCTTCCACATATTCTTTAGTCTTCCCTCTTTCTCATTGGTGATAACTACTCTGCTACTATTTTCCGTTGTTTCTTCCCCTCTTGTACCACTCACTTTCCTGGCAAGGATAACATGGTTTTAGAAAATGTATCATTTATCCTCAATCGCTAGCATGGAAGATAAGAGTGTAAACGGTTTCAAAGAGTCTGCCTAGACCATTTGCAGAACATGCATACCTAACCTTAAATATCATCAACATTTCAGGTTCTCTCTACATTGTTGGCAACTATTACTAAATATTTGAAGGAGCGGAATACAGAGAGTGGCAGTAGAGTAGCACACATATTCATAAATGTGAACACGTAATCACCAGAAAAGGAACTTCATGCAAAGAAAACTAGAACAGAAAAAATCATGAGTTAAGGATGATATCATACTCTTTTAGCGACTGGTATTCCTGTCGTAGTCGCGCTAGCTCCAGAAGGGTTCTCACCTTCTCGTTGGTAACCTAAAAGAATATGCACGACGATTCAGAACAGCTCGTAGGAGTCAAACAGGTCTATTTTTACCAACAGCTTGAAACAACTTTATGTAGAAAAAAGAAACCTGCAAAACATTCCTCTGAAGCTCATCTACTTTCTGCTGGAGAGCTGCATTGACATTTTCCTCATGTAAATGCCTCTCTTCCTGCTGTGATAACAGTAAAAGAGCTCCAACCTAACAGCACACATCCGAAAATATATTAAGAAAATACACATTATGAATCATATTCCAAATGACTACATTGGAAGAAAAGAGACAAGGATTGTTTCTTCCATTAAGCATTGAATACAATGTTGTTTTGAATCCTCTCTACTAGTTTATCATGGATCGGGAAAATATTATTGCTTAATTTTATCACTAAGAAATGAGGATAACCTTCTCATGTAATGCTTGTGCAAGGACTTCAGATGAATCACCTCTACTTTCAGCCGTGATTTTGGCTAAACTAGATTCCTCATGCTGCATTTAGAAAAGAATCACGATTACACCAAGTATCATGACACGTTGTAAGAGAGAAATCATCAAATCTCATATAACAGAGCACATACAAGACCAAACAGAGGAAAAATTGAAGAAAAATCTTCCAGCAATTCAGACCTTAGTTACTTGACAAGACTCAACAACTGTGGTTGTATGCACATCCCGGCATTCAGATTCATCTGGCTTTAAATCATGTTGCTGTGGCTCTACATTCTGTGTTTCTGACGAATGAAGTTTAAGTTTTTCTTCAACATCTTTGGACATTGATTTGATGTATAGTCCTTCCTCGTTAAGTAAATTAATGATGTAGGCCCTCAATTCAGAATGATGATGGCGCATATCTGTAATGCCATTTACAATCAGCCCATCTGCAACAATCTGTATGAAAGTTAATAGTGACACCTCAAAGTGGTAAGAAGAATAATTCAATACTTTAAGAGTTATAATGCATGAAGTACCCACATTCTTCTTTTCCAACGCACGAACCCTCTTCTTCAAATGTTTCTCAATTTCTAAGCCCTGGAGTACCAAATATCAGCCGTCAGTGAATGCTGCATCTAGTTTCGTATTATTTGAAGATGCACAGATTGAGGAAAGAAAGGAGACATACAACTTGTAGTTTACTCTGAAGATTATCCACAGTGTTCTTAATTTTCCCCAACTCTCCTTCCAATGCAGCCTGTCTGAAAAGAGTTGTTCAAATAGCATATAGAAACACCAAATCACTGTAATAATCGGACAGATAATGCTTTGTGCCTATAACCATGTCAATAATAAGCATACACAAATGCTTTGTAACACTTGCCTAGAATGAAAAAACTAGGAAAGATAGTTTCCTAAGTTGAGGGAACAAACAGAATCCTAGGTTCCTGGCCTAGTCCAGAGCTTTGCAATTTTATACAGGAATCAGCTCTAAAGGCAGAGTACCGTAGTGATTTGTGGAATAGATACCGGTTTGGCAATATGCCACCGGTATTCCAACTAGATAACAACAAAGTTACAAATGAACCTTTGATGTCATCTCGTTGGAATACCGGTGCATATAGCCTAACCGGTATCCATTCCACACATCACTACGGTATTCTTCTGCCTTTATCACTAACTTTATCCTCAAAGTAGAGACAAACCAGACTTCTGCAACTTTGCTAAACGCTAACCTTTAAATCCCTACTAAGTACGACTTTTCAATATGTTGTCGTAGTTTTGACGTTTACTATCTGTATTTTATGGCAATCATACAATTATACGTAAAACCAATTTACAACATTTTCCGGAAAACTCATTTTGCTGAAATACAGAGCTACTAGTCAATAGACAAAAATCTTCTATTGGAACCTACATAACTAGTCGATGGTGAATAGACACTCAAATGACGTAACACCTTAAATTTGAGAAAGTATCCCAAAAAAACAAAAAAAGGATTGAGGATGGTTTCAGAAACTTACTACATATTCTGACGTTGAAGGATCATTGAAAGTCCATGATTCTTTAGGATCATCCAATAAAGTTTCACACTTATCATGCAAACTCAGTTCAAGGGAGTCACATAGAGAAGCTTCACGGATATCATAGAACTTCTCAATCACCTGAACCGAGAGACAGAGACCAGAGAGGTCAAGTAAAACATGGAACAATTTAGTCAGTGACAATCATAAATTCCAAAAAAAACATAATAGACTATCAGGGAGGTAAACTATAGAGGTTGTATTATAATACGATAAGGACGGAAAATTTACCTCTGCGTATATTATATTCTGTTCTTCAAGTTTTGCCAAGTCAGCTTGCAATGTATCATTTAGTCTCTTCTGTGCAAGACAATCAGAGCTGAGTTCTTCCAACCTGTCTTATCATCACCAGAGACCAAACAAAGAAGGGCGGTAAATATTAGTAACATATCAGGCTAGGAGTAAGCAAAATGCAAGTTCTAGACACACGGCTTAAGATAAAAACAACCATATATTGTTAAATTCTTGAAAGCGCCAAGTTTTCATATAACACTTACAGAAGATACATCTACATAGTCAGACCATCTTTTTCATAAAGGAAAGGGAATAGAGTCACAATTACCGCATCTCAATTTCACCAAGTTTTTGAGACATCATTTCAGCGTTCTCTTTAGCTTTCTCCGCCTGGTCAAATTCCGGAGAACGTTAAAAACAATACACTCATAACAGTAAAATTGCATTTTCCCATTAAATTCTCTCATACCTCCATTACTGATTTATCCCTTTCAGAAAAAGCAGCTGCCACAGAACCTTGGAAAAATCTAAGCTGCTTCTCTGCTTCCAAGTTCTGAAACCAAAAGAAATACATCAGAACATTTAGATGCCAGACGGATATGTTTTACAAAATAAAGCTGATTAAAGATTAGTATCAAATGAGAGATACCTTTGCTACTTCTCCAGCATGTAATTCTGCTAACTGAGCCTGAAAAGACATGCTTGTAAGCATTTGCTTCTGAAGATTCTTAAACTCCAAAGAATTTTATTACAAGAAACTTCAAAGATACTTACTTTCACACGGTAAGCTTCTGCAAGCTCTTCTAGATAATTATGTTTCTCCCTTGTGCAAGCAGCCAACTTCAGTTTTAAGCTCTCTATCTCCTGCTCCAAGCTAGCTACCCTAATAGTGTAGTATCCAATATCACTTAATATAACTTATAGCAACAAGGCGTATGAACGTATCTTCAACTGCTGATTAACGAACTTAAGTCTAAACAGGAAGTTACCTCTGGAAATGCATCCGAGTAGCCACACCAAGAATGCTAGGACCACCTTGTTGCATGCACAACTGTTCAATATCTTTCTGTAGTTCATTACGCTCTGTGAAACAAAACAAACCGACGTCAATGGCCATACTCAACATATACCAGGTAATGAAGATGCAGAGATAACACGGAGTCACAAAAATCTAATAGATATTATATAATATCTTCAAACAAGCATATGGTAGACCATTAAAAAGGGACCTTTAACGTACATAAAACAAAAGAGTATGTGAACAATGTCTTCGATGTTTCTTAGGGCCATTCCCTTTGGCTAGAAATTAACTCACTTTCAAGATTTCAAGAGAAAAGCACAAAAATTTAACTGAAAGGAATCCTATTTTGTATATGAGAAGGCAGAGAGAAAGGGAAAAGAAATAGGAGGTTTCTTATTCAATAGTTTAGACCAGATGACACACACTATAAGCTTAGAAACATGTCACCAGACTTGTACATAACACTAAAAAGGAAACTGAAGCAGAGATTGAGAAAACGTACCAAGTTCGAGTTGTTTAATCCGAGCTCTTAGATTCTCTTTCTCATCTGTAGTATGATCCATGTTTGATCTGCAGCAGATTGGAAAGTACAATTGCTTAAAGACAGACACTTGGAGAGAGGAAAGCCCAGAATTTTCAGACGTTTGAGGAGATGGGAGCTTAGAAGAGAGACAAAAACACCAAATCCCTCTCAAACCCAGAAATCAAATTTATTTAGCTAAAATCAAAGTGAAATCGGAATTCGAAACTCAATACTACGAAGGCCAAAGAGTATAAACCAAGAACATTCGTAAATTTGAATGGTGATAACGACCGATTTAGGGAGACGAAAAATCAGAAAATTAAGAAATGAGAGAAGATCGAAAGTAAGAGATACAAAAAGTACCAATATTTTCTTCGTCGAATTGACCAAAAATGTCTTCCTCAGATTCTCTTCTCTCGGATATTCTGTAAGTTCTCCCTCTACCTTCCAACTTTTTGCAGGAATATTATACAAAAAGTTTTAACCTTTTTTTTTTCTTTTTTTACATCAAACAAAAAAATTGGCCACACTTGTAAAAATGGGCCAATTGCATTTTCTCTGCCTTCAAATTGAATTGACCAAAAATGCAATATCACATTGTCTCATTCTTAAAATCAAAGCATTTCATTTACCAAAACTTCAAAGATCCTCACTTTCACTGGAAGATTTTGTTACTCCTTCAAATTAGATGACAATACAGTAAAATAAATTGACCAAAACTAAATAATTAGGTAGTTAAGTGACATGCACATCACCTGTTCGATAGAATGCGCAAGAGAAAACAAAGAAGAATAACAACAGACAAGAACAATCTCAAAACCCACCAAAGTAACAACAATTCAAGACTCATTGCTACTTTCACAATCTTCCTTACCATCTCCACAAAACCCATTTCCCAATTCACAAACCCTTTCCCAAACACCTTCCTCCACCGGAACAACAGACAACCTCGGCTGTCTAAACAAAACGAAATCCTTAATCCCTTTGTCTCCCTTCATCTCCTTCAAATCAACAAACTTCCTCATCTCTCCAACAGCTCTAACATCCACCGCTCCTTCTCCTCCCTTATCATCACCACCATCGTCGGAGTACCATTCACGCGTCACCTCCACCACACCCACGACGCATCTCGATTTCGCGCCGGAGTGGTAGAAGAAACAGAGGTCGCTTAAAGCCATGGACTTTAGATTCTTCTGAGCTTGTTTGTTCTTGACACCGTCCCATTTGCTGATCCCCTTGTTCGCTTCTTGGTCTGACCATGACCACTCGCTTGGCTCTGTTTTCAGTAACCAGTATCGCTTCGTCTTCCCCATCTCTAGAGAAATCTCTCTTCTCTTGTTCACAGCTTTTCCTTTTCTAATATCGATTTTGTTACATATGGACCAGTTATGGACTTTAACCGAATTCAACATTCGAAGGAATAGCTCTGTTATTGTATTACTCCAAACCTTAGATTCGTTATTAAAGGATGAATATTTGATGAAATGTGCCATTTAAGCCACGTGGAAAATAAAAGGCCCCAGGAGTAGTAATGAAAAACATTTGAGTCAGAGAAAATTGCAGAGACGAAACAAAAAATTTCGCCCAAAAAAAAAAAAAAATATCAAAATGTTGTAAAGAAGCTTCGAAACGAAAACCATTTTCACCTAAAATCGCTTCTTCTTCTTCTCTCTATAAATATTTTTGCTTCTGATTAGAAATTAGAAACCCTTTCCTCCAAAATTCTCAATTTCGGATTTTTCGCTCTTTCGAGTTCGTTTTCTGACTCCTCTGTTGAATCGCAGTCTCTATCTCTCTCTCTCTCTCGCTCGATTCTTCGTCTCCGATTCGACCTATACTTATACAGATAGAGAGAGAGTCGAATCTCTCTGGTTATCGTTCGCTATTTTGCTTTCAATCGAAACGGAGAAAGTTTATTCGAGTAATCTTCTTCTGGGTTTTTCTTAATTCGGGTTGAGCGAAATTGAAGTTTTTGTGAGGTTGAGTGGAGGTTTTGGGTGATTTGAGTTGAGGTTTTGGGGGGTTTTTCTGCGGAGGATTAGGTATGCGAGTGGAAGGAGATAACATGGTGCCTCGAGGAAATGCAACCGACGGTGAAGTGGTACGTGATACGGCGTCGTTTGAGCAAGCTCAGGAGCAGCAGAAGAGGCTCGTTATTGGGTATGCTTTGACGTCTAAGAAGAAGAAGAGTTTCTTGCAACCCAAGCTTGAAGTTCTTGCGAGGTATGGTGTTTAAAACCCATTTCTTGTTTCTCAGTTTCATCTTTTTTCTCGGTAACAATCAGTAGAGGAAATTGTTGGCCATTTCTACATTTCTTGAAAGTTCTTTACATTATGATCTGTTCTTTTAAAGAAATTTTCCAAGGTTTGACATTTTCTCCATGAAATGGTTCTTGGTCCTGTGTATTGTCAGTTTGGTTGACTGTACTGTGGAGGACACTGTTATTTGCCGTTTTTGTCCATAATCGGCTCCTTGCACTAAGTATGTTTGTGGCATCAGGAATCTCTTGTATCAATGGGAATATTCCTTTATATAATCCTTTGGGATTAGGTTCAACTTGGAGGTCAAAATGTCTTAAGGACTTCTCAACATGATTTAAAAAATCTATTTTTTTTTGGATAGTAGTCAAAACAGTACCAGGATAAACTTTTCACAGCTTTCTGGTCAACCATTAGCTTTATTATTCTGTCTTCTTTTCTAGCAGAATTTTAAAGAAGATGCTGATGTTAGCTCTTGTTTGTGCTTTATAGGAAAAAAGGCATATCCTTTGTTTCCATTGACCAGGACAAGCCACTCTCTGAACAAGGCCCATTTGATGTCGTTTTGCATAAGGTTTGTGTGCAGTGATAGCTTAGTGTTTCATACTCGGAGCATCGATCCTTTAGTTGTTGGAAAGTATATAATTTTCCTTGGAATCTAATGGATTGTATGATTGTGTTTGCTTGCAGTTACTGGGAAATGAGTGGCACAATGTTATTGAGGTTCGACAAACTGTAATATTTTCTTTTCATGGAACTATAGCTCTTTAGTTACTACTGTTGCTGGTTTTAATCCTCTCTTTGATTATTGCAACTATCTTAGCAGTCAATTTAACAAATAGAAGAAGCACTATCTCGAGATTTAGAGCAACTTGTTATTAGCTTCTTGGTTCTGGCCTTATTCATTGTTCAACTAAAGCAGTATTAGTATTTACATAAATGAGTGATATCTGAGAGATCTCTGTCCAGTGAACGAATTTCATCATGTTTGAATAGTACCATCAAATCTTCTGTTCTGCAAGTTACAAAAGCATCTGATGTTTGTGTATCTCCCATATGCGCTTCTAGGATTACCAGCAAAAACATCCAGAAGTGACCGTGCTTGATCCTCCAGGTGCAATCCAACGTATATATAATCGGCAATCAATGCTGCAGGGTATTGCAGATTTAAATCTTGCAGACTGCGATGGTAACTGACTAACTTCTATATGACAATTGCAATTCCTTGTTTCTTCCTTAGATTAGGATACTCTTAAAGTTTTTCGTGTTCTTTGTAGGCATGATATGTGTTCCAAAGCAAATGGTTGTCTTAAAAGATACATCATCTAGCGCTAACGAAGTTGAAGAAGCCGGTCTAAAATTTCCACTAGGTATCAGATCTGAAGTTTCATTCTGAATTTTCTTTCTCTCGAAAGGTTACTGTTAAGTCTTGGGATTCAGCTCACTTTTTGTCTACTTTATCCAGTTGCAAAGCCACTTTTAGTCGATGGAACTGCAAAGTCACATCAGTTGTCCTTAGCCTATGACCGTCTCTCGCTTGCAGATCTTGAACCCCCGTTGGTTCTTCAAGAGTTTGTAAATCATGGTATTGGCTTTAACTTACACTTGTCATATATCGCTTAAATCTGCTATGCCATGACACACTTTTTTGCTTCTCAAGGTGGAGTTCTCTTCAAGGTCTTCGTTGTTGGTGATGTGATAAGGGTGGTCCGACGATTCTCTCTGCCTAATGTAAGCAACTGTGAAGAAGACAAAGTTGCTGGTGTATTTCAATTCCCAAGGGTATCGTCTGCTGCAGCTTCAGTTGACAAAACGGACTTGGACCCTCGTGTTGCTGGTTAGGATACCTACCTTTCCTCTTATAAAATGATTTGTTGCATTGGTGTTATATGCTTATGTGTTAATTGTTGTTGCAGAGCTACCTCCAAAGCCATTGCTCGAAGGGCTTGTGAGAGAACTACGAAGCCGATTGGTATGAATCATATTCTCTATTGAAATGGATAGATTCTATAGCTGTTTCCTCATTGTAAGAGTCTGGTTTATGTTGTGTTTCTGCTCGTGTAGGGACTCCGGTTGTTCAACATAGACATGATCAGAGAACATGGAAGCAAAGATGTGTTTTATGTCATTGACATCAACTATTTTCCTGGCAAGTTCTTTACTTTTTTTTTCTGTGAAACTTCTTTGTGGCTCAATCAGATAATGTCATTGTTATTGATTTTGCGGATTTAATTTCTACAGGGTATGGAAAGATGCCGGATTACGAGCAGGTGTTCATTGATTTCTTCATGAGTTTGCCACAAGCGAAGCATAACAAGAGACAGTGTGTGAAAAGTGGAATAGAAATGTGAAGGTGATTGAAAGTGAGATAAGAAAACTCTTTTTGAGTTCTGAAATATTGTGTTGGGATGATCATAGCTATGTACAGAAAATAGCTTTTCCAATGTTGCTAGAAGTAGCAGATAAACAAGTTTTGATTAGTGATCACCACATACATCTGTGTTTCTTCTTTATCTGTTCTGCAAAATTTGGTTTTATGATCTTCCTCCATTTATGCTTTAACCATTACAACATGTTTCTTTTAGCTATCTGATAATTATGAGAGCAGCAACTATGTCAATATTTAGGAAGAGAACATTCCTTGGGGAGCTTGTTATGGAACCTTGCAGAATCTTGGCAATAGTCATAAACCAAGTGATACTTCCTCACCCATTTAAACCATCTCTTTTGCACTCTTGTCAAAGAACTAAACTCATTCTTGTTCCACCAGTTTTCATTGCTCTCTTCTCTACACAAGCTTGGGTTGCCTTTCCAAACACAAGCATCTATCTTGTAATCCTCAAATGATGCCACGAATGGACCCTTAGACCAGTCAATCTTGTCTCTCCCACCGCGTGTAGCCCAGCTCTCACCGTTCCATAGACTCGCCTTTACACTCATAGGTTGAAATCTTGGGTAGGCTACACCTTTCAACGTATGGTTTCTATACAATCTAATTGGAATTTGATCCACCATGAACCTGAATCCATCCCCAAAAACATCATCCATATGCGTCTTACTTGGAGTATGTGGTGAAATAGATTTTGGTTAAAGAATTTTACACAATTTGGTGAATGTTCCACAAGATAGAGTAGGTGTGAAAGTCCTTGGTTGGGTCGAACCAGAGATGGATCCTTTCTTCACGGTTATCAATTCCATTGGCATAGACATTCGTCTGAAGAGTGTAAGGCTGTCCCTCAACATTTCCAAGGAATTCAAAGTCTATCTCATCCCGGTTTGGCTGATCAGAGGACATCTGATCAAGTGTTTCAAAGATTTATCATAAAGATTATGAGATTCATGAACATTTTCTTATGCTCTAGACTACGTCTACAGTTAAGATGATAGAGAGAGAAGGTTTCTTACATAATAAGCAACCACAGTGCCTTGAGAAGGTCCAGAGATTAGTTTGATCTTCATATCTATTTGTCCGAACAAGAACGTCTGAATGGAAGCAAAGGAAGCTCCTACGTATACGTATACAATCGAAACATAAGTTCTTGACTATCGAAAGAAGATTAAGTTTAAGAAGGTAAATGAGAGTATTGTATATATTACCAGATTCTTGATCGAGCTTAAGGGTTCTTGATCGACCATCGCTGGAGGTGTTAACGTGGGTTGGAGACCATGTCACGAGGAAGTCTTTATTAAAATCTCCTGATGAGACAAGGGAAGCTTCTGAGACCCATAATAGCAAACTTGCGATAAAGAGTCCTATGAGATATACAAATGGGTTTGAGCGATTTATAAGAGCCATTTATTGATTCAAATGCATGTGATTGGATTGCACATATGATCATTCATCACTTTATATATACATATTGTATTGCATGAAAAGTGTTTTCAAGTAAATTGTGTTCATATACAAGGAATATCTTTGTGGAGAAGCAAAGAGAATACATCGTTACGTAGGAATATTTGATTGCTTCCTTTTCCAAAACGTAGGAATGTTGGTTCTTTGTTTCCAAACAATTTATACTTGAAACAATATGTTTTCTTTTAAATATTTGATCTTCATGGAACCTTCAACTCGCCTTTTCATTTCATTGTTTTTAAGATGTATTTCAAGATTTAATTTATTTTGGCGGTCTGTTGTCCTATTTCACCATATTTTGTCCGTCGGCTATTTTATGGATTACCAATCGAAAATTATCTATATGTATCCATTTTAGCCATTTACAAAGTACGTGTATATGAAGTCAAAACAAATTTACAAAAAATATAGATAGGCTTTATTTTTAACAAAAACAGATAGGTTTTATCGAAATATAAGTATTACATAGTGTTGCGTCAAAAAAAAAAAAGTATTACATACTGATGTAGTACATATATATATCAAGTTCCATTGTAAAATAGTACATATAACAAACCAATAATAAATGACTCATCTAAACACATAAATATATGCCACCCCACCCTCCATGGATGCTTCTCAATAAATGTTTTGAAAAACATCCAATGAAGAGGTCTTGCTCAACTTTTGTCTACTACTACTTCCCAACTTGAACCATCGGTTATAATCAAGTGTTCTTGAGTGGCTTTGAGTTTGAGGAACTTGGAGGCGAAGAAGCCCACATGGCACGATTTGGCCTGACCCATCCTCCACTGTCGATCATAGTCGGATGTTCATGATTGTTCTCCTTTCTATCAAACTTGTTCTCTAAATCATAATCCTTCCATTTCGGGATCTTCATGATAGTTGTGAGCTTTGGCTTCGTTTCAGCTGCATCCGTCGAAGTGCCTTTGTAATCCATTTGATTGTGCTCATTCTCCATCGAACCGGCCTGTTTTTGCGTTTGACTATGCCCGACAATAAAATGGACCGACTTCTCTACCCGAGCAACTACGCGGTCAGCTTTATGATCATGATGGTTCTTCTCGTTGTGGTTGTAGCTACCATGATGATTTAGCATTTTGCAAAGGAAAAGAATAAAAGAGTTTTCTTGCGGATTTCAAGCTTGAAAGGAAATATATATAGACAAAAACATCTTCCTTTGTTAAATATGTTGCTTACACTTCAAGCGTGGTAGAAGGAAAGATTCCACACACAAGAATCATATTCCTCCACTATTGCTGTCAAGAAGCAAAGAAAAGAGTAGATAATCAAATGGTAATCTAAATGTTTTACAACTATTTAATTGATTTTTTGTTTTTTTTGCCATATTAAAGTGTATGGTGTTTTGAAGGGAAAAAATATAAATCACACACATTTTATACGTTTTGATGATATTAGATCATATATAGCAGAATAAATATATGACGCCATATAAATGTTACTGCTCTGCTTACGTCATTAATGTGGCGTCATATATACTTGTTGATAAGATGATAAGAAAAGGCGACCCATAAGAAAACTATAAGCAAGACTGTCAGACTGACAGTGACACGAATGGTTTATAAACAAAACGACTATTCTTCATGACTTTTCACTTTAGGTCTTCTTTATTTTGTTTAAACTATCTTTTTTCTTTTGTTTTGGATTACATTTAATTTCTTTCTTTTTTCTACTTTTTCATTATAAAATTTTACAATAAATTCACATTTTTTAATATATCATAATCATATTCATATATTCAGATGTTTCTTAAAACCACATTTTACAGAAAACGGTTAGATATTTGTAATGATACTTGATGAGAGTGGAAGAAATTACGAAATAGTTTAAAAATAAGAGAAAGTAACAAAAAATAGTAGTAGAAAATCGAGAGTGGAAAACACTTTATACCGTTTTTCTCTCGTGTTGCTTTGGCATGTTTTACCGATTGGTAACCTTCCCCTTTTTTTTTTTGAATTAATATCTTCATTCTTACCACAACGGTAAAGGGTTTCCACTTTCCGGTCAAAATATGTTTAATCTTTAATGGCTGCCCAAGACGCAAGCTAGCTTTCTAGTCTCTATATAAACCATCATTTCGTAGCCTAATTTCATTACACAACAAAGCTTGGAAATAGCCATTACAAACTAAGAAAAATGAAACTCACTAGCTATTCTCGACTTCTACTAATCTTGGCAGCCCTTGTAGGAGCTCTTGTTCTTCCCTCCAAGGCTCAAGACAGCCCACAAGACTATGTTAGGGCTCACAACGCGGCAAGACAGGCCGTGGGCGTAGGCCCCATACAGTGGGACCAGGGGCTTGCAGGCTATGCTCAGAGCTACGCTGAACGACTAAGAGGCGACTGCAGACTCATACACTCTGGTGGGCCATACGGGGAGAACTTGGCCGGAAGTAGCGGCGACCTATCTGGCGTGAGCGCCGTGAACTTGTGGGTTAGCGAGAGGGCTAACTACAACTACCCTGCGAACACTTGCAATGGAGTTTGTGGTCACTACACTCAGGTTGTTTGGAGAAAATCGTTGAGAGTCGGATGTGGCAAAGCGAGGTGTAACAATGGTGGAACCATAATCTCTTGCAACTATGATCCTCGGGGGAATTTTAATAATGAGTTGCCTTACTAATGAGTGATTATGAATATCCACATAAAACACGTTCATACAGAACGTGTATATATATATATATGTATTTCAATAAAGAGCATCATATATGCAGGATGTGTATCAATAATATTTAATAAATAATACAAATAAGAGCTGATTTATACTAGTAGTATATCACTATCCATTTACAAACCCTAATCAACGGCTAAACTATCTCTCTCTCTCTCTTCCGTTATATCATTATATGCATTAATGCATATCTAGTGGCCGCTTGAGGTCACGATGCCATAAAAGGCGATGGCTACAAAGGATCGGCCAGAGATTGTAATGGGGACAATGGATCCAGCCATGCAATAACGACAATAGCTTTTAAAACCTTCAAAATTAACTAGATTAAAAAGCGTTAAGTGGTTATATATATAAACATACAAAAACGTTTGAGCAGCATTCGTATCGAAGTTTGTAAACCTTTTATCGAAAAAGAAAAGAAAAAAGAATAAGGTTATTTGATATTACATTAAAAGTCAGGTTATTGCATTCAAAAACAATTATTAAAGATTATCTCATTGAACATTAGATGTAGGATTTATCTGATAATTAAATTAATTTGATCAACAAATTACACCATTTTAACATAAATTTGTGTCTATATTTTCTTCAAACTTGTAAACAAACAAATTTACATCTCCAGATACATATATAAGGAAACAAGTGCTTGTACTCCTATTAGTCACCATTCAGAAAAAAACAAATTTCATGAAATGTCATATTGCTTTCAATGAAATATGCTGTAAAAATAAGATTTGAAAGGACTTAAAGCAGCCTTTGATTATTCCATGACCATATCCTAATCGCTGCAAGAAAAGTTTCGGTCTCGAAGTCGTTTTAGTTAACTAGTCAACATGGTTTTGTTTTTCTCGCTCATGGGTGATGGATTACGTACGTCGTGCTCTAGTGGTTGGTCCCATGCCATTTCATTTTGTTTTGGTTCATGTTGCTATCTTGTGGGTACCAGCAAAATGGTGTTATTATAACAAATGAACGAATGATCTACCAGAAAACTTGAAACGGCCATAACCGTAGATATTTTATCGTTTTATTTCATTTTCTTATAAAAATAACAAATAATCATAATAATAATTTATATAGTGTTTGTGCAAAGATTTGGTATTCGCCTTGCCATTATGGAGTAAATACATTTGCACTATAGCTAGGGAAGAGACAGTTAAACTCACTTGACATGTGTGGTGCCTTCCAAAGATCATCTGATGTTCAAGTCATAATTCGAAAAAGGTTGAGGTTGATCCATGTGGTTCTTAATTTGAAGATGTTTAAATTACTTTTTTTTTGTTAAAAGGATCGATGTTTAAATTACTTTAGAGTGTTTTACGATGTTTGTTGAGCGTAAAATAGTGTGTTTAGTAGGTAAGTCTCCTAACAAACACGTGGGATTCCAGAAAACACCACAAAATAGTGTTTTACGAAAATTCTATGACGCTCAAGTTAGCAACGAGAAAAGGAACGACCATAGATTGATAAGCCGAAAACTAGAAACAATACAAAGACAAAGAAAGAACAAATTAAATGGTTAAGTGACACTAGCTAGATCCGAAAGAAAGGCTGGATCTAGGATGATCTTGTTGTTTTAACAGGCACAGCAAAACAATTCTAACATGAATTAACAAATAAAACATGTTTTTTTTTTTCATACAAAGACCAGTCTAATTAAATTAATCTCTAAACCGATATGGGGCAGAAACCGAAGTCAACTCTCAGCTGGTTTTAGGCGCCATTGTTCACACGTACAATACATGTATATTCTTTATTGTGGTTTACAAAACACAATTTCACCGGTCATAGGTACATAGGTTATTAAATTTGAGTTTAAATATTTACATTTTATGCATATCACGCGGACCGTACGTAAGGTAGTTCTATATAAACCATGCATAGTTCCAAAACTATAAAACAAGATACACAACAAAGCTTGGAAATAGGAAATAGCCACTATCAACTAAGAAAGAATGAAAGTTATTAGCTATTTTCGGTTTCTAATCATTTTGGCAACCCTTGTAGGAGCTCTTGTTTGTCCATCGATGGCTCAAGACAGCCCTCAAGATTATGTAAGGGTTCACAATGAAGCACGAGCAGTGGTAGGCCTAGGCCCTGTACAGTGGGACGAAACGGTTGCAGCCTTCGCTCAGAGCTACGCAGACCAACGAAGAGGCGACTGTAACCTAGTACACTCCGGTGGGCCTTACGGAGAGAACTTGGCCAGGAGTAGCGGCGACTTATCTGGCATCAACGCCGTGAACCTGTGGGTTGACGAGAAGGCCTACTACGACTACCCTTCTAACACGTGCAACGGAGTTTGCGGTCACTACACTCAGGTTGTTTGGAGAAACTCAGTGAGCCTCGGATGTGGCAAAGTAAGGTGTGACAATGGTGGAACCATCATCGTTTGCAACTATAATCCTCCGGGCAATTATGTGAACGAGAAGCCTTACTAATGAGTAATTATATCCAAACAAAAAGACACGTGCATACTGGACGTGTAATATATATAGCTTCCAATAAAGCGCATAATCATATGCAAGATGTGTATCAATATTTATCAAATAATACAAAGAAGAGCTGATAATACTTACTAGTATCCATTTAAAAACCATTATGAAAGTTGAACTTTGGCCTCTCTCTCCTTCATTACATACCGTTGTGGGACAGATTGTACAACTTTATTTCCCAGCTTATGCTTATGGAACATGTTAATATCCCAGACGCATAACAAAAGCCCTCTTCCTGGCCGAATGCGCATATCAAATGAAGTTCCCCTTAAGAGGTTTGAATCTTGCAAACACATTGAGGGCTAGAAAATAATCTTCCTTCAGTACATTGTAAATATATCATTCAGCGGTTTAACTCACGACAAGTTACTTCAGGCCACCAAATGAGGTGGCATGGCTGATGACATGCATCTTGTACGTGAGATGCATTTATCGCCTTGTGCCACCCATTGTGAAAATTATTGCATATCGGTTATATATATATATATATATATATATATATATATATATATATATATGTCCCTCCTCAGATTAGCCTTCTGATAAAGAGAAAAACAAACAAGAATTAAAAAAGAAAATGAGGTTGCATAATTAACAATTACAGGAAACTTTTATAAAAGTATTATTGGTTAAAAGTTTCAAATATAATTTCCCATCCTTTACATTCCAAGTTATAAGCTTTACATGAAATTTTTATATCTCATATTTTTTAATCCCAGTTTATATTATTTTTTCATAATCTATATGCTAGGCCTATTCTAAACGTACTTGCCAACCCTATAATTTATTTGCCAACCCTAATTATGACATAACATAAGTACATAGAGCTACGAGGGAGGATGTTGACTATTGGTTTGAGGTTTGACTCCATTTCGATTAATTGTCTCACTTGGATCAGTTTAGTTTAAATCAAACCGATATAAGCTTCATTTGGGCTTCGCGCGTGTAAAAGGCCTATCTGGAGAATCTGGCCCAGGTCTGTTATAACAGACTGAAAACAGAGCATCTTCTTCTTCTCCATTTGATCTTACCGTCTCTCCTCCTTCGTTTCATTCTGCTTTTTACAGAAATCTAGAGAGATATAGAGAGAGTGAGAGTGAGAGTGAGAGTGAGAGTGAGAGTGAGAGTGAGAGCGAGAGCGAGAGCGAGTGTGAGTGTGGATTACTTTGTGATTTCTATTCAATTGCGATGCAATTTCGATATACGTAAGTGAGAGATAGACAGACGAGTGCGATTATGAGTTTTGAATTTTTGATCGTGATTCAAGTCTTCGTTTCTCTACATAGGGATTGACAGAGTCACAGTGAGACTAATTGTGAAAAGAGCACTAGTGAGAAGAGCAGCAATAAATGGGACGACAAGACCAAGTTTTGGTGAGACCAATGTAATGATCAGAGTAGAAGTTAGTAAGAAAATTAGCTGAGCATCCTTGAACACAACCAGAACGAAATTCATCAACAATGAATAGTGTTACTTTAAGAGCTTCCTTTAACAATTACAAAAACGGGTGTAATTTCAGGTTACAAACTTTGAACCTTACGGAGACTTGCGATGAACAAATCGTTCCAAGTGTCGGTAAGTCCAGGGAGGCACCAATGCATGCAGTCATCGTGATTCTTTCCACCAGCCGCTGCCGGATGAGCATCGGCTCGGTACTCGCTCATTCGAGTTATGTCCAGAACGTGGAAGCCGCTTCTACTCTTAAACGAGTTATGGAGGTGTTGATTCACCAAACGAACCTCTACATTTGCCCCATTGTTCCTCACCGAGAACAATTCTTCAACCTACCATTATAAAAACAAGGCAGTTTATATATGTTTCTTGTAACAATGATCCAATTTACTAAATCTCCTGACCCTCTAATCATTACAAATTACGAAATATCATAGTAGACTTATTCTCGGATACCCAAAACTCTTCTTATACACTCTCTGAAGTTGAAAACTTGTATGCTTATTAAAGACTATGGCGATTATATTGATTGAAAATGACTTACTTCTCTAGGTAACAAAGGTTTCACTCGTTGACAAGTACCACCTTGGTCCCAGTCACCTCCTTCAAAATGCCTAGGTGATTGTGTCCGGAAGAATACGATTCCCCCAGGTCGCTTAGTCTTCTCCACAAAATTTACCTATCACAATGGCAAATCCTCGTATGATGATGATGATAATATTTCGTAAACAGATAATGTAATATTAAACATCTTACGTTGCCAACGTTGCCTTGCAATAACACAAGAAAACAGAGAAATCGAGAGAGCATACCATATGGCTCAGAACACGATCCAGGCCAGCAGCAGGAGGTATAGGAGGAAGTATTGGCCGGCCGCCTTCAAAGAAAAGCATAGGAGTTTTCAAAGGATCAAATTTTGATGGCGCCCACCACCTTACAAAAGGAGAAAGACAAAGGAAAAGGTCATTAACAAGCAACATCTCAATTTTAATTGAAGGATGACAAACCGAAGGTATCATATAACTGTTTAAACATGACTACTTTTCACCCATGAAATTATCAGCATACAGAACATCATTGTGTTTCAAGCCTATCGGTTCTTAAACTGGCGGCAGCTAAAGAAAACAAAATACTGCAAATATCTTGGCAAGACTAAGGTTTACATTTCATGAAAGTGTCATATACATCTGTATTTACTGAGAGAGCAATGGACAGACTGGAACAGAGACTGGCTCAAACTAGAGTATTTTACACTTCTCACAAAACTTTTTGGAACCTAATATATTAATACATCAGCATGAATCAGAAGTAGACGAACTCAGTGACTGAGGCATATATCATCGGACCTAGGTTGTGGTATATCAGATGAGAAGCATTTAACAAGTCCAAAATACTTAATACTTTTATCACACAAGAAGCGGTATTTACCAATGACCAGTGTTCAAAATGAGAATGTCGTGGAAGCTTGGAGCCTTTGCCCATGAGCTTTCTGGAATATCAACATCAACTCTATATCCCTCCTTAAAGCCAAGCGCTTCTAACTCACCACCATTAGCATTAGCGGACCACCTAAATTCCTCCAACAAAAGAATACACACAATGCTTACAACAAATGAGAGAGAGACATATATAAATATGCAAACACCGAAGGAAAACTTAGCTTACCTACCATAACGTGCCAAGAGATTTGTTCGATGATACGCAATGGTCAGATTATAGCGCAAAAATGTGAATCCACGATCTGCACCAGCTGGTCGCCACTTCTTCAAATCACCCGCCACACTCTTCAACATGCAGAATAGTGATACAAACATGTTCCTATTCAATGAATCACCCACAAATCCTGCACTGTTGCAAAAACAAATCTTAAGATTCTATCGAAAAGCATAATCCTTTGCCCAAACAGAGACAATGTCATAATCATATTTCAATCAGCAGAGTGTAAAAATCTACCAATTTTTTATTCCCCAGAAGAAAAAAAAAATGTAATTTAGCTTCTGATTCCTAAAATTCCAAACACAAGAGGCTAATATGTAGCGATTAAAGGAAATGTGAGAGAAGAAAAATCGTGTACCGATGTTGGTATTTCGATGAGTCTCGAGAAATTCGAGCGGATCAAACGATGGAAGATCACAGTCCTTGGGCTTCCATCGCCATTTAGAGATCTCGACGCCATTGCTTTTGTTGTTCCGAACGCAATTCCATCCTTTGAAGATCTCTTTACAGCTACTATCATACCTGACGGATCTGGGACTAGGATCGTAGATCCAGGAGCCGTCGGAGAAGTCGCAAACGGCGGAGATATCAGTGCGGGAACCGTCGGATTTCGAGGTGAAGACGGAGGAGGAGCGGTGAGTGTTGGGGGAGGAGAGAGAAGCGCGTTTGGATAGAGAGAGGAGGAAGAAAATGGAGATGAAACAGAGAAGAGATAGTAGAGGGAAGAGGGAGAGTTTGTTGTGTTGAGTCGTAGCCATGGCTATTTGCCTGTTTTAGCTCATCTCTTAGAACCTCTCTGCCATGGCGGAGACTGAGCTCTCTTTTGAAATATCCAAAATTTGATGATTTTCGGTAAAAGGATTTAGACTAATGTTGATACCAAATCCGACCCGCTTAACATCTGGATACTTATCCGGTTCTGGCCCAAATAGGCCCATCTAGTCCTAGATCCTAATTCATGATGACTTTGGAGCACGTCCATACAAAAACAAACGCAAGTGTTTTACTTTTACCTAGTCCTCAATTCTATTTTTGTATATTGTTGTTTCAGATTGAAAAAGTTAACCGAGGAGATTGGCAAAAATGCATAGCTTAAAGAATATATCATTGCAAGATTCAATAGAATGAGGAAACAGAAATCTGAACTGTCTTATGTATTAAAGGAATTGTGTGGATAAAAAAAAAACTTATATGAAGGAGAGTTTCTAAAACAAATCAAATCATAACAGCAAAACATTTCTCCAAGTAAAAACACCCCTCACTAATCACAGCATCACACCATTCCATCTTACCCCAAATCTCTCCTTTTTGGCGTGTTCCCAAAGTAATCTCCGCACACCAAATATATCCTCCTTTTCCAAAGAAGATTGCTAGTTTACCACCATAACTAACCGTCTTGGACAACCGTGAACCGGCCATCTTATGCACCAATTCTTCCAAACCTTGCACCACACTCCAACGCCTCTGCTTTGGATCATACGCTCTTAACTTGTTCTCTTCAGTATGATAATAGTATAACACTTGGTCAACAGCACACGCATAATTCCATTTCTTAGAATTCAGCATCTCGTCCAATTCCCATTTATTTTCCTTTGGCCCATAAACAAAGCTATTGTAATAATCCCTCATGTAAATCTTATCCTCCATCACAACAATATCAGACCTTGTGCGAGCTAGATTCACGCTTGGCTTTATAATCTCAGACTCCCACATTTGAGTTTCGGTATCCAACACCATGACTCTCATCGACATCCTACTGTTATCAAAGAGCCCAACATACTTGATACTATCTCCGACTACGTAAATCTTCTCCCCGATGATGCCAGTCCTCATAGCATACATCGGCGTAGGCATCTTGGAGATGACCTGCAACGTGTGAAATCTACAATCCATGCACCGTGTCATATCTTCCCTTTTAGGATCGTTAAGTTCACCAAACACATATATCTTCGAATCTACCACGGCGTAGATTGCAAAAATATCCATATGAGAAAGCGACTCAACAATGACCAAGCGCTTCTTGCTCTTGTCTTTCCGGCGGAGGATATACAAACTGCGATCAAGGGTGTAGCAGTTATAGAGGACAACGTAGAGACAGTGTTCGGTGCAGCCTAACAAGGATCGTCTCTTGTATAGCTCAGAGGATGTAACTAGTGACCGGAAACTCTTGGAAACGAGAGAGATACTCGGATAATCCCATCTCGGTACACGTGCTATGATATCAGCGATGACGTCATCTGGAAGTGACGTAATCAGAGACGGCGGAGATTGCTCCTCCTTCTCTGCCCTAACTTGGGAAGACATCTAGCGGTTGAATCGAATCAATGATAAATGACTGAGTTTAAGACAATTAGGAACCTTCTCCAGCTTTGGTTTGTGAATGAATCCTCTCTCTATCGACTAGCTAGGGTTTTCATAATATGAAAAGAAAAAAAAGGTTTGAGAATCTGAAGAACTTGTGTATTGCTCTGATTTGATCGATTATATGTTGCGAGTTTACATTACATATTTATATAACTAAATAAACTAAAACCTAAGTTTATTTCACCCAATAAGAATTACGAATCTTTTTATTAGTAAACTTATATGAACGAATTTATTTTATCACTTGTAAAGTAAAATTAAAAATAGAGTAAGCTTAAAAACTACGTATGTTCACTTAACGAACTTAAGACTTCTAAAAGACTTATCGTCGTAAACTTTTGGGTTTTGTTGAAATCCAACCCCGGCCAAAAGGTTGAATGAGAACTTGTTTATTGCTCTGATTTAATAGAGTGTTTCTTCTGAGATGACATTTCAATGATTTCATAGTATAGTGAAATTACCTTTTTTAGTTATAAATATATAATGTCATCTCAGAAGAAAGTAAATAATTATAACTAAAAAAAGAGAGTACATATATAATGTCATCTCTGAGATTATCTTTCCTCAGGTTTACGTCTGAGCCCCGAAGCTGTATCTCTTACAAAGCATCTCACAGGCTCACAGTCCTAGTCACTATATACAGACTCAATAAGCTTTACTTGGACCACACGCTAATCCATTTACATGTTGTTCTACCAATCAAAATCGAATAAAGTATGGATCTTGATTATAACATCCTGTACATAAGAAGTAGATGTGCTTATGACGTATAGAAACAGACAGAGAAATCGAGTTTTTGAAGATAGTATTTGCAATTCTCAGGAGATGTAAGTAACCAGTCAAGAGACTTCACTTTTAGTATCAAAACCTAAGAAATGAGTTTCTTTTCCGTTTCCTTTAGAGCTCTCTCTCTCCCTCTTTAAGTTTTTATGAATGGTACGGAAAAGTTTTGGTAATTGCAGAAATAAACTATTTCCAAATCACAAATAAGCCCCAGCAGTGACTCAAGTTCCCGAAATCTGTTATATATATTGCCTCTCCCTCCAAAACAGAGCGCAAAACAGAGCGAAAGCTTGATAACCAAATCCAGAAATCCTCCATCATCGTCTTCTTCTATCCTCTCCAAGAAAATCCTCCATCGTCTTCTTCTATCCTCTCAGAGAAATGTTAAACCTTCCTTTCACCCCCGATCCCGAGAAACCTTTTGATCAGTACGATGGATTCTACACCCAGTGGTCCAGATACGTAATCTTAAACTGCCTCCCTCTCCTCCGTCAAGAGCCGCCTCTCTCCATCAATAACGACTTCGTCCTCAGCCAGATAAACGCTTACTACGAAGCTCTAAATCGCTACGCTAGTCTAGAATCTATCCTGCACTTGTTGTTCCCGTCATGGCGCAGACTCTCGCTCGAGACGCCGATTCTCTGCCTCGGCGATATTGATCCTCAGATTTTCTTCTGCCTCTTTCGCGCCTTCATTCAACAACCCGGTGAAGAAGATCTTGCCGCGTGGGATGAGCTCTCTGCCCCCATGTTAGACAAAATCGATGAGATAGAGAGCAATACTAAGGAATCGGTGGCTTCTCTGCTGAATCGAATGAGGCAAGCACGTTACAAGTTTCTTGATGGATTCTTCGAGAAGTGGGTGTTCAAGCTCTTTTGTGAGAAAAAGCGAATCACGGTTAGCGATACGGCGGCTTTAGTGACTGTGGATCAACATCACGGCGCAGCGATGGCGGATCTTGTGGCTATCTTTGTTGAGGCCAATCAGTTGAGAAGGTCAGTACTCAAAGAGATTCTTGAAGAAATGAACACGAAACAAGGCGCTCTGTTTCTTGAAGGTATCTGCAAAATCTATGCTGGGTTTCAAAATCAGGTTGGTTCTTCTTTTCTTAGTTTCTTAACTCGTATGTGTCCAGATTGATTTCACTGTAGGGTGTGATTGATGTGAATAATTTACTGAATTGGTCCAAATTGATACATATGTGAATATCGGTGATGTGAATATTTCCTAATTAGGCCCCCATTGGTTTACGCGAATATTACACTGTAATTTCATTAGCCCTAAACCAAACCTGAAGATTACATTGCTTCATATTTGCAGCAGCAGTCGCCGGCTCAACCTCCACCGGATCTTGACCTCTCCTTTATGATCGAAGACGAGGCTGCACCAAACGCTCTAAACCCACCAAACGCTCTAAACCCGCAGACACAGCCATTTTTCCCGGCAGAGCCCTTGTTTCCTCCTCAAGAGCAGAATCTGCCGGTGAACCTTTTCGTCGGAGATCTCGATCCTTCTGTGACACCGACGATCCTTCACGATTTCTTCAAACAGCGCTACAGATCGGTAACTAAAGCACGTGTTCTCACCAGGGGAGGAGCAAGCCGAAAGTTTGGATTCGTCAGCTTTGCAAATCAGGGAGACCGAGAGCTAGCACTGACGCAAATGAACGGTGAGATACTCAATGGCACTGCAATCAGAACAGGCCCTGCACAATTTTAGAGCTCCACAGCGATGTGAGGAAGGAGAGACAAGATGTATATAGGCAATCATGTAACGAGAGAGAGTAGTCACTTTCATAACCTTATTCCTCGCTTCTTTCTCTCGTTTATCTGCAATTACAGTTTACATTTTGAGCCACAGACTTCATTCTTTCTTTGTGAACCGCGGTTCAATTGTCTTTCATAGAGTGAAAGCGAGAATCTTGTTGGATAATAATCCCTGAAGCCTTGTCATCATCATTCTACCAACCTGTAAAAAGACAGTAAATAACTTATGCTCAAATCTCAGAGACACCGAATCAATCAATCAAGAACACTTGAGGGGCTAAAGATCTCTCTCATTTCCAGAAGCAGCCACTTCTTTTGCTTTCATCATAACAGCAAGGTTTAAGAGAATCCAAAAGCAAACATAATCCAATGTTATTGTAGCGACTACTTCATCTGAGACATAAAAGGGTATTTTTACCAATGATCAGTGTTCAAAAACGAGAATGTGGTGCAAGCTTGGAGCCTATGCCCATGAGCTTTCTGGAATATCAACATCGACTCTGTATCCCTCTTTGCATCCAAGAGCTTCTATAACTCACCACCATTGGCATTAGCTGACCACCTGTAGATTCCACAAACAAGAGATTATACACAATGCTTACACACAGATGAGAGAGAGACATAGATAAACATGCAAACACCAAAGGAAAACTTAGTTTACCTACCATAACGTGCCAAGAGATTTGTTCGATGATACGCAAAAATGTGAATACACGATCTGCACCAGCTGGTCGCCACACTCTTCAACATGCAGAATAATGATACAAACATGTTCCTGTTCAATGAATCACCCACAACCACAAATCCTGCACTGTTGCAAAAAAGTCTTTAACATTCTATCAAAAAGCACACTCCTTTACCCAGACAGTAACAATGTCATAGTCATATTTCAATAAGCAGAGTGTAAAAAGCTACCAACTTCACTACTATTTCTGAATACAAAGAAGTATCTTTCAACAATGGTATCATTCAACCAAGAGCCATCTTTCACCCATGCGATTGAATACAATGATCAGCACACAGAACATCATTAAGTTTGAAGCATTTCATTTCTCGAATCAGATAGAATAATGGCAAATATTTTGGCAAGTTGAATGATTTCATTTCCTGAGAGTTTTACATATGTGAGTATTAAACCAGAGAGCAGTGGACTGAGTGGAACAGATTGTAGCGAAAACTAGAGGATTTCCCAATTCCCACAAAAAAAAAAAAAAAAAAAAAAAGTTGGATCAAACCGTAACAAAGTCATTTTCTTATTCAATTGAGAAAATTAGATACATGATTCAGCAGTGTAACCAGATAACCATATTTGACTTCTGATTCCTCAAATTCCGATCACGGTAGTGATTCACGGAAATGTGAGAGAAGAAAAATCGTGTACCGATGTTGGCATTTCGATGAGTATCGAGAAATTCGAGTGGATTCAAACGATGGAAGATCACAGCCCTGGTCGTAGATCCAGGAGCCTTCAGAGAAGTCGCAAACGGCGGAGATATCAGTGCGGGAACCGTCGGATTTCGGGGTGAAGACGGAGGATGAGCGGTGAGTGTTGGGAGAGGAGAGAGAAGCGCGTTTGGATGGAGAGAGGAGGAAGAAAATGGAGATGAAACAGAGAAGAGAGAGTTTGTTGTGTTGAGTCGTAGCCATGGCTATTTGCCTGTTTTAGCTCATCTCTTACTCTTAGAACCTCTCTGCCATGGCGGAGACTGGCCCTCTCTTTTGAAATATCCAAAATTCGATGATTTTCGGTAAAAGGATTAGACTAATGTTACGTCGTTTTGATGTTCGATGGATTCGAACCTGTTAACCGAGAGAATATCTGATGACCAAGATTGATACTAGACTAGAATGACATTTCTTGAAACTCTTACATTTTTCTTAAATATATATCACAAACACTAATTAAACAACCATATATATTTTGAGATGGGTATACAATTTTATAAAATTTCTCAGATTACAGAATTGTAGAGTTTTTTAAACAGCACGACGTCGGTTTGAATATATGTGTGCAAGCGAGGATTTTGATGTGGCATGTTAAACGTCGTTTTGAATGTATGTGCCAGCGAGAATTCTTACATGGCATGTGACTCACCATCATTAACAGAACTGTATATATACAGCTAAATTGTTCGCACTTCTCTCAGGAGAGCAGAGAAGCGCGATTTGATAGAGAGAAGGAAGATAATGGAGATGAAACAGAGAAGAGAGTTTGTAGAGATTGGGCTCTCCTTCAAACTTAAAAGTCAAACTAAATTAATAACCTTTAGCGAACGCTCGGTTTGTTTACAACTTTGATATAACTCATTATCTAATTCTTTAGTAATACAAATTTTAAAGTAGTGTAAAATACTACTGATCTTTAGACCTGTCTTTAGACACATAAAGCAACAATTCAGTTCTTAATAATGGAGTGGATATAGTCATATTGAAACAAAACTCTCTTTAAGTAACAACGGTGGTTAGATTTCGCAGCAAGAGCTTTACCAAGGTAAATGCGTCTTAAGATTTTGGTTTCCTGATAAATTTAGGCATATGCTTCTTGAATACAGAAATTAGACACAATGTTACGAAGTGATGATGAAATGAAAAACAAAGAAACACATTTTTATTCGAACCAAAGACCTCATGAATCTTGGTCCATCACAAACTAAAAACATAAGAAAGAAACGTTGAAACAAAGTAACCAAATCCTCCACATGTAAGCTCAAAGCTCGTCGTTCTTGATCATCGATGGACGAACTCCTTCACTGAGGAATTCTTTGTAATACTTGCCCGAAAGTTTCTCATGACGTGTGAGGTTATTTTTGTAATCAACGTAATAGAGTCCGAACCGGTTCTTATAACCATCTTGCCACTCGAAGTTATCCAACAGTGACCATATAAAGTATCCTGTAACATTTACTTTGTCGATGCTGAAAGTTTGACAAAAAAATGTTTTTATTACATTCTTCAATATAACTGTCACTTATCATAGATTCATAATATAAGTATATATATATATGTATATATATATATATATATATATATATATATATATATATATATATATATACTTACCAAATAGCTTCTTGCATACTCAAAAGATGCCTTTGAAGATAATACTTCCTGTTATGGTCAGCAGTACCAACTTCAACCGAATCTGTGGCCCCAAGTACGTCTCCATATCCTAAATAAGAACATCACAATCAATATTTTTAATACTTTTTTAAAGAAAATATGAACAAAAAAGGAGTTAACAAAAATAACAGAATCTCTAGTTACCATTTTCCATGATCATAATTTCAGGGTTTGCGTATTTATCCTTGATGTACTTCAAAAGACTTCTAAAGCCTTTAGCGTAAACGGGTAGTGCAGCGGTGAAAGGCTGAAATAAAATAGAAATAGGTGAAAGTGTTACGTCATAGACTAAGAAAATAGTAATTATCTAATTTTAATTTTTTTTACAAACACAATAGATGACACTAACACAAACCACTAAACTATACACGATGTCCATATCTATCTAATACCATAATATAAACTTGCTATTACTTTAGTTAAATGCATACCTTGCTACCAATGGTGTAATTATTCACATTCTTAGCTGCAAAGAAGAAAGATTTGATTAGTAACAAATAAAAATGGGCACAAACCAGATATCCAGATTGGATTAGGTATTTTGCCCAGTCCTAGTACTACCAAATACAAGCAACATTTCCTTTCACTGTTGGTCTTTGTTCCGGTTTCAAGTATAAGAGAAGAAAACAACTTACGTTCCCAACTGATAAGAGAATCTTGCTTCCATCTTGGTTTGGAATAATCCGGCTTCTCCAAATGGTTTGAAAACGTGGACGTGTAGTAGTTGAGCCCAACGAAATGGGCGGAGTTTTTCAGTTTTGCTTTCTGCTCGGTAGTAAATGTAGGCAATCTATGTCCAACAATGTCTTTCATTATCTGTGGATAATCCCCATACATAGTAGTATCCAGATGCCTACAAAAATTAAACTGAGATTCATACTCCATATACAAAGTACCATTTTGCTTTCAAGATATTTGATATTGCAAATATTATTAAATTCTTACCATCCCAACATAAAGTCAAGTGCACGGTTAATGGAGGAACCATCTTGTGAATCAGCAAGGTCATGTGGTTCGAACCAAGCCGGACTATGTGCGATACCGACCTTCCCACCTATACACTGTGGCCATAATTTAACCCCCAAAAAAATTTGATATCCCATAGACTATAATAGGAAAACAAGTTTGAAATTAATTTCTACAATTTATACACATTTACCTGTTTGCATAGTTTGAAAGCTTCAAAGGCTTCTGCGTGAGCGTTAAGGAGGTTATGACTGACGAGGTAAGCCTCATAGCCTGATCGTCCGTCTTGGCACTTAGCATTAACATAAGAAGAGCAACGTCCTGGTGCTTTCTTGCCAACGTCATAACCGGCGTGAGCAAAAACCCATGGCTCGTTGAAAGTGATCCAATTTTTCACTTTTCCACCGTATTCTTGGAAAACAAAATCAGCATACTCCCGGAAATCTTTCCTGCATTTTAGCAAAAGATGTTGAAATTCATCATGTGGTAGACTTGTAGTTAGTGGTACGTACTTACTTTAATGATATATTTTTTTTAAAAATTCTTTTCTATTCACAGAAAACTTACACAATTCTTTCACTTAAAAATCCACCATATTCATCTTCTAAATCTTGTGGAGTGTCCCAATGAAAAACAGTCACGAACGGGATTATACCTAACAACAATAATAAATAAATAAAATAAATTTGTTTAGAGAACGAAATAGTAATTGATTTTTTTTATTAATTACTCTTTATGTATATATGCTTTAAAACGTATATATAAACCATTTCTTAGGAGCTCGTCGATGACGTTGTGGTAAAATTGAACACCAGCTTGACTCACTCCTTTCTCCTTTCTTCCATCTGATAAAACATTTTTTTTTGTTTCATTAATATTTCTAACTATTGTGTACATTAAAATACACCAGATTAGACTGACACCAAATTAATTCGTGAATTAAGAAAAAATAGAAATAATTAAATGTTATGTATATCAATCTGTAGCAAATAAACTCTCACGAGGAAATATTCTTGTCCACGCGATGGAGAGTCTGAAAGCGTCTGTGTTTAGGCTCTTCATGAGCTGAATATCTTCCTACAAATATTTTTCAAAGGAGACCAATTTTCAACATTGAGTATATATGAGCTAATCAATATAAAATAACATGATATTATCTACTAGATATCCGCGATAAATTATCTCTTCAAGTTTGTATTAATTTATACCTTATAGCGATGGAAGAAGTCAACGGCTACATCGGCATGATCGTTATTGCATCTCTCTGTGATTTAAAATTAGAGATCATCCAGATTAATTAATAATAAATTTTAAATATAGTTAAGAGACAATAACAATAGAGAAAATTTCAAAACTACACCTCTTAAGGTGCAAATTTTCAAAAATACATCTCTATGATGCAAATTTTCAAAATTACACTTTTTTATTTAGTAAAAGAACTCTAAACCCTAAAATATAAATTCAAAACTCTAAAATCTAATATTGTACCCTTAAATCTAAACCCTAAACCCCAAAATCTAAACCCTAATATAGGATTAGTGAACCCAAACATATATATTAAAATTGAGGAAAAATATATTTTTGAAAATTTCCACACTATAGATATAGTTTTGAAAATTTGCACCTCAAAAGATATATTTCATAAAATTTCTCATAACAATAGTACAAATGCACTAATTTAGCCATCCTTGCGTATACTTTATCCACACACAAAGTACATATGCATTGATTAGCCCATCGATATGTATATTTTATCGACACAAAAAGTACATATGTAGAGGCACTCACTTGGATATCTCTTACAGAAGATATCCCATAAGGCCGGTCCACGACAAGTTTCATTCACTGCACCTTCAACCTAATGATGTAACAAAACATAGGTGGAGATTTCAGGAAAGATGATGATACATAGAATTTTGTATATATCTACTGCTAAAATCATAAAATATTCTTATATAAATTGTATTTGATAGAAAACTAGCAAAGTAATCAAAAGACCAATATATATACCTTTACATCGTGATAATGTTTCTATTGGGTATTACATTTTCTTTTTCATTTTTTGTTATTATAATTTATCTGTTCGATGTAGATTTGTTTTTTACAATTTTCTTGATGTATAGAACATCGTTTGACAAAGTATATATAGTACATGAAACACATTATTTAGAGACAACATATAATATATCTTCTGTTCTGTAATATTCTGTGAACACAATTGTGAAATTAATAAATTTGGATTCATCCGTGCCGTCAATATATATATATATATATATATGAATCTTACTACCTAAATGATAACTTACGAATTTTACCCCTCCAAAAAAGTGATAATTTATGAACAATTATTTTTAGGTATATACGTCAAGAAACGACCAGGAAAACTTATATGCTACCTGATAAGCTGCAGTAGCAGTGCCAAATAAGAAACCTTGAGGGAAACTTGACCGGCTTAGTTTGGTCGACGGCGGGCAAACAGGCCCATCAGCTGTTGCTGTAGAGACGACGATGGTTAGGAGCAAAAGCAGCCCCACGAGAGGAAACTTTTGCAAAGCCATTTTGCTTTTAGTTGTTTTTGTTATCTTCAAGACATGAAGTTTATGATGGTTCTACATCTGAGAGTGGTTCTTTATATATTGATTCACTGAGTTTGATATTTCATTTGATTTTAGTTTCATATGCCAACCAGGCCTTGTTGATCATTTTTTAATAGCTAGAACGGGTTTGCGGTCTTGATAAACACATGCATGGATGGTGACGTTAGTCGTTAGGCCATTGTTGTCAATTATCATTTCACTAAACTATAATTCTTCAGTTAACTTATCTGTATAATAGATTTGCACTATTGTTAATTTTGAAATGTGGAACATATAATAATTCTAGGGATATGGACGGCATGTGGTAAATCGATCCGTTCACAGGGTATCACTTGGTAAGATATGCTACCTACTAACTGTAAGAATGAGTCACTTAAATGATAGGCGCAACACAGTTCACTAAAACGAAAATTGTCATAATCTCCAACTTAAACTTTGACTCGAGAAAAATAAATTCAAAACTAAAAAGACGATAATTTTTTTTTTTAATATGCTTAATCCATTTTGCAGTACCTCTCGCTGATGTTTCTTTTTTTAGTCTCTTGTTTGCTGATGTTTTGTTATGCCAAAAATGATGAGCTGATATTAGACATATATGCAAAAATACATATATTTAGAGCCATAGAAAATTAATAAAAGGAAGAAAATGACGATCTTGAGTGTTTGACAACCTTGAGTCTTTCTAAATAATATTTAGATTTGGAATATTTAAAATGATGAAAAGAATGAAAAAAATGAAAGAATGAAAGAATATAACATGAGTTTCTCGTGAGATAGTCTAGAAGCTCTTGTCTTTTTATGAATGGGTAGACTTTTTTCAAAACTTTAAATTTAATTATATTTTATCTCAAAGATAAATATCTACTGATGATATACTCTCAAATCTCTCTCTACATTGATCTCTGTAATTTTCTATACTTTTTGGTTCACTTTAGACTTCTGTATTCACAGAAATGTATCTCGATAAGACCAAAAAAAAAGGAAAAGAAATGTGTCTCGAGATTTGATTCCCCGAAATAATGATATATCACCGTAATAACGCTGCAACCTGCACCCAATTTGGCAATTTTCGACTCATTGTTTTATCAAAGGAAAAGATAAACGACAAAAGTCGGCAACCTACTACGACATTTCGTATTCTTTTCTATTCCTCTTTTTCATACTCTCAAGTGGAAGTGTAGGGCGTTACTGCGGTCAATAAAAATTGATAAAATGAATTTTTTTTGAATAACATTTCATTAAAAGCTTTCAACCAATTACACATGTGGGCCCTGAGCCAAAATTAAGTTCGCGAGACTAATCCTTGCGTTTTTGGCGATCGAATCGGCAAAAGTATTTTCCGATCGAGGAACGAAGCTGAAACTAATTGACTCGAAGAGGAAGGCGAGAGTTTGAATATCAAAGAGGATCCCGTAGATCTCTTTAATTTGCTCTTGCATGGTTAAAGCTCGGACTAGGTCCTGAGCGTCTGTCTTGAGATGAAGATCGGTGATTCCGATATCCAAAGCGTGATTGAGGGCTGAGCGGATCGAGATTGCTTCTGCCACCAGCGGCGACGCTATCGATGCTTCCGCGGAGCTTCCGGTGGTTAGGGTTTTGCCGGATTCGTCAACGAAGAGCCATCCCATTCCTCCGGTCCAGTTGTCTGCACTCCAGGCTCCATCAGAGAAGCAGGTAATAGTGTTTGGTTTGTTTTGTCTTCTCCCGGATTGTGTGTTTCCTTGCTGTGGTTTGGGGACTGAGAATTGAGCTTGTTGCCATTCTCGAGCTTCCTTGGTGGCTTTTGAGATGGTTTCTGCAGGGGAGAAGAGGCGTTCTTCGAAGAGGAAGGTGTTTCTGGATTTCCAGATAGCCCAACAGATCCACGCAAAGAGGGGTCCCGATCCTGTTCCAGTTGGTGGTAGACAAACCCAGTCTTTTGAGATTGTGAGGGTTGCTGCAAAGCTCTGGAGTTGGAGTGGATCGATGGGAGTGGAGAAAGGGGCTAGATTCCAGACTTCCCTCGCAAAGGCACATCGGAAGAAAAGGTGTTCCGTGGTTTCCAGGTCTCCACAGTAAACACAACAAGCGCTGTCAAGGATTCCTCGGTTCATGAGGTTTTCACCTAAAGGTAAGGCTTCTTAGAGGATTTTCCAGAGGAAGACTTTCATTTTTGGTGACGTTTTAGTGTGCCAAATGTCTGAGTTCCAATTAATGTGCAAGATAATTTGGTGGTGGTTTGGTTCTTTTGTGGCTGTCATGGCAATGTGGTAGCCTGGTTTTGCTGTGTAGTGGCCAGATTTGGTTGGGAGCCATAGGTATGTATCGTCTGCTCCTCTTCGACTTGGACGTAGGGCTTTGATTTCCTCGAGGTGCATAGGTCTGATCTCGTTTATCTTTTCTTCGTTCCAAAGCTCATTATTATCGGTCAAGAGTGATGATACCTTCAGGTCTTTGTTGTCTAGGTTTGGTGGACCGATGGGGCACGTCGGAGTCTCCATTGAGAGCCAGGGGTCGTTCCAAATGGAGGTAGATAGGCCGGTTTCGATCGCTTTACCCAACTTTGTCTTTAGAAGGTCCCTCCCTATTAGGATTCCTCTCCATCCGTGGGACGTGGATGAGGTAATGGGAACCGAGAAGAAATCTTGGTCTTTGCAATATTTACCTTTGAGCACTTTGCTAAGGAGGCAAGTGGGTTTGTTTAGGATCCTCCAGCTGATTTTGGCAAGGAGAGCGTCATTGAAGCATTGAATTTCTCGGAAACCGAGTCCGCCATGCTTCTTTGATCTGGTAAGCTTTTGCCATGATATCCAACACATTTTTCTTTTGTCTGGATTTGAGTCCCACCAAAAGCGTGTAATAGCTGATTGGATGCGTTTGCATAAGCCTGCAGGTAATTTGAAGCAAGACATCGTGTACGTTGGGATGGCGGAGAGGACTGCTTTGAGCATGGTTAGTTTCCCTGCGCTCGACAGGAATTGTGAGGAGAAGTTGACCGATTTTTGGCGAATGCGGTCAACAATTTGGGTGAAGAGATCCTTCTTCTTTCTCCCAAAACTCTCTGGTAGGCCTAAGTACTTACCCTGTCCTCCTTCCTTTTCGATACCTAGAGCTGACTTGACTCGTGCCCGGGTTTCTGGTGGGGTTTTCTTCGAGAAAGTGATAGATGATTTCAAAAGGTTGATCTGTTGGCCGGATGCATCTTCATATTGTTTCAGGATGGCGCATAAGGTATCACAGTTCGTCTGAGATGTTTTGCAGAAAAACATCGTATCATCTGCGAAGAGTAAGTGGTTAATCATTGGACTTCCTCTCGCAACCTTTAAACCTGGTAAGGTCCCCCTGACTTGAGCTTTTTTGCATAGGCCCGATAGGACCTCTCCACAGAGAATAAAGATGAAGGGTGATAAGGGGTCTCCTTGACGGATGCCTCTTTGCGGGATGACCTTGCCTTGGGCGGCTCCATTGATGAGAAAGGAGTAGGAGACTGTGGATACACACTGGAGGACCCAGTTGATCCATTTGGGGTGGAAACCCAGCCTTTCCATCACTGCCACGATGAAGTTCCATTCAAGACGGTCATACGCTTTACTCATATCGGTTTTTACCGCCATGGAGCATCTCTTGGTGGCTTCGGAGCTTTTCAGGTAATGCAGTGTTTCATGGGTAATTAGAACGTTGTCCGAGATTGCTCGTCCGGGGACAAAGGCGGTTTGGGTTTCCGAGATGATGCTTGGTAGGATAGGTTGGAGTCTGGTAGTTAGGATTTTGGAGATGATCTTATAGTACACATTGCATAGGGCAATTGGTCTATACTCAGTTATCGCTTTGGGGCTAGGGGTTTTTGGTATGAGTCTCACATGGGTATGGTTAAGAGATTTTGGGATTACGCCTGCCTCAAAGATTTCTTTGACTTCCTCGGTTATCTTGGGTCCCATGACTAACCAGTTTGATTGGAAAAACCCTGCAGAGAAGCCGTCGGGTCCTGGAGCTTTGTCGGGGTTGATGGAGAAGAGGGCAGCCTTTATCTCGGACGGTGAAGGTTCTGCTATTAGTTTCTTGTTGACTTCCTCTGAGATGCAGGGCTGGATTGCTTGGTTTACCGTGTGAGTACAGTTCAGAGAGCGAGTGATGAAGAGGTCTTGGTAGTAAGAGGTAACTACATTCACGATTTTATCTTCTTCATACACTGAGTTCCCATTACAATCTTCTAAGATTGCCAGTTTATTGATCGTTCTTCTTCCTCTAGTAGTAGCATGGAAGTAGCCTAAATTCTTATCCGCAAGTGCTAACCAGAGTGTCCTGCTTCTTTGTCGCCAGTAGGCTTCTTCCTTTTGGTAAGCTAAACTTAGGGTATTGTTTATTGCTGATATAAGCGCTTGATCTCCAGTAGGTGAACTCATGGCTGACTTGAGTTTCCTTTTTTCCTCTTTGATCTTTTTTTGTGAGTTGGTGTGGTGTTCGAAGTTCCATTTGGATATCCCTTTTCTGCAATTGGCTATTCTCTCTTCCACAGAAGCTTCCGCAGTTAAGTTCCAAGCTTTCTCTACTAGCTCTGTTATCTCTGGATTGTCTTTCATGTTTCTGTCGTACCTAAAGATTCCTTTTTTCTTCTTTAGATGAGTTTCCAGAATGGATAGAAGAGGCCGGTGATCGGAGCCTTCGTATTCCAGGTAATAGCATCTGCTTGAAGGGAAAGATTCTGTCCATAGGCTGTTTGATATGGCTCTGTCAAGTCGACAGTGTACCAGGTGGGTATGGCGGGTTCCTCTCCAGGATAAGAAATTGCCCGAGTGTGGAATGTCGAACAAGTCATTTTGGGAGACAAAGGTTCTGAAATCTCCGAAAGTGCCTTCAGCTCTTTGAGGTCCTCCAGATTTTTCATGGTGGTCAAGAAGATCGTTGAAATCTCCAGTCAGGAACCACGGTCTATTTCTATCTATATCCATAGAGGTAATTTCTTCCTAAATTGCCTTTCTCTTTGTGTGGTCTGGTTCGCCATAGGTGAAAGTGGTGATGAAGGGGTTTCCTTTGTAGGTGATTGTGGTATCGATGTAGTTATCGCAGGAGGAGTTTATCAAGAGGTTAATATCAGATTTCCAGAACAGGGCGAGTCCTCCTCCTCCAGGGCTGTGTGGTGGCACCAAGAAACGACTGCTATATTCCACCATAGGTAAGTGTTTCGTTATGTAAGCCTCGTCGTTTTTTGTTTCCATGAGGAAAATGATGTCTGGAGCTTTTGTCTTTTGTAGCTCTTTCAGTCTATGAACTGTTGCGGGATTCCCCAACCCACAGCAATTCCAGCTCAGAACCGCTAAGGAAGAGGACTTCGCGGACTGTGAAAATCCGCTCCATCCTTCAGACGAGCTGGTATACTTCTTGCTCGAGGAGGAAGTCCTTCCGCTTGTTGTCTTTGCCCACTTGTCTCTCCTCTTGTTTGGTTTTGATTTTGTCTTTGGGGAGTGTTTCTATTGTGGATGACTCTCGATAGGGGAGACATGCGGAGCAGTGGGGACTTCAACTGATTTTTTGTCTTTCGTTTGCTAGGTCCCGCTGACGAGGGTCGTGGATCCAAATTCGAGATTGCAGCAGCCTTGGATGGGGGTCTTCCTCTACGTTTCTTCTGTTGCCCTAGGATTAGCCCTCGTTCTGGTTCCTCAAGAAGGGTTTGTGGTCTCTCATGAGTCCCCGATGGTCCACTGACTGATGGGTTAATTGGTTGAGGGATCGGAGCTTGGATCTCAGAGGGTTGTTGGGGTTGTTGTAGCTGGTTAGATGGACCATTGTATAGGTATGTTGCTGTTTCCTCTCTCATTCCAGCCAGATCACTTTCGTGTATCCTTTGTCTTCTTGCTGCACTTTCTATAGGATCGCCACAGTTTATGTATCTGACATCCACCTCTTGTAGGTCCTGCAGGATTTCCTCTTCCGTTTGGTTTCTTGCTGGTGTTGTGGGGAAATCGTTTCGCTCTAGGTTTCGGCTCAAAGGGGTTCGGTGTCGTGGATTGCCGGCAAAGTTGTCCTCTGTATCCTCTCTTCTCTGTGGTGTCTTTTCTCGCCAGATTTGGGTTGGAGAGTGTCTTCACGGGTGTTGCTCTTGTCTTCTTTGCCAAAACGGAGGGGACCTTCCAGATTGGGGTTGGTAAGTCCGGCCTTCATCACGGGAATGGTTATTTGTTCCTCTGGCTTTGAACCTGGTTGGGGAGAGATTTGGCCTTCTGTCGCGATTTATTGGTGGGGATCTCCTGTTTTCTCATCGAGTTTGAGAATCAGGAGTTGTGTCAGCTCCTCGTGTTCTTCTCGAGGTAGCTTCTCCGACGCTATCTCCCTCTTTGTGGCGGTTATGAGCGAGAGAATTAGGATTTGGTGTTGAGAAGTAGGGAGGTTTTAGGTGGTTTGCTTGTCTTGTGGTAGCATTTTTCTTTGGATAGTGGGTTTGGTGGTGGCGTGGAGCTGTTGGGCAAAGTTCCACTTCGTGTGACAGTTTGAAGCAGTGAGAGCAATGTTTCTCTAGCTTGTGGTACTCCAGGGTTACCAGGGCCTCGCTCCCGTCTTCAAACTCCACTGTTGCTTCTTTGGTTAGTGGTTTGAGGCCATCTATTTCCATCTTTATCTTTGCCGCCTCGGGGGTTATTTCAGAGGCCTTGAGGTCTCTGATTTCCTGACCTATACTTGTGAGGAGTTCTTGTCTCCAGTAGTGGAGGGGTAAGCCTTTGAGGGTTGTTCAGAAAGGGATTTTGGATGGGAAGGATGGGGAGATGATGGGTTCCCACCGTTGGAGAATGACCATCCATCGAGAATATTGGTAAGGTCTGTTGTCTAAGACTTTCTTTAGGTCATCTTCGTAGTCGAAGCGGAATTGGAAGCAGTCGTGCTCTAGATTTGAGCCTCTAGCTAGACCTCTCAGTTCCCATTTGTTTGAGAAGTATGATAGCATACTTCGGAGCCTTTGTTTTTGTGGGTTAATGAGACGTCCGATGAGAGTGAGGGCGTTTTTCTTGACTAGTTCCGAGGTATCGAGATGGGGAGCACGTATACGGATGCCCAAGGGTGCGGGTTCGGGTCCAGCTACGCCTTTACCCTTCTCTGCATACGTGAATCTTCGAGCCACGTTTGGAGACAGAGTATAGACAGTGAAGAGAGTAGTTGGGGTTGAAACAATGCGGTGACGGGCTTCAAGAGGCCGGTATGAGAGACCTTACCAGGGGATCGGCGGACCCTCTGACTCTAAGTCGGGGGCGGAACCCGGGTGCGTAACACCAGAAAGCTAGGTAATTTGAATAAACCTTCTAGTTGGGGAAAGAAACAATGGATAAAGGGATGTTTTCTCTAGGAAGTCAACTTGCTATGGACCATTCTCGGGAGTCGGGCCTGAGAGAGAGTAGTTTTTGGTTTTTGCTGTTGTTTTTATATTTCAATACTTTTTCAATACTTTTCTCTGATAAAACGAAATAATAGCTAATAATGTAAAGAAATACGAGTGGCAAAGATATTATTATATATATAAAGATATTTTCACATAAGATAAACAAGAAATTCCAATTTCTCCTTTCTGTCTTTCTAATTTTTTGGATGTACAAGTTGGGGTTTCTAGATCTATCATTCGATCCCAAACACTCACCACGACTGAACAAATGATGCCTTTTCACGTTCATATTTTCTCAGATTTTAGTTTTGGACCATATCCCTGTAAATTATTTCACCTACTAGGAAATTTCATATTCTTTTTTATTCACCTATTAATCACCGAAGTGGAATTTTATGCGGTCAATGAAAAATTATAAAACGAAATAATAGCTAATATATAAAGATACGAGTGGCAAATATATAATTATATAAAAAATACTTTCACATAAGAAGAAAAAAATCCAGCTTATCCTTTCTTTCTTTCTAATTATTTTTCTTCTTTTTTGGATGTTAAATACTCACAATGACTGAACAAATGATGCCTCTTCACGATCATCTGTTTATCATATTTTAGTTTTGGACCATATCATCATTCCTTTTCCTACTGCGGCATTAACATTTTCAGTTCTATCTATTTCTTAATTCTTCAATTTGTTTTCAGGAGTGTGAGAAGAAGGCGAAGAAAACCAATCACGAGAAGTAATCAACGAGCTGGAAACAGTTCGGAGTTAGGACCTTAGTTAACTCGTCTGAAAAACAAGAAACATCCTAACTCTGAGGAGTCTTCGATGCTGTCTCTTAAAGTGAACGAACATTTATGGATTGAATCCACTTTATAACGTAACATACTCACATTCAACTTTCTATGAACTTGTTACATTTCCTAAGAAATTGCAAATAGTTTAATCAAAAACTCAGTTAATTTCTCTGTTCTTGTTACATCTTTCAGAAGAAATTCTAGTTCTTTACAAGATGGTATAATCAAAATCCATACTTTATTCAACTTTGATTGGTAAACAACCTCCAAAATTTGAAACTATAGATTAATGATGATCACATCAAAAACATGAGAAATCAACATCGCTTTGGAATGAAGTGACCCTTTATCAACGACCTAACATCCTTTGAATCCAAATCTTCTTCAACTCCACAGCTAAAGAATCCATTATGAATCTCCTTGAGGAACTTCAGAAGATTCGCCAATGCTCCTCTTTTTATACTCTCGTCTTTCTTCTCCTCAGCTAAGGATGATTTGGCCTTTTTGTTTCCGCGATCGTATTTGAAGAAGGAGTACCTAGTGATCTGCAACAAGTTTCTCTTGTGATCAGGCCAAACATCAAGCCTATCGTCTACAATCAAGATTCCACGCTCATCAGCTAAGACAAGGTCAAGTGTCTTCCAGTGAGGACTCTCTTGTCTGCTTATCACTCGATCCCCGAAATAGACTTTGTTCGGATCAATCATTCTCACAATAGCTTGAGCGTATTCATATTTTCCTTTGGTGTAAACATACATGTTGAAAAACTTGTTGGCTTCTTCAAGAAACTCGTTAACGAAAGGTCGAAGCTTTACTAACCTGTCCTTGTACCTCCCTAGATTGTTCATTGAACCTGATTCATCTGCTTTGACTAAACACTTCTCTGCTTTAGAAAGATTTGAAACCTTAACGGAGTGGATTAGCGTGTGGTCCAAGTCAAGGACCAAGTAAAGCTTCTTGTGTCTGTAAATTGAGATTAGGGTTGTGAGATGCTTTGTAAGAGATATAGCTTCGTGGCTCAGATGTAAACCGGAAAAAAGATAATCGAATGCTCGGCCTTCGACAGAGCGCGGCTTCTTTTTACAGGCGAGGCAGATTCTGTGACGAACAAAGCCATGGCCACAATTACCACGAGAGGGAGATGATGACACCATCTCTGAATCGGTCTTGCGTTGGTTTTGGAAAGCAAAGCTATTTCTGTAGAATTGGTCTCTAATTCCCCAGAAGGATGATAGAAAGTGAAACTCAAGGCTCGTAATCACTCAAACCCTAGTGAATAATCAAACATGTTAACTACCGAAACAAACAAATTAAGGGTTTGATTTGGCCCCAAATTTAAACCTCACTCAGTCTCTCGTTACAAATTAGGCCCCAAATTTTGATGGTCCAATATTGATGATACATATTTATGAAGACATAAATCATGGACCAATAAGTTTGTTTTTTAGTAGAAGACACAAAATAATTAATGTTTTAAGTTTTTTTTTTTTTTTTTTTTTTGTGATACACTATATCTACTAGCCATATTTCAAGACCCAAAATCTCAGTATCGGCTCTATATAACTAATATCTTATTTTTATGTTTTGAAAAAATGATTATGCTACATATACTGCTAGTGTCATAAAATAATGTCACTAAAGTAAAGAAAACGTGATTAATCTATTTTCTTTTCAGTGTTTTAGAATTACTATATAAAATTATATAATTCTCGTTTCCCCCCTCCTAACAAGTAACAAGTATTCATATCATTCAGCTCTATGATTAGCTTGTGCATGTCGAATCGACCAACATCACGTTTTCCATTTTTTTTTGTTTTTGTTGGATACTAGGATTTTTTATTTTTTGCTAAAAGATACTACTTGGATTTGAGTTCATTAAACTCATAAGTGTAAAGTGTATATATGCGTAACAGTATTCAGGCCTTTAAAAAAAAGTGTAACAATATTCCTTAAACGTTAAATCACATGATAACCTTTCCACATTGTACCATGACGATACTCGAATAATCTCCACCTACTAAATCATTGCAAGTTGTAACACATGCACATCGACTCAGCATCATGGAATCCGTTAAATATCTAAAACACCCCTCTACGAACAACACGTATACTGTAATCATAGGGGCATTATAGTCTTTTGACACGCAAACATCACCCCGTAAGACGAGCCTGATAATAAAAGAAGATGAAAAAAAACAATCTCCATCTTCAGAGTTTTTCTGTTGAGTGTTATTCAACTTTTCGTCTCCCTCTAATTACTCGGATCTCTCTCTCATAATCTCGATTTTGTTTCTGTTTCGTGTCTCGCAAAATCACAAATTTGTGCTTATCAGGAAAGTTTTCTCATTTCTGAGCTCATCCATCTTCTTTTGATTTTTTTCGCTACATTTTTAGCTCCCGAAACGGTTGATTTTGTCCGTACGTGATGATTTCGAAGAAGCTCTGAGAGATACGTAAGACTTAGGGTTCCGATTTACAGAAATGGCTGTAGAATATGAATGCTGCGAAGCCAACTTCTTCATACACATCGTCGTGATAGTGTTGCTTGTCCTGTTCGCTGGACTCATGTCTGGTCTTACCTTAGGTCTTATGTCCATGAGTCTCGTTGATCTTGAGGTTCTTGCTAAATCCGGTACACCCAGAGATCGTATACATGCTGGTAATTTCCGATTTCTCTCTCAGCTGCTTATTAGGTGCTGTCACTATCTGAAAATTTTGATTTTTATGTTCTTAAATGTGTTTGCTTTAATTTTAAATTCTTAAGGAATCTCTCTCGCATGTGTTTTAGTTATTAGTACTTTGATTAATTATGTTAATTAAATTGGGTCCAGATTGATTTCTGGGAATTATTGAAGTGTAGCTTTGTGAAATTTGGGACTTTCTCCATGATTACGTGATGATGCATTTTCTGTTACTTTTTGCTTCTCTTTAGTGATCAAAAGTGTTTTTTTTTTGGCTTTGATGCAGCAAAGATATTACCGGTTGTGAAAAATCAGCATCTTTTGCTTTGTACTTTACTGATCTGCAATGCAGCTGCTATGGAGGTAACATTTTAAGAACTTGATCTTGGTCAAAATGTAAAATTACAAGAATTCATGAATGTTGTTTTAACTTTTTTACCTTTTTACAGACACTTCCTATTTTCCTTGATGGACTTGTGACCGCTTGGGGTGCTATTCTCATTTCAGTGACATTGATTCTTCTCTTTGGTGAGGTAAAATCATTCATGCTCATTCATTTGCCATAGAGAATGATCTCATGCACTTGTATCTGGAATGTTATTATGTAATTGTGTTGATGGTTTGAGTTCTAACTTCATCTGCAGATCATACCTCAGTCAGTTTGTTCTCGTTATGGTTTGGCTATTGGTGCAACAGTGGCGCCGTTTGTTCGTGTTCTTGTTTGGATCTGCTTTCCAGTTGCATGGCCCATTAGTAAGGTAGTTAAATACTCTGCTGAATCTCTTGTGATTGCGCATTTTTTAACAGTCTTCGTTCTGATAAAAATCTTTGCTTGGTTTGTTTCTGCTGTGTATGTATTTAGCTGTTGGACTTTCTACTAGGTCATGGTCGTGTAGCACTTTTCCGAAGAGCCGAGCTGAAAACACTTGTGGATTTACATGGGAACGAGGCATGTATTCAGACTTCTCTGATATCTTGAACTTCGAGTTTGATCACTCATCTTTCTTGAAGATGACAAGTTTCTCTGTTTATACATTTCTGTCAGGCTGGTAAAGGTGGAGAGTTGACACATGATGAGACAACAATCATTGCTGGAGCTCTTGAACTATCTGAGAAAATGGCCAAAGACGCAATGACGCCGATTTCTGAGACTTTTGTGATTGATATCAACGCCAAGCTAGACAGGTCTTGCTCTGTTTTAACACACCCTCTGCGCGGATTCTGTATTTCTCTAAGTTGTGTGTTAAAAGTAGTTTCTTTGTTCTTCTTCATCAGGGATTTGATGAATTTGATTCTTGAGAAAGGTCATAGCAGAGTCCCTGTCTACTATGAGCAACGTACCAACATAATTGGACTTGTTTTGGTAAACTTTTCTCACTCATAATACGTTAAACTCAGTATTGTATCTGCATCTAATGGCTCCTAACTCCTAAGTTAACCTTCAGGTGAAGAACTTATTGACTATCAATCCAGATGAAGAAGTACAAGTCAAGAATGTGACCGTACGGAGAATACCAAGGTAGTACTTTTACCTCTTAAGAGTTTAAGCAATTCAAGATTCGTTGAGTGTGCTTCAATAGTTGATTTCTTGTTCTTCTTTTCTTGTTCTTGCACTCTAGAGTTCCAGAAACCTTACCGTTATATGATATATTAAACGAGTTCCAGAAAGGACATAGCCATATGGCTGTTGTGGTGAGACAGTGCGACAAAATCCATCCATTACCGAGTAACGATGCTGCTGCTAACGGTATAAATGGTTTTCTTCTCATTTTGGGAGTAACACGAGATTGAGATTTTTCATACACAAAGACTAATGATAACTTCCTCTGCTCTTTTTTTAATAGAGACTGTGATGGAAGTCAGAGTGGATGTGGATAATGAGAGATCACCACAAGAAAAGAAGTTGAAGAGAAGAAGATCACTTCAGAAATGGAAAAGTTTTCCAAACCGAGCAAATTCGTTTAAAGGAGGGTCGAGGAGCAAGAGGTGGTCAAAGGATAATGATGCTGACATTCTGCAGTTTAACGAACATCCGCTGCCGAAGCTAGCAGAGGAGGAAGAAGCTGTTGGTATCATTACGATGGAAGATGTCATTGAAGAACTTCTGCAAGTAAGAAATAGTTCCAAAACTTACTTTATCGTCTCTTTTTCAATTCTCATAACTTTCTTTTGTTTGATTCATCTGTTTTTGTGAATTGTGTGGCTGTAGGAAGAGATATTCGATGAGACGGATCATCATTTTGAAGATTCGTGACAGTAGACAACTTCAATCCATGGTGCTAGAGTTTAGATCAGATCCAATTCCCACGTACAAGTTTTGTTGTGAAATAGTCATATGAAAATGTAACGTACAATATGTAATAACTTTGCTGGTTAAGTATAGTTATTGCTGCCTTAAATCTTAAAATTGTTCGGACTTCAGACAATAGGAACAAAGATTTTCCCCACCATGAACTGTTTAGTTTATGATAATGCAAAAACTGATGATGGCATAGTTAACGAGAAGCAAGAAACGGGACACGAACATGTAATTAGTCAACTCTAGCAAGTAATCTAGCAAGTAATCTAGAAATAAAAAATATAAATATATCTCATTTTATAGTTGTAGTTAATAACAAAATGTATGTTTCAACAAACAAAAAGTTGTATGTTTTCCTAATATTATTTTTTATAATAATTTTGGTTAATTCGGTTCAATTGCCTAAATTTAGAGTTCGGTTCGGATGATTTGATTTGTACCTTCTATACAATTCAGATCAAAATAATAATTTGATGAATTCTGGTTGTAAAAGCTTTTCTCTCTAAGAGGCATACATGTGTTCTCTTTTCAGTTTCCAACATGTACTTTAAATAAAATCTTACATAGATTTTTTTTTGTTTACAGCAAATGCCAAGTGGTTATATGAAACAAGCTTGCAATCCACTTTTAAATTGTCTCAACTCCGGTCTTGCCCTTTTTCTGGCCCATTTTGATGGTTGATTTCTTAAGAGCTGTAAACTAGTACAACTATTGTGCAGTTCAAATCTGCTTAATATTGAACATATATGGATTAACGAGTGGTTTGCGATTGAGAACAAAGACAGTTACTACCGGAAAAAAAAAATACAATCAATGGACTAAAAGTAAAAACAATAGCAAACAATATGAGTTTAAAAAACGTTATACATCAGTGACAAGGTCAAGAGTTAGACTGAGAAAAAACATAGCAAACAATATTGGTTTGAGAGTTTTAGAGACAAAACTGAGCAAGAGCTTGTAGTGGTGGAAATGAACGGTTTCGTTTTTTTTCTGGTAGTTCAATAAGGATTGATCATGCATATCAAAACAGGGTTTGGAAATTGGTCTTTCTAGCCTCATAAAATTGGGTTTGATACTTCTAAAGTCTCGGGGTTTTTGTAAATGATTTTTTTTTGTAAAATTTTTATTGTACTTCTCTTTGGTTTAAGTTTTCTTTTAAGCTTGAATCTTTGTTGTTGAAAGGATGATAGGTCGTTGATAAAAGTTCCAAATTTGATTCATTAACATGTAGCTTTTACCAATCAAAAGCGAATAAGGTATGATTTTTTATTACACCATCTTGCATGCAGTAGATCTGATTCTGAAAGATGTAACTAGACATAAATATTGAGTTTTTGATTATCTTATTTTCAGTTTCTCAAGACATGTAACCAGTCAAGAGAATGCAAGTATGGTATGAAGTGGGATTCAATCCAAAATATTCACTTTTAAAAGTCTCCTACTCACAGTTAAATGTATGATGTTTCTTGTTTTTGTTTTTTATTTGGGGATAAAATTCCTCGAGAAAAGTTGATTCGCGTAACAGAATAAATAACAGAAACTAAAATCGAGGGAAAAGGAAAAAAAAAAAAGATGAAACTTGAAACCAAAAACGAGACTATCAGAAAAGTGAAAACCCTAATTTCCGTTTTGTCCTTCTTCTCACTTTTTCTTCACTCGAATCTCGCTTCCTAATTCTCAAAATCGTAAAGGTTTCTGATTTTTTTATTTGTTTGATTATTGTTTATCTCTTCCTTGTTCTTGCCTAAACTTCGATTCTAGTTTATATTTTGCCTAATCTGTCATTGTAATTCAATCAAAATCGTAAATTTTTCAGATTTTGATCCCACTTTATTGGATTTTGCTTTACATTTAGGTGTTCGTTAAACCCCTAAAAGAAGTTAAGCTTTATCAACACTCTAATAACTTCACCATGGAGAAGAAGACTCCTAAATCCGGCGGCTACGGCTGGTCGAAGCTTCCTCATGATTTGCTGCGACCTATTTTCGAAAGCTTGGGTTTTCCAGATTTCCGGCGAGCCAGGATTGTTTGTTGGAACTGGCACTCTGTTTCGAAACTAACACTTCCAAGAAAAACCGAATCTCCATGGCTAATGCTGATCCCAGAAGGAGACAATGGTTGCGTGTTGTACAATCCAGAAGAAGACAAGGTTTACACAACAATGAGAGACTTCTCAGGGGTTCGATTTCTTGCAAACTCTGGTAACTGGTCTCTAGTCCTAGACTCTCGATCGAATCTCTACATTATCGATCTTTTTAGCGAAGAAAAGATCGATCTTCCGCCTCTAGAGTCGATCAAACCTTGTAAGTGTACTCTCAAGCGAGTAGGAGATAAAGATTTCGAGAGAAGAGTTTATGATGTTCGTCACACTTCTGTTTCAATACTGAGAACTGATGTTATGAGGGGTCGTTTGTGGGTAGACGAGAAAACGAAAGAGTATGTTGTCTTGTGGTTTTTCAACGAACCTGCGAATTGTGTATGCTTTTGCAAGAACGGTGATGATCGTTACACTAACATTCCTCTGCGTTTCAATATCTTTAATCGTAAACAAGCGATATACGATGTGGTACTCGTCCGTGGTCACGATCTTTACATCCAAAGCAATCGTGATTATATTCGACACCTACGTTTGTGTGGACCACAAGGTTTCGAAGATGTCTCCTGGAGTAATCCAGTATCACGTCGTACGCCATGTCAGCTTCATGCTAATTGTGACATTACTGTGGTTACATCGTCAGGAGAGGTTATGTTGGTCCAGAGCATTCTTGACAAGACATCAACCGAAAGAGGTAGGAGCTTCCGCGTGTTTAAGAAGAATCCTAAACCAAACCCTAATCAGTATTACGTTGAGGTTGATTCTTTAGGTGATGAGTCTTTGTTTCTTGGCTTGCGTACCACGGTACCTGGTATCCAACCAAACTCAATCTATTTCACGAGTTATGACTCTGTTTGTTGGCGTCTCTTGGAGGATTTAAACATGGACATATGTGTGTTCAATCTTGCCACCAAGACCTTCAAGAGCTTCCCTAGAATCTCCAACATGAAGCTCAAAGCTGCCCGATGGTTTCTACCTGATAGTTGCGGAACTTGATTCTTGTATTTTGGCGTTCTTGAAATTTTCAGACTTCTTTGCTTTATCGGTGTTATTGTCCTTTTGATTCTATGTTTGGTCGGGTTTTTTTTGTTTGTTTCCTCTTTTGTTCTGAATCTAAACTATGACATTGCCTGCTTAGAAAGCACTTTCTGTATGGTCAAGAAATAGGACAAGTGAGAGGTTAAGTACACAAATTAACCCTTTAAGCTACATATAGTGTACTAGACACTCGTAAAGTTACAATCTGATTACGTAAGTATTGTTTCGAGACAACCTAACCATCATGTGTGAGAGATATGTTCATTGGGTGCATGAGTTTATAAAAGATACAGTATGTCGGACTGGCATATTTGTTCTAAAATGCATGACTAGACTAGTGAAATATTCGGGTTAAATTCGCAATTGTAATTGCTCTGTCCATTTAGATGTATGACATATGGCGTTGTATTACATGTATAATCTAAACTCAATAGGTATAATCTTTTCAACTTTCAATATTTTATTTTAATTAGAACATTTGTTTTATAGTAAAGGAGAACAGCTGAACGAGTCTTATGCTTTTGTATATATCAAGAGAAAAACGTGGTATTTGTAAACATAGATCCCTTTAATTCGGAGTATATGTTCGAATGTGTGGTACATTTAATTTCTTAGGATGTACATATATGGATGTACAGTTTGTAATTTCTTTTTAGTTTCTAAATCACCAATATTTATAATCTTTTGTCTAAGATGAGGAAATCGCTTCAACTCTCATTCACCATTCTAACTTTCTTCATCATTTTTGTGATAGGTTTGTTTACACTTTTAAAGTTGTTTTAATACATTACATAGTTTTGAAAGAAATTGATTCTAACTATCAATATTCTAACTATCAATACTATTATCTCAGAATCTCAAGGTAAAAAAATAATTCTAACTGTGATATTTAAATTACTTGAAAACAATATAATTGTTATATATATATATATATATATGTGTGTGTGTGTGTGTGTTAATAAATCCATGATATTTTGGTAATTTAAAATACAAAAACCTAGTGTTTCAAATATCTAGAGCATCTTCAAATATGGTAATTTATTCTATTTTGCAATAAAAGTCTGCTCAACATGATCTTGTTTTCAATTGCAAAATGGTATAATGTTATTTTTTATTTTTAATATACCACCTTCCTCTATCTGAAATACATAAATTGAGATATATGTATGAATATTATAGTAACAGGAGTCGTGGAGAATGTGCAACAGAAAGGACGACAACGATGTCTTGTCAGGTCGTTACGAGTAAAATCTGGGAAATGTGATCCCAGCTGGTGCAACTCTGCGTGTTTGAAGATTAACAAGGCAGAGCTCGGTGACTGCGCTGATTTTGGGAGATTGTGCAATTGCTATTATTAGTGCAGTTAATTTTTCCTTCTTTTCATTTACAATAAAACCTTTTTTCTAAAATATTGTTTTTGGAGTATGAGTGCTGTAGTTTGTTGTTCTTTGTATTCTCTAAGATACCAAAATTTAATTTTCTTTCAAATTTCTTATGGAAGTTTTAAGCGAGTGGTCTTCAAATAAATCCCATTGAATCGTGACAAAAAAAAATATACAAAATTGGAGAAAACTACTTTTAAAGACACAAAATCGGTAAAAATGCTTACATAAAAAAAAGAATAATAAAAACAGTACCATATACCTAGAGTATATCACTATAATAAAAACAGTTCCATAAATGTAATCATAATCTCTGTAATGAAATCATCAGTTGTTTTTTTTTTGTTAAAAAAATCATCAGTTGTTACGTATGTTATCTGTAGCTTAAGAAATATATTTGCTTTATGGTATTTACAAATTACAGACTTATGCTGGAGAGCTAAAGCTAATGCTAACCATTTATGGGGGGATCTCAAGTGCATGTGTTGTCTAGCATTGTTTGTTTTCTCTAGCACAGCCTTTCTTTCTCTTGGTCGACACATTTATACAATTTATTTTATTCAAAGTGCGCACTATTGCCCAGCTCTTGTTTCTCAGGACCAACTAATTTTGTCTAAAACAATTAAACGTAGTTTGCCTGAACCTCCCAAAAGAATAGTAAGTGCATGAACCATATCGTTATAGTTTATACTTTATAGGTATTGTCTAATTAAAAATAATTTCATTCAATAATTTTTAAAAAGTAAAATTATGTAATGTAGGTGGTACACGATATTAACAACAAAAGAATATGTATCACGAAAACCTTACTGACTCCAGCGATGTTCTTTTTGAAAGGCAAATATCGTGATCTCTTGAAGACTTGAACTTCTGTCATTTAACAAATACATGTATTGTAAATTAGTAAAGATCACATTTTCAATGAACAAATATATATACCCTTCCGAATAATATCTTCTTAGCACATCACATTTCCCTCATATGATGAATTTCAACAAACAAACAAAAAGCTTTTTTCTTGTTCTATTTTCTTTGCGCCTTTCATTTGCCTATCATGTTTATGCCCACTCCAAAAGAAACATTCGGTTGAGGAATGCTTCGAGCATTTTTCTTCGAAGATATCCACCTGCGGCTTTTGCGTGTGTTTGTGTTTCAATTGAAAATTTATTAACCCAAAAACTGCAGGTGGAAATCGTCGAAGAATGATGTTGATAATTTGTCTCTCATGGCCTCCTAAACTTAATATTTCTCTTGGAACGGGCTTAGACATGACAGGCAAATGAAAGGTGCAAAGAAAAAACAACAATTTTTTTACAAAAAAAAAAAAAAAAAAAAAGAAAAAACAACAACAAACTGTGTTTTTTGCCCTGTTCGGCAATTTTAAATGGCAGAAGTTCAAATCTTCAAGAACATCCCTCAAGTCAGTAAGGTTTTGGTGTAAATCTTTTGAACCACCGAATTGATTATCGTGTACCACCGTCCACCGACATAATCATACTTCTTTGAAATATATATAGTGAAATTCTCTTTTAATGTTTTGTTGGTGTCTAAAATATATAATGGTATTTTATTTTTATTCTTTTTTATTGATCTTATTTACAGGCAAGAGAAGAGAGAATCAATGAAATTAAATTCTTTTAAAATGTTTTGTTGGTGCATCATATCATTTTGTAAATTGTTTCATATTTGGGTAAATAAATCGCCATATAAATAGAATACATTTACTATAACATTTAAGCCTCATCGTTTACATCTAAATAGCATTTCTACTAATAAAAAAAAAAAAAATATATATATATATATATATTGTGATAGAGTATGGTAAGCTTATACTCCAAAAAAGAATTTTTCTTTAAAAACTAAGTTATCATTTTATTCAACTTTGACTGCTTATTTCAATAAATGGTATCCCCTAAATATCGTAACAATCTTTCTGATCAACACATAGAATTAATCTTCAGAGAGAGATCAATTAAAAGTTTTCTAAAATATGGCTTCCCACACCAATTTATCTTTCGTATTCCCAGCAGACGAAGAAGAAGTTATCGGACATCCAACGCCACTGTTCTCCGCCACTCCTCCTCCTCGTCGTCGCCAATGGTGGTCACGACCAATAGCTATTCATCCGGCATTTAATGGTCGTCAACCCACTTTCAAGGAAAAAGCGGCTTACTGTTCACCCTGTTGCGGCGGCCTTTTCACCTTCGTCGCCGTGATCTTAATCTTATACTTCGCTGACAAAGCTCACTGCCACGCCAAATTCTCCATCCAGTCAATCACCGTCCTCCCTCCCCCGCCACTTGGCACGTTGATTTCCTCGTGAAAAATCCGAGCTCTAGGTACTCACCATATATAAGCCATTCATGACCTTTTTTTTTTAGGTCTAATAATATAACAATTGTCCTTCACATCATTGTTGGAAGAAACTTATTACACAAATAAACAGTTTTTTGGCCATGCATGATCTCTTAACCGGGTCTGCATGTATTCAGATTTTCAGACCGGTCTAAAGAAAGACTAAATCTTGTATTTCTTGATTTTTTGTTCACACAAATCTTGATACCGAAACTATGGTTTCATTTGTTCTATGGGCATGCAGGTACACTATCTACTACGAAGGTGATGATGCTGCCGTGAGGCTTGGTCCCCTAAATGCTGCCGTTTTGAATACTTCTCACAGAAGTGATTCTCCCATTCACACGGCTTTCTCAGTGGATTTCGTTGCGGAGGGTAATCCAGACGATGTTGGTTTTGGAGAGTTGGAAATCAAACTTAGGGCCATGCATATGCTGATATTCAATCCAAACGACGCTGGACGTGTTGTTATAAGGTGTCATAACCTGACCCGAAACCGCCATGACATAATTAAATGTCATTCTTTTTTCTCACGATTGGAGACTTTAGAGAAGTAATAAATTAGGCTACCTTTCCTCATCTCTTTGTCTTATTTTCTGTTATTCAAAATGGGTGATATATTACCCATGGATTGACATGTTTTCAAGGATTTGTGTAATTCATTTGAAGATTCTTTTATATGATATCAAATAATCATATTCATCTATAGAAGATTCAATTGTTCTTTAAATTAACCGGTAATTTTATAGTTTTATGAGTATTTTATTTCATCTTTCTACTAAAACATTTCTATTTGATTCTTTCAAAAAAAAAAAAAAAAAATCATTGAAATTATAGTTATATGGTATGTTTTATAATTATTATCCACTTAATTATCGCTTCAAATTAGAAGAAAACTCCTCTCATGCACGTTTTACTAAAGTTAGAATAATAAATTGAGCACTTAATTATCGCTTCAAATAAAAAATACTGTTGCCGTATGTAATTTGCTATTTCGTACGTGAGCAGTTCCGATTTCAGTGTAAAGAAAACAAAAGTAGTTCCGATTTTCTTTCATTCACTTTTTTTTTTGCATGTTAGCTTCCATCTTTGTAATTTAAATTTAGATTTTCAAAATTCTAAAAGTAAAGTAGATATATAAGTGATACTGTATAAAATAGATTATTAGAAACAAGATACTCCTCAAATATCTACCCATTCTAATTTAGTTCCTCTCTTTTGATCATGAAACGTAGAACTTCCACAATGGCAACACCTCATGAGGCCTCATGTCGCTCTTGTGGCCTCATTCGCCGACATTGCCAGTGTCACCGGCAAACTTCTCTAACCGGTTCCGACAAGCCCACAGAGATTACTCCAGCTTGTTGCTGCGCTTACTATATCTCTATCACTCTTTGCCTCCTCGCTTTTCCTCTAATCTGTATAACTATTGATAAACTTTTCGACGCCAGCCAAATCAGTTGTTTCTTGGAGCTCTTTGCTGAATCCGTCTCCGTCTCAAACGAGAACGCAAACACAAACGTTTCAGCCGCTGATTGGAGGATCGGTTTTGTTGCGAGGAGTCCAGTCACCGGCTGCAAAATCTCTCTACATACTCTCAAATCGCGTTTACTCCTTGGCGACCAAGTTATCTCCAACTCAACATCTCCGTCGTTGGATCATTTCGGAAGAGTTGTCACCGGAGACAAAGCAAACCTTTTCTTCGAAACGGTGGTGATGCCGGAAGTTACTGGCGACGTGGTTTGGGATATACGGGTTGAGATTATAGCTGGAGTGAAGACAGATTTAAAATATGGAAATGGTTTCTTGTTGGTGTTTTGCGGCGATATACCGGTGAAATTTACGGCGGATCCTGCGGGAAGCGTGATCGGATCGTTGCTCGGAAATATAAGACGATGTGACTATTTATTCCGGAATAACTTGAATCCTTATCTTGAATCTCTACGATCGTGATAGCATTTTAAGAGTTCTTGGCTAGTTTATTTTTTTTGAAGTCATGATTGATTAAATAAAAGAGAGATTAAAGCACATGGTTATCGACCTATAATAGTTGCGACTGAAAAAGAAAAAGAAAAAAACAGAAAGCATATAAGTTTCAGTTTATGTTCTAGTTCCTTGTTATGCCAAAGATTACTTTCTTTTGTTTTCGCAAAAAAAAAATTTGTGTGACTTTTTCCATGGCTATAGATTCGTGACTTGCTGTTTGTTGGCTTTTTGTGATTTTACTAGTATAGTGCAATATAAAATGCTTATAGTAATCGAATCAAATGTAACGATAAAGATAATGTTGCATGTATGGGAAAGAAAAAAAAAATTGATAGAAAATGCTTTTATTTTTTAGTTTATCTCAAAAAGAAAAAAATTACGTACAAATACAGTAACAGAAAATCAAAGACGATGAATTGATAGAAAAAGAAAAAAAAACATGTAAACGGGAAGCAAGAAGCTTCATTCTTCATTTTCATAGCAACATAGCTTCATTTCTTCGAAAGACGAATGGCATTTAATCTTCTCATGACCAATTATCAAATTCTGACATCTGACGTCGAAATGTCCACTTTGATAACCTAAGATAAACCGCTTCTTCTTAGCACCAAGTTTGATGTCCAGTTCAAAAGCCCTAGGAGAAGCTGTGACGACGTCGCTTTGATTACTCCCCGTAGCTAAATCAACCGAGAAACTCGTATAGCCACCGGAACGACGCGTGTGAGAGGTCTTCAAAACGGCGGCGTTTATAGAACCAAGCTTGGCGTACACGTCATCGCTGTCGTAGGAGATAGGACACGTCGAGCTCGCTGTGCGTAAGTAAGAATGATATCGTTAAATTATAGAAGATACGTTGAAATTAATATCGACTGAATTTTAGTGTAAGAAAATGTTATGTTAAAAATAAAAATAAATTTATGTGTTAAGACGGGATGGTTGTTAACTTGTTATGTTATTGTTGGGAAGATCAAATCAGACCTGAAGTATAGGTGATTAGGATAATAATTACCAAGTCAACACAAAATTTAGCTGGAAACAAATTTTGAGGGGAGTGGTTTACTTTCATATTTTAACAAATTATATAACGGTTTTTCCAAATTGTGTTCGTACTCAGCAGTCGGCACAAGAAGTGGTATTTTTGTTTTGACAATTAAAAAACGAATATATATTTGTTAATATGTACATGTAAGTATGTAACTAAAATATCAACATCTCTAAACCGAATATATACATACATAATATGTATGTATACCAACAAAATCAATTATTTATTATTATGATATTTGAGATATACATGTCAAAATCTCATTATATACAAACATGACCTATCTTTTCATGAAGTGTTTCCTTTCAAAATGGCAATGTCTCTTTGTAGCTCTTATGGTCTCAGAAGCAGACATTGCCAATGTTTTACACCCCCTAGATATATGTAAAACATTGGCAATGTCTATAGCCACCGAAAAAGATTAGTCAGTAAATATTTTTGTGACTTTTCCCATGACTACAGTAAAACCTCTATAAAGTAATAATGTTGGGACTTTGAAATTTTATTATCTTATAGAGATATTACTTTATGAATAAATAAAGTATTTATTAATTTATAAAAATATATTTTTTAATTCAAATCTTTGAAAATTATTCTTCATACGATAATGTATTAAGAATTTAGAAGAACTTATTTGTTAATATCACACATAAACATAAAACTTGATATTATGATCAAATCTTTTGGATATCGTAATAAAATATATATTATTAGCTTATTTAAAAAATTCTATAAAATTTGATACACGATAAAAATTAAAATAAAAGATTAGAAAAATATAGCTATTAATGAAGTTGAAAATAATATTTTTAAACATATTTAACAATTTTAGATGCATATAAAAAAATTCATTATGAGTTTTTTATATAATAAAAAGTTAAAGATAAACTTTAAGTCATAGTTTCATAAATTTTCTTAGACATATATTTTTTTTGTCAACCTTCTTAGACATATATGTATAGTTTAATATAATTATTACTTTAACTCATTATTGGGACCATATTTTTACATAGGAGTTTCAAAAATATTATTATCTTATCATCTTATCGCATTTTGCTTATTTTTACACTGGCCCGAGTTGGGACCGGAGAAATTTATTACTTTATCGTGATTATTACTTTATCGAGTATTACTTTATAGAGGTTCTACTGTATATAGATTTGTCACATGCCTTTTCGTGGCTTTTTGTGGTTTGTTCAGTGGCTATTACACATAAAGATTTACTAGTATAGTGCAATATAAAAAGATTATCATAATTGCACCAAATGTAACGACAAAGATAATGTTGCCTGCGAAAGAACAAAAATTTACGTACAATAACAGAAAATCAAAGACGATGAATTAATATAAAAAAACATGTAAACGGGAAGCAAGAAGCTTCATACTTCATTTTCATAGCAACATAGCTTCGTTTCTTCAAAAGACGAATAGCATTTACTCTTCTCATGACCAATTATCAAATTCTGACATCTGACGTCGAAATGTCCAATTTCATAACCTAAGATAAACCGCTTCTTCTTAGCACTGATTTTGAGGTCCAGTTCAAAAGCCCTAGGAGAAGCTGCAACGACGTCGCTTTGATTACTCCCCGTAGCTAAGTCAACCGAGAAACTCGTGTAGCCACCGGAACGACGCGTGTGAGAGGTCTTCAAAACGGCGGCATTTATAGAACCAAGCTTGGCGTACACGTCATCGCCGTTGTAGTAGATAGGACACGTCGATCCCGGGTTTTTCACGAGTAAATCGATGTGCCACACGGCGGAAGAGGGAGACACGAAAATTGATTCGACGGAGAAGCTGGCTTGGCAACTAAGTATGTCGGTGTAGAAGCTGACGGTGATGAAGACGGCCAATGTGGTGACGGCGCCGAGCACAAATAGTTTAAAAGTAGCAGAACGCTCTTCTTCAGTGAGTTCCTTACCATTAAATAATAAGTATTGTGATTGTGTCCACCACCGTGAAGGAAGACGAGGATCGGTGGCGGAGGACGGTGACGTTGGGAATCCGGTTTCTACTTCCAGGAAAGTATTGGCCATTACTTGATTCGTTTCATTGGGAGGTGCGGAAGTAAGAATGATATCATTATTAAATTATAGACGACACGTTGAAATTAATATTAATTGAATTTTAGTTATAAAAAATGTTATGTTCAAAAACAAAAAAGATATTCAAGTGTTGAGACGGATGGTTGTTATGATATTTTTGGGAAGATTAGAGACCTAATCAGACCTGAAGTATAGGTGATTAGTTGGATAACAAATCAAACAAAAAAAAAAAAGCTGGATAACAAATTTTGAGGGGAGTAGTTTACTTTCATAGCTTAACTAATTTAAATAATTTTTTTTCCAAACTGTGTTCGTACTCACTCGGCAGCCGGCACAAAAAGTGGTATTTTGTTTTGTCAATTAAAAAAAAAAGTGGTATTTGTTAATATGTATTACGATTCATGTAACTAAAATATCTACATATATAAATACATATGTATATCAACAAAATTCAGTTATCTATTATTACGATATTTGAGAATACATGTCAAAACCTCATTATATATAAACATGACCTATCTTTTCATGAAGTGTTTGCTTACAAAATGGCAATGTCTCTTTGTAGCTCTTGTGGTCTCAGAAGCAGACATTGCCAATGTCGCGAGCCACTTTCAACCGCCGGAAACGGAAACCCTGACGTCGGGGAGAGAGCGTTCAAGCTTACGCCAGCCTCTTTCTGCATTTGCTACCTCGCTTACACTCTCGCATCAGGATGCATTAGCATCTTGGTTTTTATTCCAATGTTTTTCATGCCCCTAGATATATGTCGCTTGGAGGTCTTTGTCGACTCCTTCTCCGTTTCAAACGCAAACGCAACCGTTGATTGGAACGTCGGGTTTGCGGCGAGGAACCGAGGTAAAGGATGTGAACCCTCTCTCCATACAATCAAATCGCGTCTCCTCCGTGGAGAGAATCTAATCTCCGAGTCATCCACGCCGGATTATTTTGGGAAACTCGTCACTGGAAAAATCTATGAACCGCTTTCGTATGCCGTTTTCAAAACGAGTGCAACGCCCGAAGGTCTTAGTGGTGTGGTTTGGGATTTCCGGGTCGAGGTCGCATCTAGCGTTTTGGGAGTTACAGTAGACGGTCGATCCGATCGTCGAGATGGTTTCTTGTTCATGACTTGTGGCGATATACCGGTGAATTTCACGGCGGATCCCGCTGGAAATGTGAAGGGGTCGTTGCTCGGAAATGTGAGGCCGTGTGAGTATTCATTCCGGCAAGAGTATTGGGACACATCCTTTTAGAATTTCTCGCCAATCATAGAATACTATTTATCTCTTTAGGGTTAGTGAATTCTTTTTTCTCTCCTTTTGAAATTGTTAGATTGTTTTTTTTTCTTTCTATAATTAATCAAATAAGAGAAGCACGTGGTTAAATTGTAACTTTTTTTACGTCGAACGAAAATATAGTTTTATACGTAGCTTGTTTATTAATATACTAAAAATAAGAAGAAATTATTGAAGTTGTTTGAAAAACTACGTCTGGACTTTGAAGTAGGCATTTACATATGGCTTGCGATGGAGAAGAGCGTGATGTGACGAAGGTTAATAACAGTGATAATTATTCATTCAAAAAAATAATATCAGTGATAATTATTGGTTCAATTCTATAATTACAAAATATGATAATAATTTTTTTGATTTGATTGCTATAATTTACCCTTAAAATAGGTTTGAAAATTTAAATCAGTCAAGCTTTTCACACGTGAAAACAATTGTAAAAATTTAGTAAATATGAATAACATAAAACTTTGATTGATTCCAATTTTTATTTTTATTGAATAACAACAGATTTCAAATTCTTTTTATTGAATAATCTCTTTATATTAAATTATTTAAATATACAAGAACCAATAACACCAGATTTGTATTGAAGATTAAAAAACAATTACTGAGTAACAATGGATAGTGATTAGATTTAAACTCTAAAAACTAATAAGTGCCAGTAAATATTTATTTTTATTTTTTCTTGTAACAAAGTAAACAAACTTTTTTATCAACATGTACACAAATATAAAGAGAAAGAAAAAGTTTTAAAGTGGGAGATTGTTTTCCCCCAACCCTATATAATTGGGGAAAAAGAAACATAAATTTCATTCTTCTCTCCAGAGTCCAAACCAACAAAAACAAATATGGCTTCCGAAACGACTACTTTTATAAAGCCACCCTCCTCCGCCACTCCTCGTGGGTGGTGGTCGCGACCAATAGCGACTTTACCGGCTAAAAATGATCGTGAAGCCACTTGCGAGGAATGTGCTGCTTACTGTTCACCCTGTTACGGCGGTTTGTTCACAGTCATCGTCGTATTCTCTATCTTTTCATCCATCAACAACGCTCACTTCCATGCCAAAATCTCCATCCAATCAATGGCCATCTCCTCTGGCACGTGGCAAGTCGATTTCCTCGTGGAAGATACGAGCCCGAGCTACTCTATCTACTACGACGCCGATGACGCTGCCGTGAAGTTAGGTCCTCGAAACGTCGCCTGTTTAAACATCACTCGGAGTCTTGATGATTGTAGAGATCAACACAGAGCAGCTTTCTCGTTGTTCTTCGTTGCTGAGGAGGGAAATCGAAGCGTCGTCGTTTCAGAAGAGCTTGATATCAAACTCAGGGCGGAGCATAAGCGTTACGTAAATTTTGATGAAGCTGGACACATTAATATACGGTGCAAAAATCTGACTCGAGGCCTAGATGAGAAGATTATATGCCAATCCTATTTTACCGAATTGAAGAAGTTACATATAATAACAGAAAAAGGGAGAATTAGTGACAAGAGTGAGGATAATTGAGGTGTATTCAAGATAATTGAGGAGTATTTGAGATGATTTCAAATGATTTGTACTGATATGACAAATGCTCTGTTTTTTAAACATATAAGATACAGTGTTTATTGGCACCTTTTGTTGTATTTCTTTTATTAATTAGTCAAAATAATGAAAATAATAATTAGTACATGGAGTTTATTTTCTTCTCCTTCCCATACATTCACATATCACTTCTTTCTAACCTGTCTACGCTAGATTTATTAGGAAAACAAGTTAAACAAAAATCAATTTCGAAGGCTCGTGATTAATTAAATTTCGATAAGTAGTGAGAATCTAATTTTCACTTTAAACCAAATAACTATTAATGTAAAGAAATGTTTATTTATGTTCTTTTTTATTACAATTTTTTTATTCATTAAATGTATATTAACACGGTGCGGCCAACCAAACATCTATAAATCTTTATATTAATAACTAGATGGCTGATGTATCGTGTGCAGAATGAAAATATAAGAATAATTTTTGTTCTCTAAATAGTAGAAACATAATTTTTGTATTTTATATTATGATTTTAATTTAAATTTGAATTTTTTTTTTTGTCGTCTATGATAGTATTTTTTATAGCAAATTATGAATTGATGAGAATAATTACAAAAATAAAATCTACATATCATTCAACAAACTATTTATATTAGATAAAAGTATTTGTATGATATGTAGATTTTATTTAATGCAGAGTAGATACTATATATTTTTATAACTTCAATGTAATTTATGAATTTGAAATTTATAGTATTAAAAATATCTAATCAAATTAAATATATCAATTAAAAATTTGATATAATTTATGATCATTTTGCTAAATCATGTTATCTTTTTTTTCTTGACATGTTACCCTTTTTGGTTTTGAAAACCAACACAATTAAAACACAGGCATTCTAACTTAAACTAGTTCTTAATTAATTATAACTAATAAGATAATTAAAGTAGCTAGATAAACAAGACAAATTTCCTTAAATTTGCTTTTGGATCCTTACCAACAAATGGAACATAATTTGATCCTTTCACAAAGGGTTAAAAGTTCCTTTCAAAAAGTATTTTAAAAAAAAAGAACTAGGTAAATTTATTATACTAATAATTAAAATAGATAAACAAGATAAGTTCCCTTAGAGTTGCTGTGAGATAATCATCAACAGAAGAATTAATATTACTACAATAATAGGGGGAAAGACCTTACAGAAATAAATCAAAAATCTTATATAAATTAAAGCCTTAACTAAGTTGATATTTTCACAAAGTGTTAAGAATTCTAACATGCCACGGCAAACTTCAACCACCGTTTCCGGCGGCAAAGACGATCAACCCGACGAAATGTATCCAGCAGATTGCTGCGTTTGGTACTTGGTTAGCATTTTATTATGCTGGCTTGTTCCTCTCTTCTCTCGTATCGAGGGAATAAATGATTGTTACGTGGAGCTCTTTGCTCACTCCGTCTCCGTCACAAACGCCACGAACGGAAACGTTTCAACAGCTGATTGGAGAGTCGTTTTGATTCCGAAGAGTCCAGTAACCGGATGCAACATCTCTCTCGATGCAGTCACATGGCGTCTCCTTCGTGGCGACAAGGTTATCTCCGAGGCATCTCCGTCGTTGGATGATTTCGGGAAACCATTTACGTCCAACAAAACGGATTGGCCGGCTACAACTGTCGATTTCAAAAAGGTGGTGACGCCGGGAGTTATCGGCAGCGTGATTTGGGACTATGGGGTGGAGATTGCCGCCCGATTGAAGGCATATAATGCACATGGTTTCTTGATGGTGTCTTGCGGCGATATTCCGGTCAAATTCACGGCGGACGCGCGGGGGAATGTGATTGGCTCATTGTTCGGAAATATGCGACGATGTGATTATGTATTCCGGAAATAAGAATTTAATCTTTTCGTTCAAATTTTATATCTCTCCGACCTATGTTTTGGACTTCTTGTCTTTTGGTTGTTTGACTTTGATTACCCTTATTTGCATTTTTTTAGTTTCTGACTTAAAACAGAAGCTCGTAACTGACTTAATATTATGGGATTACTCACATGGGGAAAAATGTTAATAGTATATTATAACTTTACAAGGATGTGACGTCATTAGGAGGATTCATAACTTGACAATAATCCGTTGTTGCATACGTATATGCCAACGTATCGATTACATATGCCTAATAATTCAAGAGTTTCAAAAAGGTAGGTTTATAAATTACTTACAAACCAACTAAACTTTGACTTTTTTTTTTAAGAATACTAGTAGTCTAAGAATACTGGCCAGTTAATGCCCTAATATTACAAAGAGACAATTATGCTTGTAAAAAATAAATTCTTATTTATACTTCTTTTTTTCGTCTATTCTTACCAAACATCTTCAAACAAAACCTTCACCAACCAGCTGGTCAGATAGAAACAAAAAAATGTCGGTCTAATTATTCATATACACATTATAATTCCTTTCACATTGACTTTTTGTTTTGAAAACCATGCACTTATGAAGAATGTCCTACTCGGTTCTCTATCTCCGACTTTGTTGGAAGTTTCATACTGTATATATATATATATATATACAATATACGTAAAGCAAGACTCAAGGATATTAGCTCCATCTTTTCAGATAGCGTTGTCTCCGATGGACATTTCATGCAACTCTGAGATTAATCAACTTGTAAGCTTTCCTGCTTTGCTTAACTTTCTCCATCGTATAGCTAACTTTTACTGTTTCAGATCAGCATTAAGAGTAAGGAAAGTTTTTGCATTGTGCAGCAGTGGCAGATGATGATGAACTTTTCTACACCCGAAGAGCTTAACAATCTTCTCTCCTTACCATCTCTACAAACCATGGATCCGCAGCTCTACAATCATCAGTCTCCGCTAGTAACCGCTTTGGACGCAGAAGAAGCGAAACAACTCAAACACAGAAGCTACATGACTACTACTACGAACCAAAGCTCAAACGGTTTTGGTAATTATGTGGCTATGGGAAACTTGCAGCCCAAGCAAGAGTCTACTCTATTGGCTCAGAGGAACGTGTCACGTGGTGTTTCACAAGCGAGAGACCATATAATCGCTGAACGTAGACGCAGAGAGAAGCTGACTCAACGCTTCATTGCTTTGTCTACCCTCATCCCTGGCCTCAGGAAGGTGCAAACATATTTTCATTATTCGTTGGCATCACCTTAGTAGATTCATAATTCATTGTCAATTTGACGCATTGATGTTTCTTGATGTTATAATTGGGCTTGTAGACGGACAAGGCGTCAGTGCTTGGGGGCACAATCAAGTACCTGAAACATTTGCAAGATAGGGTTAAGTTTCTTGAGGAGCAAGCCAGCCAGAAAACCATTGAATCGGTAGTAATTGTAAACAGGTCGAGGCTCTCCACGGTGGACACAGAGTATGATTCTATTGCGTTACCGGAGATCGAAGCTAGATTGTCCGGTAAAAATGTTCTGATAAGAGTTCACTGTGAAAAGTGGAAAGGGATTGTGGAGATCACTATGGCTGAGATTGAGAAGCTTAAATTGGCAGTGATAAATAGCAGTGTCATCACTTTTGGATCGAATTCTCTTCATCTCACCATTATTTCTCAGGTTAGTTTTACCCTTTTTCTGTTTTCTTTATTAAAGCTTTAGGTTGTTTCATTTTTTTGAATTGATTGACAAATTACAACCAAATCTTGCCTATAGTTTCACTATAAAACCTTTTCTTAAGAGTAATATACAATGAAATATGTAGACTCTTTTCTCATTTTCTTTGGGTATATCGGAACATTTCAACCCATTATGGTCAAATTCATTATTGGTTTCATACCACAACAACTTCTGTTCATACTTCATAGCAAACAATTATTTTCCTTTTCATATAATTTAAACTTTCCGAGTCAATTTTCTTAGCCACTCTCTGTTGAATAACCCGTTTTTTCTTTCTTCTTCTTACAACCAGTTTAAATTATTGAAAATAGTTATATCAATATATGGGATATGGGTAGAATTTTGTTGGTGACAATGTTAAAAATAAAGAACATATATATGTGAAAAAAAAGATGACTGAAGTTAATCTCAAATACAGATGGGTGAGGGATTCAACATGACAACAAAGGATGTGGCCACGAGCATCAAATCAAGCCTCGACGCGTTTACGAAAGCCAATCTCGTCTAAGGAACTCGATAAAATAAACTCTAAAAATGTTATGATGAATATATCTACAAGTTGGAAACTCTCGTAAATTTTC